TTGACTAGGCTGATTAGGTGCACACCACCCGCTTCGGAGGAATGACTGCCGCAGGTTTGCACCCTGGCCCGGATAACACCCTCTGGTGTGAAGGATGGGAAAAAGAGAAGTCGCGGCTCTTGTTCCCCTCGAGATCTGCAGGATGATCGCGGCCAAAACCGCGAATAGGGAGGCCCGATGTGGTGACCTCCCCTCTCCCCCCTCGATGACAAAAATTGTAGTACGCTTGCAACACAAGGTCACATCCGCCGGCGCCATCGTCGTCAGAATAACCCGCATTGATAGGTGCGCAGATTGCGCAGTCGCGGATATGGCGGTAATTTGTCAAGGGAGAGAGAGGGAGAAGCGAGGAGGAAGAGGACGACGATGAGGAAGGGGTATGGCCACAATGCAATGCACACGCATAGTGATGCTCGCTTCCATGCAGCATGCATCTTTTTGCATGTTGACTGGCTGGCTGGCTGGAACACCGGCAAGCATTATACTGTTTAGCCGAACTACAATGTTGATTTGATTCTGATTGACCACCGAGCTCGTCTATAAGCAACACGAGACTTGCAAAGAGTTTCGCTTATAAGTACGAGTATTACTAGCGAGAGCCGGAGTTGGAAGAGTCCAAACATGGCTCGTTTCCCTGTCCAACCTCTTTTGTCTTCTTCGAAGAAGACGACAGCCTAGATTAAGTTGAGCTTTGCCAGAGATCAAGGGAGTCCCCATCTCGCTAAGCCTAGGCGAGGACTGAGCCGGTAAATCAACAAATCATGGTACTTTACATTATTGTTTACAGTTCCTCAGGCTCTCGTAGGCTTCCCCAAGCGATGACCTTTTTGAAGATCCTCTTTTTGTTTTTGGCGCGGCAAGGGAGGCGGGGGGACAGAAAGCGGGTGTCCACACACATTTACACCACATGACACCTGCTGACGCAGTATGGCGCGAAGAGGGTGCCAATGCACAATGCAGGTGCGACAGGGACGCGCCGTGCAGAGATAAATGAACTGCAGCAGTGTGATCCGTGGATCGCGACTTCCCAATTGATTGAATGTGAAGAAGAGGGAGGGAAGGCCCTTGCTCCTGTGTGAGCCGGCATGGTGCAGTGTCAGTGTCGATCAGTGGAAATAGAGGAGGACAACTCGCTGTCCTTTCTCTCCATTCTTCCCTTCCCGCCACACTTCAACCCCCAGTCGAGAACCGATTTTCGCCAACACTTACTCTTTCCGTTTCATTTATTTATTGCAGCATTGTTCCCGTCAAAGGCCCAAGCAAAAACAAAACCTTAATCGCCTCTTCCTCCCCCCCCCCCCTTCTCTTCCCCAGATCTATAACACGGTCAAGTAAGGGCCTGGGGGTTTTGACCATGTATTGGTTGCCTCGTGGTGAGCTTCGGCGGCGGCAAGGCTATCTGGACGACCAACAGATATCTCCTTCCCTAAATGTGGTGATCCATACCCCATCGTGCCGTAGTATGTGTGCAAGCAACATACGTCCCGCGCTAAAGCCAAGCCATACAAAGTACGACTGTTCGATGAAACCGTCTCCTGCAGGTGGGCAGGCAGGACCAAAAACGAGCCCTCGACCGAAGGAACACTTTGAATACGAACTTTTATTTTGGCTGTCCAAGGTTCGCATTCGGCAACTGTGACCGACGGGATGGAACACAGCACAAAACACAGAACAGACTGACTGCACTGCAAATCAGCGCAACCTGCATCCCCTACTCGTGCTTCTTTTCTTGGCCCCAGGGGGATGGAGAGCCCCGTCTAGCCAGCCACAGCTCGTTTGTCGCCAAGATGGGGGTTACTAGGTGGGTAATTGTGCTTAGACCTGCCCTAGACGAGACTGATCCTGTCTCTACGCGAGTCACCGGATGAAAAAAAAAAAAACCACAATGGGTAATTCGCGCCAGAGTGCTTAGGGTGGCTTGCAGTAGCCGATGGAGCCGCAAGGACCTCTTGCTGTCACAATACTCGTTTAGGCAGGGTCTCTTCAACTTATTTCTTTTTGTGCCTAAAAAGCTGCAGTTGATGACTTGCTGCAGGGTGTACCATAATACACACCACGGCACAGCGGATCTATGGTTTTGAGGAGGGGTCTTGGTCTTGTCGCAATCTGCATGGTTGGGGCCACAACTTTCTAGATTTAGAACAACATCATTCACTTCTTCTTTTTCCTCCTCCTCCTCCTCTATAGAAACTTACGACGCGCATCCATCGTCATCACGACGAGTTTGCGTCGCAATGGTTTCTTAATATGCCTCGAGAAAATACAACTTGAAGCCCTCGCTTGCGACGGTGAACCACCCCGCCCGGCCCCCCGTCCCCCTATGGAGTCCTCAGACTCGGGTTCATTGTCGTCACAGGGGTTTCTGAAACCGCTCATAAGACTAGGAGGCCAGGGAGGGGGCTTGTTGTCCTCGAAAATATTCCGAGAGGAATAAGATGCACGTGGCATGTCCCGAGATTTTATTTTATTTCCCTCTTTTCCAAAAGCTACCTGGGCCTGGTTCTGGTCACATCGTTCAAAAGGTTCAAAGGGCCGGCTGGGGAGGGGAGGTCCCACTTCCTTTGATTTCAACACAACCAGATTCGACTTTGCAGCAAGCCTCCGTTGATAAGTAAGATTTGGCCGTTCCGAGTACTTCCTGTCTGTTCCCCACCGTGCACCTCGGCGTCCCAGCTCTCTGGACAATGTTGTTTAGCCTGATCCAGGGCCGCTCAGGACGTGCGCTCGCTCTCTTATCTTGTTCCGAGACCCCGAAATGGATGTCGTCGTCCCCTCAAACGGTCTCTATAACCAAGGGGTCCAACACCTCAAACGTCTTGTCCCCGGGAGGTTGGGGGGAGGGGGTCCCAAAAGGATTGCATCATCTTGGGTGACACGCAATCTGGGGTGTAGTGTGAGCACGTCTACAACGGGTCTACTATGACGCGGAAATAGAATGGAAGACATGCAACAAAACCTTGCCTTGTTCCTCGGTAGCCGGAAGTTTTACCGTCCGATCAATTGTTGACCCCCTCGTTGCTTCCTCAACGAGATGCCATCACTTCGGCAAGGTCTGGGTATCGCAGGTCGGCATGTTCCTCGAGAAAGTCCATCCATCGCTTCAGAAACTTGCTGCCTCTGTAATGAATCACGACAAAAAGAAGATTGATCAGCCGGTGTCTTGTCCCGAAGAGTTTGTGGGACCGTCGCAAGAGGTGGCTGGATCCGTGCGTCATCTCCGATGCGCCCATTTCCCAGGTGGGGGAGGAGATATGGGATATCTTCACTGAAACGGCGCAAAAAGTCACTCACCTCTTGACCGTCTCCGAGTCGCCGATGACGGTTAGAGATCGTTTGGGCCGTGTCATGGCAACTTGGAAGGGAGGAAAAGGGTGTCAGCATCACGATGTCGGCACTGGAAGAGCAAATCTCCTCTGGTTTTGTCTGGACGGACCGTTTAGTCGTCTCTTCTCCCCAAGGAAGCCAACCTCGCCCTCGGGATTGCTCCTGACGAGGCTCACCACCACAGCTTCCTTCTCGCGGCCTTGGAACCCGTCGACGCTGCCTAGCTCGATACCTGGAAAAGCTTCCTTTAGGGGCGCAAGTAGGGCGAGCTGAATTACAGTTCATGGGCAGTTCCCCATTCCATGTTAGTGATCTACATGTGCGTGAGTTATAGCAACCGCGACTTAATGCCGTAGAGAACAGCCGCAAAATTTATATAAAAGAGCAAGGCTTTGCATTGCAAAGAAGGGTGCCGGGGTAAGGGAGGGTACGGTACCTGTGCATTGTAAGGAGTTACGACAGCAATATCTTGGGCCATGACACCGGCATCGACGAGGCTGCGGACATGCTGTCTAACCAGTGCGGCTTCCATCTCGTTACTCTTGCTCTCGCCGTGCAAAGAGGCCTTGACATTCTTGGACGTATCCTCCTCTTCCGCCTTCTCAGGAAAATCCCCGCCCTGCGTGTCAATGAAGATTAGTGGCTCGGACGTCTCATCGTTGGCCTCTACCTCGTAGGGTAGATCCTTAAGCAGTCGGTCCCTGACCGCATCCGCTGCGAGCAGTTTCGATTCGTAGAGCTCGTCTGAGGGGAAGCGCATGATCTTCTCGTGCATGCGGTACTGAGTCGTCAGCATTCTCTTGATCGAGGGTCCATGGAGAGACAAGAGCCTGTCGAACAAGGTCGTCTCTAGGGTGGCTCCCTTGCGCAGCTTCTCGGCGCCGTCCTCCGCCTTTATCGGCTTCGTCTTGGAGTTAAGCGACTTGATGGTGGGCGGCAGCTGGAGGTGATCGCCCGCGCAGACGGCCTTCTTGGCCGACAGCAGCGGGACCCAGCACTGCGCCTCGAGGGCCTGGCTCGCCTCATCAATGATTACCACATCAAAGTCCTCGTTCCGAAGCTGATACCCGCCGGCGCCGTGCAGCGTGGCAAGAACCACCTTGCTTCCCCTGACCAGGCTGGTGATGCAGCCTCTCTCCCGCTCACGGTACTCCTTGCGCAGCTCCTTGAGGTCGGCGTAGATAGCCTTGCGCTCCCTGCCGCTCTTTGTCTTTTTGATTGACGCTTGCTTTGCGTCCATCTCGCTGCGAACATCCCTGACGATCTGGCCAGCCTCGGAGGTCCGCGTCAGGACGTCTAGGGAGAGGTTCAGGACGGACGGGAGGAGGCGTGCCGGGTGGCCGAGGCGGACGATGGGCACCTTGTGCGGCGCCAAGCGCTCGACGATGTTATCCACGGATATGTTAGAGGGGCCGCAGACCAGAACGCGTAGGCCTCGCCTGGTCATCTGGAGGATCAGTTCGATGAGCGTGTGCGTCTTGCCGGTGCCGGGCGGCCCATGGATCAGCGCAATCTCTCTGGAGGCGAGGGCGAACCTAATGGCGTCCTTTTGCGAGTCGTTCAGCGTAGGGTCGATCCAGTCCAGCTGGCCGACATCAGGATCGGAAGAGAGGTCCTCTGGGACGGGTGATGGACTTGACAGGCCAAATAGTGTCCTCATGAACAGTGAGTGCTCCGACTCGCCCATGGCCTGCAGTTTCTCCATCGTCTGGTTCATCCTGTCACCAACTCCTGATTAGTGGAGAGCCTTCCTCGTCCTCCTCCTCGCATCTTCATAATGGCCCATGCTCTGGTTTTCTTCTTCTCTCCTCTTCCTGTCTCTCCCACTCACCTCTTAAAGGTAACATCATCAGCCACCTTGACACACCAGACCCTCCCCCCCAGTCCACCACCCTCGTCTCCTTCCCCATCCAGCGCGACCCCAATATCCTCCCTCCTCACCCTAGTGACAACCCCCTTGGCCCCTTTCCTCTCCAGCTCCTTCACCTCACGCTTCTTGGCGCTGCCCGCCGGCTGCTCGCTGACCAGAACAATGTCACCCGTCCTGATCCCGTGCTCAGGCAGCTCGAAGCCTCCGCCACCACCTGAGGAGGGGGACGAAGACACAGCTGGGTCCGGTGCGAGCTCGATGACAGTCTTACCACCGAGGCCGGTGCGGCGCGAGGACACGACTAGGTTGGTGAGGGCGACGCCGGCACGCTGGAGCGAGGACGGGGCGTGGGCTGAGATGAGGGTCGACGTCTCCGCGATCTCGGAGGCCTGCTCGGCAGCAAGGAGGGCGAGCTGCGTGGCGGCGAAGGAGGGGATGTCGACGGCATCGAGCTTGTGTGCCATCGTTTCTTTGATGAGGAAGTAGCCGGGGTGTTTGCGTCTGAAGTCGGCTGGAGAAAAAAAAGAACTTGTGAAAGTGTCGCCGAATGAACCAGTCTAGAAAGGTTAATTCAGTGCCATGAAGGAGGTATGTTAGTCCTCAGTGGTTGTTGTCATGAATTGTGTAAGTGAGTGAGTCAAGTTCACAATCTTGATGTGTGCAATGCGTGTGTGCGTAGCGAGGATACTGAAGCAAGCCTGGGCAAAAAAAAAAAAGAAGAAAAATAGAGGGGTAGTTTGGTTCATGACAAGCTTGACAAGAAGTACAATCTACCAAGGGTGCACCACATGTACACAATTACAGTCACACAAATTTTGCGTAGAATTATAGTTGGCGAATCTGAGATATGAGAAGCCTCCCTTGACCAAATTCCAACATAGTTTCCTGTATAAGATGAAAGGCAAACAAACATAAGGTTAAAGTGGCATCGCCAGGCTTGTAAGATGACGCAACTCGGCGCCTCTTTTCTAGTCCAAATACGCTGGCCCCTCCACGGTATTGCCTCTTCGGAGAATTGATCAAGCTGCTATACAATGTAAATCACTGCAGCTTGCTCGACTCGCTAATATTTTAAAAGATTTTCTTTTTTTTTCTTTTCTTTTCACATACGTAATTTGACTGAACTGCGCAACTGCAAAACTATGAACGATGTAGTCATCCAATGTCCGTCCATGATATCTCCAAGGGAAAGACAAAACAAGATACAAAAGAAATAAAAACATATACCGCGTCATGAACCCAGCAATGCTCCGACCAGGCGCCATGATAGCCAATGTCCGCTACACCGAAACAGACTGATGAATCGCTAAAGCCTCTTGACAATGCAGAGATGAGGGAACCAAGAAACATCTACACAACTTATGCTCAATCAAACAACCACAATCCGGTCGAGTGACCGAGCTACATATCATTCTCGACCATACCCAATACATCCAGCTCCGTCTTCACCATCCGCTCAAACTCGTCACGGTCGATGCCCGCCGTCCGTGACAGTAGGAACAGGCTTCGGATGCTCCTCGACACGTGCTGCTTGACGCCAAACTCGTTCTGCTCCTGCCGCCCGGCTTCCTGCTCCAGCTTGAGCACAGTATCGCTCCCCTTGGAGCTAGCACTGGATGCGGGACGCGGGTGTGCGAGTGCCGCCGTGCGCTCCTCATCCTCCTGCGAACGGGCGCTGGGCGTGGGGGCGAGCGTCCATCCGCCATTGGACCCGTCTGTCTCCTCGCCGCCTGCGGCCGAACCTGAGGAGTGGTCGGCGGGGTGCTGGAGGCCAAGCGGCGGTGCGGGGGCGGCGGTCGAGACCCTGTGCTGTTCTGCCATGTGGGCCTCGTCTGGATCGTGGCTGTCCATTGCAGGCTGCACGCTGTCGTACTGAGAGTAATATGCGTCGTCCTCCTCATCGTCTGGGACACTCTTGCGGGTCGCTTCCGGCTGATACTGCTGACCTGATGAGACAGGCGCAGGAGACCGCCCGACCTGTGGTGTTCGTGCCGGTGTGGCGTCGTATCGAGCCCAGTAGTCATCGTCATCATCATCGTCGTCGTCGTAGCTGTTATTCTTGTTGCTGCTGCCTTCTGCGATTTGCGGTGCAGGGTGGGCATCCGTGTTGGGCGCCTGCAGTGTAGATATCTTGTCTGTATTGGATCCTCTCTCCTGAAACGCCCTCTCCGCCTCGGGGATGCTCGGCTGCCCCTGGAAAGAGGCAAACGGGCTCGACTTCTCCGGCACGCTGACCTCACCAACCCTCCAGCCGTCACCGCCGCCAGCCTCGTCGTTGACGCACCAGACAAGCCTGAACAGCAGGTCAAATTCCTCCATCACGACCAGGGCCTGCAGCGTCTCCTCGTCTAGCCGCCTGTACTGCGTCCGCGCGTCGTATTCCCAGTCGACCTCGACCTCGCCCGAAACGGGGTGCGGCTCGAGGCGGTCGCTCCGAGCTACCTCGGCCAGGCGCGACTCGGCGCCCTTGTCGTAGGTCAGGAGCCGCAGCCATGGCTCGTTGCTTGTCGAGGAGAGGAGCTGCACGCGCTGGCGCAGGATGGGCGATAGGAGGCGGAGGATGGCGGGTGCGGGCTGCGAGGAAAGGGAAGCTGTAGGTAGGGAGGGGAGGAGGGGCGTGAGGATGTCCCTTAAGTTGGGCGGCCAGATAGTAGAGGACATTTTGTCGCTGTTGTTATGGGGTTGTTGTCGTCTCAGGGCTTTTGGTAGCCTTCGTACTTGAGGTAGGAAGAAGGAAGGAAAGCAGGCTTGCTTGGGGTTTGGCTGCTCGAGTGTTATGTGCCAGTGCAAGTTGTCACATGCCAGTGATGACAAGACAGAATGAAATACCAGAAAATTCCTCGTCTCGACTCAGGTCAAGAACAAGAGAACGACTTGTATAGTTCGACTGAGAAGGATGAAGGCAGCAAGAAGAAAAGAGAGGGAGAAGAGAGAGAAAAAGAAGGTAAGGTAAGGGCGAGTATCACGAGCTCATGAAGTGTGTCAAGCGATACGGTTAAGTCAACCACTGGGTAGCCTCAAACTCGCAGCCTGGGCTGCGACGGAGAAATGGAAGAAGGCACTGCATCAGATGCGCTTGTAACCCTAGGACAACATGCTATGGGAGTTCTCGCCCTGGCCCCCAGGCCCTGACCTCATCTATCCATGCTGTAAATGTTCCACATTGGATACTTCTATCGTTCAATTGGCTCGGACAGATGGAACTAGCGGGTAGCAGGGGGGCTATCCCTGTAGGATACCCCCCGCTACGCTAGTACCGTAGCACCTGCCACCGCACTATGGTACCTCTGCTTTGTCAACTCCTTGATGAACGTCGAAGGAGGAGGCTGATGGATTATCCCCCGAGATTTTGTCCACTTTTCCTCAACCTCACGAAACCCGAATTCCCACTTGTGCGGCACCGAAGACATACTATGTATGCTTAGATGGTGAGGGATATCAAGACGGCCCTCCTGTGCCCCACGGCCAGCACGGACGTTCCTCTCGCTATCATTTGGAGGCTGTGGCCGGAGGACAGGTCTACTCGGTGACTTTCCTGGGCCCCCTTTTCAAGCCCGGGAATCCGTCGACCAGGCTGCCTCTCGAGACATCTATCTATCCGACTGGATTGTTGAAACTTAAACGATGCGTTACGATCCGAACACACCGCGCGCGCACATATCCTGGGTTTTAAAAATGAAAGGATCCCTAAGATGGGATCTCCAGGACACAGCGCCCTCGTTGTTTTGCATCAGTCAGCCACTGAAGAAATCCTTGTCCGTATCCCAAAGCAGTAATAATGCGATGGTGACCTGCGATGCAACCAGAACCAGTCGAGCTTGGCTGATCCGCCCCTTGGGTCTTCCTCCAAAAGGCAGGTGGCCTTGGGACCCAGATCGTTCGAGAAGATGACCCGGCGGCTTTGCGAAGAAAGAAAAGCAAGAGTCGTGTGTTCCTGCGGGGTCCGCGAGCTCATGATGGTCACTCTGCTCGGCGCACTGCCGAATAACCTGTGTTACTGACCCTCCTTCTGGGAGGGCGAGGTAGGGTGACACTGCAGCCGGCTCCCGGCGGTTCGAGAGGCTCTCGAAAAAATCTTCGGAAATGCGATGACCACGAATTGGGCAACTGCGTACCCGATAATGTGGCTCAGCGGGAGATGTTCGTCGTGCATATCTCACCGAAGCTTATCTAATAGATGATATTCAGCGTTCATTCCTAACAGAGATCCTCGGGCTTTATTTTGATGTCCCCATTATTGCAATGCCTTTGAATAATATTCCTGCATGACACGGTGCTGAAATCAACAAATCATAGCAGGTGTACCTATCATGACCGGCAAATTGCAGAATGCCCATCCGGAAGCTTAGGTATGTTTGAAAGTGTCAGGCCCAACGGCTCCTGGAACTCGGCAACGACCCTTGAGAGCAGAAGAGGGCGCAGTAGAGGAGATGCCCATGTCATAGCCAAAACCAATGTAGTAGTATTGATGTGAACGGACCATAGCCGGTACCAAAAGTACCTCCGGAGCGGCATCCAGGCTGCTCACTCGTATCCCGAACGCCTCCCTATTGGGAAAAAACCAAACACCACACATTTCCATTCCCTTCACCGCAGAACTCCTTTACCCGATTTCCCATATTCCCAGTGCTGACCAATCGTGTACTTTCATGTGCTCTTGACCTAGCACTTGATCGAGACGGCAGAGAACTCCAGACTATTGCAGTCGTTGTTGCTGACCTTGTACGACTTGCCAGTGCAGTCGCTGTTGGCCCACAGCTTGGCGGTACAGCCGCTATCAAGAGGTCTTAGCATATGCGCCAGAGAAACGTTGAAGTCTGGATGGTGGGGGGGGGGGGGGGACGGGGGGAGAAGGCAGAGGAAAAGGCATACTTGTTGATGGAGATGTAAGAGCCAATGTCGGTGACAGGCCAGCACTGAGATGTGGTGCCGCTACCCTGCCAGTTGAAGGTCTGTACCACTCCGCCCTGGCAGGTCGTGCCGGTGTAAACCTCGACCTGGCCCTCATTCTCGCCGCGAGTGTCGACGGCAGCGGGAGAAGCAGCGGCGAGGGCGCCGAGGGCAAGGACGACGAGAGTCTTGCCAAACATTTTGAATATGATTTTGTGTTACGGCGGTGTAAAGAGACGATGATGCGAGGAACTGATGCTGACGTTGGTGGGTAAAAGTATTTGTTTATGTGCGGTCTGATACTGATTGCGGATTGTAAATTAGTTGGTTGTTGTTGAGAATGTTGACGATGATGCAGACGAGAAAGACTTGGACAAGAAGCTCAGAGGACGCTTTATATACATGTCTTTAATTTTGCCCATGCAGAATGTTAACTTGGTTGCTTGACTTCCTACCATACTTGCTCAGCCTCGTTACTTTACCTCTAATAATAAGGATAGGAATCATGTTTTCGACCTCATATGCAACCTCATGCCGTTCCCGACCTGGGTAAGCCGTTGTTGGTATGAAGAAGCGACCTACTGGCCATCCTCCAATCACGCAAAGAACGAAGGGAAACACTCAACAACACCCTGCTTTCATAGCCTTTCGACCGACTTTCACGGCCATGGCTCCACCAAACTCTGGCGGCGCGGCCGGCCCTTGTCAACTCTTCATGGAAAGAAGGGCAAGGGTGCCGACACGCGTCTGCATCGAATCAATGTTTGCACAGACATTTCCAGTTGTATTCCCTTTGTATGTTCCGAAATAGCTGCCTTTGGGGGTGATGGTGATGACGATGATGACGATGATACGGGCCGTTCCAGAGCCGAACAGTTGGTCGTAATTATATGCTATGTTAATAGGTGAATGTCATGATTCGGCCCAGCTTCCCGTGGCATAGGATTTAGGCTTGCATGCTGTAATTTATTTGGTCGGGCTGCCACAATCCAAGACGCTGTGCTAATTCTCGATTGGTGACCCTCTCCTTCCTACTGCTGCTTCTCGATAACTGACGTGGAGTGGACTGACATACGTCCCAAGTTGAGCCTTTCTCACCAACCCAACATCGCCAGTATCGACTTGAATCACTTGCGCAGGCACACAAAAGCTGGTCGATGCTTGAGCTGTTGGAAAACGAAAGAAATTTCCTTAACGACATTGTTCATCCTAGATTGACGCGGCCCACCGGCCAGTTCCGAGATCACTATTATTATGTAGTCCGTTGGTGGATGAATGGATCATAACCCATGCACCAACGTGCAGTTATGAAGTTAGACATGCGTAACATCGTGATTCGGCCGCGATCTCATTGCGGGCCTAAAGGACCCATTATTCGGACTTGAAACAATCCCGCTTATTGATAAGCGAACCTAAAAGAAAATATTACATGGACAATAGGTTGTCGAGGGGACATGCTGATAGTGAAGGTTGACGCAGACCCCAAATTGTTGATGATATGTGACTCAATATTAGCCTTACTCAGGAGATGAAACTGAGTGTTCGTATTTAGACACCTATGATAGATCCCTTCTGTTCTCTTTACTTGCAAGCGAAAAAGTATCACAGGAAGTCTGCCATGTAGAATGATAGGAATGAATAATTACGACAGGAACTCAGTGCTGATTATGAAAGGGCTATTACTCGCATAAGCTTCATCTTTCTGACATGAAGCAGCACAGTAACGAGACTCTTTCCAAAATACCTGAGAGATGACAAGCCAAAGACTGCGTACGGCCTTGAAGATGCCCATCTTATCAGATAGATCATGAATGCACTAATTTATAGTCTTGGGGCCGGCCACCCTCGGATATTGAAACCACAAGACAAGCATTTCACAACGCTGATGTCTATAATAGCTTTGAAATTAAGTAAAGCATCAGGACTGCTGTGGTGTTCACCATGTTCCTGCTCCGTCTCTTGGATAAGCTCTTAAAAAGCCTATTCATTTTCTATGATCTATACTGGACAGCCCTTGCCATTCCTTTTGCAGACCCCAGGGATCATCAAAGGAGTATTCAAAGATTGTAAACGAGTTGGGAGCACGGGCGGCCCCGAATCTAAACGTCGCCAGCCTTATATTCTGGATTTGTCACCAGGACAGACGACCTGAGAGTTACACGAACTGCTGAGAGCTGTCTTCAAGGGCGAATCAATACAATATGAGGATGGTCGAGAGACAAGTGCTTTCATTTTAAAATTCCTGGTGCTGACAGACTGGAAAAGGGCATGGCTCTATCAAACTCAGCTACGACAAAGGCGTCTTCGAAGTGGTCATGGAGACCTGATGTTGGTGGTGCTTTTGAGTGGCGATGGATATGGCCGCCAAGGTGTTCAGGCTTGATCCTCAGCAGAAGTCAGGCTTTTGGTGAACCCTCAGACTTGCCAGGGAAATCGAAAGACGCAAGTCGTCGGCTTTGTATAGTTCGACACAGCAGACAATGCACGAGACACCCTGCCTAAAAGGGTTTGACGAAAAACGTCGCCTCAGAGAACTCGATGGAGAGTGGCTTCGGAAGGGTAGAGCCATCCAGCCACAATAGTTCCATGTCAGGGCTTCTCTTTGGGCATCTTGGGAATATGTGTCCTTGAGGCTATCAATAGAATATTCTTGCAGAAGGATGTTTCTTTTCACAGAATGGCTTACGTTTTGCAGAGTCGTGCGTGTTATAAGAAAGTTCCGACCGCCTCTCACCAACGTGTCTACATCGTAGGTCAGGCAGGGAGAATGACAATGGTGCGCTGGAGGGCCCGGGACTTGGAAAGCAGAACTACTCATAGTCAGAAGTAGCCATGATTTCAATTTCATATTTAGTACCCAAGAACTTTGTTTCGACTAGATAATACAGAACCGAGTATTATATTTCAGCTGCTCTATGACATGTGGTCTTGTTTTTGTCCCCAATGAGCATCGGTACATTGCACAGTAGTATTCGGATTGCGTTGATCAGGTGCAGGGGTGAGGCATTCTACTGATGTCACTCGCGATAAGCCGCGATAAGATTTTCGGTCAACGACTTCCTCCTGAAGGGACTAAAGCAATCGATGTTCCCAACCACTTCTTTCGAGAATTGCTACGCATGTCACTACTGTCTTTGATAAAACAGCATGGCATGAATAATTGCTTCAAAAGACTGTCTGCCGTCTCTACTCTGCGCCTCTCTTTATCCACAGCCTGATCTGCTTTCGTGACCAAAGGACGTCGAGAACATCGCTCCCTTGGCCTTTGCGCCGGAATTTGCCAAGGTCTCAAAACACATTGTGTTGACTTAGGTGCATGTCTCCCAAAGGAGAGCAGCTCAAAGATGAGGTATACTACGTGGAACAACTTTCGCGACGATGAAATTGTGCTAAAATTTGGCGGCAGGGTTCTCGGCTTCAGGTTGTCGTGGCTGGAGCAACGGCCGGCATGATCTCGCGGTGAGCCATCCCCTTCTGATGCACATATTCTGCCACCTTCTGATATCAAGACCAAGCTATTCTGACAAGGCGTATTTTGATCCAGTTTCATCATTGCCCCCCTCGATGTCGTCAAGATTCGCCTCCAACTGCAATCCCACTCCCTCTCGGACCCGCTCTCCCACCCCTACGCTCGCGGCGGGCCCATCTACAAAGGCACCATCCCAACCATAAAGACCATCCTCGCGACAGAGGGCCTCACTGGCCTGTGGAAGGGCAATGTCCCCGCCGAGCTGATGTACATCTCCTACTCGGCGATCCAGTTCACCACCTACCGCTCGACGACCCAGCTCCTTCAGCACCTCCAGGAGCAGCACGGCGTCAAGATTCCCGGCGCCGCAGAGACGTTCATCGCCGGTGCGTCGGCTGGCGCGGTCGGCACTGCCGCCACGTACCCGCTCGACCTCCTCCGGACGCGCTTCGCGGCGCAGGGCAATGATGACAGGGTCTACACCTCGCTGCGGCGCGCCATCGCGACGATACGGCGCGACGAGGGCGCGAGGGGCTTCTTTCGGGGTCTCAGCCCTGCGCTGAGCCAAATAGTGCCCTTCATGGGGGCCTTCTTCTCCGTGTACGAGGCATTGCGCACCCCTCTGTCACAGCTCAGCCTGCCTTTTGCCGGCGGCGAGGCGGTGGCGGGGACCCTGGCCAGCATCATTGCAAAAACAGGCGTGTTCCCGCTGGATACGGTGCGCAAGAGAATCCAAGTGCAAGGACCGACGAGGAGCAGATACGTGCACAAAAACATACCCGACTATAGCCGATTAGGGACTGTCGGGACCATACGAACGATACTGAGGACAGAGGGCATGAGAGGTCTGTACAGAGGCCTGACGGTCAGTCTCTTCAAGGCGGCGCCGGCGAGTGCCATCACCGTCTGGACTTATGAGCGGGTGCTCAAGGCGCTGATTAGCCTGGAGGGGACAAACAACGACAAAAAGGTCTTGTGAGTTATGCATACATGGCGTTGTTAAAAAGCGCACGGGCATTGCGCACTACCATCATAGATTTTAGAATTTAAGACAAGCAATGAGGTTCCGCATGACTACTTAGACTTCGAACGTTATAGCGATCAAAGTGTGTAATGTGAGAGTGTAAATATTAAACCCCCCTCCCTCCTCTCGGGAGCGTAGAGAAAGAAAGTCAGGTGTGAAAGAATTATTGGGATTATCCCAACCATGAGACGTGATGGGTGATGAGAATAGTCAGCTTTAATCCTCTCCTCTTTTCTATTCGGCCAACTGAGAGCACTCTTCTCTCAGCATGCCAAAAGAAATCTGATCCAGGCTCTTCCCATTTTTCCAGACTGCCTTCCTCCTCACACCCTCCTGCGTGAACCCAGCCTTCGCCAACACCTTGGTACTTCCCACATTGCCCTCAAATGCACTGGCCTCGAGCCTCAGCGTCTCGGGAAACGTCTGAAAGGCCCACGCCACAAACCCCTTCAAGGCCTCCGTCATGTAGCCCTGGCCCCGGTGCTCCTTGCCAAGCCAGTAGCCGATCTCCATGGTGCGGGCCTCGACGTCCGCGAACGGCTTGAGTCCGATGCCGCCAATGAAGTGGCCATCGGAGCGCCGGCAGAGGGCGTAGTTAATGAGGACGTTGGTGGGCGGATCTGTACGCGTGGACGGCTTGGTGGCCTTCAGGCCTATGTTGGTGATGAAGGACTCGCCGTCGGCTAGCGAGTAAGGGGAGGGGAAGGTGTTGCGCATCCATCTCGCGATTTCTAGATCATTGGCTTGGCGTGATGACTCCGGGCAGTCAGAGAGGTGATAGGGCCGGATGAGGACCCTGGAGAGGGAAACGATGGGCGCAGGGATGGGTGTGTCAGGCGTTTCTGTGGTTGTTGCCGCCATTTTTGTGGTGTGAGAGTCAATAACCTTGCCTCAGGTTCTGGGAGGCTTCTGTCTAGGGGGTTGTCTTGTCTATTCTTTCTATTCTTTCTTTTCTTTTTTAGTTTTGATAGTAGGAATGGAAGGAAATTTCAAGTTCAGTGACGAGGTATTGCACACAAGTCAGAAAAAGGTGCTGTTGATATTTATCACATAGGTGAAGGGAAACTACTGAAGTCGAGGTGAGTCACTCCGGGTACTTTGCTCAGTAAGCATCCAAGGTACCCAGCCCCTCGGGAATCCTTCAGAATACATCAGGCCATGCAGTGTATTGGTACTTTAAACTTTGCTGCATGCGCCATTGAGCATGAAGTTCAATGTTCCAGCAGGCACCAAAAGAAAGCTCAAGAAGCACAATAGATATCAGAAGTCCTGCTTCGTGTGGTCTTGACAGCTCATGATCAAAATAAGGAGCGTGGGCAATATATATTCATGATGGATTCCATCCTCTATTAGTAGATACTATTTGACAGCACCCACGCTGACTTTCCGTTGCCTTTTCCTCCACCCCTCTCTCAAAAGACTTTCTTGAGTCGTGGATCAACAGACAATACTTACGTGATTGCTCTTCTAATACATACACAGATAAATGTATATGAAATTTTTCATGTCAGTTCATGTGCATACAAGTATTTGACCATAGACATCGTGTTGGAAGAATCAAGATGATTTGTAAAGTTGAGTGACTTGACCTGCAACTGGGGCTACAGTAGCATCTGGAGGTGAGGACCCCTGGAGCCACTACAATAATACTACGTACAGCATGTAACATAGTACAACTGTACAGTAGCACGAGTAGGGACAATGAATTGGAGGCCCTGTAGCTCCCCCCCAGCACAGTGGGTCGTCTGTTTCAATTCCTCCCCTTCATTGGAGCGCTCAAAATAATCCTTGCTATTTTGAGAGCTACTCGGTCGGTGCCGCGCAACTGGCAGGGAAAATGTGTCGTGGCCTCAAGTCAGTCAGCCTCACGCGCATCAAACATTTACTGGATATTACCATCTCTTACAATTTTCCTTTTTCTTTTTTTCTTTCTTGCTTCTGCTTTCCAACCGAGTCCAAACATTGACTGGCTCGCTGCTTTTGGGTGGTGTATCTTTATCTTCAGGATACAATTTCCGTTCCGTTCCTTGCCACTGTTCTGCTGTCGAACCCCGAGACCGCAGTGCAACCTATCCTAACGGGTGACCCTGCGCAAACTATCCGGCCTATCGTCTGCAGCTGCGCTTCTCTGCCGACAACATCCTATCTTCCTCAAGATGCCAGCCAAGTCTCGTTTCACGAGGCTTGATGCCTTCACAAAGACTGTCGAGGATGCTCGTGTCAGGACAACGTCGGGTGGCATCGTGACCATTGTCTCCTTGATCGTCGTGTTGTACCTGGCATGGGGCGAGTGGGCAGACTACAGGCGGACAGTGATACATCCCGAGCTGATAGTAGACAAGGGAAGAGGTATGACTTCTCCTGTTTAGAGGACTCCGATGCCATCCCTCCTTGCCACAAAGGCCTGCTGCCGGAGTGCTAACGGATTGTGCGAACGAATTCCTACAGGCGAGCGAATGGAGATCCACCTCAACGTGACCTTTCCCAAGATACCTTGCGAGCTCTTGACCCTCGACGTGATGGACGTGTCCGGCGAGCAGCAACACGGCGTGCAGCATGGCGTGAGCAAGGTGCGCCTCCGGCCCGAGTCGGAGGGCGGCGGCGTCATCGACATCAAGGCCCTGACGCTCCACGACGACGGCGAGTCGGCCAAGCACCTAGACCCGGACTACTGCGGCGAGTGCTACGGCGCGAAGGCCCCCAACAACGCCGAGAAGCCCGGGTGCTGCAACACGTGCGACGAGGTGCGCGAGGCGTACGCGCAGGCGTCCTGGGCGTTTGGCCGCGGCGAGAACGTCGAGCAGTGCACGCGCGAGCACTACGCCGAGCGGCTGGACGAGCAGCGCCACGAGGGGTGCCGCATCGAGGGCAGCCTGCGCGTGAACAAGGTGGTGGGCAACTTCCACCTCGCCCCGGGCAGGAGCTTCAGCAACGGCAACATGCACGTCCACGACCTCAAGAACTACTGGGACACGCCCGTCGCCGGCGGCCACTCCTTCTCCCACATCGTCCACCACCTGAGCTTCGGGCCCCAGCTGCCCGAGGAGCTCGGCAGGAAGCTCGGCACCAAGACCATGCCCTGGAACAGCCACCACATGAACCCCCTCGACGGCACCGAGCAGAAGACGGACGACCCCAACTACAACTACATGTACTTTGTCAAGATCGTGCCTACATCCTACTTGCCGCTCGGCTGGGAGAAGAAGTACCGCGATATGGTTGCCGACCACAATGCCGCCCTGGGCACTTTCGGACAGGGTGAGGATGGTAGCATCGAGACGCATCAGTACTCCGTGACGAGCCACAAGCGGAGCTTGTCCGGCGGTGATGATTCTGCCGAGGGCCACGCTGAACGTCTCCATTCCAAAGGCGGCATCCCGGGCGTGTTCTTCTCATACGTAAGTGGTTTTCTTCTTTTTTTCTTTGGAACTCGTGAATGTCATTGAATCTCGAGCTAACAGCCCTTGCAGGACATCTCCCCAATGAAGGTTATCAACCGCGAAGAGCCGGCCAAGTCGTTTGCCGGCTTCCTAACGGGTCTCTGTGCCGTGCTTGGCGGTACGCTCACTGTTGCTGCGGCGGTGGATCGATTCATGTTCGAGGGCGCCACGAGGTTGAAAAAGATGAGGTCGAAGGACCTGTAGAGATGGGAAGGGGAAGGGGAAGGGAAAATAAGATGAGGTTGTGAAACATGGGCTGGTGATACTAGAGTACCTCCTTTGTTGTCCCTCTGAATCCCTCTCTATCTCTCTTTCTATTTCTGTGTGTGTCTCTCTGTCTTTTCCTCTCTTTCTTTTTTTGCATGGTCTAGGGAGTTCCGGAAAGGTCGTTTCTGGAAGATAAATATTTTCCAATCTTTTGCTTCGAAACGAGCTGCAAGATAGAGCAGCTTGGGAACACTATCCTATATTCCTTCTTCACTGATGTGCATGTGTCCTGTGCGTGGTGGTGCAACGTCTCTCGGACACGCGGTCACGTTGCGCGAGCTGTTGTGAAAGGGGCATACTAATAGTCTATTCCGGCAAGAACAACAATCTCTTTGCATCCTGGACGAGAGGACATGAAGCTTGCGTGTTATATGACGGCGTCTCACGAGCCTTGGCCTGGCTATAGCGCCCAATGTTGTACTGGGGGCATCCTCCCGGCCTTCACCGAGAGGAAGAACAGATCTGCCGAGTCCAGAGTGGATATTGTGGCATACAACCCCCCCCCCCCACCCCTCCTCTCATTATCGCCCACAAGACCGGGTTGACGGACGCCCGCCCGCGACCACCTAGGAGAGAAAATCTGCGAGCGCCCTGAGCCCCCCTTACTCAAGTACCTTTTAGAATGCCCATAGCCTCACTTACACAAGAAAGAAAGAAAAGGCCTTGAACAAAAAAGTCATGGTAAGAGAGCAAGGAGACTGCTTCATTCAAAGTCCGAAGCCTTGTCTGCGATGGCTCTTCCCTTTCCAGGCTTGGGTTGTCGTGTGTGCATGATTGTATGCAGGAGGAACAAACACTACGTACTTTCATGATCACACGCGAGAAAAATTGCCCTCGTTGGGCAAAGTGCGAATCGCCCTCATTTAAGCCTAATTTCCGCGTGGGGATGTCGGCCCCGGGCCGGGTGTCGTGCTTGTGGGCGGGTCTCAGTTTTTGTCTCTGAAAGCCCAACAACTCTCTCTCCCTCTTTTCTTCCCTCTTGCTTTCTTTGCGCGTCACCGTGTTGTGAAATCTCCGGACCCGGGAGATGAATGCCTCTTTCGGATGGAGTCAGCGCTGGGCATTGGAATCAGTTACGTGAGCGAATGAAGGGATGAATGTATGAATGAATGAATGGGTGAGTGACTGGTATTCAAGGGTTCTCGCGATACCTGGACAATAGTAGATGAAAACTGGATTTGTGTGATACAGAGGATAACAAAGCCAAGAACTGTTTTAATATCGCATCGCATACCTTTGCAAGTCGTCGGCTCCTAATAATATGAACTCCACGTTGCTCGTTCAACGCAGATGGAATTTACCGCAACCGAGGCCCTCGCGAGGCTGACACAGCAGCAAGTCTCTCACTCTCTTTTCGCGTTTCTTTTTTTCTTCCTTTCCCTCTTCTGTATCATCTTTTCTTTCTTCTTGAGACCGTTGAGTAAAAGCGGGGGTGATCTGCCGGGTTGTAACTTGTGAAGTTCTTGCTGGGCGGAAATGGAACATGGAATCTGGGTCCAGAGCTACCAGACTTATTAGCCCTGGATCCTCGAACGGAGATCGCGGGCCCGCCAGGCCTTTCCAAACCTGTCTTTTGAAGATAGTCGCGCCGTGTTTCTTCTTTCCTTCTTCCTTGGGATAAGACGAATGGAGTGCGGAGTACAGGAGGAACAGAATGCATGAACATGATGCATATGCGAGATCTCAGGGTTGCTTGGGAGGCCTTCGATCCAGCCTCTTGTAGGCCTGGCCAGGAAGGCGATCTCAATACGGCGGCCCTGGGAGAACCTGACGCGGGCCGTGGGATTTTCTCACTCACTCAAGGCCAAAGCCCTTGCCTTTGGAGCTAGTCAGTGACGTGACAAACCAGTCGATCCGACGTTCTAGGTTCTAGAACATCTAGTTCGGACGCTGGCGCGAGTCGTAGGCAGCGCACCGATTGGCGATCGCTTGCCCATCAGCGGCCAAGTGGGCAGACCTCGTATCACGTTGGACGGACGAGACGACGACTGACCTTGTTGGAGGTTTGTTGTTGAAAAGGTCTGGATGCACCTTTGTTCATGCGGATAGGCAGCACCGTTGGCCTCGAGAATAACCTTTGTTTGAAATTCCAGTGCTCGTAATGCAATGCACTTATGATCGATCTCCTCAAGAGGAGATAACCTTTTTTGATTTTTGGTCGCATCGTGTGCTCATTTCGCGGCGGGGGGGGGGGACGAAGGAGCATGCCTGTGCGTGTCCCGATCCTGCGCCATTAATCTGGGGAAATGCACTTAGGTAGGTCCACCTGGGGCAGGCCTGGTGTGTGTGTGTGTTCATCATTGGAGGCGTGAAAAACGTTTCTTTTTTGTATGTGGTATGTGGCTGAATGTCTTTGGTAATCGTGCAACATCGATTGGAATTGCCCTCGTGAACGATTTGGCTCACTGTGACCCGCCTCTCCCCCCCAGGTTCTGTGGCACCATGGTTGGATTGCGTACATACATAATAATACTTTGTAGTTACAAGAGAAAGGGGGCAGACCACATGGAGAAACTTTGTAGCCTTGATCCCTGCTTCACAGTCCTCGTAGCGAAGGGGACCCCTTGCAAAATATTCCATTTTTATGCTGTCGCCCCTGTGACCAGGCCTCCTTTAGTCTAGCTCGTGCAGGCTGGGCGCCGATCCGCTCACGGTACAACGTCCCCAGAGCTTCAGGGGGGGGGGGGGAAGGAGGTACACGAGCTTGGCCTCGTGACACAGCAGAAAGTCAGGTATCCCCTACTCCTTGCACCCTGTCAAGACAGGGCACTTCTATAGTACACTCTTCTGCTCTGTGGTTTGTAGTACATGGTTAGTCCTGTAGGGTCCTCTTCTCTCAATTGACCCCAAATTGATTGATTCGTCTCCTGGTTTTCCTTATGCTTCCTACCAGCAGCGCCATCCTTTCCCGGCCTTTTTCTTTTTTGTTCTTCTTCTTCCTCCTCCTCCTCCTCCTTCCCTCCCTCTTACTCACCTACCTGCCATCCAGCTGTGTGCGGTCCTGAGCTGGTAGGCGTGAGTTGGAGCTCCAGCGTCCCAGTCCCCCAACCCCTCGTCCCTTCAGAAGCCGGCCTGCAAGCTGACGGACAGACAATTGTTTCGGGTTGACTCTTGTCATCACGGTGGTACGGGGTTCCTGCTGAGATTAAGTGGCCACGGAGGTGGCATCATCGCCAAGTCAAAACGTCAATCGACGTCTCAAAACGTTTGCTCCACGGCCTGGGGCAATTCCTCCGTTCATTTTCTTGACGTCCATCCTTCCAACGGAGTCCCCTTCTCTCTCAGGGTCACACTCGTTTCTCCTCCTTTCTGAAGCAACAGTTTACGGAAATACTGGACCCTTGCATTCATTTTAGGCAGGATTCTACGGCCGACCCCAACCTCTCTCCCGTATGACGACTGCGACAGGCGGGGAAACACTCCAACCCAAAAAAAGCCCTCCGCTCGCTGTTACTACTGTTCCAGGGTTTCAATCAAGGAAGCCGTCAAACCCGTTGCATATCCCCTCTAGACGTCAATAGCCACACACGATCACCGACCGAATTCACTCGTCCATTCAATCGTCCAGACATTGACCAAAGACGCCAATAACGAAACGAACCGGAATAGTCACACCCATTTCTCTCTCGTTTCCTGTGTCGAGCGAAAAACATCTCCCGCTCCTCCCCATCGTTTCCTGTTTATTCACGACGGTCCCTACCGCACGCGAGGGGTTTACGAACGTTGTTCATGCGCCACCCGTTCTCCCTCCTCGACGACTTTCTGTTACATTGCGATTCGTCATCTTCTTTGAGAAGCTGATCCGCCGACGTCTTTTTCCAGAGTCTCAGCTGTCTTCTGACCATCGAATACGCTTCGCGCCGAGCCTAGGCTGTTAGCCGTCCCGACTTCTGGAACATTTCCTTTCCAAGACAACTTTCTTGCGCATTCATTCCTCGAGAGCGGCATACCCGCCGACGACGTCATCTGCGCGTGTCGTCGACCAATCTACGCGAGAGTTTCGCGTCATCGACTAAAGTGGTTTCGAAGAGAACGATCGTCGATGAATTAAGCTGGTCATCATGGCGGCTCCAACACGACCCCCCCTCCTCGAGCTGCGCACCGACTCGCAGGCATCGATACCGCGCCCGATGAAGTCGCCACGGCTACACGTGGCGGGCGAAATCCCGCCAGAGCTGTCGCCCCTCGATGCGTTCGCCCTGCAGAGCCGGCTGCTGGCCAAGAAGCTGGAGGAGAGCGCCAAAGCTGGAAAGAGGATGAGCCGGCTGCCTCCGCTGACGACGGAGAGCCCACTTATTGTACAGGGTAGGTCAGAATATTTTCGGTCCATGTCGCAGGAGTCCGCATCTGAGGCCGGGGAGCAGCACTCGGCTGGACCCGCGATGAGACCAGAGGTGGAGGAGTCGCCCATCCGACCACAGTCCATGCACCCTCGAATGAGCCACATCCCCCCTACGCCAGACGCTTCGCTCCCACCCTTACCGACGCCCAACTCTTTTGAGCAGATGAGAGGTCGGACCCTGGCCCCCCTGAGCGACAGGAGCAGCTATTTTGGAGCACGACGGGAGCACTCGCCTTCGTCCCTTAGCAGCGTTAGCATCGATGCGAAGCTGGCTGAAGATGATGCGCAGTCGGTCAAGTCGGTACGGCAGGAGCTCCTTGACACGCCGTCAATACCTTCAGGCCAGGCCCTTACCAGCCCAAGAAATCGGAGATCCCAGGAGTCGCTCGCCCCGCCGACAACCGTCTTTCCCAAGAGGACCTCCAGCATCATGTCACAGCCGGTGAACTCTGCGGCGGCTGCTGTAGATGATTCCCTCGGCTCGTCGTTTCACTCCTCGCAAGGGTCGCGAAAGATGTCTACGAGCAGCGCGGGTGTCTTTTCGCCTCACCAGCAACGATCTCCCTCCGTCAGCTCCAACATTTCCGAACTGCCCCGTCCAGCTTTCAACTTCTCGAGGCCGATGAGCCGAGCAGGAACGCCAGGTCCAGCAACCCCAGGACTGGAGGCACGATTCGACCCACCAGTCCGACAACCATCATCGGACAGCCATTCTTCTCTCTTTGCCGCCGACGATGTTCACACGCCGATCAGCATGAACAGCGAGGGCTTTCCCGACCTGCTGGAGGAAGCTCGAGCAGGCGCCCCCGCCCCCTCTTATATATACTCCAAGTATTCTCTACCACGAGGCAAGATGCTCTCGCGACACTCGATAGAACGGGGCCAGCCAGGTGCAACGCTGATGTGGGATCATACCCACCCAAACAATACCCAGCCTACTCCTTTTAGCGGTCAGGCGCCACCATCTCCTCCAACACGACCGTCGAGTTCTGGAGGACGACAGACAGAAGAGCCGGGAAGGCCCTCTGGTGAATCGAGCTTAAGTGTGCCACGTCCGAGCACGCAGCCATCGCCTGGCAGCAGCCAACCACCAGCGGGCGAAGACCGAGCCTCTGAGGACGCCACGAGGGGCCGCAGCAGCCAAGAACGGCCTGCGACGGCGACTACGAGCGATGCTAGTACTATTAAGGCCCGATCTCAGCACTCTACGGCTGCTACCATGGCTGAGATGTCCGCGGATGAACACGTGGACAAAGCTGTAGCTCTGCACGAGGACGGCAAGTTTAACGAATCAACATACCACCTGCGCTATGCTGCCAAGCAAGGCCACCCTACCGGCATGCTGCTGTACGCACTCGCCTGTCGACACGGTTGGGGTATGCGGCCCAACCAAGAAGAGGGTGTGCGGTGGCTGCGCATGGCCGCCGACTCTGCGGGTACCGAGATCGCGGAGGATGAGGACAAGGCCAAGCAGGGGCAACATGTCGACAAGCCTGAGCAAAAGAAGCGAAAGGCCCAGTTGGCCTTGAGCATCTATGAGCTGGGCGCGAGCTACATGAATGGGTGGGGAATTGAGCAAGACAAACCACTTGCTCTGCGGTGCTATGAGATCGCCGGAAGTGAGTTGAAGATCTTTTTCTTTTCTTCTTCCTTCTCCTGATCATGTCTGGGTATAAGAACTTGAGGCTAATCAACGTTGTGCAGGCTGGGGCGATGTGGACGCGCTCGCTGAGGCTGGGTTCTGCTACGCCAAGGGCGTTGGCTGTAAGAAGAATCTCAAGAAGTCGGCCAAACTGTACCGAATGGCTGAGGCCAAGGGAATGAACATGATCGGTCAAAGCTGGTGAGTTCAATCTGCCATCCAAAGTGTCTGCTGTGGATCTTGAGCTATGGTGTTAACGGACATGTCATGTGCAGGATCCACAAGGCAAAATACGACGACAGTGACGACGATGACAAGAAGAGCACTAAGAGCTCCAAGTCCGTACGGTCTAAGTCGAAATCTCGGCATTTCCTGGGACTGAACAAGACCCGATCCAACACCGCCGCCAGTTCATAACCACCTTTTTCTTTTACTATGTCTACTTCTTCCTGATACCTCTTTTCCTTTGGATCCTCCAACCCTTCACGATGACGACTACCTTTTTTTTTTCCTCTTCCATTACCCGGGGTTGGGAGTTTTCTTTTGAATCAGTCTTTGTTTGGGCTTTTCGGTGAAGAACCAGCATTTATTTCTTCTTCGGTTTCTTCTCCTCGCTCATGAGCATTACGAATCATCTTCTACCGCAGCATTTGCATTTTCAGCCAAAATTTGGCTCACAACCCGTTTTGAAGATACCGCAACGGCATAGCGGGGCCTGCCCGATTTACTTCGATCGTTCATCTTTCTTTCCTTTCTTTTTCCCTTCCTCGTTGTTGGACTTTAGTTCAGACGGCAGGTCAACGATGAACTGTTTCTAGGGGATCGCATTTTGTTTTTTGATCATTCAAATCTTCTTCTGAGCCGTATCCTTCCTGAGGGATGGATATCGAGCTGTCTTGGGCAACTTTGCGCGTTGAGGAAAACCTGAGGAATTGTTCCGATTTCAGAAGGCGCGATAGGAAAGTTTGGGGGAAAGGGAGGAAAGGTATGGGAAGATGGACAGCTTTATGCTGGCATTCAGGAGGAAAGAGAAGAAAAAAAGAGCTACAATATTGTACATAAAATCTTCAGCATTTTGCCTTTGGTCCTCCTTCTCTCGTGGGGCCCCAGGATGTCACAGCTTCTCTGTTTGCTGTTTTCTTTCTCTTCTTTTTTTTATTTTGTTTTATATTCCCCAACGAAGCTTCGAAAGCGAATTAATTTCTGATCTGCAAAAAGGCTGATCATTTATCAACAAGAGGGCCTTATCCATGTATCCAGGCGTGACTAGGTTGTGAGTGTAGCTGTGTGTCTGTCGTGGAGAGCACAGATTGAGAGGGTGTTTGAAAGCTGGTAGATGCTGGGCCAGCTGCAGCTAAGAGCGCTCTGAGTGTTATCCATTGTGGAGGAGAGGGGGAATTCTCTGACTTTATTCTATCCCTCCGTCTTCTTTTCCTTCTGCATGACATATGTGCGCCCGAACAATGATCCAAAGGCTCATGAACTCAATCTCTCTGCTGGTGAAGCTTTGCCCAGCTGTCGTATCACCATGACCACTGACCACAGGCATGTGAAAGTGGAGTCTGCTTATTGATTTAGCCCAAGCCGCACCACACCAAGGCTGAGGTAAAATAAAAAACGGGGGTTCGGGGCGGGAAGAACCCCTGGTGGTGCACACTGCATCACGCAACGTCATACCATGACCAACCAAACCCATCTCAATTAATCTCCTTGTGCCCAGGAGCAGCAGGCTCTCTCCTCTGCAGCTTTTGAGCAGCCCAGGGAAGCTTTTGCTGTGTATTTTTGTTTCAACTTTTTAGCGCATTCCGCGCGATTTATTACGACACCCCTTTCGTCAATTCTCTGCCAGCTTATTTACCTTGTCTGCCCGTCTGTTATACCCTTGGCTGCTGATTTCCAGGGTCGTCGTCACTGCTCGTCACTGTTGCTTTGCTTTCAGCTATTCATCCTGTTCCTCAAAGCCCATCTGTTTCAATCCAGGAACACAAGCACGAAGAGAACAGCGCGGTTCCACCGAACCATATTCCACTGTTACCACCACAGAGCTCTTAACTTGCTTCTCTGGTCCAAAAGGTGTTTTTTTGCACCACCGGGAACACGGCTCGCTCGCTCCCTCCCTCCCGGACACTACGCTAGCTCCTTAGAAGCATCTTGTTTTCCCGTCGCTCCTCTTCGTCATTCATTCCCCTCGTCGCATCTCTCCTGTTTCTCCCACACAACCTCATGCAACCAGTCAGCCGGGAGCAGCTCAACCGCAACCGCTACCTCCGCGCCACTTCTTTTGAGGGCAAGTCAGAGCTGGGAGACAGCTTCCGGACCGCTGTGGGCGACAGCTTCCCGTCGCGCAGCAGCAGCAACAGCAGCAGCAGCCGCCGAAGGGAAAAGGAGGACAGCAACAACAACCACAACAGCGATAATATAGACACCATGGCGGACCCCGCCGGCCATGACATCGACAGTACAGGTGAGACATTTTCTTCTTCGCCCAGGACGGCCATCGCGGACACCCCTCAAACCGAGCCAGACGCGGATGGGTGCTCAAGCTCCAGCAGCCCGCCCACGCACCCGGCCTTCTTCTCCCCGCCCAAAGCTGCCGTGGCGACGATGTTGTTGTCGTCATCATCATCATCGGCAACGGGTGGGACGGCAGGTTGGGGTGGACGAGGTGGTGGTGGAAGGAAACGAGAGAAAAGAAGCCAGGGCAAGGAGAACGTCTGCCTTAACCCCATGGCAGCGTCGTTCTCGCCTTTGAGCTGCCCGCGTGCCGTGTTGTCATTACCACAGAAGTCGCCGGCTGCACAGCAGACTGGTGGGTCTGTGATGCTGGGCAGCTTCGTTGGCGACGGCTGTGCTGATGGCGCCCGCGGTGACGATTGTCGTGGTAGGGAGATGGAGAAGGAAGTGCTGGGAAATGTTGACACCAATTTTGTAGCTGTGCCTCCGAGTGAGAAAATCAATGGGGAGGATCAGGTGGTACGTTTTTTTCCAGCGCTGAATATTTGATTACAGATAGTCCAACAGGCTGTCGTATTATTATCCTTGACTGACCTTTTGCGCGGTACAGAGCATCGCCAGTATTCCGAAATCGCTCCCCACGAGTAAGAAAAATAACATGCGCAAGTCGAAGAAGGCAAATGGTCTGAATGGTGGTGAGATCAATGGACATGCAGGCGAAAAGGCTCCGGCTGAACCAATCTCGTACGCTGAGGCTGTCAAGGAGGATCCGGCGGATGTCGAGAAGAGAGAGGATATAGAGGCCGAAAGGGGGCAGCAGGAGGAAACGGCTCCTTCAGCACCACAGGGCTCAGAAGAGGAGAACGGGGCCGCCCCAGGCACAGCTGCTGGAGACAAGACGTTCGCGGACGCGCTGAAAGAAGAACCCCCAGAGCACACATCTGGCGGATCGAAAGAAAAGAGCAAGTCCCAGGAGAACAGCTCTGGCAGACATACTTCGGACCGGTCTCCCAGCCAGGCTTCTACCTCTGTGGAATATCCCGACATCGGACCGGACGCAGATGACGGAGAGGCAGCGCAGCGGCAGAAAGACAAGGAGGCCGCACCTGAGGTCTTTGGCACACGGTGGGCGCCGCTCAAGGTACCCATTAAGCGACGGTTCCAGACGGCAGCCGTACTGATGCACTGCCTGTGCATTGGTCTGTCATTATCCATCTTCTTCGGCTTGTGTGCGAATCCTTTTCTGTGGCCTATCAGTAAGTTGACTGAAGAACATTCCCAGTAACTTTTCTCGTTATTTGATGTCATACTGAGAATATTTGGTTTGCGACGCAGTCATCATCTATCTCGTCTCGATGCTGTTCGCGACCGATGCCACCGACGGCAGGCTGAGGAAGCGCAGGGAATGGGTCCGCAGGCTTCCTCTCTGGACGTACTTTGCCGAGTATTTCCCCGCAAAGTTGCACAAGACGCATGATCTCCAGCCAACTCGCAAATATATCCTAGGCTACCATCCTCACGGGATCATCTCGCACGGCGCCTGGGCGGCGTTCGCGACGGACGCCCTAGGGTTCTCCGATAAGTTCCCTGGCATCACCAACAGCCTGTGCACGCTCGACTCCAACTTCAACCTGCCCCTGTACCGCGAGTACGTCTTCGCCATGGGCCTGTCTTCCGTCAGCAAGGAGTCTATCAAGAACCTCCTCACCCACGGCGGGCCTAACAACGAGGGCATGGGCCGTGCCGTCACCATCGTCGTCGGCGGGGCACGCGAGTCCCTCGAGGCTCAGCCCAACACCATGCGTCTCATCATCAACGAGCGCAAGGGCTTCATCAAGATCGCCCTGCAGACCGGCGCGGACCTGGTCCCTGTGCTCGCTTTTGGCGAGAACGACCTTTACGACCAGCTGGACCCGCACAAGCACCCCTGGCTGCACGGCCTGCAGCGCTACTTCCTCAAGGCCTGGAAGTTCACCGTCCCTCTGCTCCACGGCCGCGGCATCTTCAACTACGACGTCGGCCTGATGCCCTACCGGCGGCCCATGAACATCGTCGTTGGCAAGCCCATCCCCGTCATGCAACAGGCCAACCCGGACAACAGCGAGGTCAACCGCCTGCACGATCTCTATACCGAGGAGCTCCAGACGATCTGGGAGCGCTACAAGGATGAGTTTGCCAGCCATCGTAAGGAGGAGATGCAGTTCGTCGGTTAAGGTCACCGTCCACCCCCTCACCAGCCTCCTCTTCAAGGGACGGAGCACCCAGATGTCGCATGAGAGTGCTGCAATGAGGGAAAGGGGTTGGGTCAAACCTAGTCATTCTGGCTCGAAGCCAAGTTGAGGAGAGGAAAGAAGGAAGTTCGGAAAAGGGGGAAGAAAAAAAGAAAAAAACAGAAGGAAAGAAGGTCAGTGTGATCTTGAAGGGGGGGAGTAAGGGGTGCCTGAAGTGAGCAGGAAAGGCTCAAGCTTGTGCATTCTAGAAATAAGCGACAGCCAACTTGTGTTTCTACTACATTTGTATGCGGTTGGCCGGAGGTCTATTATTTGTTTATTTTCTTCTCTTTTCTTTCTCTCTTCATCCTTTTGGGAGGTTTATTCGCTGCGCATATTCATCAGCAGAGAGGATTGGCTTGATTGGCTTCCAACAGTAGACTGGCATATTTCTTGGGAGGGTGGGGGCTAGAGTGTTTTGAAATTACTATATAAGATGCTTGTTTAGACGCCAGGAAAACATTCTTTGCACCGTACTCAATAAGACAATGAATGTACCATGTTGTCTCCTCTATTGTGTCCAAAATTGGGCAGCCAGCCACAATCTAAGACCCGCCCCCCTCCCCTTCCTCCCAAGCAACCTCCACAATTCCAAAGACACACGTCCCGTAAATATGATTCAATCTAATTAGAAGTCTATCTTGCATGCGTTCTAATTGATTACTGACTACTTATATAGTGGCTTTGATCCGCTGGCGCCGCCACCACCACCCTCTCCAGTCTTACCCTTCTCCTCAAAGATCGTCTTGAAAATCTTGTCCAGCTTCGGCATCACGACCTCGCGGTTCTGATAAATCTGGTAATGGCACACGATCCGCCCGCTGTCGAGGTACAGGCCCTGCTCCTGGCCCAGCTCGGTTATCCGGTCGTCCGTACACCGGGCATCCTTGAGGTCGAGCCAGACCATGTTGGTGTGCACGGGGTAGACCACCTTCCCGCCCAGGTCGGTCCACATCTTCTGGACTGTCTGGGCCGCCTCGTGGCTCTTCTTGAGAAGGCCGCCCTCGCCGCTGGGGCCCGCGCCGAAGGTCTCGTCGACGGCGACGCGGGCTGCGGCTGAGATGACGCCGGCCTGGCGCAGGCCGCCGCCGAGGGACTTGCGCACCCACCTGGCGCGCTGGATGACGTCCTTGGCGCCGACCAGGATACTCCCGATCGGGGCGCCCAGGCCTTTGGAGAAGCACAGGGTCACCGTGTCGAAGCAGGCCGAAAAGTCCTGCAGGCTGCCCGCGCCCGAGGCGGCAGCCTCCCACAGCCGGGCGCCGTCGCAGTGCATCAGGACGCCGTGCTCACGCGCCCAGGCGGAGATGCGCTGCACCTCGGACAGGGGCATCAGCATGCCGTTGAGCGTGTTCTCGAGGGAGATGACGCGGGTGGGGCAGTAGTGCACGTTGTCGACGATGTGGGCGTGCTCCTGGATCTCCTCCAAGGTCAGGTAGACGCCATTCGAGGGGCGGACGCACTCGAGCTGCGCGCCAGAGAGGGATGCGACACTGTGCGTGTTGCTGTGCGTCAGTTTTGCTGCCCTGGTTGGTGGGATTCTCCTCCGTTCTGTCTCTCTCTCACACTTCACTCTGTCTCGGATGGGGACTTACCCTCCGGCTTCATATTTCACAATGTGAGAACGGTAGTCACACAGCACACCATGAGGCGGCTGGGCCAGCAGGGCCCTCAGGGCAACCTGGTTGCCCATTGTACCCGAGAGCATGAGGAGACCTGCCTCCTTGCCCGTGAGTGAGGCGCAGTGGGCCTCGAGGTCGAGGGTGGTCTGGTCCTCCTCGCGCACATCGTCCAGCAGGGTAGTGTTGATGATGGCATTCAGCATAGACTGCGTCGGCGTCGTCTGCGTATCACCTGAGGAAAAGGCATATCATATCAGCGGCTTTGGTCGTCGATCATTCTCGTTTGGAGGAGGGAGGAGAGCAAAGGGCAACTCACTCCTCAGGTCGACGCCAGCTGCGCCTTGGTAACCGATCCATGCATTCTCCTTTGCGGCTGGCATCTTGACACTATGGGCTCCGGCGGCAGATGAGGTGGCAGCAGACGAGGAGTAACAGGAGAGCGAAGTGGCAGGCCAATATATCCTCTGCGACAAGGCATGATGAGGCCCAGCGACCTTTGTGATCTCCCTGCAGAGATAGCGTGCCGTTGTCGGACCAGGCATCGGCATGCAGCGGGATAAAGAAACCATGACCGACACTCGTCCAGATTCTGACCCCTTTCGCAGACCTTGGATGTCACCCGCCGTGGTACTCAAACGTAACAATTTTCCAATCGTCTCGGGAGAGGAGACGAAGGATCTTGCTTGGCCTCTGGAATCAACCACCACCACACGCACGTACTGGTCTCAGGGTTAGGACATTCATTCTCTTGCTGTGAGTGCTTTGTCATCGTTAGGAAGCCAACCTCACAAACAACGCACGTCCATGGCGAGATGTCTGACTTTCGTTCGCTTAGGAACGGATCTTTGTCTCTATTAAGACCAAAAGGACACGAGCCAGACACGTCAGAGTGATCAGCCTGCCTGTCCTAGGTCCTCCCCATCATCAATGCAGCCGGTTGCGCCTCCTGTCATCCGCGCCCTATCTCTTCTTCCCTTTTGTGAATACAAGACCCGGTCCGAGCGTCAATACTATACAGCGGGCGCATTTCAACTCTCAAAATTCCGTGGTGTATGCCTGGCCGGTCTCGTGGGCGAATCGCAGCAGGAGGCGATCCGACCGGGCCGGGTGGCCGGAAGCTTGCCTCGAGTTCGACACCTGCTCAGCCGTATACGCACAGCACACCAATATGCTTATCGAGAGAATACGCCTGTCCAGAGCATCGTGTGCTCGCAAGTCGAGGCGCTGTTGTATAATGATACAGTGCCGGAGCAGGTATCATCTCGTGGCCACTGTGGATCGATGGCAACGTCACGTCACGATGGTTGAGAGCTTCAGGATCCGAACCGGATCTCTGGGCAAGTCCAAAGCCAAACCTGAAATGTATGTGTCCGTGCTGTAAATATTAAGACCTTTACTGGTCCAGGGACCTGAAAAGTTGAGACTTGTTCAGAATTATTTGCAAGTCGACCACGCCTGTGGTGCTTCCGCTGCAGGGGCAGACATTTGAACACTGAGTTCAGTGGAACGGTCCGTTGGTCGTTGACTTGCTCCTTCCTCAGATGGTAAATCTAGTGTGACGCATCAAAGAGTATCAATGTCATAAGGAAAGACCCAGTGCTCTCTTTCCGCTTCCCTTACAAGGGAAGGAAGCCACTAAGACGGTGTCATGCATGTCGTCGAGGCCTCATTCCAAAGCTGGAACTCTACGGCTCCCTCTGGTGAGACCAGGTCAGCAAGGCAGGCTCGGTGATGCAGTTAACAACATCTCACTGGCTGCCATTTCGTCATCCATCAATCATTTTGTTGATACTGTCCGAATGAGCAAGTCGCTCGAACCTCGGTCTCACTTGGCTATTCCCTTCTGTCACCTTCCAGTCATTTGATTCTCCTCTGAGCTACTGCAAATCAATGCTAGACCGACTACTAGGTTTTCTGGAGTCATGGGAATGAGACTGCGTCCCCGAGTCCTCGAGGTCAGCCGGGCAGCCAAGCTATTGACTGTACCCTTGACACTCCTCTTCCTTCTCCTGCTCCTTGGTCACCGACGCCACAGCAGGCCCACTCACAAGATGTCCATATCCGCTTCTTCAGTAGCCACAGAACTCGCCGCTGCAATCTCCTCAACGAAACGGCTGTGCTCTACCGACATCTCGCAGCCTCAATTCGCCACGGCGGTGTGTCGAGAGCACGGCTTGGAGGTCTTTGACAGGAAGCCAGTGCCGAAGCCGGGGCTGGGCAGCGGCAAGCGGAAGATATACGATTTGTTTATCGTGAACAACGAATTCGACTGGCTGGAAATCCACCTCAATACCACTTACGACTTCGTGGATTACTTCGTGGTCGCCGAGAGCCCCAGGACAGCAACGGGCCTGGACAAGTCTTTGCTTGTGAGGGACAGCTGGGACAAGCTTAAGCCCTATCACGACAAGATCATCTACCATAAGCTCGAGGACCCGCCGGTCTTCGACCCGAGACTGTCGTTGGGGGAGGACCTCGAGGGCGTCCAGCGCGACGCCTTGTTCACACGGGTCTTTCCCCGCCTCACCGGCGCCCAGGCACCGACAGAAGGCGACATCCTGCTCGCGTCGGACGTCGACGAGATCGTGCGCCCGGAGGCGCTCATTGTCCTGCGTGCTTGCACGGTACCCCAGCGCCTAACGCTGCGGTGCGCGTCCTACTTCTATAGCTTTCAGTTTCGACACCGCGATGTCCACTGGCCCCACCCGCAGGCAACTACGTTTCAAGGATTCGACGGCACGATCTTGCCCCGCGATCTACGATCCGGTGAGGGTACTAGGTGGAGATTCCTAGCCTCCCTGCGGCGGTCGCCTGTGGAGGGAGACCTGTGGAATGCCGGGTGGCACTGCTCGTCATGCTTCTCAACGGTGGATGCGCTGCTCAGGGACATGGACTCGTTGACACATATGCGCCTGGATGACCCTGAGTACCGCGACCGGGAAAGGATCATCGATCGGGTGAGAAAAGGCCAGGACCTTTGGGATCGCAGGGAAAAGGTCTTTGATAGGATTGAGAACAACACAGACGTGCCGGCGTCGTTGTTGGGCGCTGACAGGCGGCGTTGGCGGTATTTAGTAGATAGAAATGGGGAGTCGGCTGGATTTATGGATTTCCCCTGATGGTGATGGATACATATACCCATTCTGATTGATATGGTCTGGTATCAAGGCCATTGTCTTCTTCTTCATTATTCTTTTTCTTCCTTTTAATTCATCAATTCTACTTGGACTTGTGGCTTCTTACAATGGAGAACAAAACAGGTCACCAGGCATGATACAAGTCATCTATTACTCGTGAGGTTGATAATGAGAGTCAGCGTGCAGAAGACGATGAGAAAGCACCAGAATAGCGCACGAGACAGAAGACACACTGTGCACCTGCCGGGAAACATCTAGCGATTCTGACAAGCTCTTCATAGAGTATACCTTTTTCATAAACACGGTAACACACTCTCTTCCTCCCGCTCCTCCTCCATGAAGCAGTATTCTTGACAAACGACTGACTGAAGCTCTGGAAATTTCAAGTCCCCCTTCTCAAAACAATCTGCATCCTTCTTCCTCGCACCCTGCTTTATCAACCTCAAGTTCTCCTCAGAATACCCCAGGCTCGCTCCTTTAGCAATCAGCGAGCAGATAGACACCGGCATCCTTCTCCTTCTCCGCCAGGAAGCTCACGCTTGCATCACGAGAGTCGGTGCCGGGGATCTCGAACAGAAATTCGAGGCTGTTGCTGGACAAAGTTGGACACGCTTCCGAGTTGATAGTGATGCCGTACTCCCCAGGGTTGACAGCGACAGTGCTAAAGTATGTCAACTTGGCATTGACTGCGCTCACGCCCTTGTCCTGGTCCTGCTCACGATCCGCCTTGACAGATAGCAAATTTCCGCCAATCCTCAACGCACCCATCATGCTGGCCCACGTAGCGAAGGGGCCGTCATTGGGGGTTCCGATCTTGGCACCCTCGGGCTGCGTCATGGATGCATAGGCGCTGGCGTTGTAGCTGGCGGCGTAGACGTCGAGGCTGAGGGAAGACGTCGCCGAGCTTCCCTCGCGCGACGAAACGCCAACGCTCATGTTGCCACGGGAGACATCCGGCCATGACACCATCAGCTGGCAGTCCCAAGAGCTGGGCTTGATGGCGTCGAAGACCACGTACTGCTGGATGCGGTTGTACTTGGTTCCGTCGGACATGGAGACGGACTGGGCAACGTGGAAAGCCTTTGTGGTGCCGGCCGTGTTTTCTTGCATGACATCCGGGACAGCCTCAAGGAGCTGCCTCAGCACGGTGGGATAGTACGTTGTACAGGTGGAGGGCGCCGTGTGTGTGGGCGCGACAATTTTGGTTGTTGTGGCCGCGGTGAGGGATGAAATGACGCTGGCTAAGTCTGTGTTGCTGTCTGCTCTGGCCTTCAGCACCTCATTGGGAGTTGGAGCGGCATTGGCAAGGCCCAAGAACAGTAGGTTGAGGATGATGAGTAGAGCGTTACAATGCATCTTGAGTGATGGTAGAGAATGATGCTGTAGTTACTCGAAGGGGTTGTGCCGGTTTGCGTCCTGTCGAGAATTGAATGATGATGAGGATGAGGATGATGAATTCAGTGCCGTCTCTCTGAGCTGTGCAGTTGATGTTGATGATGTTGTTTTGTTGAGAAGACTGACCTCCAGGAGAAGCACCACCTGCGCCCTTTTCTACTTGCACAAGAGCTCATGTTGATAGCCACTTCCCTTCAAGGGCAAGAACGACTTGACCTTTTGAACGGAATGGCCAGTCTGCATCTAATGTGCCTTCCCGATAGACATTGTCACCCTGCAGGAGTAGATGAAGGTAGTTGAGACCCGACTCTTTGGAAGAGGTCTGAGACATACCTGCCAGGGACGTGAGCTGCCGAAGGTGGACTTTTTTGAGCTGAGGAAATCACGATATGCCTCCTCAATAGCATATGAAACCATTTGGTATGATGACACCATCATCAGACTTTGCAACCAAGAAAACCTACCGATGGCTGCTGGAGGTGGTGCTTCGCCAATCTGGAGTGTCACCTAGCCCCATTACACTTGCAGGCTACTGTGACTTTCCAAAGGTAAGCCTGCTTGCCTTGCACGGTCTAACAATGAATGGTCTTGTATGTTGGACCAGATATGCGCATTCCCATCCTTGGGATGCAAAAATACGGTCACCACGTTGCCTTTAGCAACGATCTGTAGCGAAACTGAGTTTCACTCATACGGACCTCTGTGCTCGCAGATATGGAAGCCCATTGGCCGCATGACCTAGGGAGTGTCCCACCATAACACAGATCGTCAAAGAGACAAAGGGGAGAAGAGAAACCCTCACATGGTTTCGTGAGACTGGTGTTGAAATGTCTTGAACTTCAAGAACAGGGCAGGGCAAAGCACCGCTGTCTGCCGTCGGAGATCGCCGGACATCATCAAAGTTGAAGATGCACACATGCTAACACCATGTTTGCCCATAGTCATGAAGAGTATGAGATGACAGACCAGGGGGAAAATGGGAGGGTCACGAACTGTTACCAGTGCAGTTGCACGTCTAAGTCAACACCAGTGTTCAACGAGAGAAGAGGGGGCTGCAACACCTTGAACAATGTGTAATCCGAAGCTGGGGGCCATCCGTGAAACCTTCCAGATGATCTGAGAGGAAGGGTTACATCCATGGCATGGCGAATCTGTACAATACACGAGAGAAAAGAGGAGGGGCGGCTCAGTGGAAAAGCCCGGCCCCACCCGGGTCCAGGGCCTTGCTCCTGAACCCTGTCTCTTTCCTCGCCCCCCCCCCCCCTTTCCTAGCTAATCCAGGCTGTTGCTTCCGTCCATCGATTTGCCGGCAAAATGGCCTTCGAATAACTGCGTCCCCCTGCAAAGGCGCTGGAGAAAGAGGAGGAGGGGGACAAGCGGGGTTCCGCTGTAGTACTGTAGGTGTGCTACCGCAGTAGATGGGGCCTTCCAGAAGCGTTGCACAGAGTTGTGATTTGCTCGATACAGGGAAGATGGAGGAAGTCGTGCAACGCTGCAGGGTCCGTTGGTGCTTGCTGCACTCGATGCTGATTAGACGAGAGGGGAGTACCACGGCTGGCCGGTTTCTCCTCTTCTTGTGGTGCTGTGCTGTGCTGGCCATCCTGTTGTCCGTCCATCCCTCCCACACTTGAGTAATGTCTCGTCTCGTGCGAGTTTTCGCCCGCGTTTGTGGTCCCGGGTTGGTCTGGCCCTGTACTTTAGCTCCGCGGCATGCCGTGGCGTATCTGAATGCGGGGAGGAGCGGACCTTGGGGACGGACTTGCCACAACAGCTTGCTTCCTCGGATTGATCAAATGGACGGAACCGCCTACTTTGCTTATATGACCATTCTATAATCCTTATCGACGACGACGACGACGGTCTATCCTCATCACGCGCCCTGTCTGTTAGTGTCTGTGTGTCTGTTTTGTCTGTCTCTTCCATTCCCAACTGAACTCATCTCTCTCAGTCCTCCTATCGTCGAGGACAGACAACCTACCCGTTGCCGGTTGTGAGTAGATAGGTCAATTGTGCTGGTATGTCAATTTCCCTCTCATACATATATGTCACTTGCTAACGACCTCAGCTTGTCACAGTCAGATCCAGGATATATACATTTACGTATATATAAGCCGCAGACTCGGCAATTTATCGCAGGCTTTACTACTATCCTTGCCAACATCCACGCCCAACTAAACGAGCGACATCATGGGTTCTCTAGACAAGTCTCAGGACGAATTCATCGTCCTGGTGACCGGCTTTGGTGTACGTTCAGAACCTCTCCCCCCCCCCCCCCCTCTCTCTCTCACTCTCTCTCACACACACACACACATCTACAGTGCCCTCCACTAACCCTCAGCCTTCTATTTAGCCCTTTAAGAACGACTTTCCACGCAACCCGAGCTGGGATATCGCTTCCTCGCTCCCCTCTTTCCTCCCTATCCTGAACGCTAAGAGCCCTCACTCTGTTCGCGACGCCGCCTCCGACCTCCCGCCTGTGCGCATCGTGGTCTACCCGGAGCCGGTGCGCGTCACGTACAGCGCCGTTCGGGCATTGATCCCCAGGCTCTGGAGGCCCGAGTTCACCGGTGTGCCGCGCATCGACTTCGTCTTGCACATAGGTATGGCCTCCATCAGGCCCCAGTACGTCCTGGAGTCCCTAGGCCACAGGGATGGCTACAGGCTGGCGGACCTCGACAACAGGCTCCCCATACAGGACCCCGCCCGGGACGACTGGCCGTGGCAGGGGATTCCGAGCCAGCTTGTCACGGAGCTGGATGTGGATGGTGTGATGGACAGGTGGGAGAAGCATCTGCCGGTGAGTCGCTGGTGGCCACGCGCACACGAGGGAGACAGGCGCAAAAGATCAATGAGAATGAGTGAGGTTGCTGACCTGACATGACGCTGCAGAACAACGAGATCCCGCTCAAGGTGTCCACTAATGCGGGCCGTTTTCTGTGCGATTACATTTACTTCAACAGTCTCGCACAGTGTTTCAAGAACAGCGAGCGGAGAAGAGTCGCGTTTCTGCATGTGCCCGCCGCGAAACCTGACCCGGCTCCCGAGTATGAAGAGCATATTGCGACGGGGAGGGAGATTGCGATACAGCTCATCAGGTCGATTGTGGAGAGCGAGCTGGCCAGAGCCTAAACCCCCCTAAGTTGACGGATTGGAGACGGAGTGCCTGATTATACAATCGCCTTCTGGCTGTATGATCTTATGTCCTTGGCAATGAGGCGGTCTTGGCATAGCATGATTAACTAGGAGATTGAAATAGTGGAGGAGCATTCGGAAAGCAGGCATGTTTTAGCATTCGGTACCAGGTCTTATATCCCTTCTAGAACTCAAGCGTCCCTTGGTGGATTATTTTGATTCCACTTGTTGCGTTGAGCGGCCACAATGTAGCCACCCCAACAAGACGGACTCATGATATTGCAATGCCTAGAACCCCAGAAGAGTGTGATCACTTGAAGTGATTGGTGCATGGGTCAGATGGGCGAGGCTATATCGCCCAGGGGGGCCGATCCAAAAAGCGCCAGCCAAACTTACCAACGGGAGGTCTGGTCTGATGGTCCATTTCCTGTCAAAGCATCGCCCTGCTTCGAAAATCCCCCCCCAAAAAAAAAACTCTTCTGCTCCCGCTCGCCGCACAAGTGTCGTGCGGGCTCAGCCACAACAACACACAACTGATCAAGACGCCGGCTGTGACCAGACACGTACGTCTCAATCGACCTCGCCCCCTAGCCCCTCGCCCCTCAGAATAACCACGTAGGCAACCGTTCCAAAAGATCAAAAACAACGCACGCGAATTATTCAGACGAAAGTTCAGTGTCGGAAGACTTTCTCATCATGGTATGGACCATATAGGCGCCTGGGGGGGGGGGTGGGGGGGAGGACCTTACGTGCAACCCCAGCGTCGACCACGCATCGAGCACTCGCCGATCACATGCCGCCACCCACGGCCTCAGAAGAATTCTTTGATGCGACTAAAGTCAGCCATCTGCTGACGCGTGGGCGACCGCAAGTAGATGGACTCGAGGCTCTCCTGACCCGGGATGCGTTGCAGAACGAAGCAGACAAACAGACCGCCCTTGGCATTCTTCTGCGGCGCCAGGCGCCGGGAGACGACGTACAGGCCGTCGTAGCGGATGCCCACGGAGGGGGCAACAGATATAGCGCCCCTCGAGCTGCGCAGGACACGGACGGGGCGGCCTGAGTTCAGGGACGTCTGGAGAGCCTGGGCGGAGCCTTTGGGGAGCTCGTCGGGGTCGGTGTTGTCCTGGCTGCCAGGACCGGAGTAGATGATGGTGTCACCGCGACTAGAAATATCGGATGAGAATCGGTAAGAGTTTCGGATGGATTAATAATAAAGGGGAATTACTTACTCCTCGTCGACGTTCTTGTAGAGGCCAGAGACCACCACGCTGTAGGCACCCGTGTGAATGTTGCCTGTGATGCCACTGATGCGGGAGCCGTGGGCGCCGTGGAAAAGGGCTACCAGCTGGTTGGGGAACCAGTCGCCAGGGGTTAGGCCGTTGTGGCCAAAGACTTTGGCCGAGCGTTTCTCGCGGAGGTAACGTCGGTCGAGCTGCGTGGTGGCATTTTTGCCGCCGTGCTTGGGAACCACACCGTGCATGATACCATTCACGCCCCAAATGGGATGGTTGGCGGGAGGTTGGCGGATGGACGCTATGGTAGGATTGGCATTGGCAGCATGTGCGGCTACCATGTTTTGAGAGTTGGACAGAACTTCGTCGTCACCGCCTTCCTCGGGGTCAACGTCGTCACTATCGACGTCGTCAGGGCCACGCTGGCCCCAGTTCTGAGCCTCATATTCCTCATAGAGAGCCTTGGCGCGTCGCTTCAAGGGCTCGGGGAAATGGAAGTCCTCTCTGTCGTAAATCATCTTCAGCAGAACGTCGATCTGAGCCTCGGTCTTATACCGCGGAGAGATCTCAAAATCGTGCTCCAAAAATGACAGAAGACGCTCGGTTCGTTGAATCCATACGTCGGTCTGGATATTGGATTCGAGGATTCTATTCAGTCTCCGGCTTTTCTGGGCGTAACGTTGGACAGCGTCCTGCCGCTCATTTTTGATCCAGTTCTTGCGCATTTCGAAGATCCTCGAGACATTGGGAATGACAATATCACCTCCAGTGTTCTCAACAGCGTTCCCATTGGAGGAGGATGGGACTGCGGATGAAGACATCTTGAAAATTGGCCAGGTAGCCTGATCAGAGAACCTGTATGTTTACTGCATACCTAAGCTTAGTTAGCTAAATAGATTTGCTTTGAGTATCGCGCGACCCTTGAGAGTGATACTCACAGCTTGTGTAAATGTCTGGCGATTCCTTGAAATTGTTATGACCCGGAATGTTTGACCCAAGGTTGAGCCTTGGTAGAGGCTGCTTACTTCCTGCGAGTCAAAGACGTAGCTGCAACCCTTGTATTGGTCGACTTGCATCAGTCTTGTCTTTGGACAAGTGCAGGGTGAGAGATACACTTGGTATGGGGCTGAGCAGAGCAGTCTGCTACTGCCCACTTTCTGAGGGCGTAATGTGTAGCTAAAACTTTGTGTTAGAAGAATATGTAGATTTCGGAAATGGGTATGTATCTTTTCGATGGATTTGTGTATCCTGTGATACAACCATTGCTGTAGGGCTGAGTGTTGCTGGATCACTGCTCACGTGTTGAGGGTGTGGTGCGTGGCTGTAGCCTATTGTTAGAAAAAAATGCATCGGTACAAGGGAATCTCCTTGAAGACATACCTTAGAATGTAAGTTGCGCAGTCAAACTAGGCCTGCTCGTATCAAGGTGTGAATTTCCTGCAGTCGCGACACGTAGTTTCACTGTGAAGTTATGACAAACACGGCTGGGTATGGTTGCATCAGGGTGCAGCTGCATCGAGGGGGGATGATGTTATTGTTTTCGACAGCCCTTGGATGAGATGGCAGTCGAGGATGATGGTTATTTAGTGTGAAAACAGGATATGTGCGCGATGATGAGTAGGGAAAAATCATGTGCACGGGTGGGTGGAATGTTCTAGCAAGAGGGCCGGTTGTTTTGGTGTGCGAGAACCGTTCCCGGTCGATGCGGGATGTGGTGTGCCTGTAGCCTGTAGCGGATAAGGTTTTGGTCAGTAGCCTTTGGCTGATGGATGGGGTGAGCTCAGCAGTCCACTGCCACAAACAGCAGGTGCTGCCCTCGGGTTTTCAAGTAGATGAGAAGGAAGGCCAACAATGTAGATGAGGAGGAGGACTCTGGAGAGGTTGTTTAAAAAAAAAAAAAAATTGAGGATGAGAGCTTTCACATGCTCTGGGGTTCAATAGCGTTGGATGGAGTGCTGATAGCTTGAATGCGGGGGTAGTTTGGGCAGAGAAGGAGGAGGACGGGGGTTGTGGTTTTCCAAAAGAGAAAGAACACAACTCCCAATCTCTAGTGTAGGAAGAAGTTGGTTTTGATCTTCTGTAATGCAGCTTCCTGAAGCTAGCAGCTTGTACACCTTAAAGAGGAACTGATAGCAAGACTCGAGGGGAGGAGGCTGGTAAGCTTTGTTGAAACAAAAGCCAGCTCATCCTCAGCAGGCAGAATACTAATATTGATGGCTCAACTGGTCTGCTGAGCATTTTTTGGTAACGAGGTCTGGTCTGTTATTACATAGGATCGTCCAGTAAAAAATAATGGTGGTGTAGGACAGAGCATAGAAAGCAAGCAGATAGGGAGGCTTTGGGAAGCTGTTGTTCGAAGCTGATATCATACAGCTCACCCAACAAGACACATTGCAAACCCTGGCAGCATTCAAGATGATGAGTACCATGCTTTCGTGGTTGTTTGTAAGAAATCTCAAAATTGTTGTTTCATTACCAGGAAGTGGTTAATACAACATAAAAGAATCTACATATTCAATTCTCGGAAACACTCCTATATCGAAAGATCGCGGGTAATCTTATCAAGCTAATACTTCCTCGACACTGCGTCATCCATGCGTACGTGATCTTTGCGTTGGTACATGTTGGGCTGGTACATGTAATCAGTAATCTGCTGAGTAACTTCTGGTTAACCTTCCCAGCAGATAATCACATAGTTTGGAAAGCATATAAATGATTGGCATGGAGGGTGTCAGCCTTATGTATATACAATCGAGCTTATTTCCCCCGATATCTACGCCTCGCTATCTTCTGTTCCTATCCTGTATTGCCTGTGTTATGCCCGTATAGATGCACCCAGATACAAGGGAAATTTGGTAGAACATATGTTCGCGACACAAGTTTGGTCGCTCAGAAAATTCATCTCTCATATCCACAAATCTCCACCACTTGCCCAGGTGAAGAAAAAAAAAAAAATTCTATCTCAAATCACCGCCAGCCAAGTCAACACCAATTTCAATTACCGCTGGTAAGCAGGTAACGGCTCCGTGGGCGGGACAGGAGGCCGCGAAGACGAGCCCGCAGCATCATTGTACGTGAACTGCGGGCCGTACTCGTCCTCCTCTGTGAGTGTCGGGGCAGATGGCTCATCTCCGTCGTCAACGGCTGCAGACAGCGGCGCACTGGGTCCCGCTGCCGTGCTGCTCCCCACGCCTGCATCGTAATCTCTCGGGAACTCAGGTGGCGCGCTCGCTTCAGCTAATAACCTCTGCCTCTCTAGCTCCTGTTTGTCGTCCATCGGGGTCGCACCTGGGGTGAGAGAGTCTGCCGCAAGGTCGTCGAGTGTCGGCGCGGAGGGCCCAGCGGCGTCACCATGCAGCGGCGGCAGGGAAGATGCGGCTAGAGTGGACGGGCCAGCACCGTCGGCATCGACTGGAAGAGCAGGGCCAGCGGTCGGTGTGGGTGGCTGCTGGTGCGGCTGGCTTGGGAGAAGCCTCTGCTCGGCCCGACGTATCCTCTCCTTTTCTGAAAGGGCACTTTCGTCTGGTAATTCTGGAGGAGGTATATAGTGCGGTGCGGACGGTTGTGGCGGTTCCCGATGTCCACCAGTCCAGTAAGGGTACTGCGTGACGGGTTCAGGCGGATATGGCGGATATTCGTGGTGATATACGTCTTCGGCGCCGTGATTTTCGTCTTCCTGGCCCCCTGCCCACTGTCCGTTTTCTGCATAGGCCCCGCTATCGTAATATTTTGTATGTGTCGTTGGTGCTGGTCCCACTGCCTTACCTCGCCTGCTGCTGTCTGTCGTTCCAACGACAACCTCAAACGAGTCAAAAATGACGCCCTTTTCGCGCTTCACAGTATCCGTGTTGACTAGGCTGCCATCGAAGGATGCAACACCCGCGTTCAGGTCTCTTGTTGATGCCGAGAGTCCACCCCCTGCGCCGACCCTCGTATGCTGTCCGATCTGTATCGCGTTCGACAACTTGCCACCGAGATCCACAATCACCTCTAATCGATACTTGAAACTAATCATCTCCCCTGGGACGCCTTTGATCGAAGGAAAAGCATTCTCGGGCACCCGAACGGACGTGTTGATGCTTGTGGTGAAAGTACCCGGATCCACGATCAATGGGCTAAACGACTGAGACAGATCTTTCCGAAACACACTGCACGACCCAGCTGATGTCAGTGAGAGACCACCCAGCCCCGTCTTTGACTTGGGATAGTATTCCTCCTTTTCTAACTTGCGCATCTCCTCTTTGGACAAATGCTTGAAAAGCGACGCGGGCGGCGCTGAGTCCACTCGCCCTTGCCGATATAAGGTGACAATGACGCCGTGCATGCTCCTGATGGGTTTCGTATGCTGGATATTGACCCTGATGGGCAGTGTGTCGCCCGGCAAACAACCTCCCTTCATGAGCTCGATGGTCGCCACGATCGTCTTCTCACCAGACGCGGCCTTCCTGCCCCCGTTCGCCGGAACGGTGCCCAAGCTGGCCACCTGGCTCAGCTCTGCCCCTCTGGAACCGTTGCTCACGGCACTGTCCCCGCTGACCTCGCTCCTCAGGTCGCTGTGTACCGGACTTCTGGGATTCTGTTGAACATCCTGACTTGCTTCCTCCGCCCCATTAGACCCGTCTGTTGATGATTCTACCGCACGCGTGGAGTCGAGATCCGAAGAGGTCTCGGCGGGGCCATTTTCGTACCCGGGGTTATTCTGTTGTCTTTCGGACACTGTAGAAGCGGTGGGTTTCTTCCTCTTGGCCTTCTTCGAGATGGGTTCGAGGTAGATGGTTCGCGGCTGAGGAGGAAGGAGAGGGCCCACGTCCACCTGTTGCACCAGGTCCACCTTTCGCTCACAGGTTGCAGTCGGACTCATAGCATTAGGCCTGGTGAGGGTAGCTGTGATGTTGTACGCTATCGTCCCTCGCTCGAACTACATACCAAGGTTATATCACGGTCAGCCCTGGACGAGCACTCACCTGCAGTTGCACAGACAGGATCGGGGATATGTTACACGAGGCAAGAAAGCAGGCTCGCCTACCTCTATGCTGCTAGGCAGCCCGTGGTCCGGAAAGACCAGCTCGAATCCAAACTCGTACTTTCCAGCGGGTAATGATCCATCTGCGCAGAGGACCTGTTCGTCCTGGAATAGTGAGGCATAGCCATTGCCGAGGAATCTGAACTGGGAAACGCCATCTGAGGCGAGATCGACGTTGCTGACGGGCTCGTTGGCAGCATTCGCGTTTTTGTAGACACGAACGGAGCCGCGCAGAGCGACGGTGAGATGAGTGACGTCGATGGCCTTGACGACAGCCAGGATAACGGCGCCCCTCACAGCATCGCCTGCACTATATTTCCGATGGGGTTCGGCGGGTCGGATGTAAAATTCGACAATGTTGCGCGTGTTTCTCGACCGGATGGGGAGGGCAAATCGGGAGAAGAACGATCGAGAGGATGGCTGGTCCTCGAGAGCGATCCGGGGGTCACCGTTGCCAGGGAGGGGGACCATCTGGCCAGCGATGTTGTTGCACACGGGGAGCCTCGCAACGAGTCAGCCTCGTCGTCCCCGCTGCCGTATTTTTTTTTCTTTTTCGAAATGCGTCTTGGTAGCTGTCCACACGGCGACCTGGGTGGTCTCGGATACCGGCCTGGGTTTGTTGTCGTCGATGAGTGTTTCTCGTGCCGAATTCCGAGACTCCCTCGAGGATGTGGGTGGCCTCCGGCTGTGACGGCAACTTATTTTGTCTGTCTTCTGAGGCAGATCGTAAAAGCTCTCACCAGAGAGAACCGAATGGGCAGCACCACCTTTGCCCACCACCCCTCCACAGGCTTCTTGGCTGCGTCCACAGCCACCCTAGGGAGACGCGACCAGGACCCAAACCAAGACCACGTCTGCGCCAGGAGCCAGGCGAGGAGGCTCCCAGATGGAGGCGCAACAGCAGATGGGCGTCGCCTTGAGAAGAGCAGCCCGCCGAGCCGGTCACTTCCTAACACCTCGGGCTCGGGGGCCGTGCTGGACGAGAAGACGGGGGTCGCTAGTAGATATCTGTCTCTCGAGTCCTGACGAGGAGGACGACTGACGGTCGGTGATCGGGAATGGAGATGGTTTGCGCGATTGCATGTGCCAAGGACAAGTTGGGGGGGAGGGGGGGGGGAGGTGGCTTGGCTTGCCAAGAAGGGATCAGAAAGACGACGGGAAGAGACGTCGCGGGTTGAGGTAGCAGCAGGGAGATAGAGAATGAATCAGGAAGCGTGGCGTATTAAGGTGGGTGTGAAACGCGCGGGTCGTCTCTTAGGGGAGTAAAGTAGTATGGCTGGCTTGCATATGAGAAGGGATAGAGGGGAGGAGGGGTCGAAACTGGGAGCGATGATGGAATGAAACACGCAATCTTGCGAGAAGAGATTAGGCCTGACCAGAGACACTAAAAAAATTGCTGTAGTATAGTAATATGAAGTTTGGCATTAGAATGATATCTTAATCCCAGACCCAGAGGTTAAGAGATGCTGTAGTGCAGAAAAGCAAGGCAAGAAGGCAGACAAGAGGCAAGAAAATAGGCTCGGGCAGACGGAGAGGTAAACCGTTGAGGAGACTTTCTTTAGGCTGGTGGCGGGCTGCTTGAACCCGTTCATAGTTAGTTACTCAGTAGCCATGTGCTCAGACATGACTGTGGTGCTGCAAGTACACACTGCTACCACGGGCTGCCGAGGAGCGCGCCTTCCCCAGAAGGATAAACTTGGCCTTAGTGTGTGGGGTATGTTTCGACACCCTTTGTGCCTTCTTATCTATGGCCCTTTTCCGTTGCCCTTTCCTGTTCACTCTCTCCAAGTTGAATTCTCATTATCTCGACACCCAACCCTCAGGACAAGATGCCTGTGTTATCAAGAGTTCCATTTCTCTCAGGCTTCTTGTATGATGATGATTCCACACCCACAAACCTCGTCACTCCAAGGGATGGTGTCATATTCTCGCTCCCCCTTCACGAGTAAGCCTAATAAATTTAGCTTCCTCCTCTCTCACCTGTGCTGGCTGGCAGGCTGACATAAGTATCACAAAGTGTGACGGGCCCCGATTTTTCCAGCCTCGTCTACAGTGGTGAGCACCTGGTTGCTAGCCTCGCTCAAAAAGACCAGTCCCCCCCATTCCCGTAGGGCTGGGGCCACTAGACGGTTGCAGCCTTGGCAAATTGCTATTTTTGTCCGTCGCGGCTCCTGACACCGTCGACGCCCACGTGTTTCCAGAGCCTTGGTATAGATTGGGTTTCACCGGCCTGGATCTCTTCACCAGCTCGGTGGCTAGAAGTGTGGTAGCTGACAGTACAGGCCCACACACAGACACATTATGGCCACCCGTCTGGGGAGTAATGCCCCACCAGATCTGCGCGGTTCACATCAGCTGATGTTTGATATCTGTATCAGCGTCTGGCTTGCTAACACTTGTTTCTGGGCCAACACAGTTGCAGGCATGTGTCACATCGACGGAATCCTGGATCTTGAAGAATATTCCTAGTGGCTGATCTTCTGACTGCTGGGGATCAATTTGGTAGTAAGGAAGGTGGGGGAAGGCGGGTTGTCATGGACGAACCATAGACTTGTAGGCGCATCCCGGAGGGCAGGCCTCGCTGTGAGAGCGCTGCTGCGGTTGCTTGTCTCTTGCGATACCATCATGCAAGGCTATGAGTGGACTGAGGGTTTGCCCTTCACCTATTTGCGAGATGCATTTTGACCCGCGGGGCTCTGGACTGTTACGGTGCGGCCGCCTAAAGTTCCTTAGTATTCTTGGGCCGTTCACTACTTGACGATGGCGGATGACGATGACGATCTGGGTGGATTTTATCTTGGACTTTCGATGAGAGGATTGGCAAGTGCCTCACCCCATGGCTCTTCTTTGTCCCTCTCGTACAGTCACCTCGTCTCAACGTGACTGACCAGCGGACAGACCAAGATGCTTCTGAATAGAGGACCGGTCAAGGTCAGTAGCATCTGCCATGGGAGGACAGAAGCATTCAATTCTCGTCGCCGTACTTTATTAAGCCGCGAATCTTGAACTAGCTGAGCCGGTCCTCTACACACCCTATTCCACTCAAAACAACAAATTCAGAGGAGTGTAAACCGTTAGACAGGCGACAGCAGACAGACATACATCCAAACACACGCTAATCTACTGCCGAGAGACCACGGAAGGAACAAGAAACCTACCGTGAACACTTCGACCCCCGAGGACAGCAGCCCACGATGTGTTTTGTCTATTACAAGGTCCACTTCTGCACCTATTGCCGGATGCAGATCTTCGAAGAGCCCAATCCCGACCGTTACGTGGCCTGCGCCAGCGCTCAAGCCACCGGCTCGGGCAAGCTCGGGGACTGTGCCGAGCAGGACATCCAGCGCATCAATATCAGGCTCTACGACGCCTGCTGCGTGACTTGTAACGCGGAAGAGCTTGGGGACCAGGACCACCACGAGGAGGGCGGAGGCGGGGGGAGTGAGGTAAGTACTTATAGTCAGGCAAGGAGGAGGAGGAGAAGGAGGAGAAGGGGGTGGGGGGACTAAGGCCTAGAGATATTTTCAAGCTGACAAGTACGAAGCGCAGGGGAAAAGGTAAGAAGAAAGACAAGGGGGGCAAGAAACACAAGCGAAAGGGCGGCAGTGCGTGCCTTGTTTCGTGATGCTCTGCGGAGATGCCGGAAATGGATATGTTGGTAAGTCGATGAACGGCACAGTCCATGGAATTGCCTTGTGTGGGCCAGCGGCGACAATAATGGTGATCAACACCATCACCAGCATCTCCATACCCGGGGGGGTAGGCACAAAGTAAAACCTTAGTAAAGAAAATTAGCCAGCGGTAGGCTGAAGTGGTAAGATCAAGTAAGCACAGTGCCAGATATCCTCAAGGAAGAGTCTATTACTGTTTGTCAAAATTCCCTTCATCGCGTGCACGGAAGAGTCCACAGATCCACCGAGATGGAGTCTAATTGGTGACGATCGCCCATGTCGCGAGACACGGATATGTGTTGCGTACGCAGCCAGCGGATCGCCGCACAGCACATTAGGGATGCCCTCTGGTCAATTGCGAGTAAATTCGGGGAAGCGCCTCAGTTGAAGATCACCCAGCAGAGGGCAGTCTTTTATCCTCCCGGCTATGCCATAATCTTCACTGCATGGAATGCATATTCATAAAATTTAGGAAAGACGGTACAAAATCTTTTCGTTTAATGCACACATTCTTTTCATGTTCATACTTTGATTGCTCGCTCTTTCTCTGTTCAGTATCCAGACAATCTTCTACTTGGCTCGTCCGTCTCATGATCATGCCACTATGTATTACGATCTAGTATTGCTGCGCGCCATGTCTGTCTGGCGTGTATCTTTTAAATATGCGCCTTCTCTGCTGATCGTCGCTCTCATAGTTTTTTTTTCTTCTTTTTTTCCCCTCATGTTTCTTTTATTTTGAGGTCCATGAAATCCACGCTGCCGGCCTGTCCCATAGTTTCACAACCTATCCAGTCCCAAAATTACCCAAAACCCTGTCCTGGTCATGCACGCTATTGTCGAGATGCTGTGCTACTTTTTTTTCCCTTTGAAACAAACGAGTAAAAGCAAAAAGAAATCTGGACCAAGTGAAGCCCAATCCTGGCGACCACAAACGCGGGCAGCGAGTGGAATGTGTGCATGGTCAATGCCCTCTCCTACTTGCTACTACTCGTGGGTAGTCCTTCACGAGGCGCGGCGCGTCTCCTCCCGCGTTTCTCGCCAGCTGAGTCTGCTCTCGCTGAAACTCCTCAAGTGCAGCGGGCGCTTGGGTGGCAGCCTTCTTCCATCCACGCTCTCAGCCCTTTCGTGCTCGTTTTCTTTATTTTCCTTGTCCACTCGGCAACCAGAGCTGAACGCAGCCTCGCCAACCTCGGAAAGAGACTCCAGGCCCCCCTAGAGCCCGAACTTCTTCTTAGGTGCCTTCTTGCTTCCGTCCTTCTGGTTGCTCATATCCTTGAGGATATCGTCAAAGGTGCTGCTTGCGTTCCGGGTATGGCTCGCACTGTTGGGCGTGGCGCTCTGCGGAGTGGGTGGGCCCCGAATCGGACTCTCATTTCTCATGTGGTTCGAGCTGCGCACGCTCCGGAGGCTGCCGGGCCCGGAGGCGCCACCACCCCCTGCACTCTGTGGTCGTGGTGTGAGGGAGTCGGAGCGCGCGTGCATCTGCGAACCATACACGCGGCTGGAGCGTCTGTCGACAGGCGTGTGTGCTGGGCTGGGAAGCATTTCCAGCCCAACAACGCCAGCGAAGCTGGAACGGTATTGCGAGCCCGTGCTTCGTCCCTGGGCAAGGCCGCTACCGGGAGCGGGAACCCGCCTCAGTGGCCCTGATGCAGGTGATCCGGGCGTAGAGCTGGCGGGTGACGCGCCGTTGCTGCTGTGGTAGCCGACTGGATCCATGTCCTCAAACACGGCGCCAGGAGGCTGGAGTGGTGAGAGGGGCGGCTCTCCTCCCGAAAAATGACCATTTGGTGGGGGTGGAAGGCCAAGCAGATCGGCATTCTCACCGTTCATCTTGGCCTCGTCCCAGAGCTTCGCGACTTCCCAGCAGTGGGACCGCTCGTACGTGCCCTCGACGGAGAACATGACCACGTCCGCAGAAAGCTCGACCTTGACAGAGCTGCCGGGGATCTGGTACCAGGCCTTCCGTGTCGCACCAGCATCTTCGATCCACGGGGCGTTGCCCATTGGTGGCTGGCAGAGGAAGTACTCGACACCCTCGGTGAACTGCAGGTCGGGTGCATCGATGACCAGGAGGGGGAGAGATTGGATCACCACATATAGGAAGAGCCAGATGCCCATGCGGTTGTCAGCCATCTCGCTCGAGTTCTTGCCTCGGGCCATATCGAAATCGAAATCCTTGAATTGTTCGAGGAAAGATGTGGCAACGCTGTCCGTATCGAAATTGTACGACTTGTGCAGGACAAGTTGAACTTCGTGCTCCTTGATCTTGCGATCGAACTTGGCACGGTCCTTCTCCTTCATCTCGTCGTACTTTGCCAACACGGATTTCATGGTTGGTACCTTGGGAATGTCGAAAGGAATTGGCGGTAGAACAGGCGGAGATGATTGGTCGAACTCTGACAACATCTTTCTCAAAGCCTTGATGTTCTGGTCGCCTTCCTTGTCGGGCACTTCTTCTGGCGCCTGGTCGATGACGCGTGGGGTCAGAGAGTCGCGGTCCACCAACAGGTCATACAAAGAACACAAGTCCGCGTACAACGCCTTTAGCACCAATCTGTTGAGGCCATTCTCCGAGAAGGGGTTCTTCTTGCTCCTAGCCTTGGGCGGCCAGCTCCCGAACAGACCCTTGTAGTAATCCTGAGTAAAGCTCTTCATCCGCGTGAAGGCGGCCTTCCACCTATTGAAACGAACGTCTCTGAACTCCGAAGAGCCCGCCACGCCAGCGAAGAGCGCCGGAAATTCGAACTCTTCTAGTCTCGAGTTCACGCTATCCTGCCGGTTGCGCAGATCTAGGTTGGCCCGCTCGAGGCGTCGCCGGACCTCTGGAGAGATGTACTGCGTCCATGGCGAGTTCAGAGAGACGATGGCCTGCCATTTGCCGACCGCGTGGGTGTATGCCTCATTGTACAGCTCCCAGCACTTCATCCGCTCGCCCAAGATGATAGCTTCGACCGTCTTCTCGCGACTATGGCGCACGTCGGCGAGGGCCAGCTGGGCCATGTAGAAACCAAAGCTCATATCAACCGCCTCGCCCCAGGTCGTCCCGTCCATGCTCATGAAGTCGAATTCCTTCAGCAGTGACGATATCTGCAGGAATGCGGAAAAGATGGTCGGGTGTGCCTTGGTCCCAACAAGCGGCTGGCCAGTCAGGAAGGCAAAGAGATTCCGCACTGCTATCAGGCGCTGCAGATCGGGCTGGCCCGCGTCACCCTGGTTGTGCGCGCGTTCATGGTGCGGCATGGGAGGCGGGATGTACAGACGGACCTCGCCTGACATGAGCTCTGGCATGGCGGGATTCTGGGGCAGACGGGTGGCGTCCTCCGCCATCAGGCTGTCGCGGCCAGTGAAGCTTGTGCTTCTTGTACGTTGATGTCTGCTGCTGTCCAATTCTCCCTGGATCAGCTCGTGGAACACTATCGAAGCTTCTATCGACTGTGCAGGAATTTTGAAGGAGGGTCCTCTTCCGCTGCCTTTAGGATAAAGATGAACAAGGATGCGTCCGTTCTCATTCCAGAGCTCGGGAACCTATACATTATCAGCACGCTTTCCAAGGATACACCGCAGACGCTCGAGAATCTCATGTTATTTACCTTGTCGCCGTTGAGTAGAAAAGAGGTGTTATAATCTGCATGGCTGTCGGCCGCCATAATCCATGCCTTGGTTGGCGACATCTTCTTCAGATCTTTCGAGACGGAACCAGACCTCGACCTCCCCCCGGGCATCCAGGTCCGCCTCAGCCTTCCGCGGCCGTCACCATCATTGGAGTTCCTTGATACTGGCCTGGGCTCCACGGGCGAGGATACAGCTCGAGAGCTGTCGAATGTCGAGGACCGAGTTGTAGGCGGGTGCGCCGAGCTGCTCCTTACACGCGGTAGTTGGGCTGGTGGTGAAGGACGCCTCTTGCCTAGCTTGGCGCGTCCGTCTTGTTGGCTGCCGGATGGCGGAGGATGGGCAGAGCTGCTCCTCCTCTCGCTGCCTCTCGACTTGGGTGGCGGTGCAGAATAAGTTGGTGATGCGTTTGGGCGAGCATATTCAAGCCCTTGGGGCATGGGTATTATGGGAGGGAGGCGGGATGGCTGTTGAGGAGCGCCACCCGCAGAGGACTGATTCCTCTGGTGCTTTTGGACGACGGCCGGCATGTTGTGGTCGTTGTCGTTATTGTTGTTGTTGTTGTTGTTGTTGTTGTAGTAGTAGTTGCCGTCTTGTTGTTGTGTCCGATGGCCGCCCGTGGCGTCAGCGGCTTCGGGGGACTCTGTGCGCTGGAAGCCAAAGTCGAAGTCGGAGACCTGTGTTGCTGGTGTGGGGGTGTTTAGTCCGAAGACTTCTGAAGAGTGGTCGCCGGCAGTGGAGAGCGAGTCGTGGGGGTTAGAGGATGTATTAGGGCTCTCTTCGAAGGAGGGCTGCTTGTGGGTCTCGATCGCCGAGGCCACAGGTTTCCTGGCAACAGGCTTCTCTCTGACTTGCACCCGAGATGTTGTTTCGTCAGCGGTCTTTGGGCGCAGACGGTCGGTCGCCGCGGCCGTGGACTTCTTCAGCGAGCCAGAAGAGCTTGTGGGCGAGAACAATGATGTTAGCACGTTCAGCTTAGACTTTCTCCTCCGTGGTCTCGTGGTGGCCTCGTCCTCCTTCACCATGCTCACAGGGTCCGACACCTTCACCGGCTGCCCCAGAGATGACTCGATGTGCTCTCTGTCCCGGAGTGAACCGGTGGCAAGCAAGTTGGTGACGGACCTGGAGGGCTTGGCAAGGACAGAGCCCTTGCTGCCCTTGGAGGAGCGGGACGACTTGCTCGACAGCATATTGAGCAGGCAAGAATCGAGGCTCAGGGCTCACTCATGAGGCAAGTTAAGGATATGTGACGACGAAGGGGAGAGAGAGGAGGATGGCCAGCTTGCCTAGTGAGCTCACTCAGTGAGAGAGAAAGGAAAAAGAGACAACAAACTAACCCAGTGGTCTGAAAGCAGAAGGCGAGAGCCCACACTGCCAGGTACTATGTATAATGGGGCCAAAATGGCACAGCACGCCCTGGCCAACTGGAGGTCAGGATGGCACTGTACGGTGACTGTTGACTGTTGGTTGTGACCCCCCTGGATCAGTCCCTGTGGGTGTGAACGTGTGAACACAAGGGACTATGCCTGATGTTGGTGGAGGAGGGGTCACTCGGTGAGACTTTGGGGCTCCAAGGTTGTGCGTATCTGGTACTCAAGCCGGGTAAACGGATTTGTGAGAAGGGGGGGGGGGGGCGCAACTCAGAATCAGTCAGGAGGCTGGAACGTGTGGTCAGGCTCGGGTTGCTCAAGAGGACCTTCAGGTGGAGAAATCATATGTGTAACAGAAAAGCGAGAAGGGCTTGAACGGACCCTTGCAAGGTATCGTGATGGGTACTGTGGTACAGTGAACGCATAGAACAGGCCGCTGCAGAGCAGGAGAAGAAGGAGGGAGGAGGAGGGAGGAGGGGGCGTCGATGTCGTCTTGTGCAGGGCTGTGGGGTTGGGAAGGATGCTGGGCCTGGTTTGCGGGAGGGGGGTCGAAGAACTGGGAGAACATCCAGAAAACTGATGTTGATCCGATCCACTCTTTCGAAAGGGCAGGAAAAGAAAAAAAGAAAAAAACAGGGCCCACTCGGATTCCACAGCAGCTGGACAGGGATGGATGGAGGCGACAAGACAAGTTCGATCAAGGCGTGCAAGGGTCAGGGCGAGTTGCAAAATAGCTCAAGAGGTAGGCAGAGAGATTTGATGGTTGAAGGTCTCGGTGGTGGATGCGCCATGGAGGACCTTGATGGGGTTTGTTTTAATGCTTCTCGGTGGATCGATCGCCTTTCGCAAATGCTATGGTATTCTGGCCTGCCCTGCTCTGCTGTCTTGGCTGAAGAACAGACGTCATATATCAGCATCAGCGTCAGAAAACTCAGATTGCGCATCAGCCTCAGCCTCAACAGAAACAAATTAGCATGAACATTAGTAGCCGCTCTAAGCCGCTCCAAGCCTGTTGATGTCTTGGTGCTGCGTGCGTGCGCGGCTGCGTGTTTATGTGGAGAGAAGAAGAAAGAAAGAGAGTGTCAAGTGCGGTGGCGGACTTTTGATTTGTGATGTGACCTGAACATGTTCTCTTTCAGGGTTCAGGCGCTGCGGCCCGTATTCGGCCAGTCGCCCAAAATCTGCTGCACGATGATGGAAGGGTACAGAGTTGACAAGCACGTTACCAGATCTGCCCCAGGACCAGCAAGGTAACTTGGCGTTGCGTGTATACTCCATTCTGTGGGGGAGCACAGCCCTGCCAAGCCCTGCATCGTGGAGCCGAGTCGGGTAGCAGGTCATAGTATAGTAGGGCAGCAGGTTGTTTGTCTGTCTGTCGGTCTTCCTGTCTTGTCATGTTGGGTTCAGTTGAAGTGAGGTGAGATGAGCGAGGTTGGTAGGTTGGTAGGCTGCGGAAATTGTCATAATTACTGAAGATCCTGTGCACTGGGACAGTACATAAGAAGATTCTCATGTCAACATGCGAAGAACTTTTGATGACGACTTTCTAGGGTCATTGTCCGCTATGGATGCGCTAGGAGAGAGGTACCGTGCGGGTAGCTACTCTAGTACCTACCCGCTAGGGGTCCAATGAGGGAATGAGATGTGGTTGCACCTGAAAGAAAGAGAAGAAGAAAATAACCTAACTTTAGGCTTACCTTTCCTTCCAGCTGGCAGGTACTATGTACCCAAAGTACCATCATGGGAAAGAGCACTTGAATTACATTTCAGGATTGGGAGGCTTTCTCTCCCTTTCTCTCCATCTTGACCCCCCTCCCACCCCCGCCCCGGGCCTCCTTTGCATCAATCCGTGAGCGGCTTCGCAAACATACATGGTATGTAGTCTCTCGTGTGCTCGTGTCGGGCCGCCTCTTGTTTCTGATTTCGAGACTTTGATACGCATCCAAGCCTTTTTTCATGCTAGCTCCGTTTTAGCAGCCCCAAAGTGCCGGTACCCACCTTGCCGCCCTACTGTCGGTTCTACCAATTGCTCAACGTTGTGCTAAAACCTAAAGGCCACGCCACCCACATGGTCTACTACAACATGGTACTATAACTTACATGGTACTGCTACTATGGCAATGTATTACTGTACTAACTCTGGACAGCAACCAACAAGAGGTGAGCTGTAGGAGGGATCATGGATGGGTCCCAGCCATTTGGGGATTTGGCTTTTGATGATGCCCCATGTTCATGCCCGTCAGCATCATCTCCACACAACCACAGGTGGTGGCGCTAATGTGTGTGCCTCAAGGACCCATTTTCCAGCCCTCTTCTACTATCTGCCTCCCAGAGGCTGTATACGAGGTCGTCGAGGTGGGTGGTGAGACAGCTCACGTCTCCGTTTTACGCAACCAGAAGCGCAAGGCCCGCGGGACGCTCGGAGGGACTACCTAGTTGCTACGGTAGGTACCTGCTAAGAATTTTTACTAATATGTTCTTCAGTGGTCCCCCGTCCTGTTCCGACTACTGAGACAGGCCAACGCTAATTATAGCATCATCCAGGCACCAGACCCATGACTCGTCCTCTCTGCAGACCCCTCTGCAAGTCATTCTACTCTTCCCGTTCCTCCGACCTCCTTTTGTGTCTCCATCGTGCCCTGAAGGGAGGACCATGTACAGACTTTACAAGCACCAACTCGAATTGCATATCGCAAATCTCGAAGGGAAAACGCGGGATAAGTTTCCCGCATCCCGTGCATCCACAAGACGCCTCCCTATATGCTGCATACGGCATCCTATACCGTGTTACCTCCCCAATACTACCTTTGCTGCAACCCCCAGTTCAGGTCGACCATCCTGCACCGGGATACACCACCATGGATGGCGTCGTCTGCACCTCGACGTGCCACATTGCAAGGTACACTACTACATTGCTACAGTATTTCCAAGCCATGCTTGGCTGATACGTACGGCGCCGTGCGCGCTCATCCTGTCTCCTGGATGATTCCGGATCCAGGTGGATAGAATCCCCACCCGAATCGGCAGATCGGAATGGGCCTGGGGAGTGTGACTTGCAGAGCACACTCTTCTCCTCGCAGCATCACCTCCTTTCCCAGCGTCATTTTTGTTTCCCTCCATCTCGCGCCGCCCGTCTCATCACCCATGTAAGGAGACCACCTTGAAAGCACAGCCAATCTTCTCGGCACGTTCGCCGAACCCTGCCAGCCCTGCCCGCGACTTACCGAAATAAACGTCGTGGGAGTTCAATTTGGCCACTTGCAGGCGTGGAGGATTCCACCGTCGTCCGGGAATCTATTCCTCCCACTTCCAAATGGCCCCGGCGAACTCGGACACATATCTCAAAAAAGACCTCTTGGCTATCTAGGGTTCTGTCCAACGTCAAGTCGATCTAAAGCAGGGGCCTCGGCGATTCTGCAAGCCACATAAGCAGGTCGGAACTTTCTTTCAGTGCGAGCGGCGTCTTCTGCTGTCCACTCCTGCGAGGCCAGCCTGGCCGGGCAAGACAAAACCCTCTCTGGTTCGTGCATGTCGCAGGGCCGGCCCGATGGCCTCGTATGTGTTGAGACAGACACCCTCATGGATGATTTAGCAGAGACCCAGATATGTATTGGCTGTCAAATCGTTTCCTGGCTCCCTGGTCCGCAGCCCTGACCTGGGTCACCCCTTCGTTGCGGTCTCTCTGCCAAACCACGTCCGACACGCGCCTCTTGGTCGAGTACATGCCCTCGCAAGCTCCTCGTCGTCTTCAGGACCTCGTCTTCCTGAGTGCGTGTTGCTTGTATATCCTCATTCGAGCTGAGGCGGTGTTTTTGGTTCTTTGATTCTCACCTGTTCGGTTAACACACATCCGATTCTACACAATGACAATTCCATGGCAACGCACAGTCACTTTAGGGCACCAGGTGACGAGAACCAAAAAAATTTACGTGATCCGCCTAGACGCAGCAGAGGGGACGGGCCCCTGCTTTCAACAAAGCCAGAGAATGCTGCTGAATCACTTGCTACTTGCTCATGCCCAGAGTGCCCGAGATCTATTGACTGTTAGCTGCTTGGGATCGGCTGCAAGGAATGAAATTCTGCGAGGCGAGCAGACTTGAAGCTAGCCCCAGAGAGTCGGCAGAGTCAGCATTTGCTCTGCCACCACAGACTGAAATCACATAGCAGCAGACGGGCGCACTCTGCGGCTGACGGGAAAGATGAGCGACCTTTCTCTTACCGTGGACGCTGACATGTGCAGCTCGCCACTAACGCAATTCACCCCAATGGCCGACGCTTTTCTCTGACGCGGCAGACATGAGCAGAAGTCTGGCGCTGCAGACATTAGCAGAGTACGACAGCAGTACCTCACGCAGAGCCTGGTGGGACTCTCCGATCTCTTATGACATCTTTCTGCGGCCGACGACCCTCGCACCCATCGTCGCGGGGTAGCTGTCGTGTCCCGTGCGAATTATGTATGCGTTGTCCATGCAGGGCAACTGTCGCTGCTTGCTAAGCCTGAGCTCAGCCTCCATCTAGTGTGCTCTGCTCGAAGTCGTGCCGCCCAGGCGGAGCTGCGTGGAGTGTCTTTATACGCAGCCGGCCACAGCAGCTCCGTCTAATAGCAACGAGCCTCGAGGATGATCGGCGAGGAATGTGCAAGTTTTGTTCCGCTGCGACGCAAGGCGGACCTGCATGCGAGGGGCACACACACGTGATGAAAACATTGTTGCACATTTTCTCGGTGTAGGAGGCTCTGCGCAGCCTTCGAGTCCTACAGGGCTTTCCAACGAATAAAAACAGCACAACTCGAGCTTCTCAGGATCGCAAGACAATGGCTCCGCCCATTCAGACTGTTGCTTCGACCTCCTTCTAAAGACCAGGAAGCCCTTCTCTACTGATCAACACGAACCATTTCCTCTTCTCTTTCAAGAATACGAGTAACAAGCACACCCTCAACACACCTATTTCAGCATCACCTACTCTCACAGGCCCTCGTGTTTTAGACTTCTGAAATCGGCCGCCCCGCAGCCTTATCTCGCCACCATGGATTCCGTAATCGATGAGATCGACCGCATCATCGGAGAGCTGGATAGCACCACTAACAGTATCCTGTTGAGCCGGAACGCTTTCAGCTCGGGGTCTCTGCCCACATATCTCGGGCCCCCGACTGCAGACGACTACAACGAATCCATCTCCGAGAACCATGAGCCAGCCCTGACTCTGTCCACGACCGATGTGTCTTCCTGGGATTCTGGGCTACACCAGCATGGCTCCGATGCGACGCAGCCCAAGACCAATTTTAAGGCCTTGAGAGCGCCACAAGTCGATCTGCAATACATCGGAGAGGCACCTGAGATCTTTGTCGAAGGACCGCCGGCACGCCCGCCTGATCTTACTCAGGAGGCCGATCTACCAGGTGGTACCGCCGCACGTCACGGTCATCGGGTATCTCGCCCCGCAAACCCGTCCGTCGATGTATCGCTGCCCATGCTTTCAGCCCTCGGCGGCGCTTCGGCTGTGGGCAACACTGCCGATATCCCGCTCTCTGCAACCCCCATGACGAGAGACGGAAGCAAGAGAAGCGGGCGAAGTCATCCTCTCCCGGAACATCAGCGCTCTAAAGTGGCTGGGATGCGAAAGACAGGCGCCTGTCATCGGTGCCGGATTCTCAAAAGAGAGGTGAGAACTCTCCAGCTACCCTTATGATCATCTGAAACAAGCCAAGCTAACGCCATGTCTTTATTTTCTTCTCTGTATCTTCAGTGTGATCAAAGCTCGCCCTGCGCGCTTTGCGACAGAGATATACCTGGCTATCCGGAAGTATGTGACCGCGGGAGGATGGCCGAGCTACTGCCGGGTGAAGGTCAACCAAGTAAGGCACATTGAGGGATCTCAATGCACTCCCAGATGCACTTTGAACAAGCCTCTGACAATTCCCTCAACAGGTGTCTGGCAGGCAGATTTGGCCGAGACGATGCTGCCCGTGGACAACTGTCCGACAAGTAATGCGCCGATATACATCAGCGTCGGCTTCGAGCCAGATCCTGGTGACTCATCCGATTTGACCCTCTCCCTCCAATCCAGTCTTGGCACGAGCTCGTTCTCACCTGCCAGCTGGAGTTTTGAGCAGTACTACCGACCGCCCTCGACGATTTTTCCTGCCGTGCCTTTGACAACAGCAGGAAACTGGCCCGGGATTTTACCAAGTGCTCGGTCACTGCAGGCCGCTGCGCCGTTCGGCACGCAGCCGCTGTGGATGGGCGGCAGCTGGCCGGGTGGCTACTCCTCACCCGAACTATACTACCGGCTCTGTCCTCACGAACTACCCTCCGCCAACGCACTTCTTGCCTGGGCCGAGAAACAGGTCAGGCAGGAGCTCGCACGGCACTCGACATTCGAGGCCGCCATCGGTACCTTGATTTTTACACTGCTAGACCGCCCACTATCGGTACCTCCTCCACCCGAGAGGGCCGGCAGGAACAAGAACAAACCCACACCGCTCTCGTCTCGGGTTCTGTTGCGCAATGTATGCGATATGATGAGCTGGCTCCAAATTCTGCGGGCTCAGACGCTCTACGTGCGCCAATGGCCCAGTCTAGGACCATACGGAAGTGCCGGAGGGGCCGCCAGCAGCTCGTACTTGATGGAGGGTGTGCTCTCGGAGCTCAAGTGGCTGGCGGTCGCCGAGCTCGTCGCTGCCGAGAGGAGCGCGGTAGAAAACCTGGACCTTCTTCTCAACAAGGGCATCAAGGGCGTCGAGGTACAGGTTCTGGCGTGTCTCTGGCAGATGATATTAATCTATCGGCAGCAGATTGCGGTCTTTACCACCTTGGCCAGTATGCATGCTGCCAGTAAGGTCTTTCCTTGATCTCGAAACTCCTTGTACTTGCTGCTGCTGTTGTTGTCGTTGTTGCCTATCTGGTTGTCTGCTGTTCGAATGCAATACAACGCGCGTGCATCTTCTCATATCGAACCACGGGCTTGCTTGCTAATTGACTTGGTTTTCAGTTCGCATAACCGTCGAGCCCGCCCTAGCCATCCTCTACCAGCTCCAACGTACCCTCCTCGTCAAGTACGGGGCCTGTTTCCGCTCCTCGTCGCCATTCTACCCACGGCGCGGCCAGCCATCCACGACGGACCGTCTTCAGGGCGACGCTCGGCTCAAGGGGGCGTGGCAAAACGTACTGACGAGTCGGCAAGACTTTGGTAGGTGTCGGTTCAAACTTCTCGTCTTGTTATTTCCCCCTCTTTTTTCTCTCTTCTTCTTTTGCGTTCTTCTCTTCCCCTTTCTTCTTCCTCTCGATTATCTATAAGTGTGGATGTGCGAGAAAAGACGTACTTCGCTTTTCGCTCTTTCAAAGCAGGAACAGCCTTCTCCCCAGGTTCTTAGGAGGAGAGTGGATGTGGGAAGGCATAAAGGGAAAGAAAGAGTCGGAGAAAAGAGGACAGAGACAGGAAAAATGTGTGTGTGTGTGTGTGTGTGTGTGTGTAAAGTTGGCTGCTAATCATGTGACACTGTCAGACCGAGAGATCTCTGCGTCCATGGCGCCCTCGGATGTACTGCTCAAGGTACTGGTCACGGAAGTCGAAAATGACCTAAGGCGTCGGCGTTTGCAGAAGAGGGCCCCGGCACGCAGGCCCCCGCCAGCATCATGAGAAGTAGTAGGTCACGTCAAGTCACGCCGCTGCGCTCGTCCTTCCTTCGCCCCCCTACTCCGCTGCCGGAGCTAGGCAACTTCTCGGTATCCTCGCCGCGCATGTCATTCGCAGATAGGGCTTTTGGGGTGTTTCACACAAGGGGCGTTCTTCAACAGTTCGCCCCCGCGTGGGATATCATCGGCACTATCTATGATACATCGTTAGGGATATCTTACACGACCACGTCTCGGCGGCCCCCCTTTCCCCCCCCCCCCCTCTCTTCTCTTTTTCTTCGTTTTCTCCTCATTGGTGACTAAAGTGGGTGAGTAGTAAAGGGGCGACTTCTCATGGGGAGGCACGGCGTGCTGTATTATATCTCATTCTTGACTCTTTCATAATGGCTAGAAACTAGGGAAGAACAGGGTATCGATTATGGAGGAATAGGAAGCATCTATCTTTCCAAAAAAAAATCTAGCCACTGAGCACGTCCTCCTCTTATTGATCATGGATTATGCGTTCTCATATAAACCGCGCGCGGCACTTGGAAGTATTGCCGTGACTCTTATGCCTTGAACCGCTCGATGCTCCCGGCCATGTCGTCCTGCGCGTCCTTGACCAGGAAACTATTCCACCGTGTCAGCACATAGGACATATATCTGACCTCCCATCCCTGTCGCCGCTGGCAGGGAGGGAGTAGGAGACAAGGAAAAACTCACTTGTACAGCAAAACGGTAGGTCCCACAGTGCCCAGGTGCCACAAGCAGTGCGCATCGACGCTCCCACCAAGAACGGGCGGAAAATCAAACAGCTCCAGGCTCATGGCCAGGACGACCCAGGCCACGCACAGGCCGGGCCACGTGGCCCAGCTGCGGCGGGAGCTCCTGTATTTGACCCAGCTGTAGCGCGTCCACAGGGCGTTGGACACGAGGCCGCAGGCGACGTTGGCGGCCATGTTGTAGGTGTAGTCCCAGCGCCAGAGCAGGAGGTAGGCGGCGTGGGCGAGGTAGGCGGCCGCGCAGAGGAGGGTCCAGGCGTGCAGCAGGGACGAGGCGGGGCGGCGGCGGCGGTCGAGGCGGAAGTGGTGGATGGTGGTGTAGTACAGGCCGTAGAGGACGCTGGCGCCGGCGCCGAGGTAGTCGAGGGACTCGGTCAGCGGGAGGTCGCGGGTGTGGAACAGGCAGCTGAGGAGCCAGCTCGCGATGCCGACGCGGGCGAGGCCGACGTAGTAGGGTCGCAGGGTGTACGAGGCCGGCACGGCGGCGCGAATCTTGTGGAGGCCGTCGAGGTGGGCCCACAGGTTGGCCGCCGAGAAGAGCACCGAGAGCGGCTCCTGCACGCCCAGGACGCGGGTGAAGGGCCACTTGCCGTGGAACTGGACCACGGGCTGCGAGGCCGCGATGCGCTGGGATGTGATGATGGTCTGGCAGGTGTGGTCGCACTCGGAGGGGCAGTCCCAGAGGAGGAGGCGGTGGTGGAGGGCTGGGTAGTTTTGGAATTGGGTCTGGTCAGCAACTATAACTGGAGGAGGAAGGGGGTGGGGAAGAAGAAAAGGAAGATAGAAAAAGGTAAAGAAGTCTACTCACGTATGGGTGTTTGCGATTTCCCAGGACTACAGTTCTCCCGCTCGCAGACCTAAATTCCCACCTCCCAATCAGTCGCCTGCGCTTCTTCTTTCTTTTGCCAGAAACAAGAACGACAAACAACCACGAACCTCGACACATTCCTTGAACTCAGGCAGCCTATCCCCCACAGACGCCTCGACCACAGCGCCCAACAGCAGCGGCAGCAGCACGAGGACACAGAGTGTAAAGGCGCGCAGCCGGGCCTGGATCGTCGTCATCCCGCCCGATGCGCTGGCGATCATCGTATCCTCATTTAATCCAGCGGTTCGTGCGGAGAGAAGGAATGAGAGGGAGGGGGCTGGGAAGGAGGGAAGAGAAAGTAAAGGTCGCAGAGGAAGAGAAGGTGGGAGGGTGGTGAAGGACGTTTGGGGGGGGGGGAGGAGAGCCGTAAAAAAGATAAGATGATATTGACGTTGAGGAGGGGGAGCTTCCTCCTCTCCCTACAGGGGGGTGGGGGCGCGGGCTTAGAAGCTTGGTCAGTGTGCCCATGTCATGTCACTTACTATAAGTACAGGCATGTAACCCTGTACTGTTAGGGGCGCACCGGCCTGGGTCCCACAACAATTACGGGCCGCCGGGCAGATCGTTGCGGGCGCGTCCGCTGCTAAGATCGACAAGTCCATAGGTAAAAAGTTAAATTTCAAGGAGCATAGAGATGGAGAAGAGGGAGAAGAAGGGCTTGTGAGAAGTTCGTTCAAGACTTCGGTGTCAACATGAAGAGAAAGTGAGTGTGTCTCGGAGCCAGTCTGCTTTCTCAACAAGAATTTCAAAATTGAGAAGTAGCCTTGCTTGGTCTTGTTCCCTCCCTCCCCTTGCTCCGCCATATGCAACCCGTCACGTCTCACGCACACCAGCATTAACATCGTCTTCCGAGTATAAATTTGGTCAAGTATGATTCTCATTTGTTCTTGCTGCTCCTTACTTGAGCAGAAGGATTAACGTGCCCCCCTCATTTCATCATCACCACCCAACAAAATAACCTGGCATTAGGACCTGTCCCGTTCATATGTACTCCAGCACCTTGAGGTTCCTTGCAATATATAGAGGTGAGAAGAGAATAATTTTGTCTCTCGCAGCACATCTGCGCCCTCTCTACCTGCCCAGATCTCTTCTCCCCTCTCCCAGCAAAATCCATCTCGGTCGTTGCATCCCGCCGAGCCCAGGCTGCAAGTCCTGTGTGTATGCCAACGAAACCTTCATAATCCAAAACAATTGTAGGTAGGGTGATTAGGTTCCAACCTCATATCATCTCGTAATCATCGTCAAGCCCAAATCACCGGGAGTGTATCCACACAGTGGAAGAGAAGCCCCTACAGGACCGTGATTCCTTAGAACGCCTTAGTAACCAGGTTCAGGGATCACCCAAGGGGAGTTGCCGTCCGGTCGTCCAAGCGACCTATATTTCGCCGAAAAGATAAAAACAGACGCCGTTACCTCATAATACGGAGGTTGTCGTATGCAAGAATGATCTATGTCGAGAGTTTGTTGTGTGTGTGTGTGTGTGTGTGTGAAGGCACCTATTCAGCTGTCGAGCTGCGTTGTCCACCGCACCGAGCTGGTATCATTTCGTGGCGCGCCGTCATTTCATGATGTCGTGAGAAGGAGATAAATACGTGGGTCCGCGTTGCGTGGTGCGCGGGCAATGTGGTAAATTCCCCAGGAAAGTAGTTCACGAGGGAGACTCGGACCTCTAGGGGCTGTTGAAATCCTTCAGGCGTTGGTCAATGTAAGCCAGCTTCGAGGCCAGGTTGACACTGGCAGGCTCGTTGGGATGAGAGCCACCGGAAGGATGTACGGTCGAGAAGCGACGCCCGAACATGGCAACATCGAGGAAGCTAGGTTGGCTGAATCTGTTGGGCACGCTGAAGCTTGAGCCAGCGACCGAGAACGGCGAGCCAAGCCGCCGCGGAACGTCCACGGGGACTGTAGGCTGCTGCTGCTGCTGCTGCGGCTGCGGCTGCTGGCTCGTCACCTGAGCCGTGTCAATGTAGAGCTGCGGCTGAGACCGAGAGGCAAAGATATTGTCCTCGCCGTAGCTCAGGCTGAAGCTCTTCTTGTGGGCGAGATGGTGGTCGCCGCGGCCGGCGGCCAAACTCGGGTCAAGCCAGAAGTCAGTGGACAAGCTAGGTCGCTTGCGTGCCTCGTGGGCCTGCCCAGTTTTCCTCTTCTGGGTCGATGATCGGCTGAGGCGTACCGGAGACTGGAGTCTCGGCCGAGGCCCGCTCACAGTGCGTGTCTGCCGCTGGCAGGCATCTGCAGGGACACCGAATATATCATCAGCTAATGAGAAGGAGGAGCTGGGTCCATAACTCCTCGCGTTAATGGGGGAGCCAAGGCGCCGCCGCTGCTCGGCTGAGGGCTCCGCATCGACGTTGGGAGGTGGGATATGGTCCAGGCTCTCAGGAGGGGTCATAGCTAGCGAGTCGGACGTGGTAGTGGAGTTGGTCAGCTGTGCGAGCGGTCCCTCTGGATCCATAGCATCCGAAGTGGTGACTGCTAGGGACGTAGACATGGTCTGGGTCTCAAAGGTTGAGGAGGTAGCGCCAGGAGTCGATCTTGGGGCCCATCGAGTGGTAGTAGTATTGGTGAAGGGAGTTGGGCTTCGGGAGAAGTAGGAGAAGCGCATCTGTCCGCCGTCAGGGCCTCGAGCCTTCTGCCTACACAGCACCCTCAGGTGTGCGCGCGTAGCCGCACCAGTATGCGGCCATCGAATGAAAGCCCCGGATGGCTCTGCTGTGGGGGTCGAGCTGCCGCTCTTCGCATCGGCAGCAACGGTGGACTTCGCGACCGCCTTGGATCCCTTCCAGCTCCGGGCGGCTTCGCGCGCGACTCTCTTACAGACGCCCTCTGGCGGGACACCACTCTTGCCAATCTGGAACGGTGTGACGCGGGGGTCGGACAAATACATGTTGTATGTCGCCCACAGGTGTGCGCCCATCGCCCTGGTCCAAGGAGCCTTCCTTTGCGTCCTGCTGTTCGCACCACTCTGTGGGTGGAGCATGTCTGGCCGAGGCTCTTCCAGCTTGTTGTGGAAGCACAGGAACTTCTCAGAGGTCGCTACACCCGGGCTGAACTGTATCTCTTCGTCCGAAAAACAGGAAGACAGCTGACTGAAGGAGGATCTACTCGTGCGCGTTGATCGTGAAGTGGACGGTCGCGACTCAGGCTCTGGGCTGGACTCGCAACTGCTCATCCAGTCGATGGACCAGTTTGGGTATCGTGACGGGGTAAGAGACGGAGGGTCTTCGGTCGCAGGTGTCTTGGGCGGGGTAGTCAATGGTCCGCGAACAAGAGGAGGGTGAAGCAATCCGTTGTCGCCGCCGACCATCTGGTCGTCCATGCGCTCGGGATCACTCCAAGGAGGGAACGCTTCGGGTTCGAGATCGGCGATGGTGGGTTCCTCGATGCTCGGGATGGGTACGTCGGCGGCAGCGACAGAGGCGAGGAACTGCTGGGTGGGTGCGACGAGGTGCAAAGGCTCGTGTCTTCGTTTTATCCTGAAGCGCGGCCGCGGGGTGCAGGGCGTCTGGCACTCGACTTCTTGACGGGATTCAGGCGTTCTCGGCGCGGCGAGGCGGCCTTGTGCGAACAAGACCGCTGGATTCTGGTCTGCACTCATGGCGTATCAATCCGATGCGCAGTCGAGCGCGGTCATCAAACTCGGAAGCGACAAGAAGGGTACGAATGCGAAACTGCTGAGGGCTGTTGAAGAGCGACGTCGAGCGGCGTTGCGACGATGTGTTATGGTATGCGCGCAAATAGAATCCGGCTCCAAAAGACTTCAGACGAGTTCAAGGAGATTGCGCGATTGGCTATGGAAAAGAGGATGTGTGTCGCAAAGGAATAAGGCGCAGACAAATGAGAAGAAAATGGGTATCGTAGGTGTCGTAGTCTCGAATTTTGCGGTGGCTGGATTCACCGTCTTCGTTTCGATGAGAGCGTCACGTTGCTTTCTTGTGTCTCTCTGATGGGGAGGAGGAAGAAGAAGAAGAGGAGGAGGAAGTGGACGAATTGACTAATGTCCAATTATTAATAAAAATTCGAGCGAAACGATCGGTGATAGTATGGAGGAGGAGGAGGAGGAGGAGGAGGAGGCGAGCGCCGTTGGTGGTCGGGAAGAGGGGGGCTAAAGAGAGGAAATCGTTGTCGTCAAGAGTTCGTAGGGCAAAGAAAAGAAGAGATAGGCGACGACGGGATTGTTTTTGCGACCGAATCGTGGGAGAGAAGGGTCATAACAAGAGAATGGAACGATCGTTGGTGAAATGTGAATGGGGTGGGGGAGGGGGGGTGTCAGGGTGGCGACGAGGCGGGAGTATGGATATTATGTAGGAACGACGCATGCCCTGGGGTTCCCTGGTCGTGGGTGGCTCTTTGGGATGGGCATAAGAGAAAAGAGGGCAGGGTGGGAGAGATGGGATGGGATGGGATGGGATTGCGGGTGGTGAAGAGGTACCGTAGCAGCAGCAGCGGCAGCAGCAGCAGCAGCGGCAGCAGTAGTAGTAGCAGTGGAGTCCTCGACGGGGGAGGCGGGCTGCAGGCGTTGCAGCGATCACTTTCTTTAGCCCGATCAAGGTCCCAGGTTCCTTGTCCCTTCTCCCTCCTGTACCGGCGTACTCTTCAGTGTACCACTGTACGTATCGGGTCACCTGCGTACCACCGCACCAAACGTACCTTGGTGGCCCTAGTCAGGCCTTTCTTGGCTTCTGCTCTCACCCCCTGCAGAATCGATGAACAGAGGAGAGAAAAAAATAAAAAAAAATAAAAAATACAAGAGAGGATGAGGCAGACTGCTCGTGAAGAATCCCCTGATGGACCGATTCAGTCTGCTGCATCATGTATGTATGATGTATGTGCAGGTCATGTCTGCAAGTACCCAAGGGGTGGATTGGGACCTTCTCCTCGACGTGCGCAGCGCCTACTGCAGGTGGTGGTTGGGGTGTGGATACCCATGCCCTGCCTAGGCGAGACATCTCGCGATAATGAAGAGGGAAGGGGCCAACTAAGCGGGCGGTTCAGAAGCAATGCAGTCTGGGCCACTGAGCAAGCAACACACAACCCCAAGTGCAGCGGCCAGCGCTTCGCTTTCCCGTTCCTAGACGCCGTATGCGTGTATTTTTCTCTCTCTCTCGCGTTTCTGTTCTCATTAGACAGTGGAGAGGTAAAGCGGCGACGATCTCTTTCTCTTTCTTACTTTTCTATTTCTTTCCCTTCTTCTATTTTCTGCCCTTTCCCCCCTTGTTTGCTCTTTTCTTTCTGTTTTCTATCCCAGACAGTGGCACAGACTATAGACAAGGTCACTGCGGCAGGTTGCGAGATTAGGTTCTGAGGGCACGGACAGTTGACCAGCGCCCCGCCAGATTCCAATTTGGCATCTGCTGAGGCTTACAGATGAAAGCAGGTACTGTATGTAAGTAATGCAGGTAATCGGCCGGAGATAAAAAGCTGAGAGTGGGTGGTGGAATGGATGGGTGGATTGGTGGACGGGTGGTAACGTGAGCGAGGCTGTTCTGGTGGATACAGGCCCGCCGTGGGTCCCAGCTTTCGCTACCCGAAGGGTCTTTTGAGTGAGGTCTCGACTGGCGAGCCGCTGGGTGGGTGTGTAGACGCTGTCGAGGATAAATCGAGGCTGGGGTGGTAGGACTGACGGGCTGACAGTCAGGACAGGGTGGAGGGGGGTTTCTGAACGTTGCAGCAGGTGGAGTCAGTCGAAGTGTGTGTGCGTGCCTGCGTGCGTGTGTGTGTGTGTGTGTGTAAGTGAGACAGGACCGCCAGATGGGCACTTGTCAGTTGCTGATCAAGAGCCAAAACCGGTATTCAGGATTGAAATGTTGATAATGACAATGCTTTGTTTGGTCCATGTGGGATGGGATGGATGCCTTGTCTACATCTTCCTCCCCAGGGCCCGGGCCCAGAACAACCAAGGACCCGTGCGCTGGACAGGCGGGTTCTGTCTACATTTGGTGGGGACCCCTCCTCCCGGTCTCGATCTTGTTGGAAGCCAAAAAAAGACCAGAGAAGAAACAAAACAAGAGAGGCTGGAGGACGGTGTGTCGAAAGTATTCCCAGGATGGCAGGGAAGTTAAATTACCCAAGATGTAGATGATAGAATCCTGACACAAAGGGAACGAGCACGAAAGGCTGGGGCAGGGGTTGGGAATCGGCAACCCGAATTATCCTTTTCTGAATGTTGCGCACATGGAACAGAAAAAAGAAGCAAGAAAGTATACGGTGCGTGAAGGACAGATCTGGCAGACACACGAATGGACGAACGAACTATTTGATGTGGCACATGTGATGTGCATTGCAGTGCAGTATGCAGTATAGTACATCTTGCTGCAGGTCGAGACGTATGAGGCATCGTGCATGGAAGGATTAATGGTGAACAAGGAGGGGGCTGAGCGAAGGTACACATGGTAGTAGTACGGAAGTATTGCACCACGCGCAGAGTACTATGTTAGAGAGAGTACGTACTATGTACCCTGAGAGCCATCAATCAGGAAGTAGCGAGACCGCGTTTTTTGGCGTCTGTCACGCGTTGCCCAGACGCGTCTTCCCCACTTTTGTCCCTCTTCTCGCACTTGCTCTTCTATCCTCGTCCGCTCTCTCTCCTCTTTTCTTCAAGGGGCGGCCCACTTTCACCGCCTCTGCGATCAGATCTCTTGTCGGGAATTGTCGTCCTGCACTACACCAGCCATGTTGTTTTCTAAATCACGAGTTTCTCATCATGGGGATGATCACTAAAACCCGACTCTGTCCATGTTCAGGTGATATCGTTCCCCATCGGCCCGTGGAGCTGGGTATGTAGAACTTACTGGGTGGGGACTCTCGGGTGTAAACTTAGAAACCCGCGTCTTATTTTATGGAGCGCACTCCTTCGTCGCTTGTTGGGTCAGGATAAGCAACCGAGCATTTCTCCTCCGACAGGCGTCAGCACGGGACATGGACATGAAAAGCACAAGAAAGAAAAAAGGAAAAACAAAGGAGTGGGGAGGGGAGGAAAGAGGAAACGTCTCACAACAGAGCTTCATCTGGTAGGGGTTCTACGTCCTAGATTCCTACTGACTACTTGGACGTACCAGTGTGGTAGTACTATAGTGCGTCGGCCAGTTGCATGGAAGGATTCAGCACATCACATCCCCTCTTTTTGTTTTTCCCTTTCTTCTCTTTCTGCTGCACCGTTCATCCGTTCTCATTCGGTCTCCTTTCTTTGTGGCCTACACAGTGGCTAGCAGCAGCAGCAGCAGCAGCAAAAGCAGCAGCAAAAGCAGCAAAAGCAGTAGGCGCAGGAGCAGGATAGAGTGAGTAGGCTCGGCCCCTGCAAACCATAATGCGAGGGGCGTGCAATGCTGCGTGCCACATCCGTATCTACAAGATGATAGTGAACCCATTTAGGTGGAATGGCGTCTGACCACCGTCCATGGCATCTGCAGTTCTGCCTGCGATGTCACGTAGGGCAGCTGCAGCCGAAAGCCGAGGGTGGGGAACCCTCCTCACTGCACAGGTCTCGTCAACTGGTTCACAAGAAGGAGACAGAGGAGGACTATTTGATCATGCTGGCCACGGTTGCCATTACGTGTGTGTTTACGTGCGATACTACCATCGCCTTCAAGATCATGCCACGGCTCTTCCTCGGAACTGGGATCAACAAAAGGCTTGCTCTGCTCCGTCCATGCCTCGTGTTGCAGAGCGCATGGTCAAGGAGATGAAGGCGAGGGGTTTTCTGGTCCGCTGGCTGTCACTGGCCGGAAGCTGTTCCGATCGAGGACTTGTGGTGTAGTCTCTGCCGATGATGTATCCTATACCATGCACCTGCTATTATATTACCCTGCAAGACACCCTCATCTCCTGGGCCAGCCAGCCAGCAGCATTGAAGAGCCAATTATCTTGTTTTACGAGGTGGCTTTCGATCTGAAACCACCCAACCCAAACGGCGCATGATGCGCAGCCTCAGAACGTCCGCCAGGTGTTCCTGACATGGGCCGAAGCTGGGCGTGCGTTGGCGCCACGAGAAACGCAATCAACATTCAATAGGGAAGGCGTTCAGCCGTTTCGAGGGCCTTTGTGGAGGATGTACGTACGATACTACAGATGGACCCGCGGCGGGTGTGGTTGTTGAACCTGCGCTCCACTCTCACATGGTTGACCTGCGGCTGCTGTGGCTCGCGGTCGACGGCGTGATAAAAGTAAGTTGACAGCGGCACGGACAGTGGACCACATTCTGTGCCTGAAGATCAGCCGACCTGCAGTGGACTCTCCATGTCATTCTGGACCCCAATGGGGGATGGATGGGGTCTGGCAAACATTTTGGGCCAGTGGGCGAATCAATTGGTGACCCTAGGCGGCGTCCAGATCACCATGGAACTGGCTCAACCTGGCCGGGGTCATATGCATTCAAGACATGAACAAACGCGACGGCCAGCGGGCTTGTGCACCTGCAGCCGGCCCAGGCCCAGTCTGTCTCCTTGTGTCGTCGATTCTTGGCCCTCTCAACGAGCTGGCGGGGGCAGTAGGAGATCAAGCGCCGTCGCACAGAGTCGCACAGCAATTTCGAAGCTTGCTCAGGAGCACACAATGCAGGTGAGCATCGAAGGGGGCAGGCCCAGGGGTGATAGACCGACCGACCCCTCGTGCTTTCATTCGGGCATTGGTCCATCGGCAGGGGTTTGTTCGGAAGGAACCACACTAACAGCTGAAGGCTACTTGGTAATGTATGTATGGGCCTGTGCTTGATCTACAGTAAACCATACATTCAAGTATGGGTTACAGCCCCACCCAGACGAAGCCATTGTATTGCTGACAAGCCGGGGAGCGGTGTTCAGGGCCCGGGACTTGGTCGGGCCCGCCGCCGGAGGGAGACCGGCCTCCCGCTCCGAGTTGGACAGAGTGAGTGACATACACTTCTTGTGTGAGTGTGTTTATCCTTTCAGTGTGGCACATGAAAGATGAAGCATGAAAATCTTGTCGGGTTTAACATGCCAAGACAATCTACTGGCTCTGGGGGCCTCTAGCGAGGAGGGTCGTCGACTGACTAGTCCGGTCCAGCTGAGAACCAGTTGGGCGCCACCCGCTTCTAGAACGAAGACGGATCCAGCTTTGCTTCATTCCAAGCAAGGGAGCACGAGCATTTTTTGGGAGGGACTTTTTCCTCCCCGATTTGCTCCTCCTCTCTTCTGCTATTGCTGCTGAACATACGCCATCTGTCTTCCTTTTCCATGATGCAGTTCATCTGCTCACTATGATGATCGGACTTTTGTCCTGCCCTACATCGTAGGCTCGTCTCTTCTTTTCCCCCTTCTCCCTTCCTCCCTTCTCTCTCTTTCTCTCTTGCTACGATTTCACCTTCATCTCTCGGTATACTCGTCTCCCCCAAGATGCCGTCCTCGCCTCGGCTCTTCAGGTACCTCCTGATCGCGGCTCTCTTCCTCCTCTTCACAGTCCCTTACCTCCGCAACCACTCGCCCAGCGCCCGCAACACCTACAGCGAGATCCTCCGCAGTTTTCAGGACGAGAAGAAGCTCTTCGTTGGCGACTTTCTGGAGAGTGGCGAGGTGGGCGGCGATCTGGACGGCTCCGAGCTGGCGAGCTTGTGCGCGAGCAAACATTGGTATCCTGAGGAGAAGGCCGTGATTGTGTCGTGTGAGCCTGTGCCGGGCGGGCTGGCGTCGGTCAAGAATGGGGCGTTGAACTGTGTTCGCTTTGCCATCGAGATTGGAGGTGCGTAATACTTCCCTTCCCCTTCCCCTTCCGCAGCAACTCTTCGTTTGTGTATGTGTGTATGTATATTGATCAGTTCCACAGCCCAACTCATCCTCCCCCGAATAGCCCTGCGCTCCGTCTCGGACATCAGCAACCTCCATGGCGCCCAGCAGAATAAAGGCGCCGGCCTAGACTACATGTTCTCCGTGCCCCAGATCCGCTCCGCCCTCCAGGCTCACTGTCCGCAGCTCAAAGTCCACGACTCTCTCGACGCCCTCTACGATAGACCCTCCCTCCTCAAGCCCTTGGACCTCGGCCTCTCCCAGCTCACGAGAGAGTTCATCAGCTATGAGGACATTCCGACCACCATCCTCGCGCAACCCCAGAACCTGTCGTCTTTCTTTCAGGATTATTTGGACTCGAATCTGCCGCCTGAGAAGCGCCATTATCCCGTGCGCGTGCACCTGGTAGGTCGATCTGCTATTCATCATTTCCTCGTCCTCGTCCTCCTCCTCTTCTTCTTCTCCTGGCAGAGTGCGAACCCAACCAGGGGGCTCTTTGTGGGAGCTGGACCAGTACAGTATGTTGTGAGAAATACATTACTAACAAACACCGTCATTGGCTACTTAGGCAAATACACTCTTTGCCTGGCCCGCCCACGAGGCAGGCACCTCTAGCCTGAGGTCAGACTTTGGAAAACTCCTCCGCACCCGTGACGACGTCAAGGCCCTCGCCGCCTCTGCCCTGTACAACCTCGCCAAAGTGTACTCCCTCCCCCTCCCCTCACCGCGCAGCGACAGAAGCGCCGCGCAGACCGCCGAAAGCCTCGTGGGCATGCACCTGCGCACCGAAAAGGACGCCCGCGACTCGTGGTCCTTCTTCCCCGGCTACGACGACCAGACGGCCTACTTCTTCGCCCACCTCGAGAGCCTCCCCACCCTGCCCCCGCCCCCTGGCGCACCGCCCGGCAAAAAGGGCCGGAAGCTGGCATACCTGGCCACAGGCCTGACCGCCACCGACAGCGACGTGGTGCGCTTCCGCGCCCGCGCCGCCGAGCTCGACACCACCGTCCTGCTGAAGCGCGACCTCCTCGACGAGACCGAGGTCGCCGCCCTCAACAGGCTCACGTGGGACCAGCGCGCCCTCGTCGACTACGAGATCCTGCTGCGCGCCGGCACCGTGCTGGGCATCGTCGAGAGCAGCTTCGCCTGGGACGTGGCGCTGCGCAGGGCCATGGCCTATACGAGTTCCGCACAGCAGCAGGACATCAGCAACTCGTTTACGGCGAGACCCGGTACTGTTGCGCGGCCGTCGTCGTTGTTGCCACAGGATGGAGGAAAGGATGGAGTGGTGGAGGATGGGGAGGAGGGAGAGGCGGTGTCGATGGCTATGTGGTTGGACAAGTGGTCGACGCTGTTTGGCAAGGTGGACAGGGCCGTGTCATTCTATTTAGGCACTTGGCCTTGAAAGGGGAAACAAGGGAAAAAAGACTTGGCCATGACTTGTGTGTGAGTGAGAGAGACTGAGAGAAGTCTTCAATCAATGTATAGGACCGGATGTCATCTTTGGGAGGGGGCGTTTTGGGGGAGGGGGGTGTGGGGTCGGTGTTTTGGCTACAAGTAAGCGTGGGACTGCATTTTGGATTAGACTTTTATCTTTTTCTCTTCAATATGGTCTAGAAATCATGGTAATTATTAACATGCTTGTATGAACTTAAAAGTTGCTCGTCTGTACTGGGTGAGAACGATGATGAGGAACTATGTGCAAGTTCTGTGCATTCGCATCTATCAATCAGGGATTTCCTGTCAACCCTCGTCATATCTCGGCCATGCATGCAGTGGGAAGCATACTGCCTCAAGTGAAAAGATGGCTGTGTGCTCTCCGTCCTTCCCCTCTTGTAGATGTATTACTCCCATGAGTGGAGCACAGAAGCATACGATTTCTGATGCAGTTATCGCACAACTTTGCCCCCCGGACAGATTCATAACGCTGTCATTGTCTTGAAAGACAATCAAGAACTTTAATTCCTCCCGAACAGACACTCCTTGCATTCTCTCACAACACCCGTCAGGTCACCGCTGATCAGAGCCTCCCGTCTCATATATCATTCATCTTGGACATTTTTGGTCCGTTCTCGACCAGCTTGACCCGCAGTCTATCGAGCACAGCCTGACGTCTCTGCATCTTGTCTCGAATGGCCGTCTTCTCATCTGCTGTGAACCCGCTCATCTTCTTTCGCGGCGACGGTCCGCCCCGGCCACCAGTACTGCCATTGAGCGAACGAAGCGGTGATGGTGAATGTGTGTTGCCACTGGCCGCAGTAAGACGCCGATTGGGTGGCGGCGTCCTGAAGACTTCAGGTGTGCCCTCGCGGCTCAGGGGACCTAGGCTGCCACTCATACGGAGCTTACGCATCTGAGACTCGAGAATATCAATCTCCCCGCTGCGCTTCTCGAAGGCCGAGGTCATCTTTGCAATGGTGCGCATGATGGCGTCGACAGTGGGCACAGCATTGGGCTTTCCGGTGAGGGTGGCCAGCTTCGTCTTGAGCATGGTAAGTGCGCTCTCGGCGTCGGCCATCATCTTGGTCACCCGGGCGTACGACTGGCGAAGCTCATTTTGTTGCGCAGCCTGCTCGGTATTGAGGGGCATGATGCGAGCCGTCGCGGCTTGGTCAGGGTCAAGGATATTGTCAAGCACGCGCTTGAGATCTTGCTTCCTGGCACGAAGCTTTTGTGTCTCCCGCTCCAGGTCCTGACATGTATCCCAGGTATCCTGGTAGTCCTGAACACGCCCGTTTTCGAGGTTTCGCGCCAATTCGTCGTCTAAAATGTGGTTGAGATCTTCCGCCTCGCAGAGAACCCAGTCATCTAGGTTCTCAAGGTCGTCCTGAGTCTTCTTCTGGTTAGGTTCACTCCCTTGGTGTCCCTGAATGAAGCCCGCAAGCGCCCGAGCGTTCAGGCCCAGTGTCACAAGCATGCCGTTCATGTCGCGATATAGAGCCTCCACTTGAGCGGCAATTGTCGAGGCATGAGCGTCTGCGGTAACACTGATAAATGCATTGAACTCGCCGATATCCAACGTGGCATCGACCGGGCTCTCGAGGAGTGCCTGGACCCTCTCATACTCATCATCTTCCAGGCTGTGCTGCTCTTGTTCAGCCTGCTTCTTCTGCGCCTCCTTCTGCAGGGCGACGTTGGGATCTTCCCGAGGTGGCACGCGGCTGGATATGGTCTTGCTGAAACCAGAGCTCTGGGTTCGGGGCCCGACGCCTGGGGCACTGACCGAGCGAGATCCCTCACCGGGCAGCATTCTTGGGGGTAGAGCATGGCGGATCGGACTTGGCGAGCGTGGGCTAGTAGGACCTGGCGCGGGAAACACGGGAGCACTTGAGCCGAACATGGACGGCCGAGAAGGTTGTTGCGCAACATCTGGTCGCGAGACGAGGGAGAAGGAGCTCCCGGTCATCCCTCCAAAGGAGCTCTGAGGGGTCATGCCGGGAGTCTGGCGGACAACGGTCGAGCTCGGGCTGATGTCCTTGGCAACATCGACGCCACTTCCTTCGCTGCCGCCATCTTCAGCTTCCTCTTCACCAAATTCATCCTCGCCGCCGTCTTGGTCGTCGCCATCAAAATCCTCAGTAAGATCGCTTTCGGAGCTCTCAGGAATGCTGGGAGCCGCCGAAGGCTCTACCGAGGTCAGCTTTTGGTCGGATTTCGGTTTGGTGACGAAATCTGGCGGCAAAGGCGCTTCCTCGGGAACCGAAGGCTCTTCTTTGGGCAAAGGAGGCGGCATGGCCTCAGCATCTGCCTTTGCCTTGCTCTTCGGGGCAAGGAAGTCCGGTGGCAGAGGAGCGTCGTCGACAGACTCGGTGGGCTTCTTGTGGTCTTCTGTTGTTTTAGTGGAGGCTATGGAAGACGAGGAGCTTTCGCCAAATGGGTAAGCGGCCTTACTCGTTGCATCTGGTGGCAATGGAGGGTCAGACGTATCGTCTGCAGCCTCCGGCGTGCTCGTGGCTTGGGTCGGAGCGAATGGGTTAGACTTGTTGATGCCAAACGAACTGCCGAATGGGCCAGGGCTTGGCGTGGGCTGGTTCGCACTGGTCTGAGTGAATGGATTGGCCTTGGACACGTTCGGTTGTGATGCTCTAGACCCGAATAAACTACTAGTCGATGCAGGCCCGCCGAAAGGATTTGGCTTGGGATTCGCGGTGTCGGTCGAAGAGAAATACCTGGACGGAACAGGCGTGGACGTTGGCGTCGTAGATTCCTGAGGCGTACCGAAGAGAGACTTTGGTTTCTCTTGCTCGACCGAACTTGCTCCAGACATGGCATCGTCCTTCGGCTCTGCAGGAGTTGATTTAGGAGCAGAATCATCTAATGACAAGCCAAATCCTCCGAGGCTGAGGCCGCCCTTGCCACTTGGTTTCTCGTTGTCATTGGCAGTAGCAGGGTCTGCTTTGAACGTCGTTCCGAGGACGAATGGAGACGCGCCAAAGGCAGTAGATCCACCTTTATCTGCTGTGCTCTGAGCTGGAAATGCCGTGCCTTTGTCCATGGATGTGTTTTGCGATCCAAACGCGGCAGAACCAAACGGCTTACCAGTACCAAAGCTGCTCTGGTTCCCTCCGCCAAACGAGCTCTGGTTTCCTCCACCGAATGCATTCTGTCCTGTGCTCGCTGCACCGAAGGGGCTGGCTGATGAAGACGTTTTCGAGAAGAGACTCTGGCCAATGTTGTTGCCTCCAAGACTTGCAAACCCGCTCTGTCCTGCAAGTGATGCGAAACCACCACCCGTTGCGGAACCACTGGAGGCTGCACCGCCACCAAACACCTTGCCGCCTGTGGAACCTCCGACAGCAGGGCCTGCGGAGCTCGAAAAACCATGGGAGCCGAAAGCAGGGGATGCATTCGTAGATGCCGTGGCCCACGGTGAAGACCTCGATCCGAGTCCGCCAGCCTGGCCAAATGCCGGCGCCGCAGGCTTGCCTCCGAGACCGGGAGTTCCAAAAGATGGCGCGCCAAAGGCAGGTGCTGCTGCTGTCGTAGAACCTGCTCCGAAGGAGTTTGATGGTGCTGAAGAGGGTGTCAAGGCTGACGCTGTACTACCGAAAGCAGATGAGCCTCCGAAGGCAGAACTCGTGGGTTGTGAGGCAAAGGGTGCCTTGGTGGTAGTAGGTGCGGCAGGTTGTGGAGCAGGCTCGCCCTGGAGCGCTGTCAAGCCTGGATACGTGATGTTTTCTTTCACAGCATCGTAGTACACCATCCACCAACCGGCAAGAACTCCGTCCTTGTTCAGTGCACATACGGCAGGTAGGGGGCCTGGTGAATACTCGATCTCCTCATCAGCCGGCACAGGCTTGTAAACCTTGTCTCTGCTGGACAGGTCCAACGCGAATCCGACGGGGTAGGTGTCAGTTAAATCCTCGTCTGTAGGCAGAGTCGCCCTCCTTGAGTCATCAGTGAACTCGGTGGTGATAAGAACGTTGGTGATCGAGTCTGCGGGCAGGTCGGTAGCTAGCGGAGCTTTGGATTTTGTGACCAGCCCCAAGTCTCCTGTCGCTGAGGATGCCACGATCAACAGCTCATGGATAGCAGGCGGGTGGTCTCGAAGGCGCAGGATTGTAGGATGAGGAGCTGCGTCCTCGAAAGAAGGAACGGGGTTAACCAGCTTTCGGAACTCGAAAGATGGTGTCTGACCTGCAGGCGCGTGCCGCGTGATAGCCAGAAACTCGGAATTCGGTGGCGATCCAGTGTTCTCGTTGAAGACGGCCAGGAAAAGATGATTCTCCAGCCAAGCAATGGATGCCACATGGTAGTTCTCCAAGAATGCTGGCTTGGGTATCTGTGCTTTCTCAACGCCATCCGGTGTCATCTGGACGATATCGCCACTGGCTAGGCCGGCAACCAGCTGCTTGCCTTTGGTGCTCCAGCCAGCAGACGTGACTCCGCTGCGGATGACGGGACCATTTGATCCATTGACAAGTGACTTCTGCTTGAAGTTGGCCATCAAAAGGTTGCCATTGTTTGTCACGACAGCACAGAACTCTGCCAGCTCAGACATAGGATTGGGCACCAACGTCTTGACAGCTTCACCACTGGTACTGATCTCGAAAGCCGCCTGCCCGTTCCCCTGGAACAGCGTCTGTGTCTCATAAACAGCCAGGCCACCGCCCTGCTCGGCAGACACGATCAAGTATTGCTCGTCGGGTGTGAAGGCCAAGTGTGATATCCGTATGGACATTGGTATCTTCGTCTGGGCGTCGAAGGGTCTGACTTCGGTGTCCCCATTTTTGTCGTTGTCGAATGCCTTCCGCACCGAGTCCGTCGGGGCGATGTAGATACCATCTGGACCAGCTGCAGCGACTATGCCTTTGCGTGATGCAATGGCGAGGAGCGAGGCTGTCGGTGCAGGCGGTGGGGACCACTTGGGCGTGAGCTGGACTTTCGCATCTCCAGCAAAGGGTGCGAATCCGAGGCTCTGTTTTGCAAGGAGCGCGTCAGTCAGTGATTGGCGTACTCCGCATTGAGGATATTCTAGGACTCTACCTCGGTCTGTATTGCATCACTATCGGTGACCTCAACATTTTGGCCACCTCCCTGCGTGGCGTCCATGGTTTCGCGCCTCGTTTGCCGTCTGGACTCAGGCTGGCGCTCCGTGGCCAGTGCAAACGGTTCGCGCTTTAGGTTCTGATCATGGACAGATCAAATCGTTGCGCGCGCAGAGAAGTTCCTCTCTGTTCCTCTCGATTCAGGGTGACAAATTAAGTAAAGACTTCAAAGATGCCTCTGGTTCCACGATCAAGATGCAATACGGGAAAAGCTTGGTCGTAGAAAGCAGCAAGGAAGTGTGTGTTGTCGAGGTTAAAAGAAATGTGAATGCTGCCAATGCACTGAAAGATCGCGCTTCAGTTGCAGTTGGACAGCCTGCCCAGAGAGACCCCTGCATTCTAGGAGCTTGGACCAGGCGCAGGGATCATGGATCAGCTCTCAGGCCTCTGCTGGAAGGCAGACACGGCAGGCCTGCAGCCTCGTCATCCCAGCTTGCCTGTTGAGCTCTCTCTCACGCTGGCTGGCAACCGACCTCACCTCTCGACAACCAGCCAAACGCCCCAAGCCCGCAACCTTTCTTTATTACCATCAGCCCTCCACCTCAAATCCCTTCCAACTCTCTCGATACCAAGTGATTGAATTGTATCTACCTCATTTTGAGAGGGAATTCCCACTGCTCGACAACACAACTGTCGCCACGATGCCCGGTTTCGACTTCTCGAACTACAACCGCAACGCTGCGCTGCACGCGCGAGGCGTCCCACTTCCGAAAGCCACCAGCACAGGAACCACCATCGTGGGATGCATATTCGATGGCGGCGTGGTGGTCAGTACAAAATTCCTCCTTCTTCGAGAACCCCTCCCCGTCACGCCTCCAGTGCCACCCTTGGTCACAGATGCACATTAACAACCACGTCGACGAGCTTCTCGGTCCCTGGGAAACAATAGCCCTAGCTAACCTGCACTTCTCACCGTACATATAGATCGCGGCTGATACGCGCGCTACATCGGGTCCCATCGTTGCCGACAAGAACTGCGAGAAGTTGCACTACATCGCACCCCAGATCTGGTGCGCAGGCGCCGGTACCGCCGCCGACACCGAATTCACGACGGCCCTCATCTCCTCCAACCTGGAGCTGCACTCCTTATCGACCGGCCGCAAACCCCGCGTGGTAACTTGTATGACCCTCTTGAAACAGCACCTGTTCCGACACCAGGGCCACATCGGCGCATACCTCGTCGTGGCGGGCGTCGACCCTACTGGCACGCACCTGTTTACGGTGCACGCACACGGCAGCACGGACAAGCTGCCGTACGTGACGATGGGCTCTGGCTCGCTCGCGGCCATGAGCGTGTTCGAGTCGAGTTGGAAGGCGGAGCTCACCAAGGAGGAGGCGATGGAACTGTGCAGCCAGGCCATCCAGGCAGGTATCTTCAACGACCTGGGCTCGGGAAGCAACGTGGACGTGGCGGTCATCACAGCAGACAAGACGACGCTTCACAGAGGCTACGTCAAGCCTAACGAGAGGAGCCAGAAACTCAAGAGCTACAAGTTCCCCAAGGGTACGACGGCGGTGCTGAACGAGAAGGTCATCAAGAAGGACGAAATCATGAAGTTTGTGAGCGTGCACGAGCTGCCGGCTGAGGGTGAGAAGATGGACGTCGACACATAGGCAAGGGGACAGAAGCGGTGATGATGACAGCCACGGGTGGACGGATGTGACCACGAACAGATCAGGTGGGATGCATCAATGGAAGGATTGCTTCCCACGGCCAAACCCTTTTGTAAAACAACGTTTTGACAATGAAATAGAGCCCTGCTATTTGACGATTATTATAGAGCTCCCATCCCATGATGTGATACAGACATGGTCATTTCGAGTCGCTCGTGCGCCCCCCGCCCCCCAAACTCACACTCATCTATGAACTATCCACCGTCTGGTATAGTGCTAGTTGGACCGATGCATGCATGCTTTTTTGATGGTTACAACACAGTCTTATGTGTTGTACATTCAGCAATACCTACGACTCACATTCTCTCAAAGCGATGGTGAAAGACTACTCCTCTGCCCCCCCCCCCCCCCAACATTGTTCCATGCTATACTAAGGTAATTGATTGCCAGCAAGTCTCGTCCTGGACAAGCCTGCTCGCTTCACCGTGTACATCCATCCAGCCCACTCTTATTTTTTGTTCCTCTCCCAGCCGCTCATTTCTGACCGTCCGTATGGCCAGGCCTCTCACTCGCCACCAATCCCTCTGGCTCCTGGGTGACTGATCTTTCTTCTCCTTCTCTTCTCCCCCGTTGACCCGCGGAGAAAGGTACCCACCCAGAAAGACAACATCCAATTCCCACTCACGCCACACCCCCTTCCTCGCGCTGTCGTCATCATCCAAGTACAAATCAACCAGTCCCGTTGTGAACCCAGCAGACTGTGACGACAGGTGAACCCTCATCGGAGGCGTCAGGCCCAGCTGCACCCTGTCCCGCCCGTACTGCGTCAGCTCCCCAGCCTCCTCAGGCCGCAACTTTGCCACGGGCGCCCAGAGACGCAGCCACGCTTCGGTCAGCGCGCCGTACGGGTTGGCCAGGTTCCGCAGCGAGACGCGCCAGTCCTCGACGCGGGCGATGGGTGTCCAGTTTGCCTCGACGCTTGTCGTGGGCACACCGTCGAAGCTGGCCCAGCTCCAGCTCGGACCGACGTACACGTTGTCATCGTCGTCGTCGTCATCGCCGCCGCCGCCGCCGCCGCCCCTGCCTGCGTATGGCCGCCTCCCGCCGTCCAGACCGGTCCATGTGAGGCCTTCTATGAGCACATGGCTCCATAGGCCTGCGATGTAGGTAGACCCCATCATCTGCTCAAACAGCTGCGCCAGCCCGCTCATGGCCGGCAGCTTGTCTGTGCGCTTGGTGAGCTTTCGGCGGCCGTAGGCCCAGAGCAGGTCGTTCCACCTCTTCAGGAGTATCTTTCTCCTCTGTTGCTCCGATGCTGGTGACAACTCGGAATTAGGTGGCGGTTGCTGCTGCTGCTGCTGCTGCTGCTGCTGCTGCTGCTGCGAAGGAAACGCCATCCGCAGATCACAGTACCGCTCGCCCTCGCGACACCCATCCTCGCCGACGATACCAGCGCTGCACTCAAAGTACATCTGCCTGCTGCTGAAATGCAAGGTGCGGCTGGCCAAGACACGTTCCTGCAGACACCACCCTCGCTGCCCGAGAGGCTCATCGGCAAACGACCGGCCGCGGTCCTCGGACCACTCTGGGGCCTCGAGGCTGGGGTACAACAGCGTCGCGTAGACCACGGCCTCGGGAGTGTCTCCATACCGGCGCAGCGTGACCCGAGCGTAGGGGCGGCCCGCCCGGCTGTGGAAACAGCCCTCTGAGCTATCTCTGGCGTGGCTCGCCGCGATCACCAGGTGCGCGTTGGAGTACACGCTCGCCATGCGGGAAGACTCGAGCGCCCAGTCGTTGTGGTCGTTCTGGCAGATGCAGAGGCTGTCGATCCAGAGATAGGGGATCTCGTGACGGCGGCAAATGGCCACGGCATCGGCAAACGTCTTGGGGAGGTCGGAGAGACGGATGCCGCTGCGGCGCGCCTGTATGGTCTCGCGTGTTGTAGTCAGGGACGCCGAAGAGCCCCACTAGAGTGAGAACCAATCGTTTGTCAAACATGCAAAAGGTTCCCAAGGCAGGATAGGGAGGGCCACCGATTTGGAACAGGGTTCGACAGAACTTACACAGTGGGACAAGCAAGCGTATTTCCCAGACAGGTCCTCCTCGCACTCTACAAGTCTGACATCCTCTGCACCTCGGACATCAAGCACCCGTGACGGCAGTGATTGGTTCCTCGGCCTACAGGCGTCATGATGTTCAACACATTCTCTCAACCACCTAGATGTGACCTCAAAGCTGCCTTGAGACCCAGAATCCACATCCAAAGGCCGCTGAGGGATGGCATATGCCAAGGGGCTGGCTTAACGGTCTCAAAAGAGTCAGCAGGAGGGAGACTCCGCGCACCAAGCCCACGAGAGTAGCGACAAGGGTGCCTGGACAGACTGACGTACAGGCCTCGACACTTATCCCAACACCGGTGAGCAGATGCGCCCTCTGCTTGATATTCGGGTCTCGGGCCAAGACAATGAACCCTTCAGCCCCGCCAACGCGTCTCGTAAGCCAGAGTCTCTCCCACGCCGGTATCGTCTCCGTCGCAGCGCGCTCGCGCCGGTACCACTGCCACAAATCACTTGCTTCTGTCCGGCGGTAGTTTGCGACCCATTCCTGCACGCCCGCGTGGACAACGGCGCAGAGACCACACGATGCAGCCGATCTCGACAGGGCTCTGAAATGAGCATGGTATGGGAACCCTAGAGGCGCGTCATCGCGCGCTGCTGGGCCCCAAGAATAGAATGGACTGAATGAGGGGAGTTCCGTGTCATTAGCTAAGCGAATCGTATGGATCTCGGGCGTTGCGGGCAAAGATTCAAAAGGAATGCCCTGGCAAGTTGTACAGAGCGCCATGAGAAGAAACTGGTAAAACTGGTTGGCATAACCAGGAAACCATCATCTTGAGTGCACAAAGGGTGGGTCAGGCGTCGACGAAAGGTGGAAGTCGACGAAAGCGCCAACTGCTCCGTGGTGGTAAAACAGGGCCCACTCACATGGACTACTTACTGTGGTACATGGTACTATGGTACAGTGCTGTACCAGACATAGTACGTAGTAATAGTAATCAACTTGGTGACGGACCCCCATGTCTGTCCCCCATCCACTGTCGTAATCCAAAATAGAAACACCATAAGCGACCGCACATGCAGAACACGGGTTGAAATCAGTTTGCTCTTGAGCAGCTCCCTTACTGAAAGACTGATTGAAGGTTTGTCTCCCTATAATTGATGGATCAATAATGAATTGACTTTGGGCTGTAAGCTTGGGAGGTATAGGGCACACTCACTTTATCAGGGGCTGCTTTCCCTAAAATGCTGCTGCTGTGATGTGGGCGCATTGTACTTGGGAGGCCTCAAGCGAAGAATGTAATGCAAGATGAAGGACACTGAAAACCGGAGTCAAGAGTACCTGACAGCATTGAACAAGCAATGGCACAGTTTCCAACGCTCATTGCCATGATGGATCCATAATTCTATTCCCCATTTATTAAGTCTCAACTGAGCTTGATCCCGTTTGCGTATCGCAAACACCACCGTCTTGTGGGCCAAACCAGCACCAAAGTACCAGGCAAAGGAAACGAAAGAAAACAAAAAGATTGGGAATTAACGACCGTCGAGTTCAAAATACCATGAAAACCCAAGACATCCTCCAGTACCGTTGATAGGACGAAATCTGACCACAATTTTGACGCCTGTATCCCCTTTCTCATACCTACGCCGTTTTCCCCTGTAACAGTTGGACCTCGTCCCAGAATTTCAAAAAGCCTGCCGTCAAAGATGAGAGAAAAGAAGCACAAATCAAGAATGTTGGGCGTAGCGAGGGAGGAGAGAACAATAATGCGGCAGACGCAAAACGATATGGATATTGGCGGAGGCGACCAACGATTTTTGGATATGAATGCTGTGAATTCAAAAAGTGCAAGGAGTCCGGTAGTGAATGATCCATCATAACTCCACGCCAGTAATATGCTTGATACGCGTTGAACAAAAAAAAATTAGGTGGAATCAATAAGGGGGGAGAGAGAGGGAGAAGGGAGAGAGAGGGAGGGGGAGAAAGAGGGTTGAGACGGGATTCTATGATTTCGAGGCAATAGGCTCCAAGTTTGCCGTCATGGCACAGATGGCGGGATGGCAAGCCCCCTAGGCTGTCTGAGCCACACCATCGTTGTGCGGACGGCTCTCAGCCAGTGCCTTTCGTAAACCGGCGATCTCGAGTTCCATGAAGCCGATCTTGGAGTCTCGTTGGGTGAGAGTGCTCTCTACAGAGGTGAGCCGCGCCTCTCGTGCGTTTGAGACATTTTCGACGGACGCAAGCCGCTCGCTGAGGTCCTTGACCCTCTCCTCGAGCTGCTGCAAGTAGGTCCACACAGCCTGATCGCCTTGCGCGAAAAGATTGGCCGAAGACTCGCCGCTGTTGCCGTGGTTGACGGGCCCATTAGACAGCCTGGTGTGCGTCGGAGCGTTGGCTGCCAGCCCTGAAGGGTGCGATTGACCTTGTAAGCTGTTAGTTGGCTGATGAAGGCGTATGACGTGGACAAGAGGGTCTATTGTACTGTGTGGTGGTGGCAGCGGTGGCAAAGGATGTATGTCTCGTTCAGATGGGCGTCGAGCATACTGCTGCTGCTGCTGCTGCTGCTGCTGTTGCTGCTGCTGGTGTTGGTATTGGGAAGCCAGCCCTGGCGAGCGCTGTCGTGCCTGGTCGTGCACTGCAGGGCTCAATGGCTTGGGGCTCTCGGTGATGCCTTGATGATGCGATGGTGAGCCTCCAGTATCGTTGCTGACACGTGCACGAGGGAGAATGGAGGAACGGGGATGGAAGAGCTTGCAGAGGGATGAGAAGGGAGAGAGGGGAGCTTACCAGTGATATTGCTCGCCAGGCTTGAAGGGCCAGCAGCGCTGCTATTGTTGGGCGGGTAGAGGACGCTTGGAGCTCCTGCGCGCAGGCTACCAGCGGGCGGGTAGGTGCGAGAATTCGGACCAACAGCTTCTGGACCCAGGGCATGAGGGGCCTTGATGGCGGGTAGACTCTGCCTGCGACGCTCTTCCTCGGTCATGTCCACGTCGCCATTGTCGTCGTAACTCACTCCACCCATGGATTCATCACCGTCATTCCGAGAGGCACCGTCATACTCACCCTGGTCGCCGTAACTTCCCATGGAGGCGCGCCGGCCGGCACAACCACCAGCGCCTTTACTGTGACGGGCTAACGCATCACCTCGTGCGAACTTGCGACCACACTTTGAGCACTCGTGATTCTTCTCGCCAGTGTGCAGCTTGCCATGACGCTTCAGGTCGTGGAGGCGTCGGAACCTCAAGTTACAATCCTTGCACAGGTATGGCTTCTCCTGGCTGTGGGTGAGGAGGTGGCTCTTCAGATTGTGATGGCGCGTAAACTCCGTGTCGCAGTATGGGCACTTGTGCTTCTTGGACGAGATTGGCATCGGCTCAGCACCGTGGGGGAGGCTGGCTGGTCGAGGTGGAGGCCCGGGTGACTGCGCGGTACCGCTGGGCGGCAGGACGCCCGGATAGGACAGAGAGGTGGCCGCCTTCTCTGCCATCTGCACGTCAGGCTGAGACGCAAAACTCTGCCTGTCGCTGCGCTGGTCGACATCCATGGGACCCGGACTGTTCATCAAGGCATGGCTATCGGCGGCGGCGGCGCCTCCTCCTGTGCTCGACGCACTGTGCGGGGGGCTGATGTCTGTCCTGGCATCCGAGACGTTAGGCTGCGGTATCGTGACAGGACCGAGGGCTTTCGTGGCCTCGGCGGCCAGTGCGATCTCGTCCATTGCTGCTGGCGCGTCCTGTGGACGGCTGACTGTCATGGTGGATCCGGACATGAGGTCGCTCAGAGCCTTGTGGTTGGGGTTCTCGCTGACCCCAGGCGGGTTGCGCCTCTGTTCCTCTTCCCTCCGTCGCCGCTCCTCCGCGACCGCGGCGGCACCGGTGAGCTGAAATGGGGGGGACAACTGCGCTGTCAGGCCGAGACGAGCAACTTTGGACGGAGAGTAGTCGCGGTTAAACTGGGCGGCGGAGGTATTGGAGGTCGGCGAGATCGGGGACTCTTCACGAGGCCTCTTGTTATTGGTATGGCCAGACGGCTGTATGGGCGAATCTGTAGCGACAGGCGGTGGTAGAGGAGGAGGAGACGGAATAGAGGTTGTTGGAGGCAGGGCTGAGGTGGACGGTGCGACGGCCGTCGCGTGGGTGGCCGTGGCGAGGGGTGGATCTGGTGCTGTTGGTGCAGCGTCGGATGCCATGAGGCGGGGATGACGAGGATGCTGAGGGTTGCGATCGCTGGTGTCGTGTTTCGTGTGTGTGGCGGGAATCAATTGCCGCAGGATCCAAATATTTGGTCGTCGTCGGGCCTGCACATGCCTAGAAATTATTCCTCACTTGTCGCGTCCCTGGGGGCATTCTCCCAGGCTGGGGAGCGGACTTGGCGCGAGTGACGAAATGTCGAGGCTGTGTGGTTGTGGCGCTGGCGAGGATGGATCGTGGCGCGAGCTTTGGGTGGTGGTTTCGATTTCGTTAAGGCAGTTGAGGCGAAGGAGACCGACCCGCGCGCAGCGACCTTTTTGTTTCGACCGTGCACTCGTCCAGACCAATGTGGGCCCGTAAGTGTCTTGAAGATGAGTTCAACTCAGCCCCCAGGTGCGTTGGGAAATCTGAAATGCTATGCGTGTGTGTGTTTTGTACGAGGGTGGCGCACAGCTGAAATCAAAAGGTTAAAGAGTTTGCCCAAACAACTGAGTGGAAATTATGTCTAGAGAGTAATTGAATCCTGGTTCTGGGAAGAGTGGGGGGGGGGGGGTGTGATTAAGCGGAGGCGAGAAAGGGACTTGGAGGGACAGGGACGAAGATCGGAAAATGTTGGATGATTCAGCTTGGGGTCGAGTTACTATAGCAGGTTGACGGGAAAAGATGAACGAGGGGCGAGTTGAGGCTCGGAATGACAAACCAGGTTTTCTTGGGGGCAAAGGCGGCGGGGGAATTGAGATTGAGATTGAGAAGAGGGAAGAATAATCCACACCTCCCAAAAAGAACAATTTGAAAATGGCTAATTGTCATTGATTGTGACTTGGGCCCGACCAGCTGGATTCGATCTGGCAAGAGGAAGAGAGGGAGGGGGAGGGCTCGGACGGGGGGGCCAAGCATGTGTTGTGTGGGTTGGTGGAATAAGCAGACCTGAAGGCGGATGAACGATGTGGGACGGGACGATCAAGATCACAAGCAATACAACCACGCAACTACCGGTGCGCAGCGTGTTCTGTTCTTAGTGGGCAGACAGCAGGGCAGTGATGATGCAGGTGAGTTGATGGCTTAGTAGAAGCGCCTCGTCGAAGGTACCTATGTCTATGTATGGGACAGTACAAAGTACAGGTGAGCGTGGCTGCAAGTGGTCCAAATCACTATGGTGGCAGACAGTCTACATGATCGGTGAGGGCCATGACCTCCAGGTGGGTCCTGGCCCTGGAAAAGCAGGACTCAGACGGGTTCTAGCATACCATACTTACTTAGTACTCTGTCCTAAAAGTCCCGTAGTATCCGTTTGAAGGAAGTACCTGCAGGTGGCATGCGAGGGAGGGTGGGATGAGGAGGAGGAGGAGGCTTGTGGCCGGGTCAAAGCCCACCACTCTCGTGAGGCGCTGCCTACTTTTTTTCCCTTGTGCCACTCTATTCCCACAGGGGGGAGCCACACCTACTAGGGGCTATTCTACGGTAATACTATGGTAGTACTCCGCGCATAGTATACTCGGTAGTACCTGGATTACGGTACCCCTGGTATCTACAGGCCCTCCTGGGCTGACCCTGAACCAGGCCCTGAACCAGGCAACCCAGGGTACCACCGCAAAAGTCGTAATCCCATGGCGCAGCAGGGGAAAAGGCCAAAGAGAAAGGCAGCAAGGAAAAAAAAGACGTAAGGCTGTCTGTGCTTTTGTTTCTCAACACCCACACCTCACCTACACCAGATTGTTCCAGACAATTTGTCTATCATGTCGATCATTTGAGTCACAATGGTTTAAGATTTTTCCCTCTCCCCATACGAGGGCTTGTGTCACAGTGATAGCACATCACAATATCCATCCTCATAACCTGCAAGGTTGGTTTTGGGTTTGGCGTGTCTTGCTGGCGGCCAATCCTGGACTGACAGGACGGCACAGGCTAAACCACCTCGAGCCACAGGCTGCCCACCGCTGTAACCCTGTACTGACAGGAAGGGGAAGTGAGGGGTCCACGCCAAGGCGCAATAGGCAAGCACACTTGTACTGTTCAGGCCATGCAGCCATCATGCGCCCTCCTCTTGGGTTTAGTGGCGTCCTGCTCTCCGCCGTGGACTGACACGCGCATGCCCCAACCCCCGGGAACAGCAAAGGAAAAACGTGATGACGAGGATAATGATAGGTAAGGGCCCCACACTCAGCGGTAAGCAGGGCAAAAGGGAAGAGCACTCGGGCACCCTGTCATCACATGTGGGAAGGAAGCGGAACAATGGGGGATTGGTACACAGTAGTCCGTAGCGTTGTGTTTTCTTCTCCCTTCTCTTCGCTTTTTTTTTTTTTTTTTTTTTTTTTTTTTTTTTTTTTCCCCCTTTCTTTCTTCAGCAGCGATCTTCACACGAACAAGGACATGTCTTACTACACATGTACTAGTACTATGCACTATGCACGGCAGTGAGCGAGACCGGGATTTGATCCACATCGGCGTCTGCTCAGTCAGCCTACCCATCTGCTCACGATAACTACTGCTACTGCTACAACTACTACGATCGTATTACTTGGTAGTACTCGAAAGGAGGAAGGTTGAACTTTTTCACAATGACTACAGTGCCAGGTGAGTGCCACTCATCTTAATCCCCTACAGTGAGTGGTACATAGTTACAAACCCTCGAGTAACTAACTAACTAATTCATCGTCGTTGCTAGAGCAGATTACCGTAATTCCACGCCCTTCTCATTCATTCTTACGAATTGGCTAGTCACAATGCCATGATTACTTGTTTACTAACTGTACCTGCTAATTCAGTTGTAAGTACGAGCGCCTCATTCCGCCCCTAAAAGAGTCAGCGCAGGTAAACAGTACACATACTAGCGCTCAGCAGCAGCCTCTATTAATACAACAAATCAGGCCCAGTCAGCCCCGTCTACTTGCATACTATACACTGCAGATTTCTCACCATCTGTATGTGTGGCCTTGTCGGCTCTCAGTTGCCTTGAGCAGCTCCCATCGTGGGCAGCCGTATTGAGGGCAGTTCTGCCCCCCCCCCCCTCTCCCCTTTGACCTGAAGGAGCACCAGTCAGCAGCAGCCACAGAATTGCCGGCGGCTGTCGAAAGACAAGTTTCTCGGCAAACCCGAGTTGCGCTGCGACGTTTTGAAACTGCTTAGAGACATTGAGCCGCACGGAGTTGCCGGACCTTGATACCCATTCACGGTGCACACCCCCCTCTCTGTCGTTGATCAGGAAGGAACAAAGGAATAGAAAAAAGAAGAAGAAACGAAAGTGAACATTTGAAAAGTTGGTGGCTGACGTGGCTCTGTGCGGCCTTGTCCATTCTGGTGATCAATTCCCTCTCGGATTGGTCGCCTTTTGGTCTCAGCTGTCATCTGTGGCGATCCGATCGGAGATGCCATCGAGTACTCCGAAATTCTCATTTCCTTACACCTCTCACCAAGGCTTGGCATCTCATATTTGACGGTGTGGACTGACCAAGATCTCAAAAACCTTGAGGAAAAGAGGGAAAGAAAGAGCCGTACGATGTTGCTAGGTGGCCAAGGTGAGACCGGTCGTCCCACCTGCCTGGGAAAACGGGTGTACAACCTCCATAACCAGGCTGCCTGATGAGGCATTGCAACGGGCGAGCGCCGTGAAACTCGATCCTCTGAGCGCCTGACATTCCTGCTCAGTTTTGTTGCTCAGGAAGAGATTCACGTGCTGGGTACGCAACTTTGGACCCTTTGGATATTCCTTTCCTTGCGTTGCACGAAAGCAAGCACGCAGGCTTCCTTAGCTTCATCCTGCACGGTTGAAACATTCCTTGCCTATCCTGCACTGCTTCCCTTTTCTCTCTCTCTCTCCCTCTCTTGATATTTCTGCTTGTTCTGCCGAGTACAACGTCACATCTTGGGATGCATATTCGAGCACTACAGGTGCATCAAACTCCTCCGCCATGTGGTCCAGGCAGGCAAAGGTGGGTGGGGAAGTTAAAACATGGCTAAGCCATGAATCCATTTATAACATCTTATGTGTTTATGCTACCGCGGAAGAGAAAAACATGTATGTACAGAGAAACACGCCTCACGGCAGGGGTCAATGAAAGCCCGCGAGCAAACACCAACAATAAAGATCATCATCACCAACCATGGACACCCGACCGGAGATGATTTTTCTTCTTCTTTTCTTTTCCTTTTTCTTTACAGGGACCCGAAGGTGGCCACGCTGGACAGGGCCTCACCCGAGGACGAGAACATGCAGTTGTCAGCACAGCTGCTGCCCAGGTTGGCGTTGTCAATCCAGGCAGGCTCCCAGTAGAACAGGCCCGAACCGCCCGAGACGTCCTCGACGACGGCGGTGACGTCCTTGAGCCAGGTGGACTGGCCGGCGGCAGAGAAGGGGATGCTGGTGGTGTCGGAAGGAAACGAGTACTCCGGGTCTGGGCACGAGGTGGGCCAGTTGGTCTCGGCGATGATGAGGTCCTTGCCCCAGGCGCTGTACATGTTCTCGAGGGTGGTCTGCAGGGCGGACAGGGTGGCTTCGTCCGAGTAGAAAGGATAGTACGAGACGCCCATGACGTCGAAGTCGGTGGAGGCCAGGGGTCCGGCGGCAAGGAGGCCCTCATAGAACCACTCCTGCAGGGACCAGTCCCAGCCGTTGGCCAGGTGAATCATGATCTGGGGCTGGGTGGTCAGGTCTGAGTCCTTGATACCCCAGGCCGCGCTATGCAGCAGGGTGGCCACGTTGTCGAAGCCTGCGGTCGACGCCTCGCCCGTGGGGAACAACAAGCCGTTGCTGATCTCGTTGCCGATGGAGATGATCTGCGGTGAAATGCCTGCCTCGGCGAAGGCATTGGACACGTCCAGGGTGTAGTTGTAGAGCTCCCCTAGAGACACAAAGAGAGTCAGTCAAGACAAATACTTGAGGGAAGAAGATAAGAGAGGGTGTTGAAAAGGGGACGAGTTAACGCACAAGACAGGTCAGCAATGGCTGTAGGCCAGCCACTGGGGATAGCCTGGTCACTCGGGTCCGCCCAGGTGTCGCTGAAATGCAGGTCAAGGTAGATACCCAAGCCGGCAGCCTTAGCACGCTTGGCCAGGGCCAGGTTGTAGTCAAGATCATAGCTGCCGTCGGACGGGTTGACCCAGATACGCTGGCGGACGGTGGTGACGCCCGCGCCGGCGAGGATGGTCTCAAGAGCCTCCGTGGTGCCCGAGGCAGTCTTGTAGCTGACGCCCGAAGCCTCCTCGACGGCCACGCTGGACCAGTCGACGCCGACGTAGGTCAGAGCCGCGGAGGCCATGGAGGCCCCGGCCAGGAGGGGTAGGACGGAGTTGGAAAGCATCGTTCTTTTCTCCTTGGTTGGTGGTGGTGGTTTTGTATATATGTGTGTGTGTGATATAGGAAAGAAAATAAGATATCTCCTTATAGTGAGTGAAGATGTTCAGACGAGAGAAACGAAAGACGGACCAGCCAGGATACTTGGCAGCTAAACCAATGAGAAGAATGAAGGAGAGTATCGAGAAAGGCAACAACAAAAACAATTCTTTCTCACAAACGCTTCCCCCTCGGGATGACAGCCGAAGGAGGGAGACGATGCTGGTTTTATCTATCCCAGAAAATAAAGTCCAGCCCAGCAAAGACCAATGCTTGTCACACCAAACACAAACAAACCCACCCTTCCCTCCTCCTCCCCTTGACTAGCAGCACAATCAAAACAACTTGGAGAAATCAACTTCCGTACGATATCCACACCACGATGAACGACATGGTCATGTCCGCTGTCCGTCATCCCGAAACCCCCCCCCCCCTGCGGGCGCCCCCCAGCCCTTCTCACCCCTCCCCTCAGCCTAACTACGGTACCACTAGTACGGTTCACATATTCATTATTATGATGCATACTCGTACCTACGGTGCAGCACCCCCTAGGAAAGTCGTAACTACAAGTACCATTCATAGAAATCCACAGTTACGAAATGGGGCATTGTTCCTTTTTTTTTTTTTTTTTTTTTTTTTTCCTTCTTTTAAACGAGAAATCGAACCCCCCATGCGACCAAACAAGAAACATCCCAAGCTCCCCTTCATTAACCCTAGGCGGGGCGCGCCTACCAAAAGGCGCAAGTGGAGAGGGAGCACGCCCGCCGGTTCGTCGAGGGTATAGCCGCGTCTACCCCAGATCCTCAGGGGGACGAGGCTCTGTTTGAAACGCCGATCCTTGGCCCTGCTGGGTGAACGGCCCCTGAATTTCCGTCCTGATGGGATCTCTCCGACAAGACATTTGTTTTTTTGTCTTCGTTTTTTCTTCTATTCTGAATTTCATAATATCATACATAATATTTACCGAGGCCTACGGAGCATGATCACCGAATATGACAGACAGACAGGCATACCATAGTACAGAGATGCGCGGCCCGATTTTATACTTTCGTCTCTTCTTTTTTCTTCCTTATATTCAAGAAAAATCAGGTTGATCATGTGTTTTAATTCATACTTCCCAAAGAGAGAGAAAGAGAGAAATACTGTCAAGCCATCGTCCTCCTCCTTGAGCCTCCATCCCCTGCCAGGCCCAGGTCGATCAATGTCATCATGAACTGTCAGAACATGATCGATCAGATGATGAGCCTGGTTCGGCGCGATCCGGGATGTCTGTGCCCAACTAACCCTTGTCATACTTGCCAGCTACCGCAGCCTTCCAGAAAACGACAGAAGCTCCTACCGCCTGAAGCCCCTTTCCTTTCCACGAGTAATCATACTTGTGAACGCAGGGGGGGGGGGGGGATAGGAAGAGAATGCTCAGACATAACCGGCCCAGAAAACCGCACCGTCTCGCCCTGACCGTTGACTGGCCTGTATGCTTCAACTTCGACCGTTTGATCGCAAACCGAATGCTCAAAATACAACGCTGTGCCGTGATGATATGCCGCTCTTTATGTTGGGTAAGGGCTTAAGGGAAAACCGAGACCGACCAAGAAGACTGCAATCCAACCAACGTACTGTGCATGTCTGTGTGTGTTCAAGGTGACGCCTCGACGCTGATCGAGGCAAGAGAAGCTCAGCCCTTGATGTCGTGCTCGACAGCAGCATAACCCTTCCAGCTCTTGCACTCAACCTCCTCACCCACAATGCGGTGCACTTCCTCCAGTGTATCGTTGGCGCCCCAGGTCGTCTCATCCCATTCCTCCTCCCCGTTCCTATTCTTGTTCTCTGCTATCTGCTCCCTCTTGGCCTCGACAAATCGCTGTCTCAGCTCATCCATGATGGTCATGTGCAGACCATCTGGTGCCCTGGCCTCATCTTCCCCCACAGCACCCCATCCCCATCCGCCACTCCACTCAAAGAACATGACCTCTTCTGTGCAGGCCCAGATCGCCGCCTTGACAAAGGAGTGCAGAGGGCCCCTGCCCCTCAGGAAGCCCCACAGGATGAACCCGCCGCCACGCAACAGCACCTCCTTAAAGGCCATCACGCGGGCGTGTCCCATGCCCGGGTCGCTCTCGAGGAGCCGCATGCAGTACCGTGCATAGCCCTTGGACCCCCCTGCCGCAAGCGTCAGCAGCCAGCAGAGAAGCCGCGTGGGGAGCGAGCGCAGCAGATCGATCTGGAGCTGGCGGAGCTGGCGCATCTTGCGGAAGTGCAACGCAAGCCTGGCGTTGTAGGCACTGAGCGTGTTAACTCCGGTGCTGCGGACGTCCGTCGTGCTGTCGCTCATCGTGTGCCAAGCCCGGGCTTTCACATCGCTCACGCCTCCGGCTTGGTCCAGTGATGGGTGGGCTGCGAGATCAGCAATCTGGTCCGTGATGTACAGCGCGTCTCGCAAGCCGGCCTTGAACTTTTCGAGCGACGCAAGGGAACCCAGACCCAGGGTATCAGGGCGGTCGGTGAGCATAAACCCGCCGCGGTCCAGGATCGAATCCACACGGTCCTCGCGGCGCTGGAGCTCCCGGACGGTATGGAGGGAGTTGCGCAGGGGAATAACGCATCGCTTCTCGTCCCTGGAGGTAAGCACAAGGCCGGTAGGAGGACTTATGTAGGTGGCGATCTTGGCCTTGGCAATGCTCTGCTTGTAGGAGTTGATGATCAGGTAGACGTGCTAAACAGTGTCCTGGTCAGTATACCTGTCGGCATCACACCGAAATTGGCCCCAGAAGAGGCTCTCTCCCATGACAAGACACCAAGCCATGAGTTACATGTGCTTTCGCCATCAGAGGGATTCCTGACTTACTTTGCATGTCTGCATCAGACTCGACAGCGTCTTCAAGTCGCAGTGCTCAGCAATTTCAAGAAGCAGGTCCTGACTGACCCGGTGACCTGCGGTATGTGCCATGGCGACAATAACAGTGTAAATCCTTCAAAGGAATACAGAGTATCAATGAAGAGGGGGCTGACAAGGTGATGGATGCTCTATTTAGCCCAAGAAGGTGATGATGGCTATGATTGGCGGTGGTGGTGGTGATGGTGGCGGGAGCAATGGCTGGTTGCTATTGGTGTGTTGGAATAACACTGAATGTAGTATATATTTGTTGTTGTAGTTGGGGTGCCATACCATATAGTCAGAGGAGGGCCCCTTGGCCAGGAAGTGGCCAGTGAATCACAGGTTAACTGTATTGAGCACCTTGATGGCTCCTTCACTGCTAACTGTGAGCGGTGGGCCTCTTCAGAATCATAGCTTGGCCTTGAAGAACTAGAGACTGAATCACTGCAGATATAGATGATGATTTTTTCAGTGGAAAAAGAGGGGACCTTGATGGTACTCAGTCAGCGTAATTCCCTGAATTTGCCATTGTGCTGAATGCTAATAACAGGCCGTTCACAGAAAGAGGGTGAGTCAATCGACAGCCTGTAAGGTGAGCCGCTGGTGAGAGTAATCTAGATGGTTCCTTGTACAGACCCAAAGTACCCACGTGTATAATAGCATTGTTTTTATGACTCTCTGTCCCCCTCTCTTTTTTTCTTCTTTTCTTTCTTTTTTTCTTCTCTTTCTGGTATAGCATGGAGGGGGTGATGGTCCAGCGAGTGCTGGTCACTTCCTGGGTCTCGTGCCTAGACTGTTGTCATGTGCTTGCTGAGACAAAACTGCATTTTCAGCTCGGGTTGAGGCTAGGTTTTGACTAGTCAATCTGGTCACCAGCCAGAATCGTCGAACACACTGGAAAGGGGAAGAGAAAAAAAAAAGACGAGTCTGAGGATTCTTGTTCGTATTGCAGAGGCATTGATAAATGCCATTAAACGATAGAAAGAGAAGACTGTGATTCGGACAGGGTTGTTTGCAATCATGAGAAACCCGGAGCCACAACAACAAAATTGACCAGAAATGATTGCAGGAGTGCATGTTGTGAGGACAAACATTGAAGCAGTGTAGAGACTTTTTGTGTGTTGCGTTTCGCCTTCTTGACTACTTATGCAAGATTAATGGTCACCAAACAAGGATCCTATTTGTCCACAGGTGGCTGTTGATTACCTCATATTTCCTTAACGCGGTCTTTGACCTCAAGACTCTTTCCTCCTACAGACCCAAGTGTTCGGATCTTGTCCACAAGCTCATCCTTCTGGTCCATGGCGAGGATGTCATCAGAGCCGCCGATGCTTATGCCATTGATGATGATGTTCGGTACGGTTGTCCGGCTGGTCATTTTGCCCAGCTTCTCTTGTATCTGCTTGCCCAGGGGGTGTATGTCGAGCTCAACAACGTAGGGCTCAGGGGTGATGTTGTATTTGTCAAGCAATACAGCCTTGGCCCTCTTGGAGTATTGACAATATGTCTTGGAGAAGATGATCACTGTACACCTCGTCAGTATACAGTCTCGACTGTATGTGGCCAGACGGTCTCACCAGGAGACTTCTTGAGGATCTCGTTGAGGGTCGTCTCGACCTGATGATCCTCCTCCGTCTCCTTGTTCCCAGCGCTATCCCCACCAGCCTTGTCGCCAGACAGCTTCTTCTGGCCACCTGCTGAGCTGCCCACCCCAATGACCTGCTCTGGCTTCTCAGGCTTCATCACCTTGGCATTGGCTGAGTCCTTTGCCTTCTGCTCAGCAGCCTCCAGGCGTGCCCGCATGTCCTTGGCCAGCTGCGCGTCGTCCTCCTCCTCACTTTTGGAGCTGCCTGTACCCTTGTTTGTATTGGACACTGCCTGGGCTGCACCCTCACCATGTGCTTTGTCGAGGCCCTCTCTTGTCTTCTTCCAGAAGTCGTTGAATGTCCTGCTGTCTACCTCTTCTGATGCTCTAAGCTGGGATGTATAGACAAGGGTTATGACAACTGCAGCAATGACACCTATAAAGAGCAGCCGCAGCCGCCTTGTGGAAGGCATGGTGGGCTGTTTTCCCGGGGGGGGGGGGGGGGTTGACGCGCAGTGGCGGCTAAGGGTGGATGAGTTCGCCGTGGGACCAGTCGTTTGTCGGGGTCGCACAGGACGAGATGGAGGAGAAAGAATGTCGAGGCGATCTGGGGAGCACCTTGCGCAATGTCTGCGGGGTACGCCGTCACACTGAAGGGAGTGTCGGCTGTGCTGTGTGCCTTTCTCTCTCTCTCTCTCTCTCTCTCTCTCTGAGCTGCCGTTGAATACAAAGAAAAAGGAATGGGGCGGCGAGTGCTCCCTCGGTAGCTTGCAAGGGAAGTTTCGTAAGCCTGGAATGAAGCCCGCAGCGAAGTGATTGGGTTGGTCGCAATCAAATAGTTGGGGGCAGTTGTCAAGGGTCCAACCAGTGGGCAAATAGGTGTAACTTCGATGTTTCTTCGATCGCAATGTCGTAAAGGCTGGGTATTATCGGTCGTGTGTCGTCGCGAAAACGGCAAAGAGTCCGGTTGCGAAGGGTCTAATTGAAGAGGGGAACGGGGAGAAAGAATTCTGATCCAGTTGCGTGTAATAATCGGCAGACGTTTTCTGCGTGTATCCTTCGGGTATGCTCTGGTGCGGTTCTGGTGGAAGTTGGTGATGTGAAGCTCGTCCAGAATGTTTTAAGGGCAGAAAAGAAGGGAGAGCTTTAAGCTACACAGCAGACGGAGCGCTTGCTGCATATCGCGTACAGTGCAAGTGCAGCGCAGTGTTAGCGCCCCCTTCGAGTAGCCCCATGCAGTTTGGCGGCGTCGTGTGGGGCAGAGCCGATGAGGTCAACCCACTCAACAAGCTGCGACCCGCGACGTCCACGCACTATCGTTTTGGAAAGCATCACTGTAGCATGTGGCGTGTCAGACGATCCGAACATTGACAAAACGCCCCATCAAAATTCAGCCCTGCAGCGCACCATACAGTCAGAGCGCAGACACCGACATTTCCCTCCCACAGCTGTCTGTCAGTCGATGATTCACCGCAGGTTCGGATTTACAGCAAAACACTGTAGTCTTAGTTGTTGCAGTGGTCGTCGATCACAATTGCCGCTTCCGCCGCATTGCGTGGCCCACAGCGTCACAGCAGTCCTCTCCCGGGTTTGTTTTGTTTGGCAATTTGCTTGCTACCAGCTGACGTATCTTGGTCTGGATGACAGCTTTCTCGTGCAGACCCTCCTTCACATTGTGGCTGCGTGGCTACTGATGAAGATTAATGGGATTCGAAAAAGAGTGAAGCAAGCTCGGGCTCGCTCTTCCTGGAACGTCTCTACTGCGGATGCAACAATAGCTGTTGACTCCAAACTGCCCGTTTGGCGGGGAGAACAAATCATCGATATGGCATACAGGGAAGTCCTAGCCCTTCAATGAACCAGACAGAACAAGGCCCACAAGACCAGAATTCTCAAGACAGGCACATCCAGTGGCAGGGCCGATGATGTTCCTGAAATAAAGGGCAAGACGCATGCAGGAGTGGGTTTCTGCACGGACAGAGAGGGCTGAACAATGCACGACAGACAGGTAGCTTGATTTTTGAAGCTGGACGTCCGCATCAGTGAAACGCAACGCTCGCCATGGGCCCAAAGCGCCCCGTGAAGGCTCTGATCCTCCTCCCGAAGACAAACAGCACCAGAGAAAGTGACAAGATGATATATGCGACCCCGACGAGCTCTCCAAAAGCGTGTCTCACACCTTGCTGCTTGATCCACACGGAGATGTAGGTCGATATCAAACAGCCAATCACATTGCGAACAATGAAAACGATGACGATTGTCTCGCCCGCAATCTGTTTGTGTAGGGACAGTCAGCACATGCTCCGACAACACCACGAAAGCACAGGAAAGGCTCACAGGTCGGTATGCATCGACGGCATAGGTAATAATGATGTTGGCAGCGGCCGTCGCGCCGAAGCCTTCCATGCCATACCCGACAGCAGCTCCACCCCAGCTGTCCTGGGCCGCAATGACCAGCCCATACAGCAACATGCCCATGGGACCCACGACTGCTGGGATGATCATAGCTGGCAGTCGAAACTCAGGCTCAGGATGCTCGCTTCGTCGTGCCGTCATCCGCGTGGCTATCAGGTCGATAAGTCGACCGCCGGCGAAGAAGGAGAGGAGAGACCCGATAAAGCCAGAGATGGCCAGCAGCCCGACACTGTGCAGGGTCCAGTTCCATGGTGCAGCTGTAAAGGTCTGCGAGGCCACGAGCTGCACAGCGATGTTACTATCCGTTGAGAGTCAGCGTGCACAGCAACAGTGAGAAGCATAGAAGAAGGGCAGAGAGGTGGGGGAAGGAGAATGCGGACAGCAGCAAACTTACCATCCAATAAAAAGGCCACATATAAGGCCAGCAATCAGGACCGGTGGATATGCGACCAACAGCACAGTTCGTGCAACCCAGCCGAAGAAAGAGGCGTGCTGATTGTAGCCAATTGTGAAGCCCAGGGAGGCAAGCCAGCTTCTCCTTGGCGCATATGCAGACGCAGGAGCCTCGAGGTCTCGGCCCTCTGGCCCTACGACATATGCAGTCTCCTTGAGGAGAAACAACGCCACAAAGAATGTCGCTCCCGAGACGATAGCCATTACACCGCACATCCACTTCCAGCCAAGGTACTGTGTGATGTACGCATTGAACAAGGGCCCTAGAAAGGCACCACAGGAGAGGGCCAGGGAGAAAAACATCATCCCATGGCCTCGCTCGTGAAAGAAGAACAGCTCAGCAACGACACTAGGAACTGGTGCATCTGCAGCTGCCGTGAGAAACCCGCCGACAATGCGCGAGGCAAGGAGGCTCCCATATGTCGTGGAGTAAAAACCCCATACGTTGGTCACGCAGAGGAAGACCAGGCTAGCGAGGTAGCCTGGCCTCTTCCCGATAATACGGATCAGGGGCATCCAGACCAAGGCGCCAAAACCCATGAAGAGCACCTGCAATGATGCTTTTGCCTTGTCATCAGCAAGTGACAAGCCAGGGAACGGGTGGAGGGAGTCCAGGGCCTTACTCAAGTAACTCGCCTCAGTCGAGCTCTTCTTGAATTGCTTGATGATCGCCTGTACGGCCACCGTGAACGCGGACGAGTTCATGAACGCCAGAAATGTGAACCAGCAGATCACCAGGTATGTTGTGTACTTGTCCCATTGCGACCAGTTCTGTCATAATCGTAAGGTTTTTCTGAGCAACCAGCGTGCACACACACACACACACACACACACACACAAGGTCCAGGCGAGTGCCAAGCCCGGGGGGGGGGGCTTACCAGCGGCTCGTTTGGATCATTCGAGGGCTGTGGTCGCAGTATGATGCCCTTGCTGTTCTTTTTCCCCGTAACGATATCCTCTTCAGCGACTTCTCGCTGGACGGTCTTCGGTTTCTGAGATTCATCCATGGCGGTGGTTATGACCGCGCGGTCTAGATTCACGGCGCTCCGTTCTGCAGAAGACAGACCAGGACGGCGTTTGCGAGAAGCGCCAACAGTCTCGGACCGCTGAAATGTCGTGCAGTCCACCATGTACTACTGTTATTACTTTCAAGTCAAGACTGGCAAGGTCAGCTGGAAAGATCCTTTTCCTATTGGAGGTCACATGAATTTCTCTCTGCTCTCTTTATTCTTTCTCTCCCCTCTCCTGACGGAAATAAAGCAACCCCAATCTTCTTCCCCGCGACCTATCAAGGCACAGGCTCTCGTGGCCAATGACGAAAAGCTTGGAAGTTATCGGCCAGGTTCTCCTCACTGCTGTGCCGTACCCCCGAGATTGGTTCGGGCCAGTCAGGAGTGTGGGCGATGCAGGGACTTTGGAGCAGATGCGACCACAGACAGTACTTTAACCATTGTATTAACTACAGTAGTGGATCCTTGTTGTACGGCTGGCTGTAATCCCGGTCGGCCTTCGCCATCCGTATCTTGAGCTGTCTCGGCGGCTCTGCTGGCGCCGATAACCTGCCGAGAACGTTCCGAGGGCAAGCCGTGAAAACTGTCAGGTTAATTGCTTGTACGCAACCCACCTTGAGTATGTGTATTGCTTGTTATGAAGAGGTGATGGAATATAACAAGGAACGAGGCGGACGGTAATGATGGAGGCCACTCTGGTCATCTAATCTTGAACACTCACACTCTCTCGATCGTCGTTGATCGCTAACAGATAGCAATACGAACCATCATCTGCTTCCCTCTGTCGCACCAGCTTTTCGCCCGCACTTCTCTCGAAAGCAAAAAGAAAATGTTACCACCCTTCATCTCTCTCGAGGAGCACTTTGCCCGCGTTACGTCCTATACCAAGGAAGCATCCGGCATAGGGGAGAACTTCTTCGCCGATGCCCTCCGTCGCCTCCCGGATGTCGGCCCCCTCCGGCTGCAAAGTATGGACGACAACAACGTCGTGCGGCAGGTCGTCTCTCACGTCCCCATGGTCCTCACGCTGCAGCAGGCCAGCGCCGTCAACGACCAGCTCGCCGAGGCGTGCAGGGCACACCCAGATCGCTTCTCGGGCTTCGCCACCCTGCCGATGGCCACGCCCGAGGCCATCGCCGCCGAGCTGACGCGGTGTGTGCAGGAACTGGAATTCGTCGGGACTCTGGTTGGAAACCACGCCTACGGCACCTTCTACGACGGCCCCGCGTACGATCAACTCTGGGCCGCGGCCGAGGCACTCGACGTCCCCGTCTACCTGCACCCGGCGGAGCCGAGTCAGGCCATGAAAGACGTCCTATACACAGGCAGCTTCTCGGCTACAGACAGCACCCTGCTGGGGACGTTCGCATACGGCTGGCACGCCGAGGTCGCGACGCACGTCCTGCGCCTCTTCGCCGCGGGGGTGTTTGACAGGTTCCCGCGGCTCAAGGTGATCGTGGGCCACTTTGGCTCGTCCCTGCCCATGTTTGTCGACCGTGTGGCCTGGAGCGAGACGCTGGGTGGCTTCAAGGACCGGCAGAGGAACTTCAAGGCCGTGTATGCTGAGAATATCTGGATTACTACGAGTGGCGTCTGGAGTCTGGACCCATTGGCGACCATCTTGAGGAATACCAAGATTGATCACATACTGTATAGTGTGGATTACCCCTTCACCTCGAACGAGAAGGGCTTGGCTTTTATGCGGAGCCTGCAGGAGAGTGGGCTGGTGGACGAAGAGCAATTTGCCATGATTGCGTATAAGAATGCGCAGAAGTTGCTCAAAGTTGAGTATAAAGGAGGTGCTCCTTTCTTCAGGCTCGAGTAGAACATAATTACTTGAAATGGTGATGCTGTTCATACAGGTGCCAGCAGTTGACTTTAAATTGTCTTGCAAAGAAACAAAAGCTTGCGATAGCGTTTTCTGGTGATCTCATCTGATCTCCCTCTCCCATCGGCTCGAGTATTTGCTCCACAATCTGTTCTTCAAGCTGTGCGACCTGATTGTATAGAATAAACACATCACCACCCCTCAGTCGTAGCAACACTCATAGGTCTTTCCGCCAGGGCAATAACCTGAACAAGTTTGCTGTCAGAACATGAAAATAATGACTTTCTGGTGTGTATTGGGGGGGGGGGTGGGGGGGCCATCTGACCAGGTTTATAAGTCCCAGCACAGCCAAGATTATTCCAGGAGCAGTAGGAGGAGCCGCCACAAGGATCAGTTGACGCTGATTTCTCAAGGCCGACCACACAGCACTTGATATTGTTCGGGTCATTGGGACAGCCCCCAGTGATATAGGAGCCGCCGTAGTCACTGCAGGTGGCTGTGGAGATGCATATTCCGTACTCGAGGTACTCGCCCGTCGCTGTGCCGGAACAGTGGCCGTCGATCGTGGCCAAGGTCGTGAGAGGGAGCAAGGAGAGAATGAGGTAGGAGGAGTGCATTTTGTGCTAGTGTGGTGTTGCTTTTTTGGAAGAGAGGTTGGAAATTGTCTCCGTCTGGACGAAGGTCCTGGGCTGGATTTCGGGTTACACCTTCTCTACACTTGAGGTGGGACGGGTCCATGGTTTATATGTAAGTTTGGGTCAAGCTCTGGGGCTGCTTTTGCACAGAACGTAGCCCATGAATACTTTTCTGTTTTCATTACCTCACAATATCACAATCTCAATCCTTGCGCTCTGTATAAAGTGAGCTATTGAATGTTGTAGACCAACGAGATCTCATAGGATGCTTGTATGCTGCCCACCTCAATTTCGGACCGGTGTGCACCTCAAAGGGTTCGTGGCTAGCCTCATGGGATATGAATTGGACTACAGCCCTAGTCCTATGTACGTCTTACGCGTGATAGTATCAAAACGGCCTGAAAATTCTCCCGGGAGTCGGTCATTGTCGCTCTGCTTCAATGTGTTGATGCCGATAACTTGCATGGCCCTGCTCCTCTTTGCTTTATAGAGCATGGTCGGAAGGATCAACGTGACTTGGTTTTTCCCTAGAATTCTTTCACGATGATGAGGTCAACAGGTGATGCTCAGTCCCAGAAGACAAGCTAGGCCCTATGAGTGTTTCCCAGAAATATCGAAGTGGAATCTCCAGGATCACAAGCGAAGGTATCATCACTCCGACACGTATTGTACGTTTTGCGTAAAATTGTATACTTAAGCAAGCTGTGTGCACAATTTCCCTTAAAGTCGTACTTTCCTTGTATGATTTCTTCCACCGAAAGCTCATAGATACATCACAGATTCGTAAAATCACTTCGAGTGACTAGTAAAACCCTTGCCCGACACAACTAGTCCCGGAAGTCGGCCTTCCTTCGTCGGCCATAGGCTACATTTGGTACACAAAACGGAGAATCATCACGTGTGGTCAGAGTCTTTTCATTTTCATTGGTCTAGCGATGGCTTCTCCGCGTTTCTCAGCCTCATGCACAGAGGCGGTTCCTCGTACTTTGCCCTCGCGTCGTAGCTGCCCTGTCAAACAACAACCTTAATTTCTCACCTGCAGAAAATGTGAACGACAGAAAGCCAAGGCCGCGCTACTCATCTTACGTGACTGAATCATGCACTATCACATATTTGAAGCAGTTCAAGCTAACTCATTGCATGAAGAAGGTGCCTGGAGGCAACACCTTGAGCCCCAGTGGCATTCGGGCTCATGTGCTGCCAAGGAAAGGTTCGGAGCCAAGATGAGGCTGGAACCGACCCTTCGACTGGTCTCTTTTGATTGACTCCCCCCCCCCCCGGTGCTAATGACATTGCGCAGTCTTATTACTGACCAATAAACAGCAAACTAGTTTGCAGTGGGGTGCTATGCTGCTTACCATCCTGACATACGCCTCCTCCTCCACCCCCCATATCGCGGATCTAGCATCATGCCTGTGGTCTTCAACAAGAGCCTAAGCAACCTAATGACATGTACAAATCGCTATAATAAACATCTACTCGCTGTATGTTGGTAATAGCTGCCCATGTCGGACTTCGCTTAGCCTTGCTGGTGTGTTCGTTGTTGGCTATGCCTGGTCTGGGCCTCGGTCAGGGTGCGGTTCTTGGCAGATGAGTGGCTGACATTTGGAGCGCCAACTGCGCAGTTGAGCATATGTGCTAGTAGTCCTATGCGGGGTCAAGTGAGCGTCTTTCTCGTCAATCAATTCGAAGACCCTGGTACAGATTTGTCTGGCCGTCGTAATTGTTACGTGCTGAGAATGAGCTCTTTTTCAACATCTCAGCTTGGTAGTCCACGATCAGGGAATGTATGCGACAGCTAAAAGGAGTGACCACTCCCAACTGACTGGAAATGGCTGTGGCCTATGTAGCTGCGTAGGTCGGACTCACACAGGATGTACCTAGGTACGACACCAGGGCGACAGTAGACTGACGCGTCACATCCAGCCTGTATGTAATCCCTCCAATATTTTTCTGGCGATACCATTCTATTTGTCTCGCAGAAGGCTCCTCTCACTATTGTGTTGAGACCCCGCCCGTTGTCAGGTCGGGATGGACCAATGGACTTATACGCCTGGACCCACAGTAGCCCGATTGGGCAATGCTCTAGTATCCCACATAGTTCGGCATAATTGCTAAATCTTCAATAGAATCGTGCACGTTCTACCTAAATGAATAAAAAGCAGACTGCGAGCTCAGGAAGCCGGTATCCAGTTGCAGTTGACTCGGAAGAGGCTGCACCTTCACTGTGATGCAATAGCGTGTCTTGTAAACCAGCAGACACGGTCTTGATCTTTCTGATTCGGCGAAGAGGATAATTGCTCAAGAAGGCCATCGGCAGTACACAGATTGGCTATTACACAGTACTTTTGTATGTAGAGACTAGCGATACAATCGAGGAAAACACTTGACACTGAGTCTGCGTCTCATCGCTCCTAATTTTATTTTAGCCCTGATTTGAACGGGCCAGCCATAGCATGCTCGAGGATGAGCATGACCATTGCGCGTCCCTGCCACATAGCAAACAGCGGTACACCGTACAACGAAGGAAAATAAAAGGTCAATGCTTCTGTATGAGAATTTCCTTGCTCATACTGGACACGCTGAGAGAGCTCTTGAGCCTAGTATGAGACTTGCTGTTGGTTGCTCCGCCTTTTGATCCACTGATGTTGAAATCGCCCTGATCATTGTCTGTACCCTGACCACCGCTTTTGTTCGACTTGAGAGTCCCCAACGCAACCACTTCTGTCGTGGCCGAGGGGGTCTTGGTGAAATTCGTCGGCCACTGGGACTTGCGCTTCGAGGTTCCGTTGTCGTTGTAGAGCTGGTCAAAGCCCGAGCCGCTGGTCACCCTGATTTCCACCTCCCGTGTGATGAGAATCTTGTCGAGGTTCTCCCGCAGGTGCGGCCAGAAGACCGGCAGGGCCGCCACGATCGTCGCGACGTTGATTTCGATGATGGATAGGCCGATCGATGTGGCTCCGTAAAAGCTCGGGTCGAACTCGGGTTTCGTGGAGGCTCTGTTGTTGACAACGACGCCAAAACGGACGATGGAGCATGCCAGGACTCTGGAAGACCTTGTCAGCAAATATATTTAGGCCCCCCGTCTTCCTCTGAGTGGAAGTGAGGGAAAGAAAGAAGACTTGTCAGTGGCGTTGGATAAGTGACAACTTACACTGCTCCCACCACATAGAGCCCGATAAGTGCCACGCGCGATTTCTTGTCCACTCCTTCCTCCTTCCCCATTCCCCATGTGGACAAGGGAATAGAGAGCACAGCAATGTCCAGAGTCATGTTCAGAGTTGCATGCGAGATGTACGTTCCCACAAACACATCGATGTCTTGTGACCCATATGCATACCGCACGGCAGTCTCGGTTGAGTTCCAGAGGCCCGAGATGGGAATGCATGGCACCCAGGCCAGGAAACTGTAGGTAAGTCCCCAGAGCGCGGCCGCTATGATGAGTCCGATGGTGAGATGCCTACGTCTGTCCATCAGCGCCAGATGAGCGTGCTCTTGGAACAGCCGGAGGTATTGTGTAAGCAGAGACAGTTTGACGAATGTGAGAGCCCTGTTTTGTTGTTGGTCAGCACAAGCGACAGGTCCCATATCCACTAAGACTAGATGCTGATCGAATGATGTATCGAGAATGGGGATACTTGAATGTGCCGTTAATGCACGAGTACGAGGACAGGACTGACATGTTGTATGTGCCATTTGCCCACCAGAACACCTGGCTAAATCTTACGATACCATCGTCGCCGAGAAGCACGAGATGTTTGCCCAGTCCGGCATTCACCACTTCAGTAGCAGTCAGTAAATATTGCGCAGAAGGCCAGAAACCATGCGCGACAGAAACTTACAAACAAGCGAGCCAACCGTCGCCACCCATGTTGATAGCTGTTCATCTTGGTTAGCAAGCCGCAGATGCTGAGTTGATGTGCCCGCCAGAGCACATGCGACCATTTGACATACAAAAAGCATGATGATGAAAGCGTCATCAATACCAGGACAGCATGTCACGAAGAATCTGACATATAACCGAAGGCCCGTACAGATTGTCATGAGTGCCTATAAGGTTGGTCAGCATTGCCGCCACGCCGAAACCTGGGTCCAAGAAGTGGAATAAATAAAACAAAACATACCAAACATCCAATAGCGACCCCATACATGGCCGCCGGATGGTTGAAAAACGGCGTCGGAGCATCGAGGTTGTCGACGGTCCCTATGGACGCAAACAGAGATCCAGTCATAATTGCCAGATGTGATGTTTTCACTCCCGTCTTCTGGATTATCGTAATGGAAATTCGTCGGCTGAGAACTGGAATGGCGTCCACGCCCAAAGAAAGAAGCCTGAGGCTGAGGAATATAACTTGGAACCGGCCTGCTCACCAGACGGAACGTCTCTGTAAAGGGGGATTTGGGTTCAAAAACGCATCCTGGCCAGCAAGTGCACATTCAAAGGTTCATGATAGCCTTACGTAGAACTACGAAACAGACATCCCTCCCGTCAGGGAGAGCTGGGCCATCAGATCTTTTGTTTCTCGAACCGATGTGTTGAGCCCCACCCTGCAACCGTTGCAATGAATGATCCAGGAGGTGACCCAGCAGGCGGGCATCTGCGCTGAGGGGGCTTTAGCTCTCGTCAAAGAAGATGGATCGTCGAGGCTCATATCCACAAGGGCACCAGGTCTTCAACCAGGTTGAAGCGATAGGAAGCAGGGGCGGTTGGTCCGATTTAGGTATAAAGCAAGCTTCGAGATCTCTTTTTCTCTCCCATCTGCTGCTCCACCGGTTTAGTTCCCGACCACATGGCGGAGTCTTTTGCAAATCCCATCGTTTCAATCCTCGCTTATAATCCGCTTTATCCATGTCGCCAAAGAAATCTTATTTTCCAATAAACCGTCATATCGCGACTCGTTTCCGTTCTAGGGTTTTGTGCTACTGGGGTCCGCTATTATCAGGGCACTTGAAACGGGGGGGAAATGCAGCTCCGCGCGCTGCCAACAGGAAAAAAAAGTCCGGTGTACCCCCTGAGGAGGCTGACTGGAAAGTGGGGTGAGCTTGCGAAGAGATATCGGCAGAGGCTCGAACAGCACTGAAAAGATTATACATGGGAAATCTTTATAGAGTGAGGTCCTTGACTCCATTTTGTTCTAGCTGTCACTGGGTGGCGAAGACTTAAGTGCATAGTGGGGTCATCTGTGTTTACCTACATAGTATTATGATACAGTTTATATAGTATAGTCTATAGTACATTTTATTGTACAGTTTATTGTACAATGTACTATGGTTTCGTACTGAAAAAACTAGTCGCGTACTTTGTGGCCGTGCGTCTTGAGTGCACTTGTACCTCCTCGATGGTATCTTGTCACTCAAATACTAGTAGGTCGCTGCGAAAGAAGCTCTACAGAACCTGCCTGGGATGACCAATATTACCCATCTAACCATAGTAATGCTACAGTGCATCTGAGGGAAGATCATTGGAGTTGCGTCGCAGGCCGAAACGCATGATCAATCATCGCGGAGAAGTGGATTTGGTTCCTTCGGGTAAAAGTATATCACCCACTGCCTGTCTTAGGTCCGTGTTCTATAAACCCCAGTCAGTCCTTGCAACGAGCACAGCCAACGGGAGATTAACAAAAGCCTGAGCACGACTCAGGAACTAGTTCACCGCCCGTATATGACAGCATGTTAAATTCACCAACTGTTATGTACCATGGTATGAATGTGTCCGGCAGTTGCTCTTTCAGCATAGCTCGAGAATGCTGGGCCCTGTCCTTGAAATAGGTTTGATGTGCCATGTCCAGAGCGGATGTTCATAAAAAGAATAAACATGCATGACCCTGCGTCTTGAAAACTACACTGTCAGCCGTCCATCCGAGGAGTCTCTCTCTTGAGACTGTGCAAAAGTGATTACGCAGGCTGATAAACTGCAGTCTTTGTTGCTTATGGCATTTGGGGTTTTTCGATAACGGTCTCACAATGAACAATCCTCAATGCTGAGGCGCGAGGACCAATCGTCATACACAACGCGGTCTTGACGAGTGTTTTCATGCCCCCTCTCGTACTGACTCCCCTGCGCAATTCCAGCCCCCAATCCATGCCTGCGTAATTGCTGCTAACGCGTTCTCCAGCCGAGCCACGGAAATTGTGGGCTGCAATGACATTAATAAGATAAAGGGAGATAAACTGTGAGACCCATCTTGTTGATTCTTGATAGAAATCCAAAGGTTCCACTAGGTTGTTTAGAGCTTTCATATAAAGAAAAGTGAAGGGGTGGGCGCCTTGACTGGCAATCAAACATGATGCGTCTTGGCGATGAGAAGTATGCATAGTGAGTAATTCCCCCAAATGTAATATCAAGAGAGAGAGAGAGAGAGAGAGAGAGAGAGAGAGAGAGAGAGAGAAACAGAAAAAGATGCTAAAAACACGAAGCAGGTAATTACTTAGTCATAGGCTCTAAACAATCTAATCAAACTGTGTGTCGTCTCGAGCAAGCTTAGTCAACAAGACCTACTTTTGTTGCATTGAATATTCCCTCAGATGGCATCTTGAACGACATTGGGAAGTCGGAATATGATTGACAGCGACGACCAACAGCAGACGTCTCAACACAACAGGAGCGGGAAAACCTCCCGCCTACCCGCTCACTAATACAAGCAGCGATGCGGCTTAATGCATGCAGTGCATAGTCATTACTAAGCTCCCAGTTACATTGCAGACATCATGACGAAGTAAGTGCCTCTGTGAGGCGATCTCCGCATTGTCTAGACATGGTCAACAATCTTATAAAAGGACGTCTGGGGAGTGAGTGAACACCTGAACCTAACGAGCATGCACCGGTCTTCTACTACCAAGTGATTCATTCAGTATTATTCACCAAAAGACCATTTATGATTTCCAACAAGTTTACTATTATCATTCTTCCCCCAGCGTCACCAAGATGAGTACTCCTCTCACCAAACCAACGGCAAGCAAGCCTGCGCAGGGCGTCCCCTTCTACACACCCGCTCAGGAGCCTCCCGCGGGAACAGCCACGGCGCTGGACCCACAAGATCCGCACAAGATCCCCACCCTCTTCCAGCCTCTCACCATCCGCAGCGTCACCCTCGCCAACCGCTTCGTGGTGTCGCCCATGTGCCAGTACTCGGCCGATGACGGCCACCTGACCGACTGGCACCTCGTGCACCTGGGCACCCTCAGCGCACGCGGCGCCGCCCTCACCATTGTCGAGGCCACGGCGGTCCTGCCGAACGGGCGCATCTCGCCCGAGGACTCGGGCCTGTGGAAGGACAGCCAGATTGCACCGCTGCGGCGCATCACGGATTTTATCCACTCGCAGGGCCACAAGGCCGGCATCCAGCTGAGCCATGCAGGGCGCAAGGCGAGCACGCTGGCGCCGTGGCATGGCCAGAGGGGCAAGCCTCACGTCGCGGGTGAGGACGTGGGCGGCTGGCCTGACAATGTGTGGGGGCCCAGCGCGATTCCCTTCTCGCACACGTATCCGCAGGTGAAGGAGATGACGGTCGAGCAGATCCGGGAGACGGTGGAGGCGTTTGGCGCTGCGGCTAAGAGGGCTGTGGAGGCAGGTTTTGATGTGATTGAGATCCATGGGGCGCATGGCTATCTTCAGACTGCCTTCATGTCGCCTCTTAGTAATGTGAGTACTTTCAACTTCGTTTTCTATTCTTCTTTTTTTTTTTTTTTTTTGGTTCACTTTGATGCTATAATCAGTTTGAGAGATTCTGTCTGCTAATAAAATCCTTACTTGTTCCAGCAACGGACCGATGAGTACGGCGGCAGCTTTGAGAACCGCATTCGTTTCTTGATCGAGGTCATCAAGGCCGTCCGGGCTGCTATCCCAGACACCATGCCCCTTTTTGTCCGAATCTCAGCCACCGAGTGGATGGAGTGGAGCGGAAAGGAGACCTGGGACCTGCCCCAGAGCATCCAGCTGGCCCACGTGCTCCCCGACCTGGGCGTCGACCTCCTAGACGTCTCGTCTGGCGGAAACGCCGTCGACCAGAAGATCCAGATCCACCCGTATTACCAGGTCAACCTGGCCGGCGAGATCCGAGCCAGCCTCAAGAAGGCCGGCAAGGACAAGATGCTCATTGGTGCCGTGGGCATGATCACCGACGCCGAGATGGCCCGGGACATCGTGCAGAATACCTGCTCGTATGTTGTTGGCGAGGACCCGGAAATGGGTGATTGCAAGCACTCGCTGGGCACCTCGGCCGAGGTGCATGAGGACAATGCCAAGGCGGACGTGGTCATCATCGCGAGGCAGTTCCTCAGGGAGCCTGAGTTTGTGTTGAGGGCGGCTCGGCACCTCGGGGTCCAGGTCAAGTGGCCTAACCAGTACATGCGCGGAGAGTGGCCAGACTCGCAGAGGATTTGATCCAGCACAGAAGTGGATGATAAGGTGCTCACATGCAAGAATAGATATAGAGGTATACAAGACGGCATGATTTCACCTTGTTTCGACATGTCTGCAGCAGATGAGTACGCGTGGAAGTTGTGCTTTCATACGAAACAAGATAATTATGTACTTTATTCTTTCTCATGAATGACTAGAGCATCGTTGCTTGGCAGACAATATTCCAAGCGTACTTGAATAAGCATCACGGCATGTTTCCATCCGAGAACCACAAATCATGCTATGTCAATAACCTCGTGACGCTCTTCACAATGCCAATACCTCTCTGCTTTTTGAAACTCGAATATCGACATCTCGACCATTTGAACACCAGAACAGTACGATGCCAAACCCACCCGATCTTAATTGCCCGAAACTTCATAATAATTATGTACAGTAATGCAAGGCATATAATGACGAACCAACTGTACCCAAGAGAATGCAAATCCACCCACCCACACCTCAAGATGGAAGAAAAACTTACAGCCCTTTCATGGCTATAATGCTCAACGACTTGACTACCTAGACTCGGACTGGTCGACGCTGCGCCGACGATCGACCGCCAATGTTGACAATCACAGCAGACATGGCGTTCCTCCTGACAGCCATCACCGCGGACGCAGGCGCGACATCGGTCAGCGAGCTGATGCTGCCCGCATACTCGGACGAGTCCCAGGGGCGCGAAGACAACCCGTCGCTGTTCTCGACGATGGTAGCGTCTGGGCCTTCGGAGTGCAGCTCGGCGCCGTCTTCTTGTTGTTGTTCTGTGGTGGAGATGGCGGCGACCAGAGACGTGGAACTCCGACTCTGCGGTGTGCTGCTGGAGACCCGTGGTACATAGCTGCAGACGTACTGCCGAATGCTCTTGAAGCGCCTCAGGCTGGCGCCTCCTTCCAGGCTGCCATGGTCAGATGGCGTGGGGGACCGTGGAGGATTTGCTTGAGCCGCAACGTGTTCCCCGAGTTCCTCTGTCGCTCGGTGAAACAGGTTCACGGCCGCGTTGAGCCGGAGTTGGTTCCTTGCTCCGATGAAGAGGTCATAGCCTCTGTTTCCGCCGGCGGGCTGGGGCTGGGGCTGGGGCTGGGGCTGCTCATTCTGCTGCACCTGGTCGATCGCCTCGCCAGAGTAAAAGCCCACGTCGGCGTGCTGATTCTGGCTCATCTGCGTCTGAACGTGGTCGACACCGGCGCCCGAGTAGAAGCCGATATCGACGACTTGTCGCTGGCGCCGGGCAGGCTGGACGGTAATGACAGGTGTTTTGCGGTGCTCTCCATTCGCACCCCACGGGAGAAGCGCCCTAGATGACTGCCCTAGGCGCCGGGGCTCAGAGATGGGGAGGTCAGCCCACATTCTGGGTCTTCTCTGGTTCTGGCTCCGGCTGAAAGGTCTGAAGGGCCTAGTCCACATGGTTGGGTTTTGAGGCCCGTCTGGAACTTGTATTCGACGAGAGCGGCGGCGGATGAAGACCCAAAAGATTATCAGGAAGATCGCAACTCTTGAAAAGGCAGAATTGACATATGGTCAGTTGAATTTCAAGAAAAGAGAGGTTGAAGATAATGTAGTAGGACTACTTACATGACCACAAAACCTGAAGTCGCGCCTATCCAGATAATCTCCATCTTGCTGAGCTTCGGTCCAGGCTGCTGCTGAGCGACTGCCGTTGTGGTATCTTGGGCTGGCATCGGACTGGAGCTCGGAAGGGGCATGGTCGCCAGAGAAGAAGACGACGAAGAAAGGGGAGAGGAGGCAAAGGAGAGACTTGACATGGAAGAGGTGGAAGAGACTGAGGTTGGGGATGGCGACGAGGTCAAGCCGATGGTGGTCCAGGACGAAGCCGCGGGGACTGGGGTCCTCGTGGGCTCTGTATAATAAACAGTGGTCAGGTATGGCCACCAGATGATCGATGTGGACGTTGAACCCATGGTGAGTATGGTGAATTTGTCTTAGACACAGATGTATGGTCTTCGAATCCAAGAGAGTAATTACTGTAACAAAAGATTCTGTGCTGTCATTAAAGATTCTCAGAGTCTGATCTGCGCCGCAAAGAAAAAGTCGGACGTGGATTCTCTTGAGAGGAGAAACTCGATTAATGCAGGGTGATATTTATACAAAATTAGTATACACTATATGTCTCGTCTTGTTTTTAGTTTCTTCTCAATTTCTTCTCTTTCTTGACACAAGATCAAGTCTAGTGCCACGTAGTTGGCTGTGGGTCGGAAGACAACCAGCTTAGACCGATCAAAGCATCTTGAAACTATGTACGCATTACTGTAGAAGTAAAAGAAACGATGACTCAATATATTTTCGTGTACTAGCTAAGGGGGGAATGTAAGTGCTCAGACTAGGGCAAATAACCCATGTTCAATGAGCTCGGGTCTTGATCTAATCAACTCCCAAGTTAATTACGAGATGTACAGTGCAAGATAGGCCGGACGGATGGCTGTGTTCCAGTGCTGATGCCACTCATGGATCCCACACTTCTGATGCTGCTGTAGAGAGAGACCCCATTTACAAACGTCCTCAGGGGTTTTAATTACAAGAGATGTAATCACGAACACATGGTCAATGGGGGCAGTAAGTCCTCCTGGTTTATTACGTAGTAATGATCCTGCGATCCTGAGTCTAGGCTAGAGCACATCATAGCACAAGTGAACCGCTGAGCAGTGGAGGGAGTCTTCAATGTTACACTAGAAAATAGTCACAGTTATTGTACAGGCTGTAAGTATACTGACACATTGGAGAAACTGAATAGTATGAAGGCGCAGCACCACAGCAAAATTTACTTGAGTGTTCAAAAGCTATTTGTGCAACTACTCAAGTTGCCTAGGAGTAATATATGTAAGCCGTCAATTACAAGCACGCTCTAATAGAACATGCTAGTAGTAATACATGTACTACTGGATTAGTATGATGTACATAGTACCCCGGTGCCAGTGTCAGCTTGCCAGGGCAGCCCCCTGCTCAGAGACAAGGCCCCACAACCCCTCACTACGGCTTTCGTCGTGGTAGTCGCGACGCGCCAAAACTTCATTTTTGGAATTCAGACGGAAACAGGAATCTCGCCTCTCTTCAATTGTCATCGCTACACGGCTGTATAGGCATAGGAAAGCCCTGACTGTTCAACTTTAGAAACAGCAGTCGCCATGGATATCGATGACATCCTTCGTGAGGTCGACCCCAGCTTCGACACGGTACCCCACGAGATCCGCGACTTGCAGGCCCTCACGCGTGCTTGGGTTGCTGAGCGATGCGCTCCGGAGCTTCTAGAGTGCGCATCTTCCTCCTCCCCCTGCTGCTTTTATTGCCGTCAAAATCTGCACGAGACTAGCGTAGAGGCTGACTGAACGCTTGGAGGATTCCCGTAGGTGGCCAGCAGATGGACTATTCGAGCGTATCAACCAGCGCATTAAGGCCCAGATCGAGAAGGTGGAGGACATGACCGGCGACATGGACCCAAAGACCAACTTTGCCTTGATCGTGATCCAGACCGAACTGGAGCGATACAAATACATTGTGCGCAGCTATGTGCGCGCGAGGATAGCAAAGGTATGTCTGAAATCTTGCCTCTGCGGTTCGAGGCCGGCCGGCCACCTCTTGACTTGAGAGAGAGTGCACAAGAGGCTGGACAGCCCGGTGTCTGTGTTAGGGCGAGGCTGACCTTCATGTCACAACCACAGATTGACAAGCATACACTGCACTACCTCTCCACGCCCACATTGCGCGCGCGCCTCTCCGAGACGGAGCTTGCCTACGCGACCCGCCACCAGGCTATGCTCCATAACCACTATCTCTCCTCGTTCTTATCCTCGTTCCCACCGAACCTGCAGAACCTCAATGACACCGCCGGCAATATTAGCATGATCGATGCGCCAGATCTCGATACGGCGGTGTTCATCCGCCTACTGAGGGACTGTCTGGTCGTGGGGAAAGGCACAGACGAGGACGGCAGCTTAAATGGAAAGAATGGAGACATCCTCATCTTGAGATGGTCCGACGCGAAAGCTCTGGTCGACGCTGGTAACGCCGAGTTGGTGTGAGCTTATGAGCATGTCGGCCCAGACCAGATCATACCGCCCGAGAGCAGCAGTCTTACAATACAGCGGGAGAGGGAGGTGGCTCCAGATGAGGCACCTCATGCAGAGGTTGGCTTGTCCGTGCCGACGATGCTGCATCCTTCGGACAACGTGCGGACTGCGAAGTTTCATCAGCCTTGAGCAAAGTCCAGCATGCCCGCACTGGGAGCCTCTGCTTCTTTCGGACAACGGAGTAATTTGGCATCCAGTTAGGCACCCGTTTTTGGTGTTCTATGGACGACATATATTGCAACGACTCACGGATTTATCAGCACAAAGTAGCGAATGGTCGTTATGTCATAAGAGCGAGCGTGCAATTGTCGGCACTTGTTGGGAAGCCACAAGACCCACTGCGAAGGAGCTTCCTCCAACCAGGGTTCTCCAACGGCTAGCGCATCAAGGCCACCCACTGTACTATGATAGCGCATTGGCGTCCCTCGGAGCTAAGGCCTAAACGCCTTAAATTCCTACGGTCCACGAGACAGACCAAATACTGCTTTCGGCTGGGAGGTCATGTCTCGAGGTAGTTTTGAAGACGGATATACCATACTTCGTCTGGTAGCTATGTCCCTGTCTGTTTTGTTTCGGTCTTTGCCCTAACAAACCCGGCCATTGACGCGAGGTTGATGGGAACCATGACGAGCCCATGAGGCTCAGGTGTATAAGTATAGCTGGATGAGTCCGTCTTGAGAACGACTTCTACACCCAACACGAAATCACTACCGCTCACTACATTTTTCCCCCCATCTGCAAGCCGCATTGACCAATTGTGAAGAGACAATTCAAAATGACTGGCAAGACCATCGTGCTCATTACCGGTGCCAACCAGGGCCTGGGTTTTGAGATTTCCAAGAAACTTGCCACGGACCAGAAGGACTACCACATCATCATGGCCGGACGCAGGAAGGAGGCGATTGAAGAGGCAGCCCAGAAGCTTGCGTCCCAGGGCCTGTCTGTCGAGCCCCTCATACTGGACGTGAACTCGGATGAGTCCATCGAAGCGGCGGCCCAGACGGTGAGCGGGAAACACGGGCATATCGACGTCCTCATCAACAATGCCGGTATATCGAGCGCGCCCAAGGCAGCCGACGGCAAGCCCAATAGTGTCCGCGCAGAGTACCTCGACATCTACAACACAAACGTCGCCGGCACTCAGGTTGTCACGGAGAACTTTATCCCGCTGCTTGAGAAATCCACCCTCACGAAACGCATCATATTCATGTCCTCCAGCATTGGTTCCCTAACCTTCAAAGCCACCAACGAGCAGAGCAGAAAGCTTCCGTGGTGGCCCTACACCCTCTCCAAGACGGCTATGACCATGCTGGGGTTGTTCTACTCAGCAAAGTTCGACGGGAAGGACGACTGGAAGATCAACATCTGCTGCCCCGGTCATTGTGCGACAAACCTGAGTACGTCCAACCCGTCAATCGCATTTCACCCCTCTTCCGGCACATGATGCCTCTTGTCTGGAGATGTCACTACAAGAGTAAATGCTAAACAATCCTCCCTGTGCTTAGATTCTTACGCGGGTTCGTTGCCGGCGGAGCATGGCGCAATAAATGCGTGTCGGCTGGCGACCTTGGGACCGGACGGAGAGACGAATACCTTTACTGATGTTGACGGGACGGTGCCATGGTAGATGTGGTTAGGGCGTCGCGGTATCTGAAAATGGTGATGCTGTGAAGTGACACAGACCTGGATGGTGCTGTACCGCCCATGGACTGTTGCATAGTAGCCTGGCCTTGTTCCTAGGACCCATTCTGTATGTTATTGCGAGATATCATAAGCAGATTTGGGAGAGAGTGAGGGAGAGAGAGCAATCGAAAACATCTTTCCTTTGGGAATAACAAGCAGAGCTGTCGTGACACCGACATAAAGGCCTGCAGGTCCTTTGTCTTCCTCGGCGTTGATGCTACGTCAGGACTGTGAAATTGACGCACCAGCACCTCGCCGATCTGATTCACACAATAGCAGAGAAGAATCGAGAAGATTACGATATACTGAGCGCCAGCCCTAGACAGACCGTATAAAACAGCGGCAGGTGGCAGGCAGCAGCTGGAAGAGAGAAACAAAAATCCCACGTGACCCTCTCTCGTGTTTTTGGTTTCTCGTACTTCACCAGCGCCAATGCAAGCACCCGCCCGAACTGCACCAACCGGATTTGATTGTAGGATCTTGGCTAGAATTTGTGCATGAGACACACACACACACATTATGTAAAGAGAAGGAGAGAAAGGAGAGGGAGAGAGAGAGTGTGTGTGTGTGGGTGTGGGTGTGTACATAGTATATGCCTGCCTGCAGGTTGCCTGCAGGTGTGGTCACAATTTTAGCAGCAGTCAATCAAGGGCGCGTCCATCCGCTCTATGCCCCGAGACCCCCCTCCATTCCAAGCCCCTGAAGAGAAAGAAGGGGGGGGGGTGTGAATCAGTCCAAGTCACCTTTCTAGTACAAATTCTCATGTACCCTTCGTATCCGCAAGGAGAGGGCGCAAAACACACACTCCCATGACATTCAAAGGAGAGTCATGGCCACACGCCCCCCTCTTCTAAAGTCGGTCAATGTCTCTTCCTTTTTGCCTTTCTTCTGCAGCTGGGGGAACCTGCTTCCTATAATACATACGTGGCAGGCGGGTTCTGGCTAGGATCGCACGACGGAAGGGGAGGGAGGACAAGGGACAAGTGGCCAGTGGAGAGAAGCCGAAGCGAGGGACAAGTGCAGTGAACACATCATCGTCACAGTGGATCCGGGGGAAACAAGTCTGGGGGAATGGATGGGATGGACCGCCAGGAAGTGGTCCGAGATTTTGTGGGTGATGAGTTGATGCCATGGTGTTGAAGAAGATGGGAAAAAAAGAGGGTCGTTTGGGGGGGGGGGGGGCAGAAAAGGTGCATCGGAGCCGACGAGGATTGGGCCTCAACTGACCTCTCTCATGATTGTCTCTTCCTTTCCACTCTACCCCTTAATATCTTCAGTGTGTCGTGGAATAAACGCCCAGTAAGCAGTAACAGACACCCAATCTGGCTTCTTCTTCTTTGTCTCTTTTTGATTATTTGATTACTACCACATCTCAATATTGGGAAGGGTAGGTAAGCACTGACTGCGCTGGACGGCAGGACGGAGATTGGACCACCCAGGTTTCTTCTGGGGGCAAGCTTGGCCGACACCTACCAAAAGTGGCGCCCTGACCAGTGCCCATCGGCCCAGCATATCACTAATTTTAAGGTTACCCCTATGATCGACAAGGTCAATACAGTGGGAATTTGTGTCTGCCCGCCTTGGAACAAGGGGCGGCGAGCCGAGCTGACTGGCTGGCTGGGCATATGAGATTTCTACTGGTACTGTGTAGTATTGAAATTTAATCCTCCTCCCGGATTTTCCAATGCAGATCCTTTTCTCTGGGTCCACCTCTGGGGAAGAGAAGGAATTGAAAGAAAGGAAAAATCCCCACAGAGAATCCAGTGCTTCCTTGAATCTTTCTCAAATGATCATGCTGCCCAATGAGGTCATGCCCGAAAGAAAGAAAGAAAGAAGAAAAAAAGAGGGAAAAAGAAGCCTCCGGTCTGTGTACTATGTATGGTAGAAGGGACTCGTTACGACACAGTAGAGCCCGCGTGACATTCACAATACAATGGATTGAAGGGAGGTGCATGCATACTATGACAAAAGATCCCGTCGAACACGAGCCTCACAGCTCTACTTGTGTAGGCTTCTGCATGAGCCGCCACCCGTCCACAAGCTCTGGTTGGCCGAGGGCCCGATGACCATACCAGAAACGGTTCTAGAGCCTTCTCGGGGCTACGGTGCCACTGGGCTTGTAACGTCTAAACGAGATCCGCCCGGGCTGGAAGGCGGGGGGGAGGGGGAGCCAAGGAAAATAAAAAGAAATAGACCAGGGGGGGGGGGAGGCAAGAATGGAGGAGGATGAATAGATGGCGTTTTTCCTTGTCTCTTGGCTCCTGATCCCAGATGGCAGGGAACGGTGCTGTAAAGAAGAAAAGGGTCAAGGTAGTAAGAGGGTTCATAATATACTTCAGAGAGGGAAAAGGGGGACAAGGAAGGGGGGTGGGAAGGGGAAGGGAACAGGAGGAATCTGGCGTTGAAAGAGACAGAAGAAGAGAGGCAATAGAGTGAGTGACCTCTCACAATAGACATGCAGTGGCGCGTGTGGATCCTCCCCAGACCGACCCCCCTTGGGCTTTCATTTATTCATTATAGTACCATAGTAGTATGTACTAATGAAGAGGAGGACGCAGCGGGAACCCAGCCATGTGAGATCCATGCGTGATCCAACACCCATTTAAAAGAGGCCGACCCTTCCTGCCTCTCACGCTCGTTTACTTCTTGTCTTGTTTTTTTCCTTTTCTTCTTGACCTGTCTTCTCTCTCTGCTAAGTAAACCCTCTCGTTTACTTTATCTAGTGTATTAATTGTTGTGTACGAGGCTTGTTCTCTTTCATCTACACTCGCTTAACACCCTTATTTGTCTTCCTCGCAAGGAATATTTCTCCTCCTCTTATAATTACACCTTCGAAAAAACAACACCATTCAAGATGCGTTTCGCTACCTTCCTCGTTGGCGCCTTTGCCATCCTCGCCAGTGCCCAGAGCTCGGACAGCAGCACCGCCGCCACCACCACCACTGTTTCCTCTGCAACCAGCTCGACCTCCCTCACCGCCGCCCAGTCTTCCGAGGCTGCCTGCCTTAAGGCCTGTGATGCTGGCGATGTGACCTGCCAGGCCAAGTGCATTGCTGTAAGTGAACAGAGACCGTCAAACCCCCTCAAAACAGCCTACAAAGTCGCTAACCCAATCCCCCCCCTCCCCCGGTGCAGGTCCCTTCCCCCTCGGGCTCGCAGGTGAACGCCACCACCGAGTGCGTCGCCAACTGCAACCAAGGCAACGGCACCGCCGCCGACAACACTGCCTACGGCGAATGCGTCCAGGACTGCATCAACGATAACTACTTCACCTCTACCGGCACCCTGGCCGGTGCGACTGGCACCTCTGGCTCTACCGGCACTGCCGCCTCTGCCTCCGCCACGGGTACCGCATCTGGCACCTCGGACAGCGGCTCCTCCGCTTCTGGCACCAGCACCGCCACCTCTTCCTCGTCTTCGTCCTCCTCCACAAGCAGCGCTGCCGATGCCATCCGCGTTGGTGTCACCGGTGCAAGCCTCTTTGGCCTGCTGGCTGCCTTCATGGCCTTGTAGATGCGTTGAGAAGGTGCTTCCCTCTCCTAGGGATTTGGGTATTTGATAATGATGAAGCAAATTTGGGACGGAACGGGGTATTGGGTATCGGTTATGAGAAATTGGTACAAAAGTACCGGTAATTAACGCAATGAGAATAGCATCGGAGAGCGAAAAAAAATTATACATATACCCAAACGTCTTGGAATTAATGAGACCAATGTTTGGTCTCATAAATCTTCTACAATCAGTCCCGCTTGAGACTTTCGGTGCACGTATAACTCCAGGAAGCAGGGCTTACCAAGGAGGACGAATGCTTGTATCAATCTTTCGTTCTCCCCCTCTCTACATCGGAAGGCCGAGGCTGGGCAGCGGGGTTGGTGCAAGCATACCACACAATAAACACAGTCTAGAAATTTTCTCATTCCTTTATCGACTTTGTAGGCAGCGTCGGCTCGATGTCTGAGATCCACGGGATGCCGAGCTTCTTCATCTCGACCGCAAGCTGGAAAAGGTAGTCCAAACTGTAGCACAATCAAGTCAGCACATGATCCACATCCTCGACGTCGTCCGTGCCAAGGGGTGAGGACAGCAGTCCACATACCTCTCACACTGCGTCTTGGCATGCTCAACACTGTTTCCCCAGACATAGACCCCATGCCTCCTCACCAGCACGGCATAGGCATCCGGATACCGGTCCATGGCCTCCTCCATGAACTCGGTCAGGTCCTCCTCGTGCGCCGTGTTCTCTATCACTGGGATTCGCAGCGTGTCGTGGTATCCCAGGTTCCCGACCTCGCGGTGCGGATAACCCCGTGCGAAGCCCTTGATCTGCTCGATGTTGTTGATGCTGAACTCCTTGCCGCCACCGCCGCCGCCGCCCTGCTGCTCGAGGATGAGGGTGACGAGCACCGCGTATGGGCTGTGGGTGTGGATGCAGCACCGGGCGCCGCGGCGGGTGAAGGCGCTGAGGAAGAGCGGGGTGCACTGCGAGGGCTTGAAGGCCGGTGGGGAGCGCAGGTAGACGCGGGAGCCTGGGCGGATGGGGCCGTCGCCCTCGGAGGAGGAGGAGGCCTTGTGCTTCTCGAGGGTCTGCGGTAGCGAGAGGACGTAGAGGTCCGAGGGCTTCATGAGCTCCTTCTGCACGCCTGACGGGGCTATGTAGACGAGGTCCCTGGGGAGGAGGAGGACGAGTGTCAGCCCTACGGAGCAGGTTTGGCAGGGCCAGGAGGGAAGGAAAAAAGGACGACGACAACGAGGACGGAGGAGGGGTTGGCCCTACTCATCACGTATCGAGGCGCCGCCGCCTGTGCCCGTCACCCAACCCAAGGTCCAGAACTTTGCGCATAGAGAGGGGATGAGGTTGGCGGGGTGGTCCAGGTCGTTGGACCGGATGAGCTCGTCGTTGTTGCTGCCCATTGCGTCTCGGCAAAAACTTTCGCCACGCCTTGTTTGATGTTCAGACTGAAGGAATCTTGTCGGGGTCTGTTGCACCCGGGCATTTAGTTTCGCGGTCGTGGGAGGGGCAGAATAGCTGCAACACTATGAAACTGTCCCTGCGGATAGAAGAATTGACTCGTCACCCTTGCACTACATGAATATTATGGGGATAGGAGCCGCTCCTGACCGGACCACGTCACTATGGCCAGTGTCAACCCCTCCATTCCTCTCCACTGTAGGAGAAACAATGTCTCGGCAGGCAGCTTGGCAGAGACGTTGTTCATAACACGTGGGCATGTTGTCATTGCCGGTTGGATTTTTCTTCTTCTTCTTCTCCTTTCTTTCGTGCATAATACTATGTTTGCAGAATATGTATCATTCTGTTCTTTCCCCTCCTTAGATCTCACTGGTAGCCTGTCTCGTCTATCTGCATCTGAAGACATGACATCTTGTGTCTGTGGACGGAAAGGAAACAGCTTCAGTTCATTGGGTACTACAGTGTATGGTCAAGGATGTCTCCAATTAGCTGCAGAAAGGATAGTGTACTGAATCTATCGGATCACTCATCTCTCCAAAAGCACGTGAAGTCTGCAGCCATTGTGCTATAATACACTCTCTACCCCATTGACTCGGAGATGATCTGAAACAGCCAGTATGCCAGTAAGTATGGTGAGGCATGTGAACGAGTCGTAGGTCACCAATGTTTGAGGACAGATTTCACAGATGCAGGATAAAATAAATCTGTTTATCCTTGCTGGGCAAACTCTCCCTTCAGGCTGTGATAGTTACATTGAAGCTTGACCCGAAATTACTGTGCTACAGAAATGTACATAGTATGCGTCGAACTTTCCAAGAAGTTCTCTCCAGGTGGGTCCACAGGGTGTTTGGGTGCATTGGTGGCCCTGGTGAAGGGGTCTCGTACGCTGAAGAGGCTGTACACTTTTCACTGGCTACCCTTCAATTAGGGACCTGCTAGGCTAGGGGACTCCCGATCGATCCCCGCACTCAATAATGCAGTGGCCACCCAAGTGTCCGTGACCACCCTGTTCATAGCATCATGATCCCTGCTCCTCGGCCGGAGGGGGGAAGGTTGGAGCTGTTGTAGCATTGAATTTTTGGGGAGCTTCAACCGCCAGCGTGTCCTTTTTTCTACCCGCGACGCCTTGAACCCCGAGGATAAATCCAGTCCAACTTCATTCTCCAGCACTTTGTTGTTGATTGACTCCTCACACCCGTCTCTACTTCTCCCCTCCTCAAGCTCTGGGAGCAGCATCCTTTTTCTTTATTCCTTCCTCAGCCAATTTCCTTCCACACCTGTCTCTTGTCCAGGACAGGTCTTCTTGTCTGCACACAAAGGAGGGAAACTTTCTTGTCTGATCAAAATCACCTATTGATTAGCGCACCCGACAAGACTTCCTACCACAACGTCAACAGCAGCCATCATCACCATGAGGTTCACACCTTTCATTGCTGCGGCCGTCCTGGCCTATGGCGCTGCTGCTGATGAGGCGCAGAAGCCACTTGGCGACGAGAGCTCCTCTTCTGCTGCTGAGTCTTCCACTGTTGATGCCTCTCTGCCCACCTTCACAGTAAGCAAAGACCTCCAATGTCCAACCCCCTTCAGAACTGCCTCATCCCACAACCAGCGCGCAAATGGCGCTGTGACCCTCTACACTACAGCGGGCGAGCAGCCAGACAGATCGACCAACAGTGTAGGCCAGACAGAAAGCTGACCGTGTAACTTGTATCATCTAGCCCACTACCATCAAAGCACCCTTCCTTGAGCAGTTCACCGATGACTGGGACCAGCGATGGAAGCCTTCCCACGCCAAGAAGGACATGAAGGACACTGGCAAGGATGAGGAGGAGTGGGCCTATGTGGGCGAGTGGGCTGTTGAAGAGCCTACTGTCTTCAAGGGCATGGAGGGTGACAAGGGCCTTGTCGTCAAGAACCCTGCTGCTCACCACGCCATCTCTGCCAAGTTCCCCGAGAAGATTGATCCCAAGGATCAGACTCTTGTTGTTCAGTACGAGGTGAAGCTCCAGAGTATGTTTCTGACCCAAATGATCCCATGCCCTGCCAGCTTTAACATTTGGCCTGATGCTGACTTGAAACCCCTCTTCGACAGATGGCCTGGAGTGCGGTGGTGCCTACATGAAGCTCCTGCGCGAGAATGAGGCTCTCCACCAGGACGAGTTCTCCAACACCACCCCCTATGTGATCATGTTTGGCCCTGACAAGTGTGGTCACAACAACAAGGTCCACTTCATCTTCAACCACAAGAACCCCAAGACTGGCGAGTACGAGGAGAAGCATGTCAAGTCTCCCAACGCTGCCCGCATTGTCAAGACCAGCGAGCTCTACACCCTCATTGTTCACCCCAACAACACCTTCATCATCGAGCTCAACGGTGAGCAGGTCAAGACGGGCAGCCTCCTCGAGGACTTTGTTCCCTCTGTCAACCCCCCTGAGGAGATTGACGATGCTGAGGACAAGAAGCCTGAGGACTGGGTCGACGAGGCCCGCATCGCAGACCCCGAGGCTACCAAGCCCGAGGACTGGGACGAGGATGCCCCCTTCGAGATTGTGGACGAGGAGGCTGAGATGCCCGAGGACTGGCTCGTCGATGAGCCCCTCACCATCGCCGACCCCGAGGCCCAGAAGCCCGAGGATTGGGACGATGAGGAGGACGGTGACTGGATCGCCCCCACCGTGGCCAACCCCAAGTGTTCTGAGGTCTCGGGCTGTGGCCCCTGGACCAAGCCCATGAAGAAGAACCCCGACTACAAGGGCAAGTGGACCGCCCCCTTCATTGACAACCCCGCCTACAAGGGTGTCTGGGCCCCGCGTAAGATCAAGAACCCCGACTTCTTCAACGATACCAAGCCCGCCAACTTCGAGCCCATCGGAGCTATTGGCTTCGAGATCTGGACCATGCAGAGCGACATCCTGTTTGACAACATCTACATTGGACACTCGGTCGAGGACGCCCACAAGCTCGCCGACGAGACCTTCCACCTGAAGCACCCTGTCGAGCAGCTGGCGGAGCTGGCCACGGTCCCCAAGAAGGACGACAAGCCCAAGTCGCCCAACGACCTCAAGTTCCTGGACGACCCCGTCCTGTTCATCAAGGAGAAGACGGATCTCTTCCTGACTATCGCCCAGAGGGACCCCATCGAGGCCATCAAGTTCGTCCCTGAGGTCGCTGGCGGTATTGGTGCCGTCCTTGTCACGGTCATTGCCGTCATTGTTGGTGTTGTCAGCAGCCTGGGTGGCTCTGCCGCTCCTGCTGTCAAGAAGGCGGCCGCTGACGCCAAGGACAAGGCGGCTGAGGTCAAGGACAAGGTCGCCGCCGCGGCTTCCTCTGGTGCTGAGGCCGTCAAGGACACCACCACCAAGCGCACCACCCGAAGTCAGTCGTAGGTTGACAAGGTGAAGCCGGGAAGGCTTGGGAGGGATTGATGGATCATTGGAGGGGGAATACTGTCGAAGGAGACTAAAGATAAGGCGGTGCTTATACCTCTGAAGGTCTTGACAAATTGGGAAAGCACAACAGTAAAGCAGCAAAAAAACGGGATACTTTTCTTTCGCACAGGGCAGGGTCTGAGCACGGCGTAGCAGGTGTGTATTTTTTAGGTATCGCAGGAAATACGGACTCTTTTTCCAAACTTTGTACGCGTGTGTCCTCCGTAGTTGTTTGTCGCGAGGAATTGAGCCGAGTCTCTACTGCTACTTGAGACCTCTGATGATGATGATGATGATGATGATGGATGAATGTACGGCTAAGCCTGCGCCCGACGTGAGGCACACTAGGCAGCGCAATCGCAGTACTCGACCGTGGCCATACGCACATACCATGTGCATTAGTATGGCCATATTCGGAAAGTACATCCAGACATACATTTTCACTATCTTGCTCCGGTCTTCCTAGCCTCATTAAATTCCCCGTGCTTCACTCCCGGCAGCAGAGACCACGATTGGACTGGCTCAAGAGCCCCAGCCATGTCCATATGTGCCAGCATGTCTCATTTATTGTCAATGTCATTACGCAACTGAACTGATAGGAGAATTCTGTTCATTTTCTTTTCTTCTTCTTGGGCATGTATATCCGGGGCAGACCCTAAACCGGCAATTGGCGGCACAGGACTGGCTCATGTGCGGCCGGGATATGTGGGGTAAGTCGTCGAGTTTCCCCTTGTCTCCCCGCATAATTTGGAGATGGGAAGGAAAGAGGGAGGGGTGCTTCGCTGCTGCGGTTGTTGCCACGATCGACGACCCGCACTTGCTCTGTCCTTCTCGTGGACCTTTCTTAGCCAGCACATTGTGTTTAATCTTCGTTCTCTACTCGCTGTCCTCTCACTTGTTGACCTTTTCTGGTTCAGCCTCTACTGCTTCGACATTGTGAAGCAAATCGAGAGGGAACCTGTTGTCGATATTGTGCCCTTTGGTTGATTTACCCCTCATCTTTACCCTCCTTCTATCCCGTCCTGCTTTTCTCATCACGGAGGTTGGACCCAATGCGCCGTTTATTATCCAGCAGCGTTTCTGCCAGCGCAGCTCGCTCCTCCCAGGCAGCAACGGCAGGCCGTAGCAGGTCAGGTCTCCCTCTCCTCTCCTCGTGGTCCTCTCCTGCGGCTCCGTCCGTCTACAGCGCCAGCAGAATGACGCCCTCGTCGTCGTCGTCCTCGGGCGCCGTGAGGAGAATACACGCCACAGCGGCACACCTCAACCCTGCCCTCGCATCCACGGCCACGTCCTACCCTACGACCCATGAGAAGATCGCCGAGGTGACCAACACGCCTTACTTCCTGAACAACGAGTTCCGGCCGTCGGCTGCGGACCAGCACATCACGCTGTACGACCCAGCCACCAACAACCTGGTGACCCGGGTGCCGCAGATGACAGATGCCGAGCTCGAGGCCGCCGTCTCGAGCGCGGAGAAGGCGTTCCCCGCCTGGCGGAACATGAGCGTCCTCGCGCGGCAGCAGATCATGTTCAAGTTTGTCGCTCTCATCCGCGAGAACTGGGACCGCCTGGCCGCGAGCATCACGCTGGAGCAGGGCAAGACCTTTGCTGATGCCAGGGGTGATGTGCTGCGGGGGCTGCAGGTTGCCGAGGCGGCGTGTGGCGCTCCTGAGCTGCTGAAGGGGGAGCTGCTGGAGGTTGCCAAGGACATGGAGACGAGAACGTACCGGGAGCCGCTGGGTGTCACGGCCGCCATCTGCCCTTTTAGTGAGTCTTTTAATCCCTCTGAGAGAAGAACCCAAAGGGGAGAGACAGACAGACAGACAGACACACACACACAGAGAGAGAAAGAGAGAGTACTGACCAGTGGTATCCTTTGGATGATCAAAAGATTTCCCTGCCATGATTCCCCTCTGGTGCATTCCCATCGCCACAGTCACGGGCAACACGCTCGTGCTCAAGCCCTCGGAGCGCGACCCTGGCGCGGCCATGATCCTCGCGGAGCTGACGCAAAAGGCCGGGTTCCCGCCCGGTGTGATCAACATTGTGCACGGGGCCCACCGCACCGTCAACTTCCTCCTCGACCACCCTGCCATCAAGGCCATCTCGTTTGTGGGCGGCAACAAGGCCGGCGAGTACATCTTCTCCCGAGGCTCGGCCAACGGGAAGCGCGTGCAGGCCAACCTGGGCGCCAAGAACCACGCCGCTGTCCTGCCCGACTGCAACAAGAACCAGTTCCTCAACGCCGTGGTGGGGGCTGCCTTCGGCGCGGCGGGCCAGCGGTGCATGGCGCTGTCAACGCTGGTCATGGTGGGCGAGACCAAGGAGTGGCTGCCGGAACTGGCGGAGCGGGCCAAGGCCCTCAACGTGAACGGTGGATTTGAGGAGGGCGCCGACCTGGGCCCCGTCATCTCGCCCGAGAGCAAGGCGCGCATCGAAGCGCTGATTGCCTCGGCCGAGGAGGAGGGCGCCACGGTGTTGCTGGACGGGCGCGGTTTCAAGCCCGCCAAGTACCCTGACGGCAACTGGGTTGCGCCGACCATCATCACCAACGTCACCAAGGACATGAAGTGCTACCGCGAGGAGATCTTCGGCCCTGTGCTGGTGTGCCTCAACGTGGAGACGCTGGACGACGCGGTGGACCTGATCAACGCCAACGAGTACGGCAACGGCGTGGCCATCTTCACGCGCAGCGGCCCCACGGCCGAGACGTTCCGGCGCAACATCGAGGCGGGCCAGGTTGGTATCAACGTGCCCATTCCCGTGCCGCTGCCCATGTTTTCTTTTACTGGTAACAAGAAGAGCATTGCGGGTGGTGGCGCCAGTACTTTCTATGGCAAGCCCGGTATCAATTTTTATACGCAGCTAAAGACGGTCACGGCTCTCTGGAGCGCGGCTGATGCTATTAGCCAGAAGGCTGACGTGGCCATGCCTACGCACAGCTAAGATTTCTTGGGAATGTGAGAAGATTGGCTGTATGTAAATTCGTCCATGAAGCAGGATTGTCGAGACTTGTTTTGAGTTTGTATGAGTGTGTTCAAAACGGTATTGAGTGTCAATTTGAGGGGGCATCATGCATTGAATAAAGTGGGTAGTGCTGCTTCGCCTTTGGCCTCACATAATTTTTCTTTTGTGTGTAGAGCAGCAGGTCTTTGCTATTCCAATCCATCATACATATTAGTGAGGCTACAAAAGATTCAATGTATCTTGATATAGAAGATGACTGGTTCAGCTTGCACCCATCTATCTGTCTGTATCCTGTTTCAAATCAAGGTGAAATGTGCATGTGGGCAACTTGTTGTCGAAAGGTATTTCTTGATAGGGGCGGGGGGGGGGGGCGTCGGATATAAGTAAACCACCGTCTCCGGGTCTCTCTCTCAACGACAACTCCTCCCATGACTCTTGATACACCAGACAGCGTATCAGAGAGCTGTCATTTATTACTGACTGTACCAACCCATAACATTGTAAACTCAAGGCCCAATCCATCATTCATCCTCTCACCTTGGCAAGAACTCCTAGGGTAACAATAGATACCGCTAGGGCATGACGACATTACGACTACATCAAGGGTCGTTACCTTGCTTGCCTCACAATTGAGGAGGAGGGGCCGAGTGGTGGTGGGGCACCATGGAGATCATCGACCTGCCCAATGACCTGTTCCTGCTCATCACGGCGCACCTGTCCGCCAGGACCTTGATCCTGTGCCGAAGGGTCTCGCAGAGGTGGCATGCTGCCTTCACAGACCAGGCCCTCAACCTGCACCTCCTCAAGTGGCATTTCCCGAGGTGCCGAGAGTTGCGGAAGGCCTATGTCGCAAGGGGTGGCGAGCTCCCGACCACAGCCACAGGAGGTCTTTTGGAGGCTAATCAGGCTCAGGGCTGCCGTCGTTGTCGAGGACCACCATCACCAGACTGGACAGGAACCTTCGCCCTCGTGGCCAGCAGGTATCACCACTTGCGCACAGCAACAGCCCGCTCCATCGAGAAGATCCGCCTTGGCAGTACTACGGGACCAGACTACAACAGAGATGTTTTCTACCCTGTCGCTCCATGGGACCGCTATCTCCGCCTCGACAACAAGACGGCGCCCTTCCACTACCCTGACCCGAGCTGGTGCTACGGCCAAGATGAAGATGGTGACGACGACGATGAGGATGGCGGCGCCGCAGCAGTGCTGGTCTACCGCATTCACCCTGCCGATGTGGTCGACGAGGTCCGCGAGCACATCTATCCATGGCGTCTCCTGGACCTGGACACCAGCGAGGCCGTCGAGATTCCCTTTCCCTGCGACCAGGACAGGATCGTGCGGCGGGTGAGGTTGGCAGAGGGCGTGCTGGTCTTTGAGTGGTGCGAGAGACTTCCCTACCACCAGCTCAACGACCGCGAGGAGTGTCACCGGCACTACGTCTCAGCTTTTGACATAAAAAGGACGAGGAGGAGGCATAACGATGACGACGATGACCATCACCACCACCACCACCTCCTCCTCCTCCTCCAGTGGGACATCACCCCTCGTGCCGATTTCAAGCTCCACTTCCTGGGCCTCCCCCTCAACACCCACGACCGCTTCCTCTCCGCCCACACAGCCACCCACTACGCTGTCTACGTCTGGCAGCCCAACCGCTCCCCCTGGGGCGAGGATGACCCGATCGAGTCCGTCGTCGTGTGGGACATGTCGTCGTCGTCCACAGAGGCCAAAGTCGTCAGGCGCATGACCTGGTCCGCACTCGCGTTCTACGGGGTTCGTCAGAGGTCGGCGCCCAGGCTGTCCGGGCTGGGCTTGGATGGACGGAATCTGTATTTTGTGGAGGAGGAGCATCGGTGGGCGCAGGGGGCGCACAGCAGCTTGAGTGCGCCGCGGGTGCATCTTGTCCGGAGCACAGGGGTGCCCGTGATCCCTGGCCCTCGCAGCGTGGACGGTCCTGCTGCTGCTGCGGAGGAGGAGGAAGGCAGAGGAGAACAGGAGGAGCAGGTCGTCCAGGGGCCTGCGTGGCTCGACCAGTGCGGCGCAAACGGCGACGTCAACCTGTCCTTTTGCTCACGGCTCCACGCCGCCGCCAGCCCGTCCGCCCACCGAGGCCCTCTCTGGGGCAGTGGTAAACACCAGCACCGCCACCACAAGAACAGCAGTGACGCCATCACGTCCCCAGGCATCTGGAACGGATCCATCCCTTCCTCCTTGTCCTCCGTGCACCACCACCAGCAGCAGCACCACCGCCGCCGCCACATGCCGACGACCTTGTCCCAGGAGCTTGAGTCCTCCCTGCGCACCTCCCCGACCCGCTGGTCTGGCTGGGCCCCTTGCTGGCGCCACGAGGAGTTTCCTTACCTCACCGTCAGCGAGGCGGTGGACTTTCGGGCCGGTGTCAGGATCACGGCTCGCCACTGTTTCATGCTCGAGACTTTGAGTGTGCATGTGCGGCCTTTGCTGTCTGTGAGGGGGTTGCGCGGGGCCGGTGGTGTGGTTTCTTCTACTTGTTCTTCTTCCTCTTCGTCGTCGTCGTCGTCGTCGTCGGCGGCGGCGTTGTCATCGTCTTTGTCTTCACCTCCAGCGAACCCACGCGCTGCTGTCAGGAATGATCACCGGGCTATAGGGTCTGGGAGCGTCAACACTCGCATGAACGGCGAGCTGGAGGCCATGGACGATACTCGGAAGAGACGACGGGCTGAATCTGCATACAGAGGCAGTGGTGCTGGCAGTAGTGGTAATAGCGGTGGAGGAGGAGAAGGTAGTAGTAATAGAAAGGCCGGGAGGCAGGAGAGGAGGGATGGGGACGGTGAGGGAATCGAGGAGGTACAGTTCGCGGATGAGATGTGGGACGAGCTGCTGGGGAAGGGGTTCATCTGTGGGGACGAGAGGTGGCTTGTTGGGGAAGATATGCAGGGGCAGATCACGATTGTGAGGTTTTGAGGCGAGAGGACCCGAGGAACCTTGGGCAGAGACGGATTGAGGACTTGGTGGGGGTTGTCCTTGGGGGGTGGGGGGTCCTCCCCGATGGAATCATACCCTTCATGGCCTTCGGTACTGTCAATTTCTTTACTTTTCAACTTCAGGTCTCGTAGCGATTCTACATGTTGGCTTTCTCGGCATATTATATGGGCCCGCCTCAAAAAAAACAAAAACTTGAAAGATTGCACGGTTCGAAAGACTATCAAGGTGTCCAAGCACAATTATCTCCAGGTACAGTTTCTTCGTAACACTATCTCAGTGCATTGATCCTGGAAAGAGAAGTTGTGAGACTGTCTTGTATCAATAGAACTCATCACGAGGTTCGCAAACCTACCGTAGCACCTCATTATTACTAGAATCTCAACATAACACTCCAAGGTTTATCCTGCTCATGAGCTAAGTGATGCATTTTAATAGCTGTAGCTAGTATCTCTTAAGATTTCCAATATCAAGAACCAGTCCAGACTATTATCAACACTCTATAAATTCAGTAATCAAGAAAATTATCGGAATCCTGGATACGCTTCCCGCATCCTCCTCTGCACCACGACACTCTGAAAAAAAGCAAAGAAAAGAAAGAAAAGGCCATGAGAAAATCTAAACCTCACTCCACAACCCACCTTCAAACAATCACCCACAAGCTCCACAAAAGAAAGCCAAAAAGCCATAGGAATAAACAAAGCAAAAACAAAACCGACCATTCCCTCCCCCCCCCAAGGCCAGACCTTGCCCTCTCGTTCGGCCAAGCGCCCAGCCGGGGAAGGATCCCCGAGCTAATGAATTCATTAACAAGGGAAAAGAAAGATGGAAAAGTCCCCCATCCCCCCCTCTGAACCCATCACACCGACGGACCCGAGAACCAGTACCTCGTCCCCGAGCCGGACAGCAGATCGCTTCCGTCGTCGTCCTAATCATCATCAAGCAGTTCTGGAAGGGGAGAGGAGCTGTCGCAGTGATCATTATCTGCGGTGCGTGCTCCCAGGCTTGACATGGTAAACTGAATCAAGGTTTCTATTCCTCCTCTTTCTTTCTCGTCCCGCTTTTATAATACATGGTCAGGATGCTGTTTGGACATCAAGGATCCGCTTCTCACTAAGAACAGAAATCGAAACACGTATGCAAGGTAAAGATTTGATCACATGTTCCTCAAGAAGAAGAGGGAAAACCCGTGGTGTGAAAGAAAAGTACTCTGGGGTTTGAAACGATGGATGGAATGAACCATCAACCTCTGCCCTTTGCCCCGACTTCTCGCTGATGATGGTGGGAATGCGAGCGAGAAAGGAGCCCTCACCCTCAAATAACATCATGTCTTTAAGAAGTTCCGAGGAATCATGTCTGTAGAAGTTTTGCCAGAGGGACGGATTGGTAAAGCTCTCCTTGTACTATCCACAAACAACAGCGCATATTCACATACTCATTTATTTGCTTCATCTTCAATTTTTTTTTGATTGATTGATTTTCTCCTGAGGTCCTTCTGAAGACATGACAGAGAGCAAACTAGAAAAAGAAAATGCCATGCACGGCAAGTGGCTAAGTGTGATCATTCTCGTCACAAGCAAGTAAGTGAGCATGCCAATGATGCCATCCATGCCCACATGCATAATTCCTACTCCTTCGCCCGCTCGATGCGTTTCAGACCAGACTCTCGTAGTGATAATTTGACACTTTGAGCATACAAGGAAGCCATGCAGTCTTCCTCCTCCACCACCACCGGCGTAATTCTTTAATAAAAGTATATGTTGTATAAACAATACTAAGCAACCTTCTTCAAGAGTGACTCCGACCCACAACAGAAGAGGCAATAGCCAGCCCAGCAAAAAGCATCATGGCTGCCGGAAACCGAGACGCACCCATCTCCTCCTCCTCACCACCATCTGCCACAGCAATCTCTCCAACATCCCCATCGTCGGCCGCTGGCATGCTCTTATTGGGTTGCTCCTCCTTCCGTTTCTGCTCTTGCTTCTTTTTCGTCTTCTTCATCGTCGTCAGCTGCCTGTCCTCCTTCTTGCTCGACCTGTGTGTCTTCGTCGCGGGCATCATGGAGCTACTACTCTTTTTGTGCTTCACGAGGATGATCTTCCGCAGCGATGAGGAGGAGGGACTCTCGGTTGCCTCTGCGCGGGCCCCTTGCGCACAGGTATTTGCGGCTGCTGCTGCCTGTTTAGACTTGGTGTTCTTGATGATGATGCTGTGCTCGTGTTCTTCGGGCACAGCACCCACATCAACCTCGGTTGTTGTGGACGGCAGATCAAAGGCGTGCGTACCCGTCAGCGCGGTGCGGATACCGAGTTCCGCCCATCGAGACTCGTGGAGGCCAAGAAGACCCGCGGTAGGGGCACCAAGGTGCTTGGCAGAGGGCAGTCCATCATCATTGGCGTCGTCGGCCGCAGGAGAGGGCGTGATTGTATCGACAGAGTCAGTTGACTGTCGCCCGTTAGAGACGTAGTCCTCCCATGACGAGGAGGAAGATGAAAAGCTGGCCCTGCTAGGGCTTTGGCCAGCGGTATTGGCGGTAGCAGCAAGGCTGGTGAAGAGAGGCAGCGGAGGTAGGAGCTGCTGGACATTGTTCCCCATGCCGACATGTGTTGCGTAGGAGGGGTTTTGGTTGGATACTGATGTGGCGTTCCTGGCGGTCGGTGCCGAGAGTCGAGTTTTGGATACATCCACGGGCTTCCGATCTTCTGTCGGGACCGGGCTCGCGTGAATGTTTGCGAATTCGGGCTCCTGGGAAGACTCCTCGGTGCCTACGATATCCGTTCGAGCAAGGTCATTGGTGAGGGCTGCACTGGATGTGCATGTGGTGTCCGGCGGCTCCGGGTCTGTTCCCCGTGCCGGCCCACGTAGCGCAGCACTGGTGTCCAAGACAGGTGGTTCAACCTTATCAAAACCAAAGTCGAAGGCAGCATGTTCACCAATCTCGGAGGTGAGGATCTCGCTCGTATCCGAATCTGTCCGGGCATCCAGTCCCGCGTCCGAGAAGGGTATCTCCTGTTCAGTCTCGGGCCCATCGGACATCCCCACGGGCTGATCTGGCGCCATGGACACGGCCCCGTCCCCGATCGGGCCCGAGTGCTGAAATGTTGCAGGATTTTTGGTTTCACGGTCTTTGTCTTGCGTAGGAAAAGCAAAGTTGAACAGTGACAGCTTATGCCTAGTGGCTTCGTCCAGCGACTCTTGCTCCGTCATCATCGGCTTGTTTAAGGTCGCCGCCGCCAATGGGTCGACATCAGTAGCAGCGGTAACACTTGCGCCAATCATGATGTCTTCTTCATGGCTCTTGTGCGTCTCCTCCTTCTCCTCCTCCTCCTCCTCATCGCCAAGATCGTCCGTAGCCTCTACGCAATGGAGCAGCCAGCCTTCAGCAGGGAGGTCTTGTGGAGGCGGTCTCACTACACTATTGGCCCCGACTTGTCCTGCTGTCACTGGCTTCGGGCAGTCGGGCGCGACACCCTCATGCTCGCCTGAACTGGGTCCCAGTGGTGCAACCAATACCCGAGGAGAAGGCGGAGTGAGTTCTGGGGAGCTAAGCTCGCGTGGGGCCGCAGGGCCTTGAGGGAGCTCGGACTCGGTGGGTCCCCGCCGCATCATCTGGCGGTGAGCAAGAGGAGTCTCTTCGTCTCCGCTCGGCGACATGAGCGCTCTTGGGGTGTCCACCGGAGCCGAGTTCTTCGCCGTGGCACCGCTGGGTGTCACAGGTCGGGTGCTCGGAATCTCGTCGGATCGAGGCACAGCAGGTTTCACTTCCGTGAAGCGCTCGACCTCCGGGAAAGTTGTGCTACTCGGGGCCGAGGTTTCCACCACCATCCACGGTGCAGAGAGCTGAGAAGCGTTCGAGCCGCTTCTGAAGGGGATAATCCCATGAGCGAGAATGGGTGGAGAGCCTCGCCCAATATTTGGTGTAATGAGCATGCTCTGGCCTGGCGAGGACGTGTCACTTTCGGTGAGCGCTGGCATGGAAGAGTGTGTCGAGTTCGAGTCTGTATCACAATCCGACCTCGCTGACACTGAATAGACCTCAGCAGCAGGCTTCAGACCACCAACTACATGGCGGCCAGAGACTTCGTCGTCGTCGTGGTGCGCGCCAGCCTCATGTATGATAGTCGGTAACCTCAAGTGGATCGCCGACCCTAACTTCACGATGCCACGACGAGCCTGCTCCCGACTGTCGAAATTCTGCCGATCATTGGCAGCTGGATCCTGACTCGTGACGACAACAGCCGTGGCACGCTCACCACATTGTTCTTTCTCCTTGTATCTAGCAGGTACAAGCGGAAAGACTCTCGAAGACTTCCTGAGGGAAACTTCTGGAGGGGTTGTTGGGCAGGTTGCAGAGTGGGTCAGAGTTCCGGTTGAGGTCTGGTAAGAAAAATATGGCCCAGTGGGACGAGGAGTATATGGTTGACCCGGCGAGTAGCGAGGGCGCGTGTGGCGAGGTGGCTGTTCCGGTGTATACGGCCCGTTGGACATATTGTCGAGATCGCACGTGTCCTTGCAGATCACGTCCATGTCTCGTTGGATGCGTGTTTTCAGCCTCGCAATCAGCACGTGCTGCTGGTCCTGCTCCAAGGTGAGGCTCTCCGGCACGGGTGTCTGCTTGTGATCACGAGCGATGAGTGCTTTGTCCACGACGAGATGGCCGCGTGTATATGCGACCATTCGAACCGCAACATCATGCCCTCGAAGAACGTCTCTCACTCCCGTGCGTAAACGATCCAGCAGAGCCTCGATACTGTGCCGACTGTGCCTCTGCGTACCATCGACGGTGAAACGGGCGCAGTTCTTCGCATGCCAGCCATGACCTATCAGCTCGGCGATCCGGAAGTCGACATCAGGGAGCTTGTCCACCAGCTTGTCGGTCCTGTCTCTGGACTGTGCAAAGCAGTCCGAGATCTTGCTGACGAACTCATCACAGTCCTGGCCGTCTGGACATGTGAACAGTCTCAGTCGGCTCTTGATACCGCGATGCAGATGCTCATACATGGGTCCAAGGTTGTTGAACACACGAAGCTCGACGTCTAGGGCATTCTCGTCAAAGTGCTGACAGCCACTGTCCTGGAGGCTGTCGAATCTGTCGCAGTTCACATGTTGGACGTCGAAAGCGCTCTTCTTCTGGTCGAAAACACCCTGAACGGATTGATACGCCTGCCACAGCAGATCCTCGCTCAGGCCGAGGTTGAGGGGTGAGGGCTGCATGCTATCCACCTTCAACCTTCGTGCGATCTCGGGTTGGTGCCGTGCTGGGTTGTTGCTCTCGAGGGTGAGCTCCACCGAGTAGCCGGGCGGGAGCTCCCATGTCTGTGAGCGCTCCATGAAGAGTCCTCGCGGGATGCACCTGAGATCAAGTGGACCTGTGGGGGAAGGCCTGAAGGTTTCTGGTTTTCTAGGAGGAGGAGAATACTCGTCGTGAGCAGGCTCGTCTGGCCATTGAAACCCCTCGTCGTGGCGTCTCAGAAACAGGGCGATAATGCTATGAGTCGAGCGCGCCACGTCCATAGCTGAGGCGCTGGTGAGAGCATGCTTCTGGTAAGACTGGAACACCCTCTTAGCCCAGGTGCCAGAGTGTCCCAGCCGTTGAATGGTGAAGGTCAGCTCGAAGCGTGGTGACCTCGGTCCTCTATGAAGGCACTGTGTAGGGTTGAGGGCGTTTGGGTCCCTGCGGGTGATCAGCTCTTCGCTGCAGTGCTGAATCCTCCGCAGCAGGCCTCGACATATTCGATCCGTAGGGGTGAATGACTGCGAGCTGTAATAGGTTCTGTTGTAGACGGATTTGACGGCTGGGTCGTGAAAGTCGATGTGGACATGTATGGCAAGTGGTGCATCCCAAGCAATGCCAGCCTTTTCTTCTCGGACGGGCGACAACATGGCATCTGTGTCTGGTTTCATGTCGAGTATGTTGGACTGGATGAACAAGTTGCCAATATCGACCTCGTCAACGTAGCGAAACTGTCGACCCAAGGCTTGAGGCAGCGAGTCCGCGCCACGATGATGGAGGTCCCAGGCGGCCATCTTGGAATAATAGATGGATGGTATATGCTGGCACTTTGTCTTCTGAAACACCTTGGCCTCTCTTCGCGTTCAGACGAGCTGTGCCCTTGCTCCTTGTGTTTGGGGCGCCCCAAATTCATGCGACTACCTGCCACAGCAAAAGAAGGAGGGTGGGACAAGATCCAGGTTGGGCAACCAGATGAACGACGAGCCACTCATGGGCAATGACTTGAGGTGAACCAAAGAATTGCCATTTGCTCGATAAGTGAGAGGAGGGCAGGGCTGAAGGACGAAACAGTGAGTGGATAAACTCGCACAAATGAGGGTGCGAGAACGACGAGAGTGGTTTGTTATTGGACTGATGGAGGCGGCAGTGGGTGGGTGGGTGGATGGATGGAAGTACTGCGTAGTAGTAGTAATAGTAGTATTGGGAAGGCTGGTTGGTGTACACAGTAAATACGTCTGGTAAGTAAACAATACCCAAAACTAGGTATTCGATGCTGGTTGGAGGGGCGGGTGGTGGTGAGTTAAACCAAGACAGGGCAGGTCAGATTGTCTACTCTAGACGAGAGAGCTAACAAGCATCCCTGGAGGACATATAGAGAGAGGAGGGAAAAGAAAAAGAAAAGAAATAAATTTTTAAAAGGAGGTGATTGGAATGGAACAAGAAGTAAGGAACGACTGAGCCATATTGCAAGGCCTCGGCCAGGTCTTCTCTCTTTTTTTGCCTCACCTTGAGCAAACTGTCCAAGCTCCCCCGGCTACGCCTTCCACTTCAACCTGCAGCAGCCCTCCTCTTTTTTTTCTATTCTTCCAACTCTGCGCCTCATAGGATCAACCTGGGGAACATCATACGTGGGGCCCATCCAGGCGTTCGGGACAGGTCGGAAAAGCGAAAACTGGAGCTACAAGAGGCCCACGTCCTCGTACCCATCTTGAGAAGGGGTTGGATGAAGGAAAAGGTGGGATGACGGACGGCCCGCGCAGAAACCATTCCTGCGGCCTGTCGGAGGGCGCTTCGTGGCATGACACGCACCAATCTAAGCCTTGGGATCGATCTTGCTTCGGACCTCACGAAAGTGGAAGAAAAAAAAACAGGGAATCCCCAAGCATGCATGGTCTGCAGTAACCAGCAAAGCAGAGCAACAAGTCGACGAGAGCGAGAGAGAGATAACGAGAGAGAGAGAGAGAGAAAGAGGACTAACCGGATTGGGTACTGCTGCTTCAGGGCCGGAGCTCTCTCGTCGCCCACCGGGCCACGTTGTTCACCTTGAAGTCCACAATTCTCTTTCCAATCCGGCTTCTCCCCTTCGACAAGCCGTCTCTGCTGGCTCCAACGACCTGCGTCACAGTGGGGAGCCGCAGCTGCAGGCACTGACTGACTGTTCTCGACCCAGAAGTGCTATAGATAGGCTCCACCTCGGTTCGCGCTGCAGATGCCAGCGAGGACGCCGTGCGCCGTGTCACCATGGCAGTGGCAGATGAGAAAGCTCCTGCTTTGCATATTGCATGGGGTTGTGTGTGTTTGGCACGCATAGTCTCGGGTCTTGAAGGGGAAACATCCCAGGCGCGTATGTCTAGCGGCACCTGGCACGCTTAGGTATTATGCCAATGGTACTTCTTCCCCTCCCTGAGACACACACACACACACACACACGGCTTGTTGGCCGGGAGAGCTGATCTTCGTGCCCCCAACGTTGCTTGACCAACTGGACAGACCCGTCTGGACCCTGTTACGGCCTGGCAACCTTACATACGCGCCGTATCCTACATGCAGTCAAGACCACTCATTTAGGGGCGAGCAGACCGGTTTGCTGGCATTTGGCTGTTCGAGCCCGACCAGCAAACTTGTCCACTGGTCATCCATATCTGCCCTCGCTGCAACGACACCCAAATGGTCTTTCTTTCTTTAGGTCCCTTAGCAATGTGGGGGGAAAAGAGAGAGCAAGGACGAGGGGTCCTCATTACTGGCCGGGAATCCGGGGGCGGGTCTCAAGAATTCCGCCAAGGGACGACCCCCAAGCCTTGTGAAAAACACACCACTTGGGATTACTTTGGGCTGACCTCTTCAGGGTCGGTTGCCATTCCTGTCCCCAGTGGAGTGATCACCATCTCGCGATCGAGAATTGGAAATCTCGGGGTGCCGGAAAACAGGAAGAGGAGAAAACAAAAAACCCCTCATTTCAGGCTGCGTTTCCTGCTCTCTGTGCTCATTTGCCCATGGATCCCAATTGTCAGGCCATCGCCATGTTTTTTATCCTGTTCTTTTCTTAGCTTCGTCCCCGGCCGATGCAGGCCATCTCCCAGTCCCTCCCAGATCGGGGGCAAGATCTCGTAAAAGCAAAAGATGGGACGATTCGGCGACTAATCACAGCGCCACATGCGATGATCAACCTCCAGCTGCTGACGCTTTATGTTTCTGAACGACTCATTCTGTCGAACTAAAAGAAGGAAGGGGGGAAACAAAATTCAACCGCCGAGAAGTCAGGGTCAGTCCTGGGTCAGCGCTTCTCGCTTGTGCCTTGGTCTATGCCGACCTCGGTGTGCGCCTGGATAATCATCTGACGACTTGAGCATGTAGTGACTCTGATTTGTGGTACGACGTGATATTGCGTGTAAGCCTCCTCCTGCTTCCAACAATGTCAGGTTTAGGAATGAGAGTTTCGTATGTAAAGCTTGTAATAATTCTGCCCGAGGTACAACAGCCTGGTTGCTGGGGCGATCGAAGTGTCTTGCACTATGAATGAATTGAACCCGATCGCCTTCCTGGCACGCTGCCGTAATTGAGTCCTTGGCTGATGCAGTAGATACGAGCATGGCCATTGCTTTAACACATTATCTACGTGGATTCTTGCATTTTGATATCCCAGGACTAATGTGTATAATCATGATTATGAAGTCTTGGCTCAAGTACGTTCCGACTCAATGCCTACATTCTCCGGTATGCTCAACTGCGTAAGTACGCGTATGCATAGTAGAAATCACAGCCGCAACCTTTCAATCTCATCCTCTCACCAAATTTTTCAAATTGAAATCGTGGATCTTGAGCTGGGGGCTTTCTTCCACTGATTTACGCCGATCTTGGTAAGGAATCTGGTGGATTTCTGATGAACCCGAGGAAAGGGAACTCTTGCAGAGTGGATATCGATACATATATAATATACGTAAATATACATATACACTCCACACGCTACGCAGCCGCCTTGCTCCTGACGAGACGCAAGAAGATGAAAGCACCATCTCGTCATGATCATAATCGTGGCCACCACCTAGCGAGGTTGAACATCTCGAAGTATGCACCGCTGTCCTGGTTATGGAACATACTGATAGCATGCCTAGGACAGGCTCAGAAGGTTGATTCAGCTGTGGACTGCGCTTTACTCCATTCAATCACACGCGGATGAGCCACGACCTTTCGAGCATCGAAACCGAGCACCTGGAGCCCGCTTAAGGTGGCCGCACGAGACAGCGCGACATAGCTCTGACCTGTTTGACGTTGTGAATAAAAAGGAAGAAAAATGTTGGTTCGAGCCAGAACTTTTTATCTTTTGATGTATGAGGCAGGGGTTCAGGGAGGACGTACCTTTCTCAAAAACCTTGTTGAGGTCGACTTTTACACGCTGGATGGTCTGGCCTTGGGCTTTGTGGATGGACATGGCCCAGGCTAAGACGAGAGGGATCTGAAATCGCATGTAATGAGAAGTCGTGTTCCGTCGAAAGAGAGAAGCCCTTTCGGGGAGAGGATGTGTTCACTCACCTGCACACGTCTTGCAAGCAGATTGCCATCCGCATTCTCTGTTCGAAACTCCTCCCGGCCCACCAACAATGTCTCTCTCCCCTTGAACGTCTCAAACTCGACAAGAGGCAACAATTCCTGGTCACCACTCCTGTCGTCATCGTTGTTGCTGTAATTCTTCTTCTTGCCCTGCGAGGTCGCAGCCGGGTCCCCACAGAATCCCACCACCCTCCCCACCGTCCCATTCACAAGCGTCTCGCTGACGTTCTTCACAAGCATCACCTGCGCATCGCGCTTCACCTCCAGCACCGCCACGGCCGTCATACTATCCAGCAGCCTCCGCCGCTTCTCCGGCGCCGCCTGGCCCGCGTCCCGGGCCGTGAACCTGAACACGGGCCCAGCCAGGTGCGCCATGCGCGCGGCGTTGGCGCGGTCCACCTCGGCGCGCAGCGGGAAGAGCTCCGTGGGCTGGAGCTGGCCATCGGCTTGAGAGAGGGGCCGGGAGAGGGACTTGAGGGTGTTTGCGGCGGTGGGGTGGATTTCGCCCCTGCGCATGGCGTTGAGGAGGGTGATGAAGTCTGCGTGTGGGTTTTTGGTTTAGCGATGCGCCCACCGTTCATGACTTGTCCAGACATAAGTATAGCAGAGGGGAAAAGGGGGATAGAAGGAAAAGTTCATTGTCAACAATGTTCTTACCGCTGTCTTTCTGACGAAAGACCTGGGTCAGGGTTATGGTCCGCTCGATACACTCTTTCCACGCCGAGCTCTGAAAGGCGAAACAGACTTCTTTGCCGGCCGGTGTGACTGGAGGAAGCTGGAAGAAGTCGCCCGTGACGACAAGCTATTATTTCATTACGTAGCCATTTAGCAAAGCTGTCTTTCTGCACAAAACAGCAATTAAAAGGAACAAGATGAAGAGCGTTCATGGTGAATGGGCCTGATATTTTGTCATCACAACTTACCTGGATGCCTCCAAACGGCTGACTTGACTTGCGCAGCTCCTTCGCAAGGGCAGCCAAGGTATCCAACAACTGTCCGTCCACCATGGACACTGATGATCAGGGGAACTTGTCAGACAATACATATATAGATCATCTGGCAGAGAAATCACCACAGGTCATCACTCCTCAACGGGGGAGCCGCGCGAACATTCGGACCTACCTTCATCAATGACAAGCACCCTAACAGCCTTCCAGCGCCGATGAGCCGGCCTACACGTCTTGATGAAGCTGATGAGCTTGCCGATATCATGCATGCCAGGTGTGACGGCGCCCCAGGCATGGATAGTAGTCCCTTTTGACAATATGGGGGGGGGAAAAGTAAGCCCACCATGTCTGAGCAAAAGGTTGCAGGACACCCAAGGGTTTTGCTCCTCGGCCCCCTCCCCTCCTTTGAACATACCTCCGATGTTCTGCGCCGCAATTCCAGTGCTCGCGCATACAGCCAGGCACTCTGGCCTCCTGGCATACTTGTTTCTAAGAGCGCAAACGATAGCCCTCAAGAGTAGCGATTTGCCTGTGCCTGCATGTTTTGGTCTCTCAACACACATATCCCCCTTCTCTCTTTCTCCCACATGTATAAAAAATAATAATAATGAAAAATAGGTCATCAAAAACGCACCAGCCGAGCCAGTAAAGAAGACACACCTGCCCTCGTCCACGACCATCTCTAGGACCGCCCTCTGCTCATGGCTGAGCGAAGGATCCAAGGCTGCGTCACGCGCATAATTCTGACCAGCCAGCACTTTCCTTCCAGTCACCAGTGAGGAAACCGAGGACGAGGTCACGTCGTTGTTGGAGGCAGCCCTGTTGGTGGCCGCATCTAGTTGGCCTAGCGCTGGTGGGCCGGACCGCGCCTCGTCTGGCTGGGTTCCCCGTCGTCTCGGCGCAAAGAACGCGTCCAGGCGAGGCTGTTTGGTTGGTGGTTGTGTGTGCTTGGCTCCGGTCTGCGTTGACGCCTTGCGCTTGATCGTTGTGGTCATTGTGAGGAGAGAAAAGGTGAGGGGTCTGCAAGTGGGAACAAAGAGACTCCAAGCCACAAAAAGGAGGGAGGTTGGAAGGGGTCGTGTTTACGAGAGGCCCACTGGAGGAGCCTCTCTCATCTGAAGAGCGTGTCGTCCCAACACTGGGAGTGGAGCCCACAGCACAAGGGTTAGGGTGTCCACCGTTGAGGAACAAGTGGAAAAAGGACAAGGACAAAGGCAAAGGAAGAGAAAGAGAGGGGAAAATACGAGAGAGGGATAAAAAACAATGCTGGAAGCCGCAGCAAGGCAAGCAAGCATGTAGTAAAAATGCTGAAACATGTGAAAAGAAAGAAATGTACGGAGGCTTATGTCTGTCTACTCCCAAGATACCAGGGTATGTATGCTCACATGCAGTACCACTCCTCACAATGCTACAAAGGCTCTCTCTCTCTCTCTCTCTGTATAGACTCGCGAGGCCTCAGAGAGCATAATCTGGGGGCTATGAAGGTGTGAAACATCGTTGAATCGTCTGATAATCTTAGGAGTCCTTCCAATGAGCAAAAGTCCCAAACATTTAGTATCTATCCCCTTCAGAATTGGAAAATTGTGGCCCTGAGTCTTGTCTGCCCTGCCTGCTGGTAAGCGCCGGCCCCCCCGCCTTTCCTCCCCACCCTGGCACGTTGTTGGCGATGGCTTGGTTGATGGGTGCCTGCAGCATCTTGTGTTCAATGCAGTATGTGCTTCTTGTTGACCTCTTCCAGGGCTTGCACTGCCCATCTAGAGACAAGGGGGGATAATGCAGCTTTGAGAGGGGTTGTTCCCTCTTCGGTGCGTAACGTGGATGTCTTCGCCTCTTCCAACTTCCTTGTCCAGCGCCGTAATACGGCCGTTCAGAGTGGTCAATGTCTGGAAACTCATATTTTCGGTTGGTCTTGGTTTCTTTAGGCAGGATTTTGCCTCTTTTCTTTTCTTATATATCCTCGGGTGCCTGCAATAGCGAAAATTGAGTTTTGATGCATTAACCACTCTGAACGACCATACCATGAATAGTAATGAAATCTCCACAAAGCAGGCTGGAGATATTTGAGATTTAAATTATCGATTTCCCTTCCGCTGTTGCCCTCTGATTGAACGGATCTTCATCACTACCCCTATCCCCCTCCCCCAAGCTTTCATCAAACACAGGACCAGAACAAGTGCAACCATGCCGCGCCGTCGAAACGCAGAGCCTCACAGCAACAACGCCGCCAAGACCAAAGGCAAGGCCAAGAAGAAAGCCATCGTCAAGGACTGGGAGGTCTATATCATCGACGACACACTCGAGTCAAACTGGGAGCGGTTCCTTCACGACCTTGGCCTGGGTGACTTCAAGAGCAAGACGCAGTGCAAAAAGGTGAGTGGCTTTGTGGTACACCCGGATTCTCAAACAGAGAGGAAAAGGACAGCTTTTCGAGGCCGATGCTGACCCGTTCCTTATTTTTTTTTTCCAATCATGTGAAATAGGCCCTCAAGAAAGTATGGGTTAACATACACGATTTTCTGGCGGCCGTCAAGCAGCGTAATGCTGTAGCCGAGTTGATGACCGACGAGCAGGCGCGCGAGGCAGTGTTGGCGGAGCCCGTGAACGTGGAATTCTTTAGGACTCAACGGGCACTGGCGGAGTACACGGTGAGAACCAAGAAGGTCTTTCCACGCCAGCATATCACGGACGAGAGTCCTCTCAAGTTGCTGCTAGCGAGGATCCTGTAATCTTGAAAGGAGGCAAGGCCGAGGGAGTTGCAAGTGAAGAGTTGAACGGCGGTTTCGCATCCTGTGGAGATTGGTGTGGGAAGACGGGTCCATGGATGAATGAGAGGGCGCAACGATGATGAGATGGAGAGATAATAGAAGGGTATCCGTGTAGTTTTTGTAAGAGATATGTTGCATTTCCTTCTTGACGACCGCGCATGTCCTGCCACACGGCAAATGATAAAGGAAAAGACCTCACGATTCCTCCGTCTCTTAGGGCCTGATCTCCCATAACCGCACCTTGCCAATATCATTGCCCACCGAAAGCATCATCTCCGCTTCCCTCCCGCTTCCAAAAGCCACAGCCGTCACGCGCCCCAGCGGTGTCTTCTCCGTCGGCCAGTTCCTGTACACCGTGCAGCTCGGCAGGTGTACAAGCTTGAGTGCGTCCTTCTTGTGCTGGCTCGCGAACGCGAGCAGCTGGCCATCGCCGCTGAAGGTCGTCGTGGTGATGGGTGTTGTAAGCTGCTCACAGCGGCGGGTGGGCTCGGGCAGCGCCTTGATCTCGAGACTGCCATCGTCGTTGGTCTTTTCGACAAGGTCATTCCGGTCGTAAATATTCAGCACACCACTGCTCGAGCCCATCGCCACCCAGCGGTCCCCACCCAGGCCCTCCGGCCCGCCTCTCCCGCCTAGAGCCATCGCGGTCCCGCCCACGGATCCCTCATCCCTCCAGAGTCCGACGGTCCGCTTTGTCGCCAGCGACCATTCTGCGACCTGACCATCACGCCCCAGAATTGTGATCCCTTCCCCATTTCTCCACCAGGAGAAATCCGCTATGCCGCCCCTGCTGTCGAGCCTCGCCTGTGCGACCCACTGCATACTACTGACGGACACGATGTTCAGCATGCCGCCACCCTTGCGGCTCGTCGCGATGAGCGCCATGTGCCGCCCATCAGGCGCAAGCCGGAAGCGCTCCATGGTGCGCTGCTCGTGCTGGTGACCCTGAATCTTGGTGACCTTCTTGACCAGACCGGTAGACAGATTCCAGCTGTGGAAGAAGCGCCGCCGCCCCGCAAAAATAATCTCCTCGCCGTTAGGGTGCAGGAAGGCGGACCGCCGAACAGGCACAGACTTGACCTGCACCGAGGTGAGTTGCGGGTTGGGCGTGGGGTGCGCCCCGGGGCTGACATGGTGGAGGTACAGGATGGATGCAGTAGAGCTGGAGAGGAGCACAGGGTGTTGAGGGTGGAAGGACAGCGACTCCACGGGCCCGCGATGGGTGTCGGGGATGTCGCGCGTTCGCTGGATGTCGAGGACCTCTGGGCGGAGCTTGCGCTTCTTGCGGCGCCCGCCACTGCCATCGAGGGCGCTAGCATCGCGAAGGAATCTCTCCAGCGGCAGGGCAGACATGTTGTCGTCGTCGGCATCATCCCCGCTGAGTTCCGAGCCGCTGGCAGATCCGGAAGCGGACGAGGCAGCCGAGGACCGTCTCCTCCGCTTCTTCTTGCCGTCTGCAGCTGCTTCTCTGGCCCAGGCTGGAAGCGGGTTAAGTCGAAGGTACTGCTGCCGCAGCCGCCTGGTGTACTCGGCCCCACTGACAAGATCGTCCGCCTCGGTCTCGCGCAGCTTCCGCAGCTGCTTCACGCCGGCAAGCGACACGGTCAGTCTTTCGTCGTCACTGTCTGCCCACGCTGGCTGAGGACCAGCCCTCTTCTTCTCGTCCTCGTCGCCGTGCGGGACAGGAGCTGCTGTAAGCTGCTTTTCACCAGTACTTCCCGAGCCAACATCCAGCATGAACAGGGCGGAGTCGTCGAGGTCCTCCAGACTAGGTGCCCCCGTGACCGCAAGAGCGCCATCATCGAGTCGCAGATTTCTCAACCCATCCTCCTCATCCGAGTCCGTGGTGTCTTTGAACAGATTGGCGCGAAACCCGGCCTTGTTGCCGAGTACCAGCCGCTCGAGCTCTTCTTCATCTGAGTCCTTCTCGTCAACGTTCATGCGACTTGCGCCTCTCGCCTGCGCATGCTCCTCTTCATTTTCGGCCTCTGAGAACTCATGATCACTTTCATCTGAAGAAGTGTCGTCAGACAGTGGCTTTTGAGCTTTTCGCGACATTATGAAGATCCAATGTCTTCTTAATGTTGTTGTGTTTGTTGCTAGAAAGTAGGGAGAGGATTGGGCAGGGCGGACATGTCGAAAAGAGAATTGATATGAGATTTTCCAGGGTTCAGAAATTTTAGACCTGGTCGCGCCTACTTACACAGCAGCCTTGTAGTAATTAGTGGGGAAAGGTTCAGGGAGCGCGCTATTGGGTTTGGTGGCCCCACATTTATGTACTGACTGAGATGCGACTGTACTTGGCATAGCCCGCGCCTTTCGGAATCTCTTCACTACCTGCCACAGAGAATTTGCTGTTTTCTTTATTGTAAGCTTGCTTATGATCTTGACCGTGGTGTAGTCAAACTGATCATGCTGCTTTAACAACTATCGGTTGCCAATATCCAAAAGATGAAGATCTGAGAGAACCGTACTTTGAAGATTAAAAAGTATTGTTGGGCCAATTATCAAAACTTCAATGCCACCACCTCAACCGTTGTACATAAATCGAGTTGACTACCGGGTATCGCACACATACATGTATATCTCTGGGCCAAAAGAGCTGGCTCAACAGGCTACAGTATTAGAGCCATGACAAGAGCAAGCGCGCATAGCCACTGCGCACCGCTCTTCCAGGTCACCATGCCCGCACCTCCTAGGCCCTGCCCACTCGAACCTGTCGTACTGTTGAGCTTGACCTGCACAATCTGCGAGTCTCCTGGGGCAAACAAGATGCCCACGCTGTTGGCAGCCGAGGCGTTGATCTGGTCGGGCGTCATGAGTGGATTGTTCAGCGAGTCGCAGTCCGGGCGCGCCGTCGAGTTGTCGATGCTGTTGGTCACGGAGATGGGCAGGTCAAAGACAGTGTAATGGTCGGTACCGTTGAGACGGAAGTTTTGCCGGATAGAGATGTTGTAGATGCCGCGGTCACTGTCGGTCGAGGTGGGCTGGCCATCGCCAGCGAGACACGAGGGCCATGTCCACTGCACGTGCTTGACAGTGCTGCCGGGCTCAGACGGCATGATGGGCGGGTAGGTCCCGTTCGCGAGGGTCCCGTTGGACACGGTAAAGTTCCGGCCTGTGTCGTAGCTGAACATGAAGATTGTGATGTTATGGATCAGGCTGGGACTGTCTGGTGCTGTGTCCAGAGGCAGGACGCCGTCGGCGCTCACATCGAGAGCTACCTCGATGGTTGCTGGGGAGTTGATGTCAGCCAAGTGGGTGGTCTGTGTGAGACCTCAAAACCAGTGGGTAGCGTCAAATTCTGGAAGAGAGGAGAGAAAAAAGAGAGAAAGACATACATCCTCCCTCTGGCGTGCCCGGTTGAGGGGAGTCCACGATGGCGAAGCCCGGTGTGTAGATTTGTCCATTGGACTCTGTGAAGTTCTGGCCCAGGCCCTGGCTAATCAAGAGAGGCAGCAACGCCGTGGAGAACAACCGTGACATCATCATCCCGGTCGGTGAAGATGATGATCAAGATGATGGGGTGAGAGCAACACAGATGAAGGGCAGGCCGGAGTTGCCAGCTATTTCAGACCGAACGTTGCCAAGAAACGAAACGTAACTACTATGAGGTTACTGAAAACGTGCTGGAGGGCAAGAGGATCTGGTCTGATGAGATCTTAAAAGACATCAGGCTGGAGATGAGACGAAAGCAAAATAACTCTGACAGCACTCGAGAATTCTCCCGAGACGGGGGGGCCCTTCTAGAATTAATGAGGAAAGCCCAACGACACACACTATCTGTCTCTCCCTCTCTGGACGAACGAACAAGCTTAAAATTTCCGTTGCAGGGGTATTCATCTGCGACATGATCCATCGTCTTATGGGCTCAAGTCAAGGACTGCTCAAGTCGACTGAACCCTGGCTCGGATATCACTGAGAGGCGATCCCGTGCACCACCAATCAATCTTGTCACCCTTCAACGGGACGACGTAAACCGGGTGGAAAAACATGGTTGAGTAAGTGAAGCCAGTTGATCATAACAGTAAGCATCGGTAATTGTTACTACAATGGTTAGACACATCTTTCGCATTGTAGGACCAACGTCATCGTGCGCACCAACACCCTTCACGTGGGGGGAGGAGGGAGGTGGTGGGGGGAGAGGATGAGGAGGCATGTCAGGAGCAGAATAAGTTGATGCACACCAGCATATTAGTATGAGAGATCCTGAAACACACTGAAGGAAATGGCGACCAAGCAGGGGTCTCGCTCACAGTGATTGGTGGCCGTTGGCGCAGGGGACCCGTAAGCTAGTTCAAGCCCGGAACGGCGTCCCGACCAAGATAGGGACGCAAGGAAAGGTACAGGAAGTAAGCTTCGGTTGCCTCCGATAATCGATCAATAGCAACTTCGACCCTCTTGGGCACGATATCAGCAACACTGCTCCACAAAGGATATTCTGGATTGTGCTGGCAATCAGTCATTCCTTGATTGCTGTGGCCTGTGATTGTGATTGTGATCATCTATGGTAATTAAGTACAGTAACTTGCTTACATGCAGGATACTTACTCTCTTGCAGAGCAATGAGAGCAGCTGCAGCACGACCCAGGACGTGGCTCACAGCGCTGTATTGACGCAGAAATAAGCCAAGACAGACGGCCAGCCAGCCTTATCGTTGATCAGCCCTAGGTTCTCCTCCTCCTCCTTGTTGGATACGGCAGAGTTCGTAGACACAACGGGCAATGGCCCTCTTCTGTCGCGCCACACGCCATGTGCGTCGTTGGCCTGCCCACAAGAGTTGTCTCTTTGCTCCTTCACCACTATATGCTCCTACCATTGGCCGAAAATACCATGCAAGATCCGGCAGCGGCGGCTTGAGCGACCTCATCCACGTCTCACCAGAGGTCAGAGACGCCATCGCCACCAACAGGCCAGTGGTGGCTCTCGAATCCACAATCTACACCCACGGAGCTCTGGGGAAAGACCTTCCTAGCATACTCGACTCTGTCGTGCGTGAGCATGGCGCTGTGCCGGCCACCATCGGCGTGCTAGACGGCATGCCCAAGGTCGGGCTGAGTCCCGAAGAGATTGGACGAATGGTCGAAGAGGGTGCGAGGAAGATCTCGAGACGGGACTTTGCCCACATCGTCGGAGCGGTATGCACCATGCGCTTTTGCTGTGTTATGTTGTGCTGTGGCTAAGCTCGACAACACCACAGGGACTGAATGGCCACAAACTGCACGGCGGCACTACTATCGCTGGCACAATGATCCTGGCACGGGCGGCTGGCATCCGCATTTTTGGCACTGGTGGGCTGGGAGGCGTCCACCGCGGCGGCGAGGACTCGATGGACATCTCGGCAGACCTCACCGAGCTCGGACGGACCAGGGTAGCCGTCATCAGCAGCGGGCCCAAGGGTTTTCTCGACATCCCGCGCACCCTGGAGTACCTCGAGACCCAGGGCGTGCTGGTCGCCACCTTCGCCGACGGGAGGGAGGGGGATGTCGACCTGCCTGCCTTCTGGGCGCGTGAGAGCGGAACCAAGAGCCCCTTTGTTGTCCGCGACGAGAGGCAGGCGGCTGCTGCCATACTGGCACAGGAAAAGCTGGGCATCGAGAGTGGCCTGGTCTTTGCGAATCCCATCCCCAAGGAGCATGAGATCCCGCGGGAGGTCATGGACCAAATCATCAATACCGCCGTGCGCGAGGCTGCTGAGCAGGGCTTCTCTGGGAATGCCAACACACCGTACATCCTGAGGAGGATCAGGGAGCTGAGCGAGGGCCGCAGTGCGCCTGCAAACCTACACTTGGTGCTATCGAATGTGGCTCGCGCGGCCAAGGTTGCTGTCGAGCTGCGCAGCCTCGAGAGTGAATCGGAGGGAAGGACTGTAGACCGTCACCAGTAAGGGCTGACCTCTTAGCTGACATGCATCATATGATTTCTTTTTCCTTCTTTCTCTCCTTTAAAACTGACGCAATGGCTTTGGTTCAGACCACATTTGCCGATAAACTCCATTGGACAGAAGACCGGGCCAAATCCATCGACCAAGGTGCAGCAGGAGACTTCGTCCCCCTCGAGAGCCGATATTCTGGTTGCTGGTTCAGTGGCACTCGATCTCAACTGCAATTTCCACAATGACAGACACGAGGACCCAAAACCTCTCACGCCTGTCCTTCACACATCCAACCCAGCAGGTATCACACAGTCCATCGGTGGCGTCGGTCACAACGTGGCCCTCGCAGCGCAGAGTATCCACCGGAGCCTGAAGGTCAAGCTCTGCAGCATTATTGGGAGCGACATGTGAGTCCTCGCAGCCCTACACACACACCGCGAGAGGGTGCGATTGTACGCTTACACCATACTGTATGCACCACACAGTGCCGGCGCGACGATTTTGACCAGCATGGAAAAGAACGGTCTTGACACCAGCTACATCCGTCAGCTGGGACCGGAATATCCCTCAGCACGCACAGCGCAGTACGTCGCCGTCAACGACGCTGAAAAGAACTTGATGCTCGCCATGGCAGACATGGCCATACTCACATCACACTCCTTTCCCACCTACTGGACGTCCATCATCCAGGCTACCAAGCCCAAGTGGCTCGTCGTGGACGGCAACTGGACGCCCAAGGACATCCACAACTGGATCAAGACGGGCGGCATGAACGGTGCGCAGATCGCCTTCGAGCCCGTCTCAACCATCAAGGCGGCCGGGCTCTTCCCCAAAGGCCACAACCTCCCCCTGTTTCCCAAAGTCGCAGTAGCCCTTGCCACGCCCAACCAGTACGAGCTCGGGGCCATGTACCACGCCGCCAAGGAGAACGGCTACATGGACAGCATGCCGTGGTTCGAGGTTATCGACGCTTTTGGGATGCACGGCGGGGCACGGGACCGCTTCGTGCGCCTGGCGTCGGCCGAGATGACGGATGCCGGGATACCCGTGCAGAGCGTCCAGCTGCTGCCGTACATCCCGACCATCCTGACCAAGATGGGCGACAAGGGCGCGCTGCTCACGACGATCTTACGGCCGGACGACCCAAGGCTCCTGGATCCGGAGCACGAGAGGTACATCCTCACTCGGGCGGCACCGGGCCACCCGCACGTCGGAGGGATCTACATGCGCATGTACCCGGCCATCGAGAGGGTTGGGACGCCTGTGTCGGTGAACGGGATGGGGGATACTTTTCTGGGCACGCTGGTGGCGGGCCTGGCGCTGGGAGGGCGGACAGAGGACCTGGTGGATGTGGCGCAGAATGCAGCTGTAATGACGCTCAAGAGCCATTTGAGCGTGAGCCCAGATCTAGGCGCCCTGGGGAGAAAGCTGTTGGCTGCTTGTGGGAGGGCGGAGCAGTAACGGCAGTCCTTACATGTAGGGTGGGTGCAGTATGTTGTATTGATTGACAGGGGATCTCACAGGTTGTCCTCTTCATTGTCATCCCATACTAAGGAGGCTTGCAAACAAGTCAGCCTATTTATACAGTATAATCCTGTATTATACATGCATACTCAAGCAGAGCCCCTACCCAAAACAACCAAGATATTCTCCAAGAATACTTACTATAAAGCGATCAAAGCCCAATTCATTGATTGTACTACTTACTGAAAAAGGTTTCAATTTATCTACCTCTTTCCCTCACAGAATCAATGCACGCCACCACCGCCGCCGCCGCCGCCATCGATCTATTTCAACACCCTTGTCCTCCTCATGTGCCCCGCATTCTTATATACCCGGGCCTCGGTTGCACACGTGAGGCAAGTACCCAAGGTGTACCACTACCACTGTATGTAGAAAAGGGACTTGTCACTTCTCCAATAAATCAAAAAGGCTTGAACCAAGTGAGCTTAAACCAATACATGGACTCGCTTTGATGATCGGCTCCTATTGATGCCGACCAGGAGGGAGTGAATCCAACAAAACGCTCTCTCTTTCTCACACTCTCTCTCTCTCCACCAAGACAAGAGCTTATATCCATCTCCATCATCCAGCTGCTCTGCTTTGTTTTGTCTCTTTCTCTCTCACACTCTCTCACATCAGACAAGCAGTCGCCTCATCCTCAACAAATCAAAACAGCAGGTCGATAGTGAATAGTGTTCCCCACACCCCACACCCCGCGCCCTGACACCAACACCATGCCGATGCACAACGGTCTCCTCCCCCGCGAGGGCCTCAAGGCCGACGTCTTTGCGCGCCTCCTCTCCAACACAGCCTTCAACCCCCTCGTCACCCTACCCCTGCTCCTCCTGGCCCGCTTCACCCGGCGCGGCCAGGACCTCGGCATCCTCCACCACACCGCCCTGTCCCGCGTGCGCGCCCTCTTCTACATCGGCGTCGCCCGCTGGCTGAGCAGCTGGTACTCGGCCAAGGTCCTCAACAACTGGACTACCGACCAGTATGACTGGCGGGGGCGTGAGATCGTGCTCATTACCGGCGGCAGCGGCGGGATCGGGGCGCATGTGGTGCGGTTTCTGAGCGAGAAGGGTGTCAAGGTTGTGGTGCTGGATCTTCAGCCTCTGACGTTTAGGGGTGAGTGTATTTTTTCTCTAATAAATCAAACGAGTTCTTATTCTTATTCTTCCCCCCACCCCCCAACCGTACTACTCTCATTACCTTAGCTGGTTTCATGTGTATAAATAAAAATTTCATGAAAAATAAAATAAAATAAAAAGCGAGAGCTGACGGTGTGAATTCTCTCTTGTATGTACAGCTTCAACCGTGCACTACTTCAAGTGCGACATCACCAGCCCCAAGGAGATCGCCGCCGTGGCCAAGGAGATCCGGGCTCAGGTCGGCGACCCGACCGTGCTGATCAACAATGCCGGCGTCGCGAGGGGCAAGTCCATCCTCGACTCCACCGAGAGGGATGTGCGTTTTACCATGGACGTTAATACGCTTTCACATTACTGGATGGTTCAAGAGTTCCTGCCCAGCATGATCGAGAACAACCACGGCATGGTCGTCACCGTCGCTAGCATCGCATCGTGGGTTACTGGTAAGTACTAATTCTACATCATTATAAATCATTCACCAGACGTATTTATGAAGAGAAAGTATTAACAAAAAAAATGTCACAACCAAAAACACTCCTTTTTTCTTTTCTTTCTCTCTTCTAAAAGATAAAAAAAATAAATAATTTAACAACCACATCCAGTCCCCAACATGGTCGACTACGCCGCCTCCAAAGCCGCCGCCCTCTCCTTCCACGAGGGCCTCACCGCCGAGCTGTCGACCCGCTACGGCGCCCCCAAGGTGCGCACCGTGGTCGTCAACCAGGGCTACACCAAGACCCCGCTCTTCGAGGGCTACAACAACAGCAAGGGCTTTCTGCTGCCGACCCTCGAGCCCGAGACCGTCGCCGAGGCCATCGTGCGCCAGGTCCTCAGCGGCCAGAGCGGCCAGGTCATCTGCCCCACGCTCGCGAGCGCCCTGACCGGCCTGGCCGCCATGCCGCACTGGTACCAGTACAACATGCGCAAGGACGGCGCCGAGATCATGCCCACGTGGAGGGGCCGGCAGGTCGTGCAGGATCTGGATAAGTTCTATGAAGCTAAGGAGAAGGATGTCGAGGGGAGCACGGTGCTTGTGCCGGAGGAGTCCAAGTGAGTGTGGAGAGAGGAGGGGGGGGGGGGGTTGTTGGATGAGAGAGAATGGACGGACGCTTTTCAAGTGATTCTTGGGGTCCTATGGAAAAATTGGGAGGAAGGGAAGGGGAGGGGAAGACTGGTATTAATTTGAGTAAATCTGACCGAAGAGACTGCGATTCCTTTCGTGATTTGGGTCCTATTTCAGTCAAGAGGCACCTGGGAAAGAGAGCTCGTTTCAGGGAGCTTCCGACTGGATTCATAATTGTTGAAGGTGGCCGTTTTTACAGAGGAGAAAAGACTCTTGGCTAATACTCGTACGTCACTACCGAATAGGATTTTCAAGTCCACCAAGACTGTCACTATGACTACAATTACTTTCCAGTTGATGTCTCACATTTCCTTGCTTGCCAGGCCACACCAGACGTTCTGCCGCCACAATAATGGTCTAGTGAGGACGAAGGAATAACCTGTTTGCTCTAGAGACGTCCGATCTTCCTCCCCACTCTCTCTGTCTTCTGTATCTGCATCCATACACTAAATAACCAATACATAATGACAATTGTCACTGTTGCAGCCACTGCCATCATTCATTTATTTCAACGCTCTCCAAAATAATTCACGGAGATGACAAACCCTCTCGTATGTTCATTTTAGAGGCCTTCAGCCAGGCACCACAGCTCAGATCACCCAAGTTAAATCAGGCAAATTATTTTGTAGGCAAGGGCCAGGCAGCCACTGGTTGTCATTGGGGGGCGACGTGGGCGAGATTATCACCATTGTCCCAAGCCCCATATCTTAGTAAGTACTTAAGTGCTTGCTTACTGAAGGAGGCAGACGTAGGTCAGGTAAGGCTGTGGAAGACTTTTCGCAACGAAAGTATGATGGTTTTTGAACCCTTTGTAGTACTATTGGCTTGTAGGTTTTGGCTGCGAAGAATGTGATTAAAATTGTAAATATCGTCGGGGAAATAGTTGCCATATTCTAGAGTTCTGCAGACACTATTGCACCCACGCCTCACTCAGTTGTAATATTGTCACGGGAAGCAACGAAGTGTTTCCTCCGTGTCGAGAAACCATCCATCACATCAAGCTGAAGTACTCGGTACTTCTCATTACCACCAAAACTTCTGCCTGGCCCGCCGATTGGTCTTAAGTCTTGAGGATGCAGTATTATCTTCAGCTATGCAACGCGAGGGTACAGCCTGCCCTTCTGTAATCTTCAGCTTGCTCGCTTAGAGATGGGTTTAGCTTACCATACATGCAACTACAAGTGCAATTCCATCAACATGTTGATGTAACTACATCATCTTTCGAAAACCAATACAATAACCCGCCCGAAGACACGGCCCCCAACCTTTACCGATCCAGCGTCGACCTCGGTGTAGCCAGTAAGTCTGACGACAGAGACTTCACCCTTGGAGTCTCCGCAATATCAACAGAATAAAACCACAGTGTGGTCTGTTCTGGGAATCTAATCCTACTTTGAACCTTGGCAACCCTCGCCTTGCTCTCTCTATTCCCGCACATACTTTGGTTAAGAATAGACAGTGACAAAGATGGTCAATATGGTGGGCTTTCAATGGGGCCCGAACAGCAGAGGGACCATGGATATCATATGGAGCTGCTTCCTCGTGCTGGTCCCGGCGCTGTGGACCGTCGTGCACACCAACGTCCCAGCGGCCGGCGAGACCTTTTGGAGCTTGATGCTGCGGCGGCTCCGCTGGGCATGCATGTGCATCTTCATCCCCTCCATGCTCACGATGGTGGCCGGGGCGCAGTGGGACTCGGCATGCAAGTCTGTCAGGAAGATGCAAAAGCTGCCGCAGTTGCGTGGCCAGCCGGCTAAGTGGCGCATAGCCCACGCCTTCTATGCCAACAGTGGAGGTTCGCATCTCCAAATTTACGCCCCAATGAACCCTCCGCCCCCCTCCGAGAAGTTGCTTCACGCTGAACCACCAGCTGCCTAGGCTTCCTCCTGCAGTGCCCCGACTGCGAACCCTTCCCCGTCAACGCGGCATCGATCTATTACCTCGTCTCACGGGGCTACATCAGCCTCCCTGAGTTGTCTACAGATATGATCAGGGACAAGTCCAAAGCCGGACACTTCGCCAAGGCCTTTGCTATTTCCCAGGGCCTTTGGCTTGTGCTGCAGAGCATCGCTCGTGCGGTCCAAGGTCTGCCCATCACTCAGATCGAGTTGTTCACCCTCGGCTCCGCTGTGTCGACCGTCATGCCGTATTGCTTTTGGTGGCAGAAGCCACAGGATGTCAGCACCGCAATGACAATTTCTTGTTTGTACAGTGTGGCGAAGATTAGAAAGGACGCTGGGCTCCCATCAGAGGAATGGCAGCGGACCCCGCTAGACTGGGTTGAGGAGGAGGGCTGTATGTGGACGAGGCGAGAGGTATTCAGCCAGTTCGGTCTGGGGAGGGTAGGGGCTGCTGAGAAAGACGAGGAGGCTCATCCGAGGAAGCGGGACGGCGGGACCCAGGATAGTTTCCTCTCCAAGAGTCGACAGCGTCCTCTCCAGCGCATCCCCAACGACGCAATCCTCGCTCCAGCCGATCCGCCGAACAAGGTTCTTGTCGCCATCGCCCTCTCGTCTGCGGTACACTGGTGCATCCACCTCATGGGCTGGAACCTGGCTTTTCCCACCATCGCGGAACGACAGCTTTGGCGTGCATCGGCTGTGGTGCAGGCAGCCACGACGACCCTGACTATCGTCACGACGCGGGTGGTGGGCGCTGCGGGATATTCAGGGAGGTTCAGCCTTGCCTTGATCTGGGTGAATGCATCCAAATCTCAACCTCAAGCTGGGCCTGACAAGAAGGGGAACAAAAAACGGTGTTGGTCGGGCCCCACCACACTCCCGGATGTTGTGGTAACGCTGGCCACGGTGATAGGTGTGCTCGCAAAATTGCTCCTCATGATAGAGGTCGTCATCAGCTTCAGGTCGCTGCCGGAAGGGGTCTATGACTCGGTAAACTGGCTCACCTTCATACCACATGTGTGAGCCCGGGGTTCATGCCACACTTCTTTCTTAGTTCTTCCCTCTCAATTCGTAAAACCAAACGTGCGAAGATGTATTGAACCGAACTTCCTGGTTGTAACAAGGGATCGGTGAGCAAGTCTACTATTCATCAGAGCATCGCAAGTTCACTGTGTTCCTCAACAGATTCTTATAAGAATAGATGCGGGAGGATGTCATTGCCAACAACAACCCCCCCCCCCCACCCCCCACCCCACAATGATAGTAGGTTTGATCACGAAAGTAAGGTCTCCATCTCTGGGAGAGAAAGAAAAATACGATGCATGGACAATCCTAATTGATGTTGTTAAGTTACAGTTCTTAGTGCAAGCTAGCCCTGAAAGAATTGCCTTGTAAGCATTGTAAACCCTGTAGATTGTTCCTTCCTGCACACATCACCACTGAGGGAAGCTCACGCCGTTAGTACTGAGTCATTCCGCTGTTGCCTGGCACTAGAAGTAGTAGTGAACGGAGCTGCAACAGGATGACAGAAGTACTCCGCTTGTTTATATTGATATCTATAACCATCCCGATCGCGGTCCGTTGCGAAGGGACAGCACTCTACTCAGCGCATTAACTTGACTTACCTTTCCTTCTCGTTGCAACAATGGCTGATACAGCGGCTTACTATTCCGTCTCGACACTGGCGGTCAAACCGGAGAATCAGGCCAAGGTGCGTATGCCAGACATTCAACGTTTTTCACAATGCCGCCTTCCTCAAGCGCCCAGCTCCTCATCAAGCTGACTGCTGACTGACTTGTTTCTCATACCTCTAGGTGGTTGAGTTCTTCACCAAGGTAGCAGAAGCCACTGAGAAAGCGGAGCAAGCTGCTCAAATTTACCGATGGTACAAGGTCGAGGGGAAGGATGAATTTGTGTGGATTGAGAAGTGAGTACTCCATTTCTCTCTCTCGTTCTCTCATTCCATTCTTTCCGGGCATATAGACACCACTGGAAAGTCCAAATCCCACACTCCGAGAGCGAATGTCACGACAGATTTTTGGCGGGGATCTTCCAACGCTGATGGAATATCCTTGAACTAGATTTGCGAGTGAAAAGGATTACCGGGCGCATCAGCAATCATCGCATGTTCAGGGACTTTACAAGGAGTATCTTCAGTACATCACGGAACCATTTGTTTTCTTCCCTGTAGACACTTCCGAGGATCAGCTTGTAGGGGGTTTTGAGAGGGCTTGAATGGCCTGGAGAGGGGATTTGGGTTTACCGGATGACATCTTTGAGAGCTCAATCCGACCACTGTAGCACCTGCAAAGGTAGCAGAGAATCAATTATCGTGTGTGTGTAAAGTCATAGAAACCTCTCACCAGCACCATATTAGATTATTCATATCAAGTGCACTGCTTGTTCTGGTCTTTCTGCTTCGAAAATTATGTCAACTTATGACGCTCGAGAACGAGCATCATGAGCACCGCCAACTTCTGCATTGCCAGCTCGACCTGCACTCTCAGAGGCCTGCGGTCACGACTTGGTTGTCAATTTCCTTCGAAGATATGAATATAGTCGTACATATTGGTGTAGTCACAGAACATGTCTAATTGACATTTTTCATATTTCTGCTGCTGTTCGTATCCTCCTCCTGGATGAGATTTTCTTCCATTCATATCACCATGTTCAACACGCGGCTCCTTCCAATTTCTGACCCTCAAATTCCAACCTCGGACAGAGAGGTTCACTTGAGTACATCAATACCCAGGATAAAGACTACGCTTTAGGCCTATCTTTATCAATACTCACATGGACGAGCAGATTGAGTCCGGGGAGTGTAATCTTCCCAGTAGCCGAGTGGTCTAATAGGTTCTGTGCGACAGCTAAAAGGAGTGACTACTCCCAGCTGACTGAAAATGACTATGGCCTATATAGCTGCGTAGACGGTCGGACGCACACAGGTTCCTTCTACCCTGACGCCCGAGGTCTTTTGCGTAGAAGCTTACAAAAACAAATTGTGTCCAGTAGATACGGACTGGGCCCCGTCTCAGGGATGACATGTAACCATACTAGGTAAGCTGCGACGATTACACCTTACTGCGGCTTCATTCAAGAAACTTGCTAGTTTAATAGATGGCCCGCAGTGCTTTGGCTGCCCAGTGTAGTCCGGTTTGGTGCACTGAGACCCCGAACGTGGAAACCTTAACGCTTACAGAAAATGCAGTGCTTCGTTGTGGGCTTCGTTGATAACCGCATCAGCCGGCAAACAGAGCTGTGGAGTCCGCTGTGGCGTAAAAAGTACCATTAACACATGTACGAGAACAGTGATGAAGCCCGTCTTGTTTTTCTAGGGACTTAAGTCCGCCATGTCTTGGAGCAATGTCTCCTGTTCAAATTCTTTTCAAGCGAGTACTCGCCTCTGTACGGAAGGTTGATGACATAGAAATAACTAATTAGGTATTTCAAAGCGAGAAATTGCATGAGACTTAATGGGTCGTGTTGGCAGGGGCCACAATATTCAGGTGCTGCGAGTCACTTCAACGGGTCAAGGCAAACACAGCCTCGTGTTTGAGCATGGCTGGCACTGGGTCTGGAACCTTGAAGTATCCATCTTGGGCTTGCTGCTGCCAAGCTGTGAGGAAGCGAAAGAGAGACAAGCGATAGTAAAAAAAATTAAAAAAAAAAAATGCATCCAGTTTGCAATGTGACAAAGAATAGACTCGGGCTACTCCCTGCGCATAAGACCCTGCGAATCACACCTAGTTAGGAACAGAGTATACAGAGCTATTCTTTGCAAATCTGAGACCATGGCACAGGGTAGCCTTCAAGACATATCATGGTTCTATTAGACACTGCCCAGGATAGTCTGAAGCGCCTAATGATCACTGTAGCAGTTGTTCGTAGTTCAGATGACTTTCACACTCCTGAATGCTTGAAGTGGTAATTTGGAGGACAAATGAGCTGTCAAAGGCCGGGAAGGCAGATTTCGGCAAGTCACAAGTACCTAGGCAGCATGCCGATGGGCCGCCGCGAAGGGAAACAGGTTGCCTTTTCAAGATGGGCACAACTCGAGAAGATATTGGCAACATGTGCCTGATTTGTCAAACACTCGGCACTGCTACCTCTTGCCCGATTGAATACCCGCTCCGAAAGCGAGTTTGGCCTTTTGGCTATCTTCGTTTTTTCCCCCTCTGCATCTTTCATCTTTTCAATGGCGGCATTGTCACCCTTAGCTGAGTATGACCAAAGGAGTCTACAACACACGCATAACTGCGGAGGTTCAGGGCGTATGAGCACAATGGGACCCGCGTGAAGGAACTGAGCGAGCCGCGAGGTAGCTTCGGCCATATTTGACACATGAATCTACCTGGCCTGGCCTGAGCAATGGCTTATTAGTATCCAATAGCTCTTCATGTTGTGATCTCAAGAGGACAACGGCCCTGCCCCGTAGCGAAGAGTTTACCCTAGGGGCGCTTTGGACACACATTCAGCATCCTAAGACATAAAGACATCATCGTCCGTGAGGGTCCGTTGTCTCTGGACTCCAACCTTTCGATTTTTGGCTGTGGCTTTCCGTTGCTGATGCCGGCTGAGCCGCAAATCCCGGCCACGTACCATCAAGCAGGATTCAAAAGCCTGCACAGGCTCCCAAGCTGAGTGGTGAACACGCTCGTCGTAGAGTAGGGCATGTTGCCATCAGCCGACTGACTGCCTTGAACGGTCAGCTGCCGAAAGATCTACTCAAGTCCGACTAGTAAGCTCACTCATCAGAACAATAACAGGAGAGGGTCAGACCACATTATGTATATAGTCAGTCAACGTTGTTCGGCACCATCCCGATCTAGCACCGGTAGAGATGATCGCTTAAACTCTATCGACTGTGTGAGAGCCTTGTCATTTGTGATAAGAGAGGTTGAAAAGGGATCGTGGAGAATGATTAGTGAGACGAATTGCCCTCTGGGTTGTTCGTCGGAAAGGGAGGGAGTGTGTGGATCGTTTGTTGGAGACAGGGACGATTGCACACCGAATTTTCTCCTTGTATTTAGACCAGAGTCTAACAGATCGACATAAGGGAACCTCCTGGCCAAGTATGTTGGGCCAGGAGGTTCCCCATGTGCCATGCTATCTTTGCCAGTATCTTAGATGCTGTTACCAAAGTAAGTTGGTGCATAAAGTAGTTAGGTAAGTAGACGTCTAATGTCTGCTGGCCGTAGTCCTCCAGTGAGCAATGCCAGACCGTTCAGGGTTACAATAGTACCTAACCAGCTAGAGTAAGGACCCGGAGATTTCCTGTCAAACATCAGCAAAGACCCTTAAGAAAAGGTAGCGGGCCGCGGTCTGTCGAGCGGGCTGACGGGGTGGGCTGATCTTCGCTACTCCAGACTTGGCGCGATGTGTGCAGGGGCCATTAGCCAGTTCCATTTGATGGGCCTCGGCAGGGCTGGCAGCTTTGCACCATCAGCACTGTTCAGGACAGTTTTAGGGGCGTGGGGTCTCTGGAGGGTTGCAGGGTTACAGGTCTGACAGGGAGGGGGGGGGGGAGCACTAAGGGGCTTCAGGGCTGCGGCAGCGCTGTGGCGAGTTGGTTACAGTGCTGCAGGTCTCAGTTTTTTGTACCATAGTAGGTGCCGTACCCACCCGCGGGGGTTTCCACCCTGGGAGAAATAATCGAACCACTTGTCGTACGTTCTGACAAGCTCTGGACTCGAACCATCCCCGTCCTGCTCCCACTCACGTCCCACGTCCCACGTTCATGTCCACGCGCGCGCGCTGGCACCATTTGCGCAATTCGGAAAGAGAGAGAAAAGAGAAGAAAGGGAAGAGAAGGGAAAACAGAGAAGACGGATTTCTCTGGAAAGTTTGGGATGGACAGGTCACCACAGAACTAGAGGGGTCAAGGAGATGCATGCATGTATCGGCTTCTTCTGGCAGTCACAACACCAACAACTGCTCCCCTTCAACCCCTCCCTCCAAGCCACGTTGTGTTACATTTTGCTGCAGCGAAGGCATCTTGATTAAGTTTTTCCCTCTTCTTCTTACCATCCGTCTACCGAACTTGACGCTTCCCTGCAGCTGATTCAATCCATATTGTTCTGATCCAACCCAACCGAATCACTACCACGTTTGAATCTCGTGTGTGTGCCGCCTCCTGGTCCAGGTCCCGCCGGTTTCAGTGCAACATACCTGAGGCTCACTCCCTGTCTTCCTGGATATTTTTCTATTTGTCTGCTCCAGACGACTTGTCTCTCAAAAGCAAGACCACACACACGCGCACAACACCTTGGTTGCAGCCCCAAAATCGGACCCCCTCCTTTTCCACCACGCTGGGTCCTGAATCGCCTTCCTCGTCCCGTGACATCTGCCGTTACCGCTCTGCTGGATCTGATGCGAACGGGTCTATCCCATACCTTGCATCTGCCATCTGCGGTCCACACGACCTGGACTGACTCGACCCCAGTCACCACAAGTTCAACCCTTCGTTGCCACAACGCAAGAAAGACGTCGAATCACCACACAACCTCCTGCCTGACTTGTGTTTTGAGGTGCTCAGAACTCCTAACATCTCACTTGCGGAGCCCCGAAATTCTCGTTGAGCGGCGCCCGCGAGAAAGAGCGGCCATCTAGCATCGTTACACCTACTCTTACTGGTCCGTGTACCGCGCCTATAGGCGACCTGCGTTTCCGGATTATCCGACTTCCTGTGCTTCTCGAGACGACTCCGGCGGCACACAGATTATACCTACCCTCCTCCGACCCCGAGCCGGCGCCCTGTGTCTCTCCATCAACGACTCGATACAAACCGTAGGCGCCGGTTCCATCGCTCACCCGAGGCACATCGTTGTATTCCCACTCTGATCAGACAAGGCAAGGCAGGGCTCCCAGGTTGTGTGTGTGTGTGTGTGTTCATATGTTTGCGACCATGGCACCAGGCATCCTCGAGACGGCCTCGGAAAATACGAGAAGCCATGACGGCAATGTGGAAACTACAGAGGGCGTCATCGGCGCCAACTGCGTTGACCGCGTCACCCTGCTGCGGAGCATGCCCGAGGCGCCCTCACAATGCCAGGTCTGCATCGTCGGCGCCGGCCCGGCTGGGCTGATGCTTGGGGCGAACCTGGCGCGGATGGGCATCAAGGCACAGGTCATAGACGATAGGGCGGACCCTACCCCGGTGGGAAGGTATGCATATATGACTGCCCCAATATGTGATGATGAGGAACAACAAGAGGAGAGTAGTTTGGGTTATTTGTTCAATTGAGTCTGACATGGGTTCACAGGGCTGATGGCTTGCAGCCAAAGACGATCGAGACATTTCGACAGATGCGGTTAGCAGATTCGTTGTTGCAAAGAGGCGTTCGTGTCTATGACATCTCCTTCTGGCGAGGAACAGCAGACGAACCTTTGCGCCGGCTGGGGCGCGAGGTGCATTACCCCCCGGTGATCGATGTCCTGGACCCCTATATCCTGCTGGTGCACCAGGGCATGGTGGAGAGCCTCTTCATCGACGACATGAAGAAGCGTGGCGTCGAGGTGAAGAGGAACTGTGCCTTTGAGTCCTACAGTGCCTGCGACTCTTTGATGTCGAAGAAGGTCGGCGCCGCATTGCAGATCAACACCAGGGTAAATGTGACGCAGGACAAGAGGACGATCCTGGCACAGTATCTTGTCGGATGTGAGTGTAGACCACCACCCGAGATGACGCTGTCGATGTGGCTCGGCTGATCAAACAATCCCCCTAGGCGATGGAGCACACTCCAAAGTGCGCAAGAGCATTCCGGAGGCAAAGCCTGTGGGCATGTCTCAACCTGTGGTTTGGGGTGTACTCGATGGAGAGATTGAGACCGACTTTCCAGACATTTGGTCCAAGACTCTGGTGTACTCACAGGAGTATGGTTCTATACTTATCATTCCTAGGGAACGCAACATGACGAGATTCTACATTGAGCTGAAGAGCGGGATGAAAGAGGATCGGAAGACTCTTGGCCAGGAGTATATCATGGCCCGGGCTAAAGAGATCATGAAGCCCTTCACCGTCAACTGGAAGTACATTGAGTGGTTCGGCCGGTACCAGATCGGCCAGCGGGTGGCCAGCCGCTTCTGCGATTCTCACCACAGGGCGTTCCTGGCAGGCGACGCAAGTCACACACACTCGCCAAAGGCATCGCAGGGAATGAACACGTCGATGCACGACGCTTGGAACATAGCGTGGAAGCTGAACTACGCGGTCCGGGGATTGGCCAAACCGGCGCTGCTGGAAAGCTACGAGGACGAGAGGAGGAAGATCGCGCTGGATCTGGTCAACTTTGACTACGAGCATGCGAATCAGATCGCCGGAGGTGACGCTGTTACCTTGGCTGAGAACTTCAAGACAAACGTGCGCTTTATTTCTGGCATTGGCGCAGAGTACGGAGAAAATGCTCTGAACATGATGGAGAGCCAGACATGGCTCCTGGGCGAGGCAAAGCCTGGTTGTTTACTTCCTCCGGCCAAGGTGACCCGGTACCTGGACTCCAACCCTGTTGACATCCAGCTCGATATACCTATGCTGGGCCAGTTCAGGATATACTTGTTGATGTGGGACGTTCACCAATCGAAGATGTTCCTCGAGAACTTCTGCGATGCTCTTGCTGCGGACTCATCACTCATTCGGCAACTGTCGGTGGCCGCCAGTCTCTCCTACGCGGCACAGCCAAGACTGCCTGCGCCAGAGGATATCTACGTCAGACCGGAGAGGTATACGGCGGTCAGCCATCTCTTCACCTTTGGACTAATTAGTAAGTGTCGTCCTCCCCTGCGCCTTTGCGGCTCCAGGGTCAAACAGGAGAACATGGAATACTAACAAGCTCTAGCAACAATGCCTAAATCTGATATTGAATTGTCCGACCTACCGCCTCTGCTACAAGATAGCAAGTGGACATTTTACCTCGATGACATCCCCGAGCAGGATACGCGCGGTTCGCTCTGCACCAATAAATGGCTGGGTAGCCTGGGCCCCGGGGAGATCGCCATCGTCAACGTCCGCCCCGATGGATACGTTGGCAGCATTGGCAGGTGGGATTCGAGCGTCGACGACGCAGGCGAGGATGCGGCCAGGTGGCTCGACTCGTACTTTGACCGATTCTTGGAAGTCCCCGAGATATTGAAGAGAAGCCCCGTTCCGACTGCCGCCACTACTGCTACTGCTACGCCTGCTGCTACTACTGCGGCTAATGGTGCTGCTAATGGAAGTGTGAATGGAAGTGCCTAGAAAGCGGATTTTCCTGCACGAAGTGGCGGTTGTGAGACACTGTTTGTCCAATAAGGATGGATAAACATGCTTTGTCGGTCATTCTTGTCTTCCTGCAGATCGACAGCATGGAGGGGTCCTAACAAGAGACTGGCGAAAGGCCGCTGCCAGGACGGTTATAAAGAGGTGGCCAGCTAGGAATAAACGGTGTAGAGAAAGAAGACCGCCTTGTACTAACTAACGACAACACAACTCTCAAAACCCACGAGGTGCGAAGACAAGGGATAATGAGGCCGCTTGAGTGTATATAAGCCGGAGGGCGGTCGACACGAGGCGTTACGAGAGCGTGGTAGCATCTTCCCTGGTGTTTTGGACACGGGGGAACTGACCTTCTCAATGATGAATCTGAAACTTACAATTTTCATGGCCACTCGCATTGATTCCGTGCAAATAACACCCGAGCAAGACCTATATCCGTCTTCTCTTTCTAGAACCTTGCGAGGATGGTGCTGGGGTTGTTCAAAGGCCGTCCGTATCCCATACGGTCGGTTGGTACACCTTAACCATGCTTTGATGATTGGCCTTTTCGATGAGATAGAAGAGAAATAGACTGGTTGGTTTCCTTGGGAAGAATTCGTCTTCTAACTGTGGAAGTGGAGGTGAGATAGCAGGTCATCTGATCCATTAACGTGCAAAGAGAGGAGGGGTATTTGTTGTGAAGCCGTATGCAAGAAATCCTCCCAATCTCTTTTATACCTTTTTCCACCTACAACTCATCCCTCACCCGCGCTGCCTCACTATCTGAAACCGGCACGACCACCTCTGCCTCGACACCCTCCTCCCCGCCCGCATCAACACCATCAACAATCCGGCCAACCTGTTCGACCATACTATCCGGGTCCGCCCCCTTATCCACCTTTCTTCCCTCGCCGCCGCCGCCAACGCTCACGGTGGGCACGGTCCCCTCGACGCCCATCTCGACATCCACCCTCCTGCCGCCGCCATCCACAACCTCCATCCTCGCGCCCGAGCTGGGGCCGGAGCCGGAGCGGACCATGCCCACCGCACCCGAGCCTGTCTTGAAGACGAGGCGGAGGGGCAGCCAGACCAGCCACCAGAGCGGACCGTACAGCCAGCGGCGGAAGATGAGCCAGCCCAGGGTGGCGGCGAGCATGTAGAAGGTGGTCTCGAGGTACCACGTGTCGCTCTTGGTGCTCTTCATCAGGGTGCCGAGCAGGTCCCTGCTGGACGCCAGCATGTCCTCCATGCGCCCGTACGTCCCGCCGAGCTGCCGCAGCTGGACGGTCGACTCGTGCAGCGACTCGTGCAGCGTCACGGAGCGCGCGAGCTCGTCCTGCACCAGCTGGCGCGCGCGGTGCAGCGACCGCGTCAGCTCCGACGAGGCCGCCGCCGCCGGGTCGTCTGGGTCCCGGTTGCCGGCGCCTCTTTGCGTGTGTCTGCGGCGGGGGCCCAGCGCGGCCTGTGGTTGCGGCGCTGGGGAGTTGGCGCCGCTCCGGGACGGGGTCGAGGCCGCCTTGGTGGCGTAGGACTGTAGTAGGATCTGGCGCTCGAGTCGGCGGGCAGCGTCGAGAGAGCGGCGGGCTGTGAGCTGCGCTTTGTGGAAGTCGATCCGGGCGCTTGTTGCATGACGTGCATAAGTCAGCCGTGTTTTTGTTTTCCTCCATGATAGATTTGGTGCAAGCGCAGCGGGTTTTCGAGGGGGGAACTGGGCTGGGCAGAGCATCATAGCTAGCTCACCTCTTCAAGGCTCCCTCCAGTCTCGTCAGCCCTTCTCGTAGCCTTTCCTTCCGCCTTGCGGACTCGCTCCCCTCTTTACCACCCCTCAGGTCTGTGATCTCCTCGGCCAGCAGCTCCAGATCCTCCTCCTCCTCGCGCAGGATCTGGTTGATCTCGCCGCTCAGCTCGGTCGCGACGTTTTCGTCGTCATCGTCGCCGCCATGTGGTGGGAGCGGCACAGATCCTGGCTGGAAGTCGAGTTTCGAGAGTCGGTCGATGAGGTCCCTGACCTGTGTAGTTGTCTCCTGGAGCGCGGTAAGACGCTCCTGAATGGCGTCAAAGGACATTATCACTTCTCTGTTGGATCCAACCGCCCCTCTTTTTCTGTCCTCGAAACTCGCTTCCCCAAGACAAGAGTCTCTAAAGTGTATAAGGAGGTGTTTTGGGCTGAGGATCAGGAGAGGGTGTAAAGAAGACCAAGCAGGAGGAAGCGCCATCAATGTAAGCTGGCTACTTTACTTTTTGGATGTTGGAATGTCCAGGGGGAGCCTAGGTTGGCGCTTTTGCCTGCCCGACGTCACCCTCGTTGGGGGGGGGGGGGGAGGGAAGGGGGGCCGCGCCAAGGGGTTGACGTTCTGGAAGCTTTCAGGGCTGACACCACTGAGGAGACCTGCTAGCGTGGATCCGAGCTCCCGCGGCTCGGGGACAGCTCGCTGCGGAAAAAACGTCCCGCGAATTTTCGAATGGTCTGGCGCTGGGGTAGTGATGGTGGTGATATTAATGATTGCCTCGCCAAAACAGCCATTGAGGCAGCAACAATAACGTTTCCTCACACTGCCCATCCCCCTTTTCGCTCAAGATGATTACCCGCTTCATCACCGAGGTGACCACCAAAATTAATCCCTTCTCGGTCAAGTCCAGATCCGCGCGCCTCTTCCTCACGGTCCTGCCCCCGTCGGCGAGGAGCCAGGGCATGACGATCAACACGAAGCTGCTGCCCAAGACCGCAGCGGAGAAGACCTCTCTGCAGGTGAAGTTCAGTACGCTCCTCCGCACCCTTCGCTTTCTCTATGGTTTCCTTCTTACTGGCTCTGGTGTGGCCTACGAGAAGGGGTGTCTCCCTAGACGACGCCAAGATGAACTTCCCCAAAGCTAATCATCCGATCCATCGGGTTACAGAGGACGGCAAGCTACTAGACCTCGACTGCGAGAGCATGGGAATCAAGGGCCTCATCGAAGAGTGCGACCGTCACTCGCGTTTGCTGCAGAAGCAGGCTGCCTTGGCGGATGCATAATTTTGGTCTCCGCGCCGCGCCCGGCTTTTTTACTTCTTACTGCGTGCAGGGCATCACTACGGCGTTACTTATATCTGGTCCGGCGTTCGTTTTGAGAAGAGCAAAAATGAGAACAACAAGAACAACGAAAAGAATATGAAAGGAGGGAACTATCTTTCTCTTTTGCAACCTCGCTGGGTCTGGGCTAAACATGGGCTGCGCTGCCGGAGACTGGGTAGAGTCTTTAGCAAGTTCTCATCTATACACAATAGTTGGATCGTTATAATAAAGGTCTTCAGTGCCGTTGGAGAGCGAGTGTATGGTGGTCGGGGACAGACCGCGCAACGCGAAGAGGATATGGAGAGGCGAAAGAGCTTGTCGCAATAGCCGTGATAGGAAGGGTAGTGTACAGATGGCCCAGTCAAGAAGATTACACCCGGGTCAGGTTTAGAGGGTCGCTTTACAAGCCAGAGCGTCGAGGGAAGGAGTTGAACATGTTACGATAGAAGACATCCACAGGGCCAGCATGGGCATCTCCCCTAGAAGATACCATGACGGAATAGGCAGTTAGACCAAAGAAGAACCTTTCTACAAGAAGCTCAAAGCACGTTACTTTTTTATCTTTTTTTCGTGACCATTCTAATTATATTGGTGTCCACTTTGCACGCTACCAACCTGGAACGACAAAAAATGTAACACCCGAAGAGGCCAGTGACACCAAGTCTGTGGGCTCACGGTGCTGCAGGAAAACCCCCAAGATTTTCGAGCTTCTTCAACCTACCGGCTGAACGCCTGCAAGTTCAGATTGAGCTGCGACAGAGCCTCGTATCAAGAGTGCCGCCAGGCAATTTATGCGGAGGCACCGCTGATGAAGAACCACTTGTCTATCGAAGCATCGATCTTCTCGGCGGGAAGGTTCTCGTTGGCGGGGATGGGGGGCAGCTGGCTGGGGTCGATGCGGCTGGGGGAGTGGGCCACGGTGACGTTGGTGCTAGAAAGGGGATGTCAGTAATCCCGAGTCACGCAGGAATATACAGGTTGGAAGGGTTTAAGCCGAGAGAACATACGTAGAAACGGCACCAGGCTGGGTCTTGCCGGTGATGAGCTTGTCCCAGGCCTCAGCACACTCACGGATGACATCCATGGCGTACTTCTTGTTCTTGCACTCGCCGGTGAAGGCGAACTGGTTCTCGGGCTTGCCATCGGGGATCTTGTAGATGCGGAACCACTCGTTGGTGGCGCGCAGCAGGCCCGGCAGGTGGCGCTCAACATCCTCGACGTCGTTGAGCTTGGAGGCCAGAGGGTCGTTGATGTCAATAACGATCACCTTCCAGTCGGTCTCCTCCTCGTCGAGGAGAGCCATAACACCGAGGACCTTGACCTGCTTGACCTGGCCAGTGTAGCCGACCAGCTCGCCAATCTCACAGACGTCAAGAGGGTCATTGTCACCCTTGGCCTTGGTCTCGGGGTGAACGACGTTGGGGTCCTCCCAGGTCTGGTGTGACAACTGTCAGCTGCTGTCTCTGTAGCCCAATATTTCTCCAATTGAGAGAAGAAGAGAAGAGATTGGATTGAGGTCTGGTTGTCATACCTGGGGGAAGGCACCATAGTTCCACAGGTAGCCCTTGTGGGGGAAGCAGTTGCGGACATATCGAAGCTTGCCCTTCTTGGTGTCCTGCTTGATGGGGTTGAGGAGCTCCTCCTTGGAGATCTACAAGCATCACAAAAAATTGTCAGTCAGGTGAGAGCCCTATGATGATCAGAGAACTCCGCAGAGCGGCTCGGGGGTTGATTTGTGGTGGCAAAAATCGGTTCCCGGTGCAGGGTTCGACAGAAAAGACAGCACAGCAGAACTCACCTCAAGCTTGGCATTGGTCCAGCGAGGGATCTCGACGACCATGTTCAGGATGGTCTGCTCTTGGTTGGCAAACAGAGGGATGTCATGGAAAGGGGAGACGGGGACGCCATCCTTCTCAACGTACACCCTGTGCTCAAAGGTGTAGGGAGCAGCAACCTTGCGGGTGGTGTAAGCCATCTTGCTGTCAGGGACGATTGATGTCGACGACGAGGGAGATGAGGAACCCGAGAGGTGTCGGGCGATCTGGGCTGTGCGGGAGGACGAAATGTTGGGTAGATTGGTCCTCGTCGAGGAGAGCAGTGCTGGTGGTGGTGGGAGGAGGGTGGTGGAATATGAACGGTGAAGAGTGGTGCGAAGAAGTCCAGTTGGCCAGCTTCTTCTAGTCCACCAGAGATGATGTGGAGGGGTCCGGCTCGGTGGAGGGGTAACAGCCGAATCACGGGCCACAGCGCCTGGTCGCAATAGTGGGGCAGCCTGAGCGAGATTTCGTCGTAGTTGCGGTGACCCGAACAGGGGGGGCGAAGGCAGCTTGGACCTGCTGCACCCGGACTTGGCCTTGGATGTGGCCTGGTGGTACGTGGACGTGCTGGCGGGCCAGCTCAGCACCGCTCTCCTTCCAAGCTGCTGCATGGGGACAAAGGAAAATAGATTGATAGTCCAAAGACGAGGGACTCTTAAGACGGTCAGAGACTCTACAGTTGATTATTACCCTTTTGGCAAACAAACTTCAGAGCGTAAGAAGTAGAGTGGCCGAGGGCAAGACTTGTCTTGTTGAGCCAAAGGGTTTGAATGAGGAAGCTGGAAAAGAGAGTAGGCCAACCGAAAATTCAATCACAGATTATCCTCGTCGCCCTCATAACCCCTGCTGCAACATTACTGTCCGAACCTTGACCACACCAACATTGCACTCGACACAATACAGTAAATATAGCACATCATTTGGATGATTTTTATTTATTTATTTTTTTGAGAGAGAAAAAGACGATGAATTGAAATGAAATGAACAAAACCCATAAAACCAAAACCTTGAATATAGCTACCGAATGCAAAAATCTACCATATCATAGTTATGTTCATCGTCGTTCGCCTCTTAACCCCCCAGGCTTCCTCCTCTTAAGTCAAGGGTATCCGCTACCGGCCTAAGCAGAGACATCAAATCATCTTCTGCTTTGTCATTACGATTCCATACTTGCTAGCCGTGATAGGAGAGAGAGAAAGAGAGACAAATTCGATCAAAAGAATACCAGCCACGAATGGAAACCAACAATGACACGCCCGCTTGCACTCACTCATGACATCAACAAACCTGGACGTTCCCACACAGGAGCAAGCTGGCTTTCCTACCGCCTCGGCAGGTTCCCATACGCTCCTCGTCCAAACGCACCGCCAGGAGCATTCCCGTACGCACCCGTACTGAACCCCTGGTGAATACTCTGCCTCACAATTGCCGCTGCCGCCTGGCTCGCCGCCATGCGCTCCTTTTGCCTGTGTCTGTCCCTCAGGTAGCCGGCAGCCTCAGGCCGCATGCGCAAGATCCGGAGGATCATATCGTCCGATGGATCCGCCTGAGCTTCCTTGCGCTTCTCCTCCTTTGCCCGCCGCATCGTTCCCAGGTTGCGACTCATCATGATGCTCTTGCCACGCCGAATCGTCCCCATGCTGCCGAATGCTGCACTGTTGAAGGTTGGGCCCAGGGCGGCGGGTGCAGACTGCCGCGACGCTTGCTGCGCCTGCTGCTGGGCGCGCTGCTGGGTTGCTGCTACCATCCGCTCCGACGTGCGGATCAGGGAATCAGTCGAGTCGAAGTACCAGAAGTTGAGCGACGCCAATTCGTGCCACTTAGGCGACTTCAGGACCTCTGCTGGGACACCTAGTACCTCTCCGTCTTCGTCCTTGGCGTTGAAGAACTCAAATAGCAGCTCAAGCCACTTGTAAACCACGTCCAGCTCGACTTGCGTCAGTGGCTTCTGAGTTGAAGGCTTGTCTGAGAGCGGGGGCACAAGTAGGTTCTCGATGGCCATCAGCACTTCCTTCCACAGTCTCGTCATGACAGCCACCATGGTCGCATCTGTAAGTGTCTGCTTCATGATGGCAAAGTTCTCGTCAAAGTAGTCGAACAGCGACCGCAGCGCATTCTCAATGTCCTGCTGTGTGACTGGCGGAGCAGCCGTCTTCCGCGTCTTCCACATGTTGCCGATAGATGCCGCAATGCCACGGCTAAGCAAACCCTTCAGTGCCTCGTGAGAAAGCGAGGCATTGATGACAGTTGAGAGCTAATGAGCGTGTGAGTCATTCATTCATTGTCATCAGGAGGGGAAAGTAGCAGCGAGGACCGACTTACCTTGTCAGTAATTTTTCGCACCATGTCTCGCTCCGTCCGCTTCAAGTGTCTGAAGGCCTTTCCGAAGTGAAATTGGATATCATCCTTCTCGCCCTCCATGCTGACTCTTATCAATAGTCGACCCTGAGTGTCAAGGTCCAGCCAAAACTCCCTGGGTAGGTAGTCGCTGAAGTGAACCGGGTCGAGTTTTAGAGAAGTCCGACCCACAAAGTCATGGTCTCCGAATGTATCGTAGTCCCATATTGTAGCGATCACGTTGACGGCGCCAGTGACGGTAACATCAACAGACTCGTCCCACCGAGGGTTAAGTGTTCGCGACACAACACGAGTCTTGGCCAGACGCTTCTGATATTCGTCCACCAAAACGACGTACGGATCGCTATATCCATTGGGGTCGCAGGCTTTGATGTCTTCAGCTTCGACAACCTTGACGGTGAAGACATACTTGTCTGGCTTGCGCAGCCGGTCTCTGGGCCCTTCCTTCGCTCTCAGCAGCTCAGCGCATGCATCGACGTTCATCGTATGCTCTAATTTGTCAAGCGACTGCATGGCGTACTCTATGTTGTTCAATTTGACGAATGACTAGGCTAGCGTTAGCTTAGAATCATCGAGGGACCTTGGACTTGTTGGTTTGCTTACCTCTGAGTAGAACTGGAACGGTTCTATCTTCTCCTTCTGGTTCCAGGCATCCTTCGCCATCTGTATCATGCGCTCCTGGGCAGTCCGCTGCGCTGCTGCCAGATCCGCTGCACTCTGGCGGTCCATCTCCTTGGCAAACTTGCCCTCGACAATCTCACAGTACCGACCTATGCCTGCAGCAAAGGCCTTGGCTAGGGATGTCATGAATTTGGCATGGTGGACATCATTGTCCCAGTTCAACTGGAAAATCTGGTCCGCTGTCTGATTGAACAGCTGGAATACGTCGATGATGGAGACACTGTGCCGCTGCGTATCCGTTGGAATGTCGTCAGGGTGTGCCGTCCGGACCTGAAACTGATCCTGCTTGATGGCTTCTTCGACAAACGACGTCATCCTGCTCTCGGCGTCGTTGATCCATCGCCAGACGAACTCTTCTAGTTGGCCCTCGATGTCGAAGGCAAAGGGCTGGTCAGGTATGTATTGGACGTGCGTCTTACGGATCTCGACCAACTCCTTGTACAAGTCAAACCCGTCCTGGACATTGACCTCCAGCCCGGCTTCCTTAGCTGCCACGACAATGGTCTCAATTAGCGCCTTTGCGTCCTCTTCAAAACTAGGGAAGATCGCCTGCACCAGGACTGCGAAAGGAGATACGCCCATGATTTCCGGGTTCTTGGTATATCTCTTCTTGATCCTCTGGCACAACTTCGTGACTGCACTCCCTAGGTTCACCACATGACTGAAATTCCAGTCCTCCTTGGCCGCAGGTACCTCCGTTTCAAGAAAACCATGGTAGACTTGATCGGCCTGCGCCTTGAGCCCTTCCGCTAGCTGCCTAGAGAACCGGTCTAAGTCTTCCTCTTTTTTGACAAAGCTAGGATCGGGGTAGATTTGGTTTAGTAGAAGATGCATCACCACACCAGCACTGGGAGCCTTGGGTTGGTAGCAGTACATCATCACATCATAGAGATCCCGCAGAAGTGCGTCATGGAGGGCGCCGAGGATTTGCTGGTACAGGGAGTAGTCTACCAACGTCCATCGGCTCGGGTCGATCTCGGGCAAGGTGGCCGTGTAGAGTTGTATGCGCGGAAGCTTCTTAGGCTCTGGCTGTGGGTTCTTGACAAACTCAAAGCACTCGTCCAGATCCTCGCCCTTGATCTCCTGGTCTAGGAACTTGCGCACAGCAACCTCGAGAAAGGCAATGTGTCTGGTGAATTGCGGCAGGCGCCACCAGCCAGACAGATCATTCAGCAGCTCCAGTGATTGTTGAGACAACGGTGTGAAGGTCTCGAACTCGGGGTGGGCCTGGTCATAGGTCATGGCATGCTGTAGGACTGTCCGGTAATAAGACCTCGGGTCAGGGGGAATGAAGGTGTAGCTGGCTTCGTCGACACTTCGAATGCTGGCGGAGTCGTCCAGAGAGAGGTTGCTCAAGCCAAAGCTGGGTTCACCCCCGGGACCAGTGGCTGATTCGTTGTTCAGCATCTTTGCCAGATCCGCGTATGCCTGGTCCTCTCCGTAGATGGACGTCGGCCGCACAGGGAGAGGTTTGTCGAAGCTTGTGACGGTCTTAGCGAGATCCGGGCGGACTCTCAGTATGTCCAACATCATCGATGTAAGATGATCGCGCTCACCCTTCTTCCACTCCTCGAAAGATTCGTTGACATCAAAGTCTTGTCTTCGAAGTGCTCCGTCCATGTTCGAGTCTAGGCGATGCTGGTAGGCCTTGAGGTCCTTGAGGGCCGCTTCTTCTGTCCATATATTTTTGTTCAGGTCGACATCTGACTGCAGTTGAGTAGTCTCCCGGCCAAATATCCTGCCCACAATTTGGACCATATGCATATCCTTGATTTCATAGCTGTGGGGAATCTCGACCTCGATTGTCTTGTGCTCCTTGTCCTGGCCGGTGTCGATGAACAGGTCTTGGTCGTTCCGCAGCAGCTTCTGTTCCAACGTCTGCAGGCGAGCCATGAGTTCCCTATCCTTCTCAGTCCCATGCTTCCTGAAGATGCTCATCATGAGCCTGACAAAGAGAGCGAGGTGCCTGTCGACGAGGATCTTCCACGAATGGTCGTCAGGTGCCCTTCCCTGACTCATTGCTTTGACAGCAGCAGCATAAAACTTGAGGATCAAAGGCTCCAGTGTACGATCCCTGTCGATCGTCTTGCGGAAGTCTTGCTCGGTAAAGTTTGTGTAGGCTTCCGCAAAGGTTCGTTTTACGTTCGGGTCTGTGTAACCCGGTTGGTCAAAGGTGCCCTTGACCACACGCTCCATGCGCTTCTCCAGAGAGGCACGAAAGTCCCGTGGGAGTTTGACTGTGCTCCCACCCGTGGGTATGAACTCCTTGAGTAGGTCCCCAATGTTGTGCGTGTAAGACTGGACCCTATTGGGCGCCTTGGGCACCGTGATGTACTCCTTCTTCTTCTTTTTGGGCTGCAGCAAGTAGTGCAGCAGAGCAATGCTCAAGGCATAGTTGTACGCATCCTCGTAGCTGACTTGGCCCTGGAAGGCTCGCGAGCCGGCCCTCGACCTCCTCCGCCCGGCGCCATCCTGCTGCTGGATCCTGTTGATGCTCCTGTTGAGGCTCCTGCTGTTGTGCTTCCCCGAGTAGCTCGAGCCCGTCGACATCTTCAGCGTCTCTTTGGGGGAGGGGAGGGAAGAGCAGTTGTTCGCGAGGTCGAGAGCTCGAGAGGGGATGGTGGTTGGTCGGTCGGTCGATCGATCGATCTCGTAATGTTTCTCGTTATGTTTACCAAGTGTGATCACTCTCAGAAGGGGCGGGGTGTGCCGTGGTGGGAGTGAGACGTCCGCCCCCTTAGCCTCGTAGCACCATGCCTCGAAGCACTGTTCTCGTGTCCTGGATACGGGATCCAGGAGATTTCTGGTGTTCGAAGAAAGGGCTCGCAGGTCTAGTAGAATGCGGTGAAGCGAAAGTTTGGGCAAACAAAGTCCCACCCTTCAGGGATTCACGCGACAGGTATGACGCCCTGGTGTGCCCAGACCACTCATCAAGGTTATGTGTGCTCGTCTTTCCCGCTGCCTCGGCGGGTGGAGGGCGATAGGGCAGTGGAAGGGAGACCCTAAGCTTGTGTTCAGGAGGTTAGGTGGGTGGGTTCAATCAAGGTTTAGATGGTTTTGCCTCCAAGTGCCGCCGCAAGTCCTAAGGTACCCAGGTACTTTGAATACCACTGTTATAGAGGAGCCTGGCGTCCTGCCCAGGCGCAACGTCATCTGCCAACGTGCAGCTCAAGCGCAGTGCCTTTTTGCAGGGGTCGCGGGCGCCAACGACTTGGTGAGCTTGGTATTTAATGCGCCTGCGGGAGGAGCCCGGCGCAGCCCCTTACTATACCAAATCCCCTTTATAATGTTCCACTTAGATAGCGCCTATATAAATAGACATTTTCAGAACAAGACGGTCTTCGTCTTTCCCGCGTGTGACGAGATCCATGAACTCCTCATGACCGCAAAGGTTCCATGGTAAGGAAATGCAATGTCTCACAAAAAGGCACTTAAGTCTTTTGTTTCAAGAAGAAGAAGGAAAGAGAAGAAACCCTAAGGAGCATGAATTTCCCACCAAGGCAGAAGTTGATATGACCCAGAACTTGGGCAGGGCGAAATGAAACATAATGTTTCGTACCGGGATAATCCAGTGGCATGAGATTGGAAAGCACATCGAACCAAACAATATGGCCTCGAATACGAATTTTCTTATCCCTTGGCTCTTTTCATACTCAGTAATCATATACTTCAACATTGCACGATGTTGATAAGGCTGAAATATTGCACTAATAGATCGTAGATTTGTGTAGTAGGCATCCAGGGGTGGCCAGTCAAGCCCTACTAACGCCTCTTTGGCGTACATTTCCACTTTCAGAAAATTGTCTCAAGAGGAAGCACAAGACCTCGACGGCTCCATCCGTCCTTGCAGAACGAGACTTGAGATTCGGATATCATAGCTCATCTCTGGTTTACCATGCACCATGACCCTCTTTCTCACATTGATCTCTGAAACACCGTGGCTAAGTTTCCTTATCCTCGCTGTCCGATTCACACCTGCGGCCGTACGCCTGCTGAAGTATTATACCTCGTACACCATCACCCTGACAGTTGCGCAAACATAACGAAGGCGTTGGCGATATTCCTCTGTGAAGACTGATTAAATCTGACCCGGCTACAGGTTGTCCAGATTATCCTGCTGGTCAAGCAACTGAGCCATTCCAGGAAGATACATGAACTTACTTGACATCGAACCATTCAAGCAGACACCCAGTCCAGATAAAGACGCAACATTCTGCAGTGATTATGCATGGCGTTCAGTCGCGAAAATTGTCATCTCATTCGCTGCTTCTTTGCTTGCACGAAACTCACCGAAATGCTTGCTAGGTCATAGTTTCTGTCGAATCATCACTATCTGACAAGAGCCTCAGCAATACGGAATGGAGCAAGTCAATGAGCTCACCCAAGACGTGCTGCAAGATCATGATCAGGCTTCCAAGAGACTCCCCAGAGCTGGCAAAACGCCACATATCATATTTCCCCCTCACACAGTTGCCCACAGCTTGCCCATGATGGTCATTAAAGTCTGTTGGTCATTGCATCAGAGTGACCTGGAGCATCGCACCTCCGTCGACGCGACATGCACTTGTCAAGTTGATTATCAGTCTTGGCCAGAAGATGGGGCCAATGCATCAAAATGCGTAGCTCTTGAAAGAAATGGTCTCCACCTGGGAACGCTCGTTGTGACAGCGGTCACACACCCCAGCCTCCATCTCTCAGTCAGCCAGGTTCCCAGTGGCTCCTTAACTCCCATAAATAGCCTGTGAATGGTTACTAAAAATCTCCACTTTGACATTTGCACAACAACAAGCTGAAGAGGCAGAGCAGCAATGACTTTGTACGAGAGTAGACGGCGCAATCTTGCCGTTCGTATTCAATAAACCATCAATGTGGCAGAACCTCTCCGCAGAGGCTTGGGGCGTCGTAATTCCGAGTCGAGATTTGGCCAGGCGCATGATTGCGATTAAGACGAGTGACACGACGGTTGAAGTTATTAAGCCACCTTCAGGTGGACCCAGTGCCGAGACTGATAAGATGCTGACGGTACGAGCAGGGTGATTGAACGCGTGGCTGTTTTCTTCCTCTTCTTTGTGACCACAAGACCACACAGAAACGACGGATCCACGTCGTTGCGAGCTGGTGAGACGGCGAGATGCGAAGGGTAGAATCTTTTTGATTTTTGAGCAAATCGCTGTGTGATAATTGCTACAGTATATACGATGTATATGTAGTATGCAGTTCGGTAGTAAAATAAAGTCCCCTGCATCTGCGGCTAGTGGACCAGGCGGCTCGCTTCAAGGTTGCTGTTGCGGTGGTCCCTGGAACAAGCCCCAAGGTCGCCGAGGATGATTATCAGATGAAATCCTGCAGCAGATCAAGGTCACCCACCAATATATAATTTTCAACAAAACTGCTTGAGAAGAAGACGAGGCTGTGTAGATTTCCTATACCGGCATGACTTCTCTTAGTAGGGCTGAAAGGTAGCCATGTGGTCGGAACCTGTCGTCCTGCCGCTTTAGATCTCGTGTCACGCTGTGGTCAAGAGACCTTAGTTGGCTGTTCAAGTCATCAAGTCACAAGCTGATAGAGGTACATGTACAGGCGTATAAATACCCCTCTCTCTCCCAAGCTATTCTTAGCGCGCAGGGGAGCGCCATGGTGCCATACTACGCACTACGGCAATAGTGACACCGTTGCAGTACCTGGGTACTGTAGTATGTAGTACTGTACTGCGCAGTAATGGGACGACGGGGCCAGCCCCCTGGGTCAATTCAAGGCGCTTTCCAGTCGCGCCCCCGGCGCGGCGCACTCTCAATTCCAGCTACTGTAGGACAATGAACGTACTAGCCAAGTTCATACTTATCCATGACCATGTCGACAATCCCCTGGTCAAAGCCCAAAAGCCTGACGAACTGACGGACTGATGTTGTTGATCTTGCAGTGCGTTAAAAACGCCCGCCAGGTTGTGTCCCCCCAAGGATGAAAGCACTTGGGGTTGCAGTCGAAGCTTATTTTCTTCAGGGCTTACTGCTCTTTCACATTTTAATTGCGGGAGATCGCAGATCCACTTCATCCGCATTCGAACCTCTCTGGCCCTCACCTGCAGTCAGCAGCAGGCACAAACACGCCAACCCCGCGGCGGCCAGACCGTAGGCTTTCTACCTGGTCCAGGACCCCTTGATCAACTAAGTCTGCCTGCTGCTGCTACTGCTTGCTACTACTGCTGATGCTGCTACTACCACTGCCACGACAACTACCACCACTATTGTTATTACTACTACCACCACCACTACCACTCTTCCTCTCACAATAATTACACGATCAAACCCCTTCGACAACGAATTTCGTCGAGCCCTCCACTACGGTCTCTGACCCCCTTACTGATTATTGCTCGGCTCAAAGCAGTTCCTACCGCTCGGCGCTGCGCTGCTGTCATCAAACGGAGAGGAGCCCTCCCAAAATATAACTTGACTGCGACCGGCGCCTTGGATCGACGAACGACAACAGCCACCGTACCACCCTGTGCCTTTCGGCTGCTCTCCCAACTTTGGGACCAGCGCTTGACCCTGATCTAGCATCATGGGGAATGTCTCGAGCAGGCCTGAAGAGGGCGCTGCCCTCTATCTCAGGGACCAGACTCGCCGTAAGTTTGAGACCCTTCCCACGACATGTCTCCAGGAATGCGACGCTGACCGAGTAATCCTCCAGTGTCCATCGCATCGCTCGTCATAAGCAACAGTCGCAAGCGCACATCTATTCAGATCACTCCCAACGCGTTCCCCGCCACAAGAGTCTCTGCGTCGCGGCCAGCCGGAGACAGCACTCCGATCGAGTTCGTCCAGGTCAGTCGAGGCCCCCCCGCCCCCCCCCCCCCGGGGCTGGTGCTGCTGCTGCATGCTTCTCAGACAGTGGCAAAGGATCTGCCGGGAGACTGACTTCCTGCTGGTGATCTATAGGACCCCGACTCCACACCAGGCGCGCCCACCTTCATACTCAAACTGAGCAGCGAGGACGAGCTCATGTTCACATTCACATTTAACGTTCGCCAGACCTCTCTGAGCGCAGGAGCGGACAGCACACCCGTGGACACGCAGATTAATGGTCTCACACATGTCTACGCTGCTACGCCTCGAGAAGTCGAGACGCTTGTGACGAGAGAGTTCCACGCCGACCCGAACCTACACAAGAACTCCAACGTCGAGCTGATTGGAGACTTTACGACTGGAGGCAATGCCAGCGTCACTTTCGACTGGTCTTGGAAGTGGAAGCCACCAAAGACTGCGGAGGACCCTGGTGGTGGTTGGAGGAATACCTGTAGCGTATGTCAATATAGTGCTCCTGTGGAGGTTTTGCGCGTGGCTGACAAATGGACCAGTTTGTACAATACGACCAGCGCGCACACGAGCTACAGACACTGGCTAGCTTCTCATTCTGGGTTCAGAGTAGGTATCCGCCAGTCTCTGCGATTAGTGTCGGTGTCTAACAGGTCGCAGATGTATCGCCCTATGCCGCCCAACCAAGCTCACCCCCTCCCTTCCTACTGACCGTTCCGCCGAGGACACGAGGGCCCTCGTCGCATTCTGTCGAGTCAAGAATCAGCAACATCGACATGGACGAGCCTGTGTCACCCCCCGCTGCGTCGACCGAGGTCAAGAACCCACTGTCACCAACCAACACCAACAGCCTCACATCTGTCGTGCCTCTGGCGAATCCAGAGCCTGTCAAAGTTGACGTTTCCTGCTCGCGACCCAGCGATGATGTCTCACAAACAGATGATGGCCCCGTGTTTCGGGCGACGATGAAGGCTCTAGAGCAAAAGACTGGCAACATGCGGATGCAGATGAAAAGGATGATCAAGAAGGCGGAGGCTGCTCACAATGCGCAACTGGAAGCGAACGACTCCTTTGTGAGCTTCGTGGAAGCGCTGAAGGAAGCTTCTTCCACAAACGCAAATGCTGTACAGCCAGCCATTGAACACTACTTTGACAAGATTGCGCGCGAGATTTTGTCCTACGAGAGAATGAACGCTCTCAACCTGCAGAGGATCGTGATAGAGCCACTCAACAAGGTGTATACCATGGATATCAAACAGGCCGAGGCGAAGAAGCGCGACTTCGAAGAAGAAAGCAAGGACTTTTATGCGTACGTCGGCCGGTATCTCGGCCAGCGACAGGATTCTATCAAGGCCAAGCACAGCGATACCAAGTATCAAACCAAGCGTCGAAACTTCGAGCTGAAGCGTTTCGATTACTCGTCTTTCATGCAGGACCTGTCCGGAGGTCGAAAGGAGCAAGAAGTGCTCTCTCACCTCACCAGATATGCGGATGCCCAGGCGAGAACGTTCCTCGAGGCTGCTAAGCGGGTCGAGAACCTGCTTCCGCAACTACAGGCATTGTCCAGCGAGGTTCAAGTCGCGGACAAGGAATACCAGTTCCAACGAAGAGAGCGAGAAGAGAAGCGAAGGCTTCTCGAGAAGAGCAACGTGAATTATGGTGAGCCCGAACCAGTACCATCCACCAGCACGGGCATCGCGAACGGAAATGGCGCTGTTTCAGACAGCGAGATGAGCCGGGCAGACAGCACCGGCTCACAACTGAGAGCGATCGCGATCGGCAACTCAAACTCCTCGGCCAGTAATACTGGTGACCTCTCCAGATCGCCAGGAAGCCTTGGTCACGCTATGATGGCTGCCAGCCCATCGCAAAAGTTCAAGGGGATCCGCGATCTTGAGGAACGCGATGCCGCACTCGCAGAGCTTGCCGACAGGGAGTCGCAGAGGAAAGAAGGGCTTCTCTGGGCTCTGAACCGGCCTGGCGGACATGTCGACCCTCGAAACCTGAACAAGCAGGGTTGGCACAAGTACGTTCTCAGAATTGCTGTTTCTTCTTTCCTTTTTAAGAGACCACTTGGCTAACTCTGTCTCACAGATTCTGGATTGTCTTGGACCAGGGTAAGCTCTCCGAGTACAGCAACTGGAAGCAAAAGCTTGACCTGCACATGGATCCCATCGACTTGCGCATGGCATCCGTAAGAGAGGCAAGAAACGCAGAGCGACGTTTCTGTTTCGAGGTCATCACTCCACAGTACAAACGTGTTTACCAGGCGACTTCCGAAGACGACATGAACAATTGGATCACTGCGATAAACAATGCGCTCCAGAGCGCTGTCGAAGGCCGTGTGAAGGAAAAGCCGATACAGAGCATCTCTCCGTCGATCGAGTCTGGTGGTTCCTTTAGAAGAGACATCGGCTCTATCTTGACTGGCAAAAGTCCGTCTCTCGGCCATGCACAAGCACATCCACCATCCATATTACCGGGCCGGCGAACGACCGTCGGTGCACGACCGTCGACAGCACGCTCTCCGAGCAGTACTTACGACGAACACCCTGATAAGCTCCTTCAAGCGCTTCGAGACAATGATCAAGGCAATTGTTGGTGCGCAGACTGCGGGTCCGGTTCCAAGGTTGAATGGGTTTCAATCAACCTCGCCATCATCCTGTGTATCGAGTGCAGTGGCATACATCGGTCGCTGGGTACGCACATCAGCAAAGTCCGATCTCTCACTCTCGATATCACATCATTCACGCCCGATATTGTCGAGCTTTTACTCTTGGTGGGTAACCGGGTCGCGAACATGGTCTGGGAGTGTCGGCTCGACCCAGGCCTGAAGCCAGGACCACAAGCGACCCGCGAGCAGAGGTTAAGATTCATCACCATGAAGTACGTGGATCGGTCGTTCGTCGAGCCTATCTCGTCTACCCTTTCTCGGTACCCCTCACCCGACGAGACGCTCCTCGCCGCTATCAAGAAGAACGAGATTCAGCAGATCATTTACTCCCTTGCCCTCCGCGCAAACCCCAATGTTCTCGATAAATCTCGTGGCACCCACGCCGTCTTCCTCGCCCTCGCCGCAGCTGACCCAGCCTCCCCTGGCGGGTTGCCCCAGTCCACAACATCACAGCCTGACGGAAAACCGGTGCCTTTCCCCATCGCAGAGATGCTCCTGCAAAACGGTGCAGAGCTGCCACAAGGCATGCCTGCGTTTCCGCTCAGCCGCAGTGCACAATTATGGCTCGACCAGAAGCGAGGCCGGTCGAACGGGCCGTCGATGACCGGCTCATCATCGGCTTCGAACTATCTCGACACTGTGGGCTCGACACCTGGAGGCACCAGTCCGCAGCTGGCGACCAAGGAGAAGGGCGGCGACAGAGATAGGGAGCATCGGGTCGCGAAGCGTGCGAGCGCCGGCGGCCGCCTGGCCAAGTCGCCTATTCCCGAGAGGTAGGGCTGCTCTGTACCGTTGATCTTTTGGCCGATTCACCGCGCCGGCAAGCACAAGGTCGAGAGCGAGGCTCACGGGAGGAATGTGGTGCTGAGGCTCTCCTCTTCATCTTGAAGAAGTAATCACCGTGCATTCTAGTTCGTCTGATCGTGAGATGTCAACGGCATCTTCGTCGTGACAGACATAGCATATACTGCCTGTCCGTGCTGGTATTGGGGTCTAAACTCTGCACAGGCGTCACAGAGTCTAGCCGTGTGGGCCTGCTCCTTCTCTCGCTCTCACATTGGTCGCCATTACGCTATAGGGTTCAGCTTATCTGTTTGCTTTGAGACGCTGGTGATATCATTGTCATTATCATTGCCATTACACCATTCACCCATATGCCTCAAGGGGAGGTATTCATGGCTATATATACACATATATGTTTACCCACACAAACAATCACATACTCACGGAGAAGAAGGAGGAATGGGGAGAAAGGGGGGAGGGAGATGAGGGAGGGGCAAAACGCATGCAGCTTGGTTTTCTTGGAAAGTTTCGAAATGGGGGATTCCAGTCTAAGAGACCGGTCCGATGTATGATTATGAACGAAAGATGATGGCCGATGAAGGACGGACGGACGGACGGACGGACGGATGGACGGACGGCTTGGTACTACAAGGAAACTGGCATGGCATGGCGTGGGCGCCGAAGTTTTGTGGACAACTTAAGGTCAGGTTAGGTCTCACTAGGTCTAATAGTAATATGGAAATTGATCGAGGCAATCGTCATGTCCGGCCAAGTGCGGGTGCTGGATTCGAGCAAGAGTTCCTCGAGTGTTGCTCCAGATACCAACTACTACACGGTCTAGAAGATAAACGAAAAAAAAATGATGGTTTCCCTCGGAAGGAGGGACACAAACAAGCAAGGGGTGCAGGGCGATAGAACAGGGACAAGATTTTCTTTTCGAAGTGCCATGTATTAGCACTTCACGCCATGTCTATGGAATCTGCCTTGCTGAGGTAAACTCTGCCGCGATCCATTAGATGGCAATCGACACCCTAACGCCCGTGCTTTTCTGCCATACAAATGAACAATGGCGGTCCATAACACAAAATAAGACATGCACAGCTCTGTACCTAACACCCTTTCCGCACCTTGTCTGTCTCCTATCAGAAACAGTAATCCTTCAAGCATCTTGGAATGATTTCCCACCAAAACATTGCGCGAAACTCTTAACGCATATCCCTCGCGCAAAGACTTGAAATCAGCTTTGTGACAAATGCAATAATGAAAACACAGTATCGTTTCCGTGAAGACGTCGGCCGCAACAATAAATCGTACCTCGCGAACAAAGTTCCGCAATCACCACAATTTGTGGACGACGCATACGTCAAAACTCCATTTCAAACGAGTCCCCGAGCGAAGCCTGTCGGAAGCGCGCCGTCAGAGTAGTCGGAACGTTGCCATACTAAGGCTTACTTCCCTTGGTCTTTCCCTTGTTTGCCTTCGACTTGGCTGCATGGTTGCCAAATCCGTTAGGCGCCGACGCCGTTGCAGGCCCGGAAGTCGACTGTCCAGGAATGTCATTCTTGCTGTAATGGCTCCTCTCGTTGTCGTAGAGCTGCTGATCGCCTTTGCCACCCATGGCCACAAACTCCTCCGGATTTCTATCGTCGAAGGGCCGAGCCTCTATGGGATGTGTGTGAGGGTTCTTCTTGTATACTTCGACAGAATCTTTCCCATTTGTGCCAGGTATCTGGGTGACTTGGATAGAGTTGATACTGGAAAGAAGAGTGCGCTCGCGAACGACACCACGTCGGTTCACTTCGAGCCCGGCAAGACCGCCCACAAGGCCGTCCGTGCTGTCGTTGACCCCAGGATTGGAAATGGTCATCCAAGGGTGAGCCAGGCACTGATCCACCGTGTAGCGCTTTTCAGCATCGACGACAAGCATACAGTCAATGAGCTCAACTAGGGAGGAAGTTAGCAGAAGACGCGATTTTTTTTGGGGGGGGCGGCGCTCGTGAAGACGACTTACGAGCAGAATCGCTGACTGGGTCCCAGTACGGAGACGGATAGTCAAATCTACCCCCTCTGATCTGTTGCGAAAGCGAGTATGGAAACTCTTTCGAGTACAGCTCGTCCGAGAATGGTGGGAAACCGCACAGACAGATATACATCACTACACCAAGCGACCAGACGTCAACAGCCTTGGTGTACTTTCGATGTTTGCCATCAGCCAGAATCTCCGGCGCCACGTAGCTCGGAGTACCACAGAGCGTAGTGGTGAACGACTCCTCGCCAATGATCTTGGCGAGGCCGAAGTCAGCGAGCTTGACATGGAGCTCATCGTCTACCATCAAAATGTTCTCCGGTTTGATGTCTCGGTGAACAATGTTTCGATCATGCTGTTCGAGAGGTCAGCACATCAGACATTTCAGTGCAAGTGAATGGGCTCTCGCTGACTTACCAGGTACTTGATGCCCTGGAAGAGTTGAGTGAACAGCTTCCTTGTCTCGTCCTCGGAAAGTTTCTGCTTCAAGACGATGAAGTTGAACAGCTCACCCTTTGGCGCGAGCTCGAGCACAAGGAAGACGGCGTGCTTCTCATCGAAGGTATCTTTCAGACACAGTACGTTGGGGTGACTAACGCCCATCAACACAGCAATTTCTTGTTGGAGCCCATCCGTCTTCGACCGCTCCTCCATCCCGGGCGTCTTGGTGAAGATCTTGACCGCATATCTCTGACCCGTGGCTTTCTCGACGCAGAGGAACACCTCAGCAAAGTGGCCCTTGCCAAGCTGCCCCAGTAAGGTGTAATGCTGAAGAAACTGGCTGGTCTGTCGGGATTTGGGGTACTTGAAAATGAAGCGGGCCTTATCGAGCACTGCAACCTCGTCGTTCTCCTTCAACTCTCTCCGCTGGTTTCGTCCGATGATGGCCTCGTTCACGAACGTGCCGTTGCTAGACAGATCCTCTACAATGGTAACAGGGCCGTGGGACTTGTTCTCTGTGAAGATTAAGCAGTGACGGTTGGAGACGCTAGGGTCATCCACAACGATGTCTGTCCAGCGTCAGCATTGCGCTCGAGAACAACTAGTCGAGGGTACACTTACCACACTCGGGATGACGTCCTATCAGGTAGCCTCCTGATGGAACACCTTTGACCTTCTTCTCCTCGTAATCGATTTCCTCCTTCTTCAGGGCCTTCTTGCCTCTCCTCTTTGGTACGGCATCTTCCACCGATTCCGGCAGCGGACAGGCAGCTCTCTTCTTCATGACCACACACTTGCCGCCATACCTGGTGTTCAAGGGGAATAGGTATCCCCAGACGCCCTCTTTGGTCTCATCCTTGACTTCTTTCGAATATGGCTCGTTCGGGTCGACCACCTGCGAGGGAAACGCTTGTGTATCCTGCGGCGGTGAGGAGAAGCCCTGCGAGAAGGCCTGCAGTTGGGAGTAAGCCTCCTCTCCTCGGGGAAGAACCTGGCTCTGTCGACCTTCAGGCGGCGTCGCGGTGCCCTCCTTAAAGAGCGTACTGGAGTCGTCCGCGGAGAGGTGCGTGACTGGCGAGGGAAGCTGCTGCTTGGTATCGACGGGGGTCTTCTTGTGATCCTTGTGCTGTGATGACAGTCGCTCGGATCGGCGCACTCTCTTGGACGAGTCAATCTCGTTCTCGGCAGGTGAGCCCTAGAAAGGCAGCAAATAAGTTAGCAGCCGACTGGATAATGCAATCCATACCTGTGCAGGCACATGGCATGCACGGTCTGCGATCGTCCATAGTAGTGGGGGTGGGACGTACGGCAGCCCGCTTCAATTGGCTCTGCTCATGTCGAGGGGCCATGGTGGCGGTATTAGGCAGTAACTGAGGAATCTCACAACAAAATGGATGGGCTAGGTGGGCGATGGAGCAATTCACGGTGCAGCCCGAGAGTGGAGGGAAACGAGGACTGGCTGAAATGGGGGGTGTGAGGTCCGTGAGGTAAGGTAATTAAGGAATCGCGTGGGAAGCTCAGGGTGTGGAGTTTTAGCGAGGGGACTGATGTCAGTTCAAGGGACCTCATCAGAATCTGAACGGCGATCGAAGTCCAGGGCCTCCAGGGCTGAATAATACTGCTGGGTAGGCAGACTCAGGTGGTCAGACCCCCAGTGGTCACTTAACTTTTTCTCTTCTCCTCGACACGGGCGTGCGCAGGTGCAGCAGGGATAGACGAGGGCCCAGGCTCAGGGGTGTGGATGGGCCGGATGACTCGATTGACATCACCTGCAGGGTTCCTCACAACCAGGACACTCGAATCGAGGAACTCTTGAGGATCTGGAAAAGAATAACACGATCAGTTCCACCTGACGGCTGCTTGCGATTTATTGTCTCTTCTGAGACAAGTGTGACTTGCTAAAGCCTAACCACGAGTTGTCTGCGCCCTGGTGCGTAATCATTGACCGTTTTCTGCTACTTAGAGACTTCCGCTGCAAGACATGGCAGCCTTGTCTGATCCTCATGATAGGATAAGGTGACTGTTGTCGGTGAACCATACCGGTCAACAAATGAGAGATGACTCTTTTAGAACATCTCCACTTCTATTCAATCAGAGGCTGGTTCCTTCCTTCTCCAATACTACTGTGCGCATCAGCGACGCCGTGGTTCAAGATTTCAGTGTTATGCCCAAGTGGCTTGGGAGCATGGAGAAACTGTAGTCCTGCTTTCACATTGTTTCTGGCAAACCCTATCTCCTGCGAGATACGTCATGGAAGTAACCCAAGGCACTTTTTTTTCTTCTTCTCCCTCTGTAATCTTCTTCTTTTCAATCTGCGATGCGCCTTAAGCATCCCTCTTTAAAAGCAGGTTATTCAAGAGTGGTTGATTCAAGAGTGGTGGTGCGGTGCCAAGTGCAACCACATCAATGCATACCATTGGTACATATGCTCGGCGAGGCTGCAGGATTGTTCTAGGTAGTCTCAGATTTCGGCCGGAAGATACTTAAGCAAAAAAGATGAAAATCTTGTGCTTTAGACGAGAAAGTGTCATATGTGTGAGTATTGTAATATTCTTTTCCTACGGTCGAAGGAGAGAACCTTGCTTGCTGCAACCAGTTGGTCCATCGCACAGGCGTTGTTGCATTGGTGAAAATGATGGCTGTAAGGGGGTCCAGTTGCAGCTCCAGCTACCACAGCACATCTGGACTCTGGAGAGAGGGTGGTGCGCCACAGGTGGTTCCACCTAATCCCTGGCTAGCGCAGTACCCAGCCACACCTCCCCGCGCCCACCAACTGAGAAATTTCAGTGAGGGCGCGACCCAAAGTTGAGTGCGTGCCAGTTTAGCCATCAAAGACTGGCAGCACGAGCGTTTTGGTGGGGTCTGTTGAATCGGAGGGTCAAAGAACCTTTCCTCTGCAACCACCCACTCCAAGGACCGACAAACAATATCAACGGGTTGGCCTTGTACCTTCTCCTTCCTCCGCCGCCCTCCCTTCCCATTCAGAACCGACGTCAGATTCGAGACTCAGCTTCGCACAATCACCTCTTCCCAACATGGCGCCTCGTGGTCTGGTTTTCGTCGATGGCAGCACCAACGACATCCTGCAAGAGATCGCCGACTACGTGAAGGCCGGCGATGAGATCCGGCCGCTGATTGAGAAGGGTCAGACCGAAGATGCGCTTGCCGCCATCGTCAAGGCCTCACCGGTCTTGAACTCTGCACCAGAGAAGGAGATTGGCCCTGCGTACAACCTGCTCATCTTCGCCGTCATCAACTATTCCAAAGACCCCAAGAAGCACCTGCAGCCCATCTGCTCCAACCTCACAAAGCCCATCACCTCCTCGCCCGTCAACGGCCGCGATCTCGCCCTCGGCAGCCTGTCGACCGTCTTCAACCTCCTCAGCAAGGACGACCCAGTACGGTTCAACGTCTTCCTGCAGATTGTTCGCTTTGTGAAGATGAACAACATGTTCGACACCATCAAGCCTGCCCTGAAGAACGTGCCCGGCTGGCTGGAGGCATGGGGCACTGAGGAGGAGGGCAGGCAGAGACTATACGTGGAGATCGCCGACGCAGCAGAGGCCGCCGACGAGAACAAGATAGCATACGAGCATCTCCTGGAAGCGCTCCGGACCTTCGACGCCGACGACAGCTCCTCGGAGGAGGCCCAGAAGCTCTCCCTGCGCGCGCTCAAGATGATACTCATCATTGAGCGCCCGTGGGCCTACGACTTCCAGGGCCTGCGGGCCCTCGCGCCTGTCCAGTCACTTATGGACACCCACCCCGTCTACGCGCAGCTGCTTGATATCTTCGCGGAGCAGGACCTGGAGGACTTCAAGGACTTCAAGCTCGAGCACGAGGGCTTCCTGGAGAAGGAGAAGCTGGACGACAAGACCCTGGAGACCAAGATGCGGCTGCTGACGTTCGCCAGCCTGGCCGCGTCACACCAGGACCGCGAGATCCCCTACGACGTGATCGCAAAGGGCCTGCAGGTCCCTGCGGAGGAGGTCGAGCTCTGGATCATCGATGTGATCCGTGCACAGCTGGTCGAGGGCCGCATGTCGCAACGGGATCGAGTGTTCAAGGTCCACAAGACCATCTACCGCGTCTTCAGCGACAAGCAGTGGCGTGAACTGCAATCGCGCATTGACGTGTGGAAGACTACGATAGGCCACGTCCACACGGTGCTCAGGGTTCAGCAGGTCGAGGCGGAGAAGGCAAAGGAGAGGCAGCAGCAGGAGCTGGAGAAGAAGCTTACGAGTGCGGGGATCAGCGACGGCCCCCCTCATGGACGTGGTGGGCGCAGGCCGAGGAACGACAATGACGACTAGAGAGCGAGAGACAGGGACTAGAGAGGAAGCAGAGCGTACAGCAGGCAGGAATCGTCAAGCCAGAGGCAGAGGTATCTCCGGTAGATTGGACCATCACGAAGTGATCACCCGGAGCAGAGCAGGTTCTGGGTCCTGGCGTTGGGAGGATAGAGCAAGGGGTAAAAAATGCTTCGGAATAAAAACTTGCATTTGCGAACAGAATCATTCATGTCTGACGCTCTATCGAATATCCCAATGTATGTATGTTTGTTTATTTCGTGGCAGGACTCCCCCAACAAAGAAAATCATGACCGTGGCAACAATAGCCTTCTAGGTGTAACTTTGTTCATCTTCCCCTTTCCCCTTTTGTTATGCGCAGCATGGTCGATCTACCACCCACCAAGCCTAGTATGTCCATGTTCCTCCTCTTCCACCTCTTCACTCACGAAACGTATTCCCCCCCCCCCCCCACCGGCCCCTCCTAGAATCCCTCACCGAGCCTGGCCGTCAGCGCCTCTCTCGTCTTAGCCTCGACCTCTTCCGGCTCGGGGGTCGCATCAATCTTGGCGACGCGGCCCTGCTTCTCGTAGTACTCGACAACAGGCATGCTGGTCTCGATAAAGGTCTTAAAGCGCTTGCGGATGGACTCCTCGTTATCGTCGGCGCGGCCGCTCGTCTTGCCGCGCTCGAGCAGGCGGGACTCCATGGTGGCCTCGGGGCAGTCGTAGAAGAGGACGAACTCGGCGGCGCACACGGACTCCTCGAACTTGAGGGCCTGGTCCAGCTTGCGCGGGAAGCCGTCGATGAGGAAGCGGCGCTTGGCGCCGGGGGCGCCGGCGGCGTCCTTCATGGCGTTCTCCAGCAGCGCGATGGTCACCTCCATCGGCACGATCTTGCCGTCCTTGATGTAGTCCTTGATCAGCTGGCCGTACTGCGAGCCGGGCCGCTCCTGCTCGGCGCGTAGGAGGTCGCCGGCGGAGAGGTGCGTGAAGCCGTAGCGCGAGACGAGGCGGGAGCATTGCGTGCCCTTGCCGGCGCCGGGGCCGCCGAGGACGAAGATTACTAGAGAGAGGGAGAGAGGAGAGAGAGGGACGACTGGTCAGCCTGGAGGACTCGAAGATAGACGACATGGTTGAATTATGGGCTCCATGGACCGAAGGGGGCGGAGGACGAGGAGGGCTTGAAGCTGGCTTGAATTGGAGGGGAGGACGACGAGCTTACCTGTGGCGTCTGAGATGGGCATTTTGTTTGTAGGTGGTAGAAAATCAGGTGGTAGTTTCTCCTATTCAAGTATATATCACAGCACAGTCTACGGACTGGGAAGAGAAGGTTGAAAGGAAGTCGTAAAGAGTTGAGAGGCTGGAGTATAAATACCTTGGGGACCCTGAATCCGGTGAAGGCCAGCTTGGAAGTCGTGTCGAGCGGTGACGTTGGTGGGGCGTCGTCAGGGGCCTGGACCAATTCACAGCGGTCTGCCGGGCCCCTCCGTTAGAAGTACTCTTGAGTGGTTTGCATGGAGTCGTTTGATTCTGATGTTGTCAACATCTTTTTTTGATGAGAAAATCTGTTCCTAATAAGTCTTGTAATACCTTCATTCTACTATGATATCATATCAAAATTAAGGTAGATTGGCAGTGCAGTGCTAAGTCGGAAGAGTGACACAGATGGCTGTCTCCAAGGTGCGACCTACACTATGGCTTTCTTAGCCACAGCTCGCCCTTGACATATCAGGTACTTCAAGAACGCGAAGTACTTGCTTCTGCTAATGATTGACCTTGTGGGTTGAGTTTAAAGGCGTCTAGCAGCAATGCATTCCTCGTATCCTATAATTGTTAATTGCTGTGTGCTGTCCTGTGCTGTCTTGGGGACATGGACATTTTTCATCTCCCTCCAAAATCATCGAGGTAGCACAGTTCCACAAACTTTAGACAAGCAATCGAGGTGGGTATCCCCACCAGACCTTGCAGCGCCTCTGCCATAATTCTACCTTGAGAGATCATAAGACTCAAAGGGATTTTGTTTCCATGGCACTTTGATTGATTCCTACTTGCACGTTCTCAGACCAAAATAAACTAAAGTAGAGCAATATGCAGAGTCTTACGAATTCATAAACATGCGATCACTCTCCTCACTCTGTAATCAGACACTTAATTACACCCACCTCGACCACAAAAAAAAGGGGAGGAGGGTGGTTGCGATCTCGAACCAGTCTCATGTGTGTCTACCACTGCGAACTAAATGAGACATCAACCAAAAACTTGTGCTCCTTGTTAATTTCCTAGCACCCGGATCAGGTGGAAAGACCATAAACAGGGAACGGGTCTCGAAAGGGCGCAAACCCCCCCCCCCCCCCCCACCCAAAAAAAAAAACCTGGCAGTCTTCGTTTCCTTCTTTTGTTGGTAAAGACATCTTCACAATTGCGATGTGATCGAAAGTGTAGTAGAGGACAAGCTTTTGATTGTTGTCATTCTCTAACTGAATTTCCTCCACTGTACATACAATACGGGACTGGGTTTTACCAGCCCGCCTCACCCTTTGAATCGAAAATTACTAAAGTGAACGGTAGATACATCGTTCTTGCAATGTCCCTTGTAGATATAAAAAAGAAAATCGGTATAACGTTCTCGTCAAAATTTGTCCCTCCCCAACGCCCAATGGTATAGTTCCACCCAGTTTCATCCAGCATAGCTGTGGTCACGAGGACAAAAGACAAAAAGAAAAAGGTCGTCTGCGAGTCGCATGGAAGCCCTCTCTACCTCCCGTGGAAGCTTGTCTGGGCTGGAGGCGGGCTCTTGATCGCCTGGCCGGCGTACGCGCCCGGGATGGGCACGGCGTCGTACACTGGCTCCTCAGCCGCGACGGGGCCGTGGCCGTGCTCGTTGACGGTGATGGACGGAACCTCAGGCTGTTGCTGTGGCCTCTGTAGCGGCGAGAACCTCTCGATAGGCGACGCCTCGACGGGCGACAGGCCGGGCTTCCTTGTGGCAGAGGGCGCCTTGGATGGCGGCGCCTGCAGCTTGAAAGGCGCGGCAGCGCCCCTGGCGGTGGCCATCGAGGCGAAGCTGCTCTGCGGCTCAGGGATGTGCTTTCCGCCGGGGGTGAAGGGCGAGGCGCCGGTCTCCTCGATGTCGCCGAGGGAGCGGTAGGCGGTCGGTGGGAAGCGAGGAGACAGGGCCTGCTGCGAGTACCCACCAGGCGACTTAGGGCCGTACACAGAGGAGAAGGACGGGGACTTGGGGCCGAAGCCGGGCGTGTTGGGTGCGGACTGCGTCCGGAGCTGGGCGAGGTAGAGGTCGGAGCGGGCCTTGTCGCGCATGTCCATCGACTTCATGAGGCGGCGCTTGCTGTAGTACCGGTAGAAGACGACCGAGTAGAGGGTGATGGAGATGGCCTCGATGACGACCTCAATGATCATGCAGACGAGGGACCAGTTCTGTTATTTGTGCCTTAGCATTCTGTTCACACCAGCGGGAGACAGCCTCGAGTGCACCGCTTTGTCTCTGTGTATGCGTGTGAAAGAGTCTTACCTGAAGTCTGCACACAAGCGCATAGTCCACCTGGTTGTTGAACAGCTCGTGGCGGATGTTGTTGTTGCATGACCACCCCCACAGATCCTTGTTATCGCTGCTGACCTTGGCGTGCTGCAGGATGATGATGCTGGTGACCCAGATGGCCATGCTGAAGATGAACCAGCCACAGGCGAAGAGCGTGTAGTAGACGCCGACCTTCTCTGCTCTCTTGTGGCCTCCACGCGTGTATCCGATGAAGACGAGGATGCAGAGGAAGAGAGAGATACATGAGGAGACGAGGGTCAGGATCTGAGGCGTGATATTGGTATTCGCAGCCCATGCCGGGAGGCCGTTCTTGGCTGTGAGTTCCTTGGTGGCATTGAAGATGCTAAAGGTTGACGACAGCATAGCAAGCACGATAAGACTGCAACTGAAGTTCACGCCGCGGAGTGCAAACTTAGCCATTCGTACTCTGGTTTTGACTTTCTGTAATTCAGGTCAGTAGCTGCTCCACAACTATCTCGGGGGGTGATCTGCTTCATTCAAGGTGGGTCATACCAGATCCTTTGCCTGCTCGACGTCGGTCAATGCCTCTCTCTTCTCCAGAACCTGCTCTTCCCTGAATGTCGGGCTAAGCGGGTTGAATCCACGTCCTGGTGTTCCCGGCACCTTCAGGGCACTCTTGAGCGGTGACCTCGGGCTCATTGGCATTGTGACGGATTCAGGGTTGCTGTTGATGTATCCGAAGCCGATATCCCCTGGCTGTGACTGTGGGAAGACGTTCTTCTCCCCTTGTGCCTCGATTGGTGAGTGGATGCTGGTGGCCTCGGCAAACCGCGGTGTCCTTGGCGGCTTGCCCAGTGATGATGTGGAAGATGTGGAATCTGATGAGTCTTTGCGGCGAGTCTCGAGGTTCAAGGCGGCAGGTCGCCTCTTATCGTCGTTGATCGCCATGGCGTTGATGTGGTATGACGAGAGGTCGTTATGCGAAATTGGAAAAGGGGAAAAAAAAGGAAGAAGACCCGATGACTTGGGAGGTTAAGCAATGTGATGTGCTCGTCGACTCTTGAGAAAGCAGTCTGGTGAAAGATGATGAAGACGACGAGGCAAGCAACCAAGAAGAAGAAAAAATAAAGAAATTGAGATCGTGAGAGGCCAGCTATCGAGAAGAGAGAAGAGTTCCAAAGTCCCGCTGCGTGGGGAGGACAATGGTTTTCAGTTACAAGTAGTAGACGAAGAGGGGTATTCTCATTCGACGACGCTCGTGGGTGGGAGTGCCGATATGGCGCCTTGCATGGGGGAGGGTGACACGGGCGGGAGCAGCCAAGGTTCCATACGCAGGACTGGGGTCCACGGCGGCAGCTGGTACTCGAAGAGCTGATAGGGTGACCACCTCGAGTGTGCCAATGTAAGCCGGCGATTCCTGAAGAAAAATAGACGCCCAATGCGTGTGATCCAGGTGGCGCCAGCCAGGCGGGAAGCAAGTCTCTTGTATTAGATGGGGTTGCTCCGGCGTGGTAGCTCGTCCAGCTAAAACAATCTCGGAGAAAAGATCAGACTATGTTGCAGACCACAAGGGCTTCAAATTTGACGATCTCAAAAGAGAGGGGCGAAACGCAGAGGGCCACGCATGTGCAAAAAGATATGCAGTGTATGGATCGCAAGAAAGGCGCTCGGTCATCCATATGACATGGACTCGTTGGATCGAGGAAAGAGGAACAATAGCATTGACGTTCAATGTGACATGATATGGAGGGGAAAGAGACGACGAAGGCTGGAAAGACTCATATTCGCCCTCGTCCTCGCTCGACCTGGATACAAGCTCCGAGGCGGCCCAGACAGCAACACTTTTTGGCGCCATAGAGGCCCTTGTCATTACAGTCCCGAACTTCCATGTTGAGCGTGGGAGAAGAGGTGATTGGGCCGACAAGATGGAGTTCCGAGCCTGTTCTAGCCATGGCAGCAAGGCCCCCCTCCTAGGAAGAGACAGGCCTCGTCAAGAGCTCTGGTTGGTGACCCTCGGCGGCTATTCTGAGGGCCACGATGGGACGTCGTGGGTGGAGAAGTAGCTTGAGACCTTGTCGAGGACCCCGGCTTCCTTGTCCCGTCCGGGACTAAGGTGTGCTTACCCCCCGGTCGCCCTCGCTGGATATCACACGCATCTCATCTCTGATTGGCTGCTGCCAGCACATACGCGCCCAATCATCCTGCAGATGTGCGTGATCCCCTCTGGGCGCATCTGCAGCTTGCAGGTGCGTACTCATCCCCCAGCGGCCCATTGCCACCCGAAAATAAGACACCACACCCCTCTTTTCTTCGTTCTCGCTTCGTCGCTTCGTGCCACGCCTCGTTGCTGCTGGCGAACCAGGTGTTCTCCGGGCAAGCAGAGGCAAGCCAGACACGCTGCAATACGCCAGTCTGGTCTCCTTGAGGCTGTTGGCAAACCATTCCCCAGGGCCTGTCGTTGTTGAGGTAATCATGGCTGCATACCATTGTACCAAATGAGTTACTGTGGTAAGTACACAAGCACAGGAAAAAGAGCTTTGAGTCGCACTGCGGGACCCCAACGCCTCCACTCGCTGCTGCACGATCCTTGAGCTGTGGCTGCAGACCAAAGTCTCTAGTCCCTCACACCCGTCAAGCCGTCGATAACGTCTGTATTTGTCGGTGCATCGCCGGCTACGGGCGTGGCGAGAAGCAAGTGTTCAAGAAAGGCTGTCCGGTGATGATGACAAGCATGACGCACTCAGCATTTCGCGCCCCAAGAAGGGGACAGCGATGTCCTCTGTGCCCCTAAAATAGGAAATCGCGACAGCGGTCTATTGGTTTTAACCTACCTTCCAATATCGTGGGTGGTATTGCATCTATAGCGCCGTTCAGGCCATGTTGTGCACCGTGACACTGGCCGGTTGAAGCTAGTGTTCTGCTAGTCATGACCACCACGCTGCAGTGGTAAGCTTGTCCTCGTGGAGACCAGTTATTAATAGCAAAGCCTGCCTTTTGCCTTTGGCGATTCCACCGGACATGATGGGTCTTGACGAGCGGTTGACTTTGCATGAAGTGCGAGTCATCCGATAGGCTTCATAAAGTGTCGAACAATTTTGCTTAGCAGTGCCAGCAATTTCCCGCAAACCCAGAGGAGGCCCTGGCACTTTTCACTCCATTGTTGAGCCAGATGCAACTGCTTATTCCATCTTGGCCCCCATGATAGAGCCTGTAGGTCTCTCCACATTATCGAACTACGCCGTGACGCTGAAGCTCTCCAAACAAAGGAGTCGATACTTCATCATCCCTACATTGAACATGCAGTAGGGATGATGATTGGATGTCATGCCGGCAAGGGAGACGCTAGCCCATACCACGGCTGGCACGAAAACCGCAGGCCCTCGTGGGAGAGATCATCGATAACGTGCCTTTCGAGACTATGGCCAGAATCATCTCATAATTGGCAGGGTCATCTTTTCGCAAGCATCTTCAGGATGATCTGTGAGCATTTACTGAGCATGTCTGTCTTGAAGATCATTGCCCCAGGGTCCAACCCATGGTGTCGGTTGATACTCTGTGACACTGCGTTCGCTATGCGTGCCTCTGCTTCGAGCATCTTGCTGACCAACACATTCTTGGAGCATGAGACCTGGCGGGCTGCTTGAGTAGGCAAGAAAGGCGAAGGAGGACTGGGGAATTACGACCAGGAAATTTTCGGCCTGCAGCTGGGCTCAAACCCGATCGAGACCTCGAAAATTCCATAATGGAGACGGCACATTCCACGGCACTACATGCTCCATGTGCACTCGGTATATTCGGGCATGCCGTGGTAATCCTATCACCGTTAATATAACGAGGGTGTCGTAGCCCTTGAGGAGAGTATGAGTCCTGGAGAGGACGGGTAAGCCGATTATGTGTGCAGGCAATGAAATCTGTTAGTGATGACAGTGCGGGAGTTGGGCGCTGTCCGACCTGCCTTCCTTTCACTTCCCCAGATCCGAGTACATGACATATCAACGTCCTCAGTCCACTTGAAGACGACACCTTTCACTATGGATCATATGAGATGGTTAGTCAGCTGGCACGACGCAATACACCGTACCATGATCTCGAGATCAGCATCTAAGCAATCTTTGAAAATTACAAAAGATCCCCCTTCGTTGCTGGACACTTCTCCCGCCCAGAGGTGCCAGTTATCAAGACTGATATGGAGTTATCTGGCCACCGGACAGTCCTCATCGTCGGGGCCAGATTGTTCCTTGAGAAGGGCTACAAAGGTCGAGGCTCGGTCTGCAGCATGTCTCAGCAATTAAGTTGAAGAGCTTGTTCCCACAATATACCTCGCAACTATCGACGACCCTCGTGTAAGACACGACGAGGGCCGAGAGCTACCAACATGTCCTAGACGGTTCTATTACTGGTACGCATATTGGATTATCTTTAGGATAGCCGGGCACTAATTGCCAGCAGCAGGTCAAGGATGGTGCTGTGTGTAATTCTTTCGTTGTGAGAGAGGCTGAGAAGGTCTTGGAGATCAAGTTGAGATTTTTGTTTCAATGTATGAGATCCTGATCTAGGGTTTGTTGAAGGGGCAAAGATCTCGAAAGGGCCTTGAGGCCATCACTGTTGCCTGCTTTGCTGTACGATCTCCCCAGATCATAAGTGAGACCTGCTTTGCACTCACAAAACCGTTTGGCGATTCAAAGTTGAGTAGTTGAGGCTTGATGGCCTTGTCTCTGGAATCCATGGTCAGGATAGACAACATAGGATTTGGGATTTGAGTTCAGCCCCTTGCGAATTGGCAGCAAATTCTTGGTGTGCATGGGAGCGGATTATGCCAAATTTGACCTCAAAGATAATATGATAGTAGTAGTGTGCTGCAGCAGACCACGGATTACGGAAATTGAACCCGCCTAGAAAGGAAACGAGAAAAAGTAGTAGTAGCAAGAAAGAAAAGAAAAAGCATGGCTTCAAGAAGATCAATATATTACAATATCATACAATTCAATAAAACTGCGTAGGCCCAGAGCCACAGCCAGTTTATATCAACACCGCTGTTGTGAATAGGACAGACCCTGACACCAGCCCCAGCCACTGTGGCGCAGCCCAAGGATGCTTGGTGGGGCTTGGAGGGGTAGGTAGCGCAGCATGTACCCAAGTACCGGTGTCAGTGCTAAGGAAATCTTCTGCAGTGACTCAATCTTGAAAGAGGCAAGAGGCTACCTACCCACCAAACGCAACAGCAGCGTCCAAAGCATTGTCTGCCTCAAAACAATCACCCCCCCCCCCCCCAAACGATCCGCTTCCCCACCCGAATACCCTCATTTCGGAGTCCTCTTTCGCTGTTGCGATCGATCCCTGTGACGAACAGTCTGCACATTGAGTGCTGCTCCCTTCCCACCTTGGACTTAACACCTACTACCATCACGATGGCGGAGAATGGCGAGACGGATAAGTTGGGCAACGACATCAATGCGTCCGACAGCGAGGCCTCTGAGGTTGGGCTGTCGGACCACGAGGTTGAGGAGGAAAAGCCCCTGAAGCCTGCCATGAAGAAGGCTGCCCCCGCGCCCGTCGTGCAGCGCCCAACTCTGCCTCCCCAGACCGAGCCAAAGGACCTCGACGTGTCGACTCTGTCCCCTCTCACCCCCGAGATTATCGCTAGGCAGGCGACCATCAACATCGGCACCATCGGCCATGTAGCTCACGGAAAGTCGACGGTCGTGAAGGCCATCTCGGGCGTCCAGACCGTTCGTTTCAAGAACGAGTTGATAAGAAACATCACCATCAAGCTTGGTTACGCCAATGCCAAGATCTACCAGTGCGACAACAAGGAGTGCCCAAGACCTGGGTGCTTTCGGAGTTATAAGAGCGACAAGGAGGTCGACCCTCCTTGCGAGCGTGAGGGATGCGGTGGCACATACAGATTGTTGAGACACGTCTCGTAAGTAGTCTCGTCTGCGCGTGATTTGTAGTATGTTCGTGGATGTTTGTGGCTAACCCACGTCTTATTTCAGCTTCGTTGACTGCCCTGGTCACGACATTCTCATGAGCACCATGTTGTCAGGAGCTGCGGTCATGGACGCCGCGCTGCTGCTGGTCGCCGGAAACGAGACCTGCCCGCAGCCTCAGACCTCCGAGCACTTGGCTGCTATCGAGATCATGAAGCTGGACAAGATCATCATTCTGCAGAACAAGGTCGATCTGATGCGGGAAGAGGCCGCCCTGGCACACTATCAGTCCATTTTGAAGTTCATCCGTGGCACTGTCGCCGGCAAGTCGCCTGTGATCCCCATCTCTGCCCAGCTGAAGTTCAACATCGACGCTGTGAATGAGGCTATTGTCAACACCATCCCTGTGCCTCCCAGAGATTTCAGCATGGACCCTCAGATGATCGTCATTCGGTCTTTCGACGTCAACAAGCCCGGTGCGGAGATCGACGAGCTGAAGGGTGGTGTCGCCGGTGGCTCTATCCTGCACGGTGTGCTCAAGCTCGGCGACGAGATCGAGATCCGGCCAGGTATCGTCACTCGTGATGACAAGGGTGACTTGAAGTGCACGCCCATCTTTTCCCGCATTGTCTCCCTCAACTCTGAGTCGAACGACCTCAAGTACGCCGTCCCCGGTGGTCTCATTGGTGTCGGCACCCGCATCGACCCTACTCTCTGCCGTGCCGATCGTCTTGTCGGCTTCGTTCTCGGACTCAAGGGCCGCCTGCCTGAGATTTACTCTGAGATTGAGGTCAACTTCTACCTGCTCCGTCGTCTGCTCGGTGTCCGTACTGCGGACGGCAAGCAGGCCAAGGTCGAGAAGCTGGCCAAGAACGAGGTCATTATGGTCAACATTGGTTCTACCTCAGCAGGTGCAAAGGTGGCGGCTATCAAGAAGGATGCTGCGAAGCTTATCCTGACCAACCCCGCCTGCACAAACATTGGTGAAAAGGTTGCGCTGTCTCGACGTATCGAGAAGCACTGGCGTCTCATTGGCTGGGCTACGATTGCTGCCGGAAATACTCTGCAGCCCAGCACTAACTAAGTTGATGACTATTGTGAGAGCGGCGGTAGTGATCATGGAAGGGAGAGTGGGAATCTGTCTCTATTGTGGATACGCCCTGGCTGCCATGGCTATGGCTGTATCTAGAGAGCATTAGGAATACAAAAAAGTCAGTTCAGTCACAGTACAAAATTTCCGCTTCGCCGACGTGTTTCCGTGGTGAGCACATTTTGTGTGAGACAAGAGTGTTTGGTCGTGGTATAGGCCATTTCTGTCATGGATTCGGGTTCCTTGTAAAGTCAGGACATGTGCACACTAAGTTTCCTTCCACAACGTTGATTGAGAGGAAGGCAGAGTCCTCATGTTTATCCTACCGATGATGTACCACTACGTAGACGCGGGGAGGACGGTAGACTTTGGTGATCGGCTTCCAAGATTCATTGTGGTAAGCTAGCTAGCAATTTCTGTGCACGAGGCGCAAGGCTCTCCCAATATTCATGGTCCTTCCGAGCTTGGGGCCTCTTTACTTGTCAAAGGAGGCCCTCTGAGCGTCTACAATCTTATTTTCACTTCCTCGTCTTCCGCGCGTGTTTGACCAGGTTCTCGATGACACCCTCGAATGCCTCTCTTTCCTTGATCTGCTCATCGGTCCTATCCTTCCAGTACTCCAGCACCGCCATGGCGGTGCCCTCCAGCCCCTCCAGCCGGCCGATGTGCTCCTTCAGCTCACCGTCCGTCATGCCGTCTAGCGCCTCATCTGTGGTCGTGCACAGCTGCCGCGCGGCGACGAGGTCAAACTCGGGTGGGGGTGGCGGGCCTCTCGGTTTGGACGATACCGGCCCGTCCGGAACACTCTCCTGTCCCGGCTGCGGCGATTTCAACCGCGAGGGGGCGCGTGAGCCAGATCGTCGGGAGTCGGTGGACGTGCGCGGGGAGTTCATGGACGGGAGCACGAGTTTCTTCTGCTTTGATGCGGGCAGAATCTCGTCTAGGTCGACGGGCACGCCAAGGGAAACGAGGAAGAGCCGGCGGATGCGAGAACGGATCCAGTCCGGCGGCTGGAGGGGCGGTGGGGCGACCAGTTGAGACCAGAGCGAGGCGGAGCGCTGGGTGAGGAATATGGGATTGTCTTTTGAAGATACTGTGGGTGTTGGTGGCATGTCATCGCCTGCTGTGGTGGGGAAGAGAGCGTCGAGATAGGGCTCCGTCGTTCTGACAATATCGTCCGGGTCCAGCCCATCGAAGTCGGGTATTGACTAAAGTGGCATCAAGATCAGTATGGGAAATACAAGACCAAAGTCATACACGTAAAGGGACAACATACAAATGATAATGGCTGTATAGCCGGCGCTGATGATGGGACAGGGGCAGCGGGTGTCACGGGCTCTTGGAACCCATCGTCGAAGTCATCGAACTCCGCCTCCTCGTCACCCTCCTCGAAATCGTCGAAATCATCCCCAAACTCATCGTCACCATCATCAGCGCCTTCCACCTCCTTCTTGGCAATAGAGGATTTTCGTCTTGATCGAACAGATTGCGGCGAGGACAACGCGGGTGATATTGGCTCAACTACAATAGAGAATTCTCAGTACCTTGGGAGGTTAAAGAAGGGTCCTGCTACATTTTCGTACCAGTGCCTTCCTGCTCGACCGGCGACTTGATCAGTACATCCGGTGATGCGTCTCCCTTGTGTTTGACTTCAGGGTGGGACTGTGCCACTGAGTTGCCAGAGCTCTCCTCCACCACTGTCTTGGGGATTGGGTGACCGCCAGGAGTCGCGGGCGACTTGATGTCCCCTGCCTCATCCTCGCCGTCGGATGACTTCTTCTCTTCGGGCACAACAGCAATCTCGTCTGGCTCTGCGTCCTCCTCTCTCATCTTATACGCCTCGGTACCCGGAACTTCGCCATAGGACGGCTCATGGCTGACCTTCTCGACCCGGAGCTTAGGTATGGGAGAGGCGCTAGGGCTGCGAGGAACGGACTGTGCATCAGAGAAGTGATCATCAGATTCGGATGAATCTGCGGACAGCTACTGTCAGTACGATATCCCAAGGTCGGGTAAACCATAACTTCAGGGGTAATAGCAGCACTTACCCAGCTCATGGGCTCCGGGATCTTTGGTCCCGCTCCTCTCGGGAGGCGTCAGGCTGTCTCTCCTGCCAGACATGGCCGTTCGTTGGGGTTGACCGGAGAAGATCGAAGAACAGAGAGAAGGGTTGGGTCGAAACGGTTACTCGAGAAGGTTGTTGATGATATGGAATGAAGACACGTGCGATGGTAGAATGGAGAATAAGGAGGGGCAATGAAGAGAAGGTGGAGGGGTCTCAAGCCTGACAATTATACAGCGGAAGGGCACCCATGGAGACAGGTGTATATGCAGGCAGGGAGGTTGCTCATAAAAAGTTCCACGCGGAATGGACAAGCTGAGGAGTGTAACGCTCAGTGCTAGCCCAGTCGATCGACCTCTTCCAAGGAACCTTGACGTCTGGTAGATAGTCAATGGTCCGGTCCAGACCTCTCGTGGGAAGCAAGATAGTGGGGCGACACGGGCTGGGCGGTGATTTACCGGGGGTGTCCACCCCCCCCCTCCACCCGCACTGTCTACTGCTTGTGACCCTTCACTGGCCGAAGCACTGTGACTCGGCAGAAGTCAAAGCTGCAACTTTGCACAGCACCCCTGCCCCAAATTTCCAACTCCCGGCTGGCAACAACTAGCTTGGCGCGCTTTGGATCTGTTTTGTACGAGCTATCGCGACAGCAACTTCAGCTTGCTAAATGAACATTTGCAGGAAGCAGACAGTCTCATCTCCACACCAACTGACAAGAGGTGCAGTCTTTGACATTTCTGCTGAGACCTGTCATCTTTTCAATCACTGAGTTCTTGGGGAGAGCACTCCATCACCGGTGCCTCTTGTCTGGGAAAAGCCATTACTGTTTGTCTGTTCAGTCAGCGGGCACATTCCATTCTCTACTGAAGTCAGGCTTCACAGCGACTCAATCCTGACTTGGCCCTTCTCGACTTTCCTCCGACACGCCTTCCCACCTCTTGCCTCTTCGAACTGCAACCATCTCCTCCCAAGACAATCAACAAAGCAAGTCATCTCGCCCGCCATGTCATTCAACTTTGGCAGTGGCACTCCAGGCACTTCTGCGCCAGCCTCCTCCTCTACCGCTGCCCCTTCCTCCATTTTTGGTGGCGCTGCATCATCCTCAACTCCTGCCGGCAGCTTCAGCTTCGGAAATGCTACAAGCAACAATACACCTGCTGGTGGCCAGTCAAGTGGTGGAAGTATGTTCAGTGGTCTAGGGTCGACCAACAATAATGCCCAAAAGCCTGCAGGATCTCTGTTTGGTGGTGCTGGTGGAGCGAGTACACCCTCTTCTGGTGGTGGCCTGTTTGGAGGTGCTGGATCGACAGGTTCAACTCCCGCAGCAGGCGGTGGTGGTCTTTTTGGAGGGGCTAGCAAGCCGGCATCGTCCAACCTTTTTGGCAACAACTCTACCACCCCCACTACATCAACTCCAGCAGCCGGAGGCACGACGACCACTGGCACCGCTGGTGGAAATCTGTTTGGTGGAGCAAACAAGACTTCAACAAATCTCTTTGGTGCAAGTACAGGAAATGCTCCTGGCTCTGGTCCCGGAGCTGCTACGTCTGCCGCCCCTAGTGCAGGCTCTTTGTTCAGCTCGCCCACTCCTGCCGGCCAGGCCACGCCTGCGAAGCCTCTCTTCAACAACCTGGGCTCTACCACTCCAGCCGGCGCCCCTCCAGCCGACCCTTCGAAGTCTTCAGCTGCACTCTTTGGTCAATCAGCGCCAGCACCCGGTCAGACTTCGCAGGCGCCTGCTTCCAAGTCCCTGTTCGGAGGGACAGACAAGCCGAGCACCGGTCTTTTTGGTGCTGGATCGAACACGACCCCATCCTCGCAGCCTGCCGCAGGCGGCTCGGCGTCAAACCTCTTTGGCGGTGCTTCTGCATCGGCCTCAGCAGCAGCTCAGAAGCCTGCCGGCAGCCTGTTCGGAGCTTCCACCGGTGGTACTTCGTCCAGTTCAAATCTCTTCGGCGGCACCGCATCGGCTGCCAAGCCTGCAGAGCCAACAGCCAGTACAAGCACACCACCCCTCTTTGGTACTAAGCCCGCTGCGACGATGGCGCCGGCCACCAGCACGGCGGCGAGCACGGCCCCGTCCTCCTCAACTCTGTTTCCTACACTGGGCTCCACCCCGGCCAGCGGTAGCTCTGCCCCAGCCTCAAAGCCCTCCCTGTTCTCAGCTACCACGCCTGCGGCTGCAGCTTCATCTGCACCCGCTACCAGTGCTCCTACCAGCACGGCTGCCGCGCCAAGTTTGTTCGGCGCCAAGCCAGCCACGTCGACCACACCAGCAACGACATCTGCCACTGCGCCGTCTACTCTGTTCAGCGGAGCAGCAACCTCTGCGCCGGCGTCCACGTCCACAGCTGCACCTGCGGGTACCACCACTACCTCTGGCACTCCCGGTGCTACATCGACGGCGGCCACTGGCCTCGGCAGCACTACCAACGCAGCAGTCGATGCATCAAAGGCAGCCATGGGCAACTCGACTGCCGGACCGCCTGCCTCGCTGCCGCGGCTGAAGAACAAGACGATGGATGAGATCATCACCCGATGGGCTTCTGACCTCCAGAAGTACCAAAAGGAGTTCAAGGGCCAGGCCGAGAAGGTTGCGAAGTGGGATCGTCTTCTGATAGAGAATGGCGAAAAGATCCAGAAGCTATTCCTGAGTACTCACGAGGCAGAGAAAGCCACCAATGAGATTGACCGGCAGCTGCAATCTGTTGAGAGCCACCAGAGCGAGCTCGAAGCCTGGCTTGACCAGTACGAAAAGCAGGTGGACGAGCAGTTCGAGAAGCAGGTCGGCTCCAGCGATCAGCTTGGCGGACCGGACCAGGAGCGCGAGCGGACCTACAAGCTGGCCGAAAACGTGACCGATCGGTTGGAGGATATGGGCAAGGACCTGGGCAAGATGATCTCTGAGATCAACGACATCTCGGGCTCGCTCAACAAGGGCAACAAGCCTGACGATCCGGTAAGTAGCCCTCATCTGAAGTGACTCAATTTTTTCTCTTCGTATGGAATGAGTACTGATCAAAGTGTCGAAACAGCTCAGCCAGGTTGTCCGTGTCCTGAACGGGCATCTCCACCAGCTCAAGTGGATCGACGACAATGCTGCGGCGTTGGAGGCTAAAGTCAAGGCTGCGCAGAAGGCGACCAACAATATGGGCACCAACTACGGTAACCAGGCGAATGATGCAGTGGCTGGCTTTGGCCGATCGTATCTGGGCCGGCGGTAAGGTGATGTTCTGAACCCTAGAGGCGGGAATCTTCAAGGAGATACATCTGTCCATAGCCCCAAAAAATGGAAGAGGGGGGGGGGGGGGCTCTCTCGCCGGGAATGCGCACATCCCTGGTTTCCTATCTATTGACGAGCGAGGAGTCCGACCTTCACGAAGCAGAGCAATCTGCCTAACAGGCCGTTCATAACCATGGGTGTTTCGAGAGTCATGAATCATTAGGCCACGAGGAGATAATACCATCGTCCAGGAGGACATTTTTTACCAGCACGGCAGGGTCCTGTGTTATATGATCATGGAACCCAAGATAAAGGAGAGGCATGACGGAGCAAGAAACGTTGAGCACGAATACTCCATAGTCTTGAGCCCCTTCTTGGGGGAGATCGTCCATAGAAGTGCAGAGCAGTGTGCGACGCACTTTACCAGAACCACAGAATTGATGCGATTTTATGTACAATTGTGCGATTTATGAGGTACGCAGGAGACGAGATTCGATCATAATGAGAACTAATTGGCAGTATGTGTGCCCATGTCCCCAGCAGTCCCATGAACGACCCCATCGTTATAGCCACAGTTTCGCCCTCGTTGATTGTCGCGCAAACCTTCTCCCAATCAAGATAGCTTCCAGTCCTACACGGTATGGACGTGGTTCCCGGGTACCCATAAACATACGTCGTCGCTTTAGTTGTGCTCGCCGCCCTGGTCCTTAGTGATCTCGTTACTGCGGAAATGGCCCAGTCAGTCTCGCGCTCACGAAGACCCAGCCAGCCAGCCGGGTAAAGAAGAAGGAAGAGGGAAGGGGGGGGGGGGGAGATAACAAGGCCGGGGAGAAGGTATGGTGGATTTGCACGTACATGTGGGCCTCGAGCTGCTTCAGGTGAGCCTGCTGCTCAGCCAGCTTCTTCTTGAGCTCCAGGAGCTTCTCCTTCTCGCGCTGGCGGATTGCGTAGTCCTCGTTGGCCTTCTCGCGCTTCTGGAAGGCATCACTGTTTATTCCGGGAGCGAGGGTGTTAGCAGCATGACCTTCTCCATGTTTCGTGGTCGAGGCCGGCCGGATCACTCCGCGCCCTCTTGTCTTTTTTCCCTTCCCAAGGGAGAACAAGAAAAGAAGACAAAGAGCAGTTTGTAACCACTCTCGCGCCTGCAGACAGCCCAGCCCGGCCAGGCTTTTTGACCACCGTGCCGAATACTCGAGACCCGGAACGCCGGGGGAAGAACGGCGCGGAAGCCCCGGGTAGCTCCATAGCTGAGAGCGCCCAATGGCCCTGGTGGAGGAGAGGGTAGGAGAGCTGGAACAGGGGATGGAAGACTTACGCCTGGCCCAGACCCTTGGGGGGCGCACCGGTGTCGCCTGCGGCCATGACACGGGCGGACACGGAGAATGCTCGCGACGAGGAGACGGCCGGGCGGGTGAGGTTGGTGAGGGATTGACGGAGCATTTTGGATGGTATGCGAAAATCAAGTCCAGAGAAGGAAGAGAGAGAAGGAAAAAAGGTTGGATAGCGTCTAGACTATGGACGTCCTGTTAGCTGGCACAGGCCGTGGGAAGTGAGGAGTTGGTAGGTATGACGTGGGGGTTCATACGCAGCTTTCAAACCTCAATTGGCACCTGATGTGGGAATGTGGTGTGAGACCTTACAAAGCTTGTCCGAGCTCCAAACGGGTGGAGGGAAGGAGGGATAGGTGCGGCAGTGGACCAATGACGGAATATCTCGGCAGCCTTGAAAGGCAGAGAGGGTAGATTGGTGCCCCATCCGTCAGGCCCTGTGGGAAGCGGCACGGCGAGTCTGGCACGTCCGGGACTTGTTTGGGTGGTAACAGGGGCCCAAGATGGGGTCTCGAGATGGGGCAGCCAATCATTCTACATGAATACCTGGAAGAAGAGACGGGCTTCAGGGGAATTGAGGTCATGCCTCTGGCCCTGTATCTCTCTCTTTCTTACAATGGGAGGACATGGCTGTAACCCTTTCTCCATGATCATCGTCAGCTCAAGGGTTCTCAGCGTATGGATGTGTACCCATCTCCAGGGCTGTGCCCCCCATCTGTTGGATTCCATCTCTGAAGGGAGAGAGGTTAAGCCGGGACGGGTGTACGATACACCACCGACTTCATCAAGCCGCCCCTCTACCGCTCATAGGTAGACCAATCAATGAAAGAAAAGAAGAGAAGAGGAAAAGAATAAAAAGGAAGGAAGCAAAGTCATAGGATCAACATGTGAAGTTCTGTTGCGGTCGGTTAACGGCAGAAAACAAGGCGGGCTGGTCCCACAGATGCTGCTGGAATAGCACTTTTGGCCGGCTAACATTGGTGGTTCGTGCAGGGCAGTGCAGACAGCCAAAATGGCTAGCCGAGCCGCTTTTCAGATGGGGCAACAGAGAACAAGCGCCTTGCTTGCGAGGACCCTTTGCAGGAACCCATAGTAAGCTCAGGCAAATGGGCAACTAAAAGGCTGCATGAATGTGAACAGGAAACATGGTGTGATGCGCCTAAATCACCTTTGAAGCAGACGGGTGCCCCTTAGCCTTGGGGCCGGGTGGATAGCAGGGCAGATCTGTTCTTCCGCCTCTGCAATCTATCCTAGAAAAGAAGGAATAGTATAAACTTCAATCAAGATTACAAGCAGGAAGTTTATTTTACCCTTGCAAGGCATGATTGACCATCACATGCGGACCGCTGAGGACTCGCATGGGCTGCTGCTCAGGCGCGTATATCTTTTTTTGGAGTGTAGGAGGGGTGGGCACCACTGGCTGGTGCTGGTTTGTGGTGCATGAGATCACAGCAAGCCTTTCCGCCGCCAATTTCCTGCACCACCCTGTCTCTGCCCGCGTGCCACTAGGCACTTAGGTACCCTTTCCCATCCGCCTGCCTTGGACACACCCCTCGCTGAATCCCCCCCCCCCAAACAACCTCGACACTCCACTTTCTAACGTGCGATACTTTTCTTTCCTCAAAACCACAACAAACGCAATTTACATTGTGATCTTCTTCACTTCACAGCACGCAGCCTTTTCACATTAAACAAACCAGTTCAACATTCGTCTTTCTTGTCAATCAGGTCAGTCTAGCCCATCATTAACCGCGAACCCTCCCTCCCTAGAGCACCTGAAGCCCCCCACTCAGCTTGTCGCAATATGAGAGATACCTTGATGTACTGCTGCTGCTGCTGCTGCGACCGTCGTCATCATGATCCTCATCGACAATTCCCTAGCCCTGTTCCCTTCAACACACGTTGAGTTCTCTTCAGACTATGCGCAAGGCTACTCCAGTTCACACATCACCCACATGTTGGGTGACCAGGCTGCCTCAGCCTGAGGCCGGCACCTGGGATCACTGTGCTCGCCCACGCGCGAACCCCACTGTTGGGCGGGGAGCCTCCTTTTAGTCATGAAGTCAGCGAGGCGCAACAACACTGCAGCCTCCATCCCTTCGATAACGTGTTCAAGCCATTGATCCCATCCCGTCACCATCACTGATCCCTCCACCACCGTTTACCGTTTCACCAGCGTACATCTCTTTTCGCGAGCTCGCTCCCTGCATCCTACTTTCTCCCTTCGCCTTGAGCTAATCCAATCCGCCCGCCCCCCTTTACTAGACTTCCAATCCGTCAAAATGGGTCACGAAGACGCCGTCTACCTGGCCAAGCTCGCTGAGCAGGCCGAGCGCTACGAAGGTACGTGCCTGCAATCCTATCGCGACTCGAGGACGGCCGCGCTGATATTTGTTTGTTTTGTTTCTCCCGCATACAGAGATGGTGGAGAACATGAAGATTGTCGCCTCCGAGGACCGTGACCTGACCGTCGAGGAGCGCAACCTCCTGTCCGTCGCCTACAAGAACGTCATCGGTGCCCGCCGTGCCTCTTGGCGCATTGTCACCTCGATCGAGCAGAAGGAGGAGTCCAAGGGCAACAGCACCCAGGTCGGCCTGATCAAGGAGTACCGTCAGAAGATCGAGGCCGAGCTTGCCAAGATCTGCGAGGACATCCTCGAGGTTCTCGACCAGCACCTGATCCCCTCCGCCAAGACCGGCGAGTCCAAGGTCTTCTACCACAAGATGTAAGATAGCTCCGCGCGAGAACGATGACACATAACGGAGGACACGAACACTGACCACCCCTGGTTAACAGGAAGGGTGACTACCACCGCTACCTGGCCGAGTTCGCCATCGGCGACAAGCGCAAGGACTCGGCCGACAAATCCCTCGACGCCTACAAGGCCGCCACCGAGGTTGCCCAGACCGAGCTGCCTCCTACTCACCCCATCCGCCTGGGTCTCGCCCTGAACTTCTCTGTCTTCTACTACGAGATCCTGAACGCTCCTGACCAGGCATGCCACCTTGCCAAGCAGGCATTCGACGATGCTATTGCTGGTGAGTTTTGGGTTCTTGACGGGTCCCTTGATATAGCGCTTTTGTGTATGGAGACTGGATACTGACAGGATTTCCACCTGCAGAACTCGATACCCTCTCGGAGGAGAGCTACAAGGACTCTACCCTCATCATGCAGCTCCTGCGTGACAACCTGGTGCGTGACCACTGACCATATCCCCGTCCATGTACGAAGTAGCGTCTTCTAACAGATTCTTCCCCAGACTCTCTGGACCTCGTCTGATGCTGAGGCTGCTCCTGCATCGAATGCTGCCGAGGCTAGCTCTACTACCGCCACCGCGGGTGCTGAGGAGAAGGCTGCAGAGCCTGCTGCTGAGGAGCCCAAGGCCGAGTAAGGCGATGCAGTTTCCGCTTCTTCTGTCGTGACCGGACTGGTTTACAATGGTTGATCCCCCCGGGAGGAGTCATCGGAGTGCGGTTTCGGAGAAATCAATAGCAATGAGGCATGGGTTACTCGAGCAAATACAAAGACGGACGGACGATTTTCAGATCATCCACAACAGGGCTAAAAGGCATTTTGGAGTTGTTTCTCTACAAATTGCTCTAATTTAGACTCTAATGAGGAGGGGACTGGTCATCGTCTGGACAATAAACTGAACTACTGACTTTACTCGGATTTCCATGTTTATGGTTCTGTTTTCTGTTCTTTATTTCATTTTTTTCATGACTTCTCTCATGCCACTCAGACTACTACTTTAGGCAGTCTCAGTTAGTTCATGGGGAAATGGGTATCTCTTATGTGTGTGCAATCTTGATCTCCGCCGTAATGCCTTTTGAGAGAACGGCTGTGGATACACACTCTCGCCTTGGACTCTTACACCGTCACCACCTGGCCTCGGTTTTGAAGTAGTACCATCCAGTATAAGATGCATGACCTCGCTGTAATCTATGCTCTCTCCCACGCTCTCTGGCCGGCAGCATCCCCCGTTACCCTGGCCCGTCCTGGCCGTCCTCCCCTTCCTCAACAACAGCAAAGCAAACCCTCAGCCAGAGGCTACAATCCTGACATCCCACAATCAATTCGCCCAGATCCCCCGCCTCCTCCAGATCAGCCTCCCCAAACAGGTAGCCCCGCTCGTTGCCACACCTGCACGGCCTGAACCACTCCACGTCCCCGGTGCGCTCCGAGGTGGTGGAGCTGAGGTCGTCGAGGTCGATGGTCTCGATGCCCGTCTGGAAGGTCGACCGGGACTGGTGGCTCCTGCTGGCTGCGGTCCTGAGGTGGGCGTCGTACTTGGACCGGAGCGCTGGTGAGGAGAGGATTGCGTAGGCGGTGGTGATCTGGTCGACCGTGTAGGTTGGCTGGTGCTGGTGGGGTGAAGACGCCAGGGATGGATTGGCGGGTTTCTTGGTGCTCCGTGCGGCTGCTGGGGCCTTGTCCGGGTGGTGCTGTAGGAGGGCCCGGTGGTAGGCTTGTTTGATTACGGGGAGGACCTGTTCGCGGGACGAGTCATCCAGGACGGTCTGGGGGAGAGACAGGACCTCATAATGCGTTGGCTCTGTCGTCATATTTGCTGGAGATGATGGTGATGGTGGCAGCACATGGTGTTGCGTTGTGTGGTGTCGGCGGCGGCAGTGTTGGTGATGGTAGGGGAAGCCGGGCAGGTTTGAACATGGAGAATTTTCTACGGCAATGTACACAAGGGCGGCCGGTGAGTTGGGTACTTGATGAGTCACGTGCTAGTCTGGTCTTTGTGAGAGAGGACCATCGAGTACATACAAACCGTTCTAATCAGATAGCCTCCATGTTGAAAGAGATGATCTGAGCAAAGGTGCGGGACGAGGTGGTGGCTGTTGAGTAAGACACGCTTTATGGGTGGTGGACGCATAACACTGCGGTACATAAGATGGCCCTGATGGCTCCGGTAGCTAACGCGCAGTACCTACGAGCTTCCATACTCGCCTTGGCAAGCTTCCGGACGGCTATGTCTCCTAGAATTCGGGTTTGATACCCATTGTAAAGGGACTTCATAACGACATATAGTTGTTAATGTATTGATTTCGATTTTTGTATACAGATTTGTACAGATAGAAGTAGCCCATCGTGATGGTGTAGCGGCTTATTTGGGCCACCTGGTCCAGTTCTTCCGACCAACCTGTAAAGGTGATTAGCACAGCGCACAACCGCACAGAATGATACACTTGGACTTACCGCTTTCCATTCTCTGATGAGCGCTGGCATCTTGAGCATAGCCTCTCTCCTCTTGTCCATCCTGTACAATCACACACGGTCAGCACAAGCCCGGCACGTAACCCTCTCTCCCACAAGCAACAATCTCAAAGAAAGCAACATACTTGGCAGCCAACTGTCTCTCGTGGATATGTCCCTTGACCTTCTGTCCCACACCCGTTCCCTTGCCCCTCCAGCCGTACTCGACCCTCTTGGCCAGCCTAGCCTCGGTCATCTTGCTCGTCTGCGGCAGAAGCTCCTCGACACCGTGCTCGCGTGCCATCTTGACCAGGTTCGCCTGCCGTCGCAGCGAGTACACAGGGTTGTGGAGGAGTCCTGTCGCCGGATGCCTCTGTGACTGGAACGGATTCGCCGTGTCGAGCTGATAACCCGTCTGCGGCCGGCCCCTCTGGCGAGGATGCAGCATGGCATCCGACGGGTAGCGGGCCAGGAAACGCTGGAGCGGAGCCGGGAGCGTCTTGGCCAGGGAAATGTACTTCTCCCTTAAAGGATTCGCTAGGGAGGCCATCTTGAAGGTGAGTGTGCCGGCCTCCTACCTCTTTGGCAATTGTCTGGCAAGGTCGTGGGGGAGGGTGGAAGAGGCGGGGGCTTTTTTGGACCGAGATGGGTCGTGATTACTGTGATGGCGGCTCTCAAAATTCGAAGGGCAAGAATAGCAATTGGCGGCAGGCAACGATAGGCGCACGGACCAAAAGCCGATAAGAAACCTGGCGACTGCGTGCATGTACTCTGCCTGGGATTACTATGGTACATAGATACTTACTTCATAGTCGCTTCGAGTCGATAAAGTACTTCCATCACCATCCTCAGATTTCCAGCTCCGCTTGTTCTCCAACAACACTTTCCACAACCAAATACCGCCTGATCATCTTTACCTTCAAGGAGTCTCCTTCAGACGCATTTCGCTTGCCGGAAGATCAAAAGGCCCCCTCTCCCCTCAAAACGAGTCCTTCCCACCTACGAACACTCGCCATGAATGGTACCACCAAAAAGAGACCTCTGGATCTAGAGGAACTGATCCGGAAGAAGAAGGAGGCTGATGCGGCGGCGGCAAAACCCAAGTTTTTAACCAAAGCGATGAGGGAGAAGCTGGCGGCACAGAAAGCAGCAGAAGACAAGGCCAAAGATGAAGAGCAGGAGCGCAAGAGACGACAAGATCTGGAGAGAGCCAACAGAGACTTCACTTCTCGACTATATCAAAGAGATGCCCCGTCCAGGTCCAGCATACCGACAGGCCCGAAGGCTATGCGCCAAAACGGTGCACCGAACGGTGCCCAGGTGAACGGAGACAGGGGCGGCAGGGAAGGTGGCTCGAAGAAGAGCGTCAACGGCAACGGGAAGAGAAACTTGGAGGATGACGAGGCCGAGCTCCTCAAGCAGCGGTACCTGGGACCAGAAGTCAACAAGAGCACATTCTCGGCGCAGAAGAAGAGGCGGCGGACGACAGAGAAGAAGTTCAACTTCGACTGGGATGCGTCTGAAGACACAAGCAAAGATTACGACCCTATATATGCCCAGCAGGCATCTGCAATCATCGGTGCAGGCCGGCTGGCTGGCTTCGGCGAGGAGGCGGAAGAGGAGGCAGCTAAGCGGTATGCTCGTGGTATGGAGGTGCGGGACCCGGTCAACGGGAGGCAGCGGGCCAGGGAGTACCTGGAGCAATTCTATCGTGGGCAAGAAGCACGAGCCAAGAGGAATACTCTTGGGAAGCACTGGTCCGACAAGAGCCTCGAGGAGATGCGTGAAAGGGACTGGCGAATCTTCAAAGAGGACTTTGGAATTGCGACAAAGGGTGGCTTGATACCGAATCCCATGCGGAACTGGGATGAGTCCAACCTTCCCGCGCGATTGATGGACGTGGTACATTCAGTGGGCTACAATGAGCCGACACCGATTCAGAGAGCCGCCATCCCCATTGCCCTGCAAGCGCGTGACCTGATCGGTGTGGCCGTCACAGGTTCCGGAAAGACAGCGGCATTCCTCCTGCCGCTATTGGTGTACATCTCTGGCCTACCAATGTTGGATGAGTACAACAAGGCAGATGGTCCGTACGCTCTGATCCTGGCGCCAACACGTGAACTGGCCCAGCAGATTGAGAGCGAGGCGAAGAAGTTTGCGACACCACTGGGCTTTACTTGCGTTAGTATCGTCGGTGGTCATTCTCTTGAAGAGCAAGCTTTCAACCTCAGAAACGGTGCCGAAATCATCGTGGCGACTCCAGGACGTCTCGTTGACTGTATCGAGCGGCGTCTCTTGGTCCTGCAGCAGTGCTGCTATATCATTATGGATGAAGCAGATCGGATGATCGACCTCGGTTTCGAGGATTCCCTGAACAAAATTCTCGAAGCTCTTCCCGTTTCAAACGAGAAGCCGGACACGGAGGAAGCAGAGAATGCTCAGCTTATGAGCAAATATCTGGGCAGCAAAGACCGGTACAGACAGACAATGATGTACACGGCCACGATGCCGCCTCTGGTCGAGAAGATCGCCAAGAAATATTTACGGCGACCGGCTATTGTGACGATTGGAAACGCAGGCGAGGCCGTCGACACGGTTGAGCAGCGAGTCGAGCTCATCAACGGGGAGGACAAGCGCAAGAAGCGGTTGGCGGAAATTCTCCAGTCGAACCAGTACGCGCCGCCCATCATCGTTTTTGTCAATATCAAGCGGAACTGCGACACTGTGGCGCGCGACATCAAGCGGCTCGGGTTCAGCGTCGTCACGCTTCATGGCAGCAAAGACCAGAAGCAGAGAGAGGCCGCACTCGCATCCCTGCGCAGCGGCGAGACAGATATTTTGGTGGCTACAGATCTTGCCGGTCGTGGTATCGATGTCCCCGACGTGTCGCTTGTCATCAACTTCAACATGGCGCACAGCATCGAGTCGTATACCCACCGTGTCGGTCGTACGGGTCGTGCCGGCAAGAGCGGTGTGGCTATTACTTTCTTGGGCAGCGAGGACGCGGATGTCATGTATGACCTGAAGCAGATGATTGCCAAGTCGAGCATCTCGAAGGTGCCGGAGGAACTTAGAAGGCATGAAGCGGCGCAGTCCAAGCCTGTCAAGGGGAGGAAGACGATAACGAATTAGGAGTCGCTTGGCTCACATTCACCAGATTGTCCCACAGCAGGAAGCATAGCGAATAATAAGAATAAAATTCAGAAATTGCTCACAAAGTTAAGCGGAGAACGATGCGGGATCGAATAGAACCCCGTAGGATCGATGAAATAGCAGCACTTCATTTGCTCATATCCAGTGAGAAACAACATGGTATCTAGGGATATTCCTTTACCCTCGTATTGTCCTTTCCTTTTACTCTCTTTCCTTTTCTTCCTTCCCTCCTGCACCAAAGATAAATCATCACCACCGCCACTCTATTTCTTCAAGAGACGTAGAGGCATTGGCCTGTGCTCAAAGGGCTCATCGTATGCTATCTACATAATTAGCTGCCCTGCAATAAGAGACTGGACTCTCTTGCGACCATGTCAGACCCCGCAGGCTTCGGATCTGATAACTTTAAAGATTTTGCTTTATCAGATCCGAAATTTTTCCTGCACTAGCGAGAGGGGCCCCCCTTCAAATCCACATAGCTCCGACCCCCAAGCATCATGATCAAGCTGTTGACAGGCGGCTTGGCCCTTCTTTTCTCGGATTTATGTGTCGTAACAACCTGTGCCCCGCCTGGTTCTCGGTTGTAATCTCGAGCGGCATTCATTAGCGACGGCCGGTGACCCGCGCCAAGCACTCTGGACCTTGTCAACTGGCGCGGCCTGTGATCAGAACTACCCCTCCTAACCTGTCTTTCATTACAACTCCCCAAAACGCCTCGGTCGCCCACAATTCTTACACCGTCTCGATTCCTCTTTTTTGACTTTATTTCGCACCCTCATATAAGCCTTCTCCCTGATCTAAAGCGCATGCGGCAAGCAGGGCTGGGTGCTATCACCCAGCTCCTAAAAGCTCTGCCTCCCTTGGTCATAAACGGCCTTTGAGTTTCTTCCCTGCGGCCTCCAGGTGCGCATCCGCGCAACCACTTTACCGGACCTGTAATTTGACTCAGCGTCCACTGGAAAAGCTATTGCTACTGTCCCCTCGTCCAGCAGACTGTGCCCTCTCTTATCTTGCCTGTTGGCTTAGAGCCATCACATTGCCAGTCTTGCGACAGGCTTGCGACGTCACTTTTCACAATGGCCTCATTGTCTTCAGACATAGCCATTAGCACATCCCACCCAACGTCTCTGGAGGGGTCTCTGGATGTGAGACGGCGAACTGCAGTCATGGAGTCCCTCGAGGACATTCTCTACGGTTCCGTGCGTCGCTGCCCAACCCCCACCCTCTCCCAATTTGGACAGCTCCGCTAACCACTCCAGCGCGCAGATCGCCGGCATCGTCGGCAAGTACATCGAGTACCCCTTCGACACAGTCAAGGTCCGGCTCCAGTCACAACCTGACCATCTTCCCTTGCAATACAAAGGACCACTGGACTGCTTCCGCCAGTCCATACGAGCCGACGGCTTCCTGGGCCTATACCGCGGCATCAGCGCACCCCTCGTGGGCGCCGCCCTGGAGAACAGCAGTCTGTTCTTCTTTGAGCGCATAGGCAGGGAGACACTCTTCAAGTTCCGGTTCTGCGCCCGCGACCAGCCGATGCCCCTGCCTGCACTGTGGTTCACGGGCGCCTTCTCGGGCTTGTTCACGTCGTTTGTGCTCACGCCCGTCGAACTCGTCAAGTGCAAGATTCAGGTGCCCGAGGAGGTGGCTGTTGGTGCTGCCAGGAAGGCACCGCTCAAGCCGTTGGCAGTGATCAAGGACATCTTCCGGCACGATGGCCTCAGGGGTTTCTGGCACGGGCAGATGGGCACGCTGATCAGAGAGGCTGGCGGATGCGCGGCGTGGTTCGGGTCCAAGGAGACGACGTCCAAGTTCTTCATGCAGCGCAATCTGAACAAGGCAAAGTCACAGGCCGAGAGAGATGTGATCTCGGCAAGCCCTCTGCCGTTGTGGCAGCAGGCCGTGGCGGGCGCGTCCGCGGGCGTGTCATACAATTTCTTGTTCTTCCCTGCAGACACAATCAAGTCACGGATGCAGACGAGCCCGCTTGGAGGAGCGTTGGCGAAGAAGACGTTTGTCGGGGAGGCGGTGGCGCTGTGGAGACAGGCCGGCCTCAAGGGGTTCTACAGAGGTTGCGGCATCACCTGCCTGCGGTCCGCGCCCAGCTCGGCTTTCATTTTTATGGTTTATGATGGGCTTAAGAAGTATGTGCCGCTTTCATAACTGGGATACCCTGATACATTATCGTCATCATTACGGATTTAGATCTAGACAGCTCGGAAGGCAGAGAGAGGGAAAGAAGGTGACTGGAATAGGCATGAGACATGATCTGATTTGGACGAGAGGAATACGAATGCACATATATGGGACGGGGTTATAGAAGGAAGGACGCATAGAGGAATGAATTACTGCCGATCGATACAAGTGGACTTAGACAAAAAGATATACTGGCATGTCATCGGCACTCGGTTCTGGATTATTTAGAGAGAAAAAGGTGTACTCTCACTATCTAGGCTAGATTGTGAATGGGGAACTGCTCGTCATTCTTGTACAAGCTTTGTAAGTTCTGCATAAACCAATAACCCTATGAATCCATTATCGTCCGAAATCATCATCCTCAAAACCCTATGAAGATAGTGAGTGTCCTGCATTCAGAGTACCACATTTGAACCACTCCTGCTGTCGATCAATCACCAGCAAAAACAAGAAAGCAAAGCCAGAGGTACGCAACTTGACATCGTATTGAAACTCACACGCGGAAGACACTGATCGATACAATCTGGTGATGATGTTCAGCTCCATCAGGCTAACTGGAGAATCACTCAGCCTTGCTCCTCAGGTCCTTGCCCTTGAAATCCCACTCATTCAAGTATCCCGCGCCGACACAGAGATACGTCGCGAAGCTCAACCACCCAAGATATGGCAGCATCAGATACGAGGCCGTCCTGTCGATGCCCCACCACAACTTGGTGAGATAGACGTTCACACCCAGCAGAGTGACGATGTCGGCGGTGGCCGCAACGGGCCGCTTGAGGCCAAAGAATAGCGGCATCCAGGCCATGTTCAGGCCTAGCTGGATGGTGTATAGAGTCGCCGAGTGCTTGGTGGTGCGGATCAGCTCAGGAGTGGATGTGACGGCGTTCAGACCGGCGGTGATGGCGCGGTGCGAGGCGTAGCCCATGAGGCCGTACAGGACCGTCCATGCCGGCCCAAAGACCCAGGGCGGAGGATGCAGAGGTGGCTGTTTGATAGAGGTCGGCTCATTGGTCGCTCCCTTCTTGGCTATGAGTTGGTCAGTACATCGTAATTATTTTTCTTGGGAAGACCAAAAAAAAATTTTTATACTAAGATTACAAAGAACTTACGTCTGGTACTATAGCCTATGGCCGCTCCGAGACCGACGGGAAGCAGGATAGACGCTGCCGAATTGGCAAAGACGCCGTACGGGATTGTGAGCGCAGGTAGGAAGGTCGTCATCTCGATGCGCTCAGTGATTCCTTGCAAAATAATCTCAAAGTTTGTTTCTTTCTTCTTTTTTCTACGATGTAGAAGCTTTCAGGCTGCTCAAGGTTGGTGCTGTGGATGAGGAGAGGAGAAGTCAGGCAATTTTATATGACGACACGCTTGATACAAAACACATGTGATGCCAGAGGCCTCTACTGGCGTGATTGTAGCTGCCGAAAGTCTCGTGTTTTTTCAGACGGCAATCAACGTGCTCTGCACGTCATCAGCTCCGAAGATCTGATACATGGATTATGCGGAACCATGCTTATTATTCTTTCCCGATTTGAATTATTGGTTTCGTTCACCAAGAACAGTAAAGAGCCAACACAGAAACGGTTCTTTGTTGCGACCCCTGTCAGTTCATTGCTTACGTAAGTAGATCTCAAAGCGCCAGCCGTGCGTTCCCCACCAGATTTCGATACCTTCTTCCCCTGTGCCGCGGCGCGCAGTCCACCTCTTTGCATTCCAACCACCTCTCCTCATCCTCAAACCAGCTCCGCCTGAGTGGGATACCGCCAGTCTGGCGACCACATCATCACATCAACTTGCACATTCGATGGAGCAGTTGTGTCTTCTCTAATTGTTCGTTCTACCTTTCCCGTTGAGTTTTGTAATCGTCTCGGACGTCCTTTCTCCTCTCGCTTTCCCCCCTTCTCTCTCTCAAAACCGTCGACCAGACGTCTCTACCGACACCCATTGTCGCGTTATCATTTGTTCCTGTGTCATCGCCTCCCTCCTCAGCCTCACGAGCACCTTTTTCCGTTCTCTTATCACCTTCATCGTTTGCTATAGACGGAATCTGTGTTGCTACTCTCAATTGCTACGCCCTCCTCCTGCCACCTCAGACCGCTCTCATCCTTCTTTTTTCTTTCTTTTTTCTTTCCAAATTGCTCAGCTCAGAATGTTTTCTCTAACGGCAATCATGTCGCCAAACATTAGGCTCTTATTCTTTCAGTATCCGTGCCCACAAGCGCATGATATAACCTGAGCAGAAACTACCTGCGACACTGCCAGTCGTACCTGTCCTTGCCCCAGTTCTTCCTCTCAACCAACGTTCAAGCCGAAACAGATCGAACAGTCGTCATGGACTACTACAGGGACACAGCACGCTCGCCTGTTGAAAGGGGTTGGGGTCGTGAGGAACCCAGAGGCAAGATGGAGAGAGATGATCCTTTCTACAGAGGCAGGTCTCCCGGTGCGTTCTTATTACTCAGTTGCCCTCTGGCCTTGACTCCTTGACCACAGTGTTCGGCTCGGAGTTTTCCGAGACATCCTTCCCGAAGCTTGATACAGCTTCTTCTCAATCGTCGTGTGCAGTTGCCTGTATTTACTTATACTTACAATGATTCTATAGGGCATGAACGACGACGCAACCGCTCTCGATCGCCCATACAAGTCGATCGCTACGAGCCTAGGCGTGCTAGAGATGACTACGCCCCTCGGGAGAGAGGCGATCGTGGAGACAGGGACGACAGGCGTGGCCGCATCCCCTCGCCTCCGGCTAATATTGATCGATATGTCCCCGGACAGCAGGATGCTGCTCCACCGCCGCAGCCTCTGACGAACCCCATCCCTCACCCAATGACGCTCAACTATCAGGTTGGGTTCTCTTATTTCGGCGAATGGTGGAGAGCCAACGAGAGGATTAAGGAAGAGAAGGAACGCCAGCGCACTGGTCGTCGACGGGAGCCTGAGCGCCCCCGTGCTCCTCGTGAGGTGCAGGAGGAGCGAGAAAAGGAGAAGGTCAAGATCCAGGCCTCGTACGACTCATACAAGGAGGAGCTGCAGGCCAAGATGGCCAAGACATTTGTCTCCCAGCATAAAGAGGAACAGTGGTTCCGCGAGCGCTATGTTCCAGACGTTCGAGATCCAATCCGCGCGCAGCTTAATGAGTTTCGCCGTGGCCAGTACACCCAGTGGGAGGAAGACCTTGAGTCCGGTACCTTTGACGACTTTACCTTGGAAGGCATCCCCAAAAGCGAGTCCAACGGCGCGGGTGGTGTCATCGAGAAGGAGGAGGGCGAGGCAACCGCCGCCAACGAAGTGCTTGGGGTGGGAGACTTGGTACCGGCCTCCAACTCCGACATCCGGGATGAGAATCTCTTCCAGCCGACCCTTCTCATTAAGACGATTGCTCCTAGTGTGAGCCGTCAGAATCTGGAGGCGTTTTGCAAAGAACATCTCGGAGAGGAGGAGGGAGGCTTCAAGTGGCTTTCGCTCAGCGACCCAAATCCGTCCAAACGGTACCACCGAATCGGTTGGATCATGCTCCACCCGGGTGCTGATACTGGGGCGATCACTGACCGTGGCGATGCCAAGGACGAGGATGATGATGGGGATATCAAAGTCAAGAGTCCCGGTGCTGTCGCTCCCTCGACTGCAGAGAAGGCTCTTGAGGCCATCAACAGCAAGACTGTCAAAGATGAGGTTCGCGGCGATTTCGTATGCCACGTCGGTGTGCATAACCCACCAAGCAATCCCAGGAAGAAGGCACTGTGGGATCTGTTCTCAGCACCAGAGCGGATTGATAAAGACCTTACTCTTGTCAACCAGCTCGTCAACAAATTTGAAAGCGATTTCGGCTCGGACTTCAATGCTGTTCTAAAGGTCGAGGAGAAGGTAGACGAGCTCAGAAACTCTGGACTTCTACAGCCCGCAGTCACTTCTCCGACAGTTAAGAAGGAGAAAGTCAAGAAACAGCGAGCCATCAACCTGGACGAGGCTATGGACGAAGGCGAGGAGCCGGAGATGGAAGATGACGATGATGACGAAGATGAGGGAGCCATCGATGACGATGAAGTTGACGATGAAGACATCTTAGTCAAGAAGAAGCAGCTCGATCTTCTCATCGAGTACCTCCGACGCGTCTTCAACTTCTGTTTCTTCTGCGTCTTCGAGAGCGACTCGGTGCATGAGTTGACTCGTAAATGCCCAGGAGGTCACCTTCGCCGCCCCAGAAGCACGCTCTCGTCTTCAGCCAAGGCTGTCGCCCGGGCAAGTGCTCTGGGTGAGCCATTCCCGCACAAGAAGCGGGCTGACACTGCAGAACTGGAGGAGGGCGAGACTACCGAGCCTGATCGCAAGTTCCGCAACCCGTTATCGAAGACTGAACAGCAACTTCAGCGCGCCTACAACTGGGTCAGGACATTTGAAGACAAGATCAAGCAGATTTTGGAACCTGAAGCGGTTGACATTCGTAAGCTAGGCGGTAAGCCTATCGATGATGCTACGAACGAGGAATTAGCCAAGTTTGTCAAACAGGAGGATGAACACAAGTATCGATGCAAGGTCCCTGACTGCGCCAAGCTGTTCAAAGAGGATCACTTCTGGCGCAAGCATGTGGAGAAGCGTCACCCCGAGTGGCTTGAGGAGCTGAAGAAGGAGGTATGACTCACTCGTTACCATCTCTGTCCTATTCACAGAAAGTTGGCACTGACACTCCGCAGTTCGAGCTTATCAACGCATACGTTATAGACCCCGCTCACATCGCCCCTTCGCGAACGGATGCCAATAGCAATGGTCATTTCCCTCCAGCTACTGGTCAGGCGCCGAGCGGCACGCCTCGTGGCTTCAACCTGCAACAATTTGCCATGAACAGCATGATCCCAATGGGCTTCCCTAACATGGCGAACTTCTCGCAGATGTTCGCAGCGGGAGCCATGCCAAACAGTGGGAGCTGGAATGCGACTCCTGGTGGAGACGAACGTGCCGGCGGCGCTGGTCCTATCCGGCGTGGGGGAGGTTTCGGCAATGCTGGTGGACGGGGTTACAACAACCGCTCCGGTCCCTATGATCGTCCTCGCAACCCCCGTTGGACCCAGGACAACGGCATGGGCGGTAACACGATGGGTGGGGGACGTCAGCGTGGTGGTCGCTGGGGAGACGGTGCTGGCGGCGGCGCGGCTGTGGGCCCTCGTGAGGCTATCCAGGGACGCACAATCAAGAGCTACGAGGACCTGGATCAGGTCAGCGGCAGCGGTGGCGGCGAGCTAAACTACTAAGTCGACTCTTCCTGGGCAGTGCGTAGAAAGCCTCATCGATAGGCTAGCAAGTCTGTCTTCTTCACGATGCAATTCCAGACGACTAGAACGCAACATGGAGAAGGAGACTGGGCGCACATTGAGTATCTGTTCATTGGAGGCCGGCGCGAAAGAGGTCGTATCCATGCGTGCTGTACAATAGAGAACGACTATGATAGTTTTTTTTTCTGGGCAAGGAATGTGGTTTTCTAGTTTTTGACAGGACTTTAGCTGAGGAAAATGATGCATTCTTTTAAGAAAATCTTTTTGGACCATGTCTTGTGAACGTGAGGCCTCAAATTCATGACCCAGTCTGCCACAGCACAATCACAATCACTGATGATGTCTCCCTTGCTGTATCTCTTCTCTCACGGGAGTCGAGTCTCATCATCTTAGTCAAATAGAAGGCTACCTTGTTGGTCAGATGATTGTCAATGTCTATTATGTGTACAATCCATGGAGGGTTTTTTTGTTGTTCTCATAAAGCCTGTATCTAACCATTTCCGCCACACTGGCCCCTTGCTGCGTCACTGTCTACCTGCTCAGCGCAATATCATCTATCCTCAGGATCATCTTGACAGTTTCAGCCGCCAGTTCGATGGCGCTCGTGCTCACCAGCAGCGGTTGCAGTACGTTCTCCTTGGCGATGTTGGAGTTGACGCCACCGCTCTTGATACTCACGCCTGCGTTTCTCTCGCCCAGCTCGTGCCGATGCCGCAGGTCCGTCACCACCCGGATCGGGTTCAGCCCTGCGTTCTCGGCCAGAGTCGTCGGGATCACCTCCATAGCATCCGCGAACGCCTTCCAGCAGATTGCTTCAGTGCCAGTCAGCTGGCGTGCCTGCTTGGAGAGCTGGGCGGCGATCTCAATCTCGGGGGCGCCGCCACCTGCGATCAAGGCCTTCTTCTTGACCAGGCATCGCACCACGCATAACGCGTCATGCAGGGAGCGCTCGGCCTCGTCCAGGATTAGGGAGTTGGCGCCGCGGACGACGACGGAAATGGTCTTGCCTGCGGATCTTGTGCCGAGCACCTTCACCATACGAGAGCCAGATGACGAAACCTCCTCGACGATGTCTGCGCTGCCCAGCTTGGCTTCATCAAAGGAGTCGATGTCTGCAATGGGCTTGCATCCGGTGCTCTTGCAGATGAACTCGACCTCGTCACGCTCGATGTCCTTGACAACCAGGATGTTGAGCTTGGCGAGGAAGTGCAGGGACAGATCGTTGACGGCGTCGCGGAGGATAGACTTCTGGATGAGGAGGACATTGCACTTGGCCTTCTTGATCTTTTTGGCCATGTTCAGCAGGTACATGCGCTCCTCCTTGACGATTTTGTCCATTTGTCGGTAGTCATTAACGGAGATGGTGTTCTCCATATCCGGCTTGGGTGGTGACAGCTGGAATTGAATCAGACCGATCTTGGCCTTCTCCATCCGTACTGGGCCGCCGGCATTCTTGATCACGGGCTGGGTGAGCACGAGACCCTCGACGAGCTCGCTGTCCTCAATTGTACCGCCGACCTTCTTGACTGTCCGGATGTTCTTCAGATCCACGTTGTCCGCCGTCTTGATGTCTATCGTCTTGGTAACACTGTTGACTGCCATGGGGCCCAGCAGGTTTGCATACTGTGACACGATTTTGGAGGACAGCGAGGTGTTGGCCGCCTGCAGCAGCGCTGAGGTGTCTGAAAGCGAGATCGGTTGTGACATGTCGTGGAGGACCGCAACTGCGGCGGCGGCGGCTCGTTGGAACGACTCGGATATGACAGATGGGTGGATGCCTTTCGACAGCAGGCGGTCCGCGGCACCCAGAAGCGCACCGCAGATGACAACCACGGAGGTGGTGCCGTCACCGGCTTCGACGTCTTGTGCATTGGACAAGTTGACCAACATCTTGGCTGTGGGATGAAGCACGGACATACTCTGCAGCATGGTGCTGCCATCGTTGGTGATTATGGTCTCGCCCTTCCCGCTCCTGATCATCTTGTCCATGCCTCGAGGGCCCAAGGAGGTTCTGATCGCGTCGGCAACGGCTGTTCCATATGGTTAGAGGTTCAGTTCGCATATTCGAGAGGGTTATACAACGAAAGTACGCGTACCTCTTGCTGCAACAATGTTGGACGACCTGACAGCCATGGGCTTCTCCTTATTCTGTAACCAATATCAGATGCCAGCTCACCAAGCTTCGCGCAGCTCTGCAGCTTACCTTGAAGGCACCTCCTCCATTTCCACTGCTTGTGAAAGCCTCGGCTGTTGCCATCTTGACTGTGTGGCTGTCTGGATATCTCGCGTGGTCGGAAGAGGGGGTGGAGTGAAAGCCTAAGGAAGGACGTGGATGTTCAGGCTCTTGTGGTTTATAATTTGGTAAAGCTTCCCAGGCGCAGACGCTCTGCCCCTCTGCAAGCGCGACCCCAGGGGAATTTTTCGAGCGTTGCTCTGCCTGCCCGCCATTCTTAACGTGGGGCCGCCAGCACCTTAGTACGTACTCCGGTACCCCAACCAAAAACTCACTGCACTACCAAAGTGAGGTAGCTTGGCCCCCCTAACTTAGGCTAGACCCAGTCAGCCTCCAAGTAGGCAGGGGTCTGGAGTCTTGTTCAGAAGCTCCAGCAGGCAACTTCTGATTACGATACCAGACAGCCGCCTTTCCGCTAACTAGACCTCCGTCACCAGCATTCAAACACCTTGCCCTCTCAACCCAACAACACGACATCCCACAAATCTCGCAACCCCAAGGCCTCCCTCATTCCACTATTGTCTTCTCGAACTGCAACTTCCCCTCACCCCCTCAAAACCATCTTTTTCACAGCCCACCTCGGGGCCGTTGAGGATCCCCGACCTCAGTCAACATGGTCAGTACCCGCTTCTGTTGCTGGTCCGCGGTCGACGGCAAATGCTCGTGCTGACAGACAACCAGCCTTCTGCCACAGGTTCCAGCTGGGAGAAGTACCAAAAGAATTACGCGGACGATGAGATAGAAGAGAAAAAGATTACTCCCCTTACCGATGAGTCTGTACCCAAAATGTACAATACGAAAGCATGACAGCATCATGTTGACAGTGGCTATAGGGATATCCAGGTCCTCAAGACCTACGGCGCTGCGCCGTATGGTGCCGCCATCAAGAAACTGGAGCAACAAATAAAAGAGCGGCAACAAAGCGTGGACGAGAAGATCGGAGTCAAAGTATGGGGATCTCCTTTTCCTTGGCCAAGCTCAACCCTGACTGAGCTGACTTTCGTGTCTAGGAATCAGATACTGGTCTTGCACCACCACACCTCTGGGACGTACCAGCCGATCGCCAACGAATGTCGGAAGAGCAACCGCTTCAAGTAGCGCGGTGCACGAAGATCATTCCGGACGAGAAGGATGACTCCAAGAGCAAGTACGTGATCAATGTCAAGCAGATCGCCAAGTTCGTTGTACAGCTTGGCGAGCGCGTGTCCCCCACCGACATTGAAGAGGGCATGCGCGTTGGCGTCGACCGCAACAAGTACCAGATCATGCTCCCCCTGCCGCCCAAGATCGACGCCTCGGTAACGATGATGACGGTCGAGGAGAAGCCAGATGTCACCTATGGTGATGTGGGCGGTTGCAAAGAGCAGGTCGAGAAGTTGCGTGAGGTCGTCGAGATGCCCCTTCTCTCTCCAGAGCGCTTCGTCAGTCTCGGAATCGACCCGCCCAAGGGAGCGCTGCTGTACGGACCTCCCGGTACCGGCAAGACGCTCTGTGCTCGTGCCGTTGCCAATCGGACGGATGCTACGTTCATTCGTGTCATCGGTTCCGAGCTGGTGCAGAAGTACGTTGGTGAAGGTGCACGCATGGTACGTGAGCTCTTCGAGATGGCACGTACCAAGAAGGCCTGCATCATCTTCTTCGATGAAATCGACGCTATCGGTGGCGCGCGTTTCGACGACGGTGCCGGTGGTGACAACGAGGTGCAGCGGACAATGCTGGAGCTCATCACCCAGCTGGACGGCTTCGACGCCAGAGGCAATATCAAGGTCATGTTTGCAACCAACAGACCGTCTACGCTCGACCCAGCGCTGATGCGTCCTGGACGTATCGATCGTAAGATCGAATTCTCGCTTCCGGATCTCGACGGCCGTGCCAATATTCTGCGCATCCACGCCAAGAGCATGTCAGTCGAGCGGGATATCCGGTGGGAGCTCATCTCCCGACTGTGCCCGAACGCCACAGGTGCCGAGCTGCGCAGTGTGTGCACGGAGGCTGGTATGTTCGCCATCCGCGCGAGAAGGAAGGTGGCAACGGAGAAGGACTTCCTGAGTGCGGTGGAGAAGGTCATCAAGGGGAACCTCAAGTTCAATTCGACTGCTTCGTACATGCAGTATAACTAGATGGTTTGTGTTAATTTCCGAGGCAATGGAGCAAGAAGCGGCGGGGAATGCTCTGTATGTACAAGTATGGGTTACGGAGTTGCTAGACAGCTTGACATTGGACGGCATAAGGACGTTTCTGCTATCTGACGACTTTGACAAACTTGATTCTTTAAAAGGTCTTCCTCCGGACCTAGTCCATTCTTCAGTGCAAAGTACCATTCCTTAAAAAGAGCTTCTGGTAAATATGCTCATATCTAATCTCGGCCTCAAACCAGCTATCTCGGGGAGTTTAAATACAGTACATGCTAGGAGACAATCCCTTTAGATGATGACCTTTCGTAATATGATATACGCGTAGTAAATAGGGTATTGATAATGCTATGCCTGCTGTCTTGCTCATGATAATGCCTTTGAGGTATGATTCATCGATTTATCTCATACTCATCCCTGGCCAACCAAAACGAACGCCATGAATGCCTTTCGCCATGTAAATAAATGCTGTCCCAAAAACCCTCTTATGAACGACCCCTTTGTCGTTATCCCCCAGATATGATCCACCGCGGGGGATACCTTTATTACCTTCCACGACAGCAAAGACGTAGCAATAGTCCATGGTTGTTTTCTCTAAAGAGGATCTTTGGAATGAGCCGGAGTTGTCGTGGCTCGCCACCTTGGAATCCCGTCCTTATGTCCCGAGACAACCCAGGCAGATGACTTCCCCCTCGAGTCCTTCCTCTACGCAGCACTGGCTGCAGATCCTCCCACGATGGCCTCTCCCTCCGGCTTGTCCCCAGGTTCTGACCCGTTTTGTCCGATGCTGCGGCGCATCGGGGTACATACCTCCTGTCGAGGGGGCATCTTCCATAGTAAAGGACCGGTCAACCCCGCCCTGGTCATTATCCTCCTCAGCATCAGCTCTGCCCTCCTCGTGACCGTCCTTCATGAGCTTGTCATCGTTCTCGTCATGTGGTGTTGTTGTTTCCGTTGCCGTGGTGGGCGTTAGCAGGGCGGAAGCACCCCTCCATCCCAGACACTCCCGGATGCAGACGTAGCATGTACGCTCGCCGCAACCCTCGCAGTCGGCAAATGAGTCGAGCTCCGTCTTCTTTGTGGGCCTGCGGTGGCAGATGTGGCAGGGGCTGAGGTTGGTGGGCGCAGAAGCCTTGGGAGGAGAGTGTTTGGTCGAGGCAGCGGATAGGGAGCGGTGTTGACGGCAGCTTGGCGTCGGGAGTGCCTGCCGTTGATCCTCGTCGGTCTGCCACTCGCTGGTGGATGCCGTCGTCATGCGGATCTTCTTGGAGAGGGGACTCAGGAGTGAGGTCGGCTTCTTGGGCGAGGACCCATGGTGCTGGTGCTGGCAGTCGTGCGGGTAGCGGTCGTGGAAGCCCTGCGAGCTAAGGAGGGTGTCAGCTGGTGGGGTCATGAAAATGGCGACGGCAGGAGCCTCTTCGACGTACATGGTGAGATGGAGGTCTTCCTCGATGTCGGACTCGTCCCGCCGTCTCTTCCGCGGAAAAGACTGGGTGAGGGAAGGCATCGTGGTGGCGGCTCGGGGCTGTTTACCGCACGGCTGCTGGGGTCGAGCGCTTAGGGCTCTTGAGTCTGTCCCAGAGTAGGTTCAGTCCCCCCCCCCCCAATGCGATGGCAAGCGGAAAATTTCTTAAGATGTGGCCCGGCCAAACGTTGCCTACAGTAAAGATAGGCGTGAGATGTCGAGTGAACTGGTTTAATGCCCCAAGGACATCGTATGTAGTCGAAGGATTGGCCGGGTTGTAGAAGCAAGCGAGTGAAGGGAGGCGAGAGGAGGCACGAGCTGAGGTTGGGCGCAGATTACTACTGCTGGACCTGGGGGCAAATCGTTATAGTGCATACAGCTTATCGCTGATACTATGGGCCGGTACTAGACCTGCACCTAGCACCACTAACGACCACAAGTGCTCAGAGTCTACTACTGCAACCTATTTCCACTCAAAGACACCTCACAGGTCCCAATTCACCTTGTTCACTAATTTTCTCTGTTTCGATCGCACCCACGGGATAGCCAATATTTGCCTGCGAGGGTCGTGTTCTCCTCAAAGGCATTAGCCTGTCACATCTCAGTTCGAAGCAGCAGTTAACAACGGTCAAATATTTGGACGGTGCAATGAACCACAGACAATTTCCCGGCTACACCTGCTGCAAGGCTCAGGGGCCGGCGGCCCGGCGCCGTTCTATTTCCTTGCACTGCTATTGTGTACCTGCTTGATGTGACGAGGACAAGAAATGTATAGCATTGTGACCAGCTGCTAGTATCTGACAAATTTCCCTGTTACCAACTTACCGCTGCGTGGATAATCGATCCGCCGTGCCTGCTCGAATATCCTACACGAGGTGTGGCCCCCTCGATATCTTCGTTCCTAACACGGCGAGATGCATTGCGTTGCACTCTGTGATCGACGATTCGCGGACGAGGCAATATGTATGTGTGTTGCATGGAATTTCCGCGGCACATCCGGGGGCTCAACGCTGGTTGAGACAATACATTGCGAAACCCACCCCCCACGGACCATCCGCGGCCATGATGATCACGATCGTCTGCGTCATGCGGGTGATGTGCCGATTTCCGTGGTACTTGTTTACTCAGCGTTCAACGTCTCGATATCACGAGCCTCTTGCGATCAAGTACATGTGAGAGCCTCGCGGCCCGAGTTTGGAGCGAGAGAATGGTTGAAGACGTTTCAGCTTCAGCAAGGCTTCTAAAGCCTTCACTCAAGATGTCGAAGCAATATAAAGTCGGAAGTTTCCTCGAGCAAGATGTCTCCAAACGACTCTTGGTCTCATTTCCTTCAGGACACAAGACGACATAGCCCGTCGACATCAAATAGTTGCGCCAGATCCAAATACTTCACTCTATTCTCAGCTTGATCCATCTTAGGTGCTTTACTCTCAAGTACCATGTCTTTCCAATTCAGCACGGACGAATCGTTCCACTTTGAGGTCATCCGCGCCCTTGGCCTAAGTGCATAGTGAGTTCACCTGCCCAGGTAGACCTTGTGCTACCAACGGTCGACTAACAAGTCTCCCAGTGGTGGCAGTGATGTGAGCGAGGTGCTCTACACCATTCCTCAGATCAAGACTGGGGACTTTGAATCCTGTGAGTGGCCAATTTTGGCGAGCATAAGCCTTGATATTGAAGCACCAGGATCAGACTTTTGGCTGATATGACTCCAAAGGGGTGGCTGCCTGGTCCAAGAGGGCAGAGAGAACTCTTGAGAACGCCCGCAAGGCCAAGAATCCTGTTTCGATCCGGGACCATCTCTTTCGAGCCGCGACCTATTTTCGCACGGCCGAGTTCTACCTCCACGGCAACTGGGAGGATCCTCGCATCAACGAGCTTTGGAACAAGAATGTTGACTGCTTTTCCAAAGCCATCACCTACCTCCCGGTTCCTGGAGAGAAGAAGGTGCTGTCGGCAGATGGCTTCCAGGTCCCCATCTATTGGTTTAGGCCGAGCCCTGATGACAGCGTGAAGAGGCCTACGCTCATGCTCTTCAGTATGTAAATCTATCTCTTCTACCTCACCTTGACACACAAATAAATAAAAGAGAAGAAGAGAAGAGAAAGGGTCTTTCCTCTCAAGAATTCTGCTCCGAGAAGCTCTCGGTTGAGTGAGAGGCCTCTGGAAGAATACCTACTGACACTTGTCTTCCAATAGTCGGCTTTGATTCCGGTCCAGAGGAGATGATCCATATGCACGGCTTCCCAGCCCTGGAACGCGGCTACAACGTCGTCTGTCTGGAAGGGCCGGGCCAGGGCTCCGTCCGACGTGGGCAGGGCCTGGGCTTTACTCACGAATGGGAGAAGGTCGTCACACCGGTGGTCGACTTTCTTGAGACGCAGCCCAGCGTAGACAAGACCAAGATTGCCCTTTGCGGCTTGTCCATGGGCGGGTTCCTCAGTGCGAGGGCGGCTGCCTTCGAACACCGCATCGCGGCGCTGATCTGCGATGACGCCGTCCACGATTTTGACGACTTCAGCGAGTCGTCCTACCTTGAGAAATTCAACATCAAGGACGATCCGGAGAGCATCCAGGCTTTCATCAATGATAACAGCCAGCCTATGGGTCCTCGTTGGTTGCTCGCTCATGGGATGTGGTCCTATAAAGTCAAGACTCTGGCGGAGCTAGGGAAGGGATGGGCCAAGATGTCCATGGCTGGTTTGACAGACAAGATTCAGTGTCCCGTGTTCCTTGGAGACGCTGTTGGCGATTTGTTCTTCAAGGACGGTGGTCATGCTCAGAAAATGGCAGAGGGCCTCGGAGACAAGGCTACCGTGTACAAGTTCACCGCCGAAGATGGGGCCGACTTGCACTGTCAGGAAGGAGCCCTTAGGTTTGCGAACCAGGTGATGTTTGACTGGCTTGACGAGAAGCTGGGAGTGAACTGAGAGAGAGAGGGTTTTTTATAAGTAGCCAAGAAAGGCAGCGAAGAATACCATGGTCCTAGCCATATTGATAAGCATCAAAAAGATCCATCAACGCAACTGCCGTAATAAGGGTTAGGGGTCGAGATATGGTTCCCCACCCGGTAGTGAAGCCTGCCTGATGGTGCAATAGCCCCACTCTCTTAGTAAGCCTGCCTGCCTGTCACGTCTTAGGAAACGCATGCGAATCCACTCAATCCGTCCGCTTCATCCTCTTCCGAACCAAGCCGTCCACCTGGACAACCAGTCCTCTTTCAGCCACCTGCACCCCGATACCACCACCAGCAAACGCGCCCAAGCTACGATCATTCGATTGTGGACAATTCAGCGAGCATCGACATCAAGATATGAGTCGCGCCGCCAAACTCGCCCCGGAGGTTAACCGGTACGTAATTTCACTGTGATGCTGCAGGCCACATGCGCATGGGCTTGCTATCATGCATCGACCCCCACCCTTCCTTATCACCAGGTTGCGATGCCGTCTCACTGCTACCTGCCATCGACGATGTCAAAGACCATAGACACCATCATGTCTGTGTTGGGAGAACGCCGCTGACCTAGTTTGTTCCATCATAGAGCTTTATTCGTCAAGAATCTAAGGTCCGTGATTGATTCGGTACCCTCCCAATCTAGACAACCTCTACCTCGACGCTGACAGATCTCGACAGCTACAACGTGACGCCTGAGGAGCTCTTCGAGCTCTTCGGCAAGTACGGGCCTATCCGGTACGGCGCCCCCGAGACACTGCCCCGATCAAATCTCAAGTGGATACTGACGCCCTCCCAGCCAGGTCCGCCAGGGCATTGCCTCGAACACCAAGGGAACTGCTTTCGTTGTCTATGACGACGTCATGGATGCGAAGCAGGCCTGTGACAAGCTGAACGGCTTCAACTTCCAGGGCCGTTACCTTGTCGGTATGTTGCCTCTACACGCACTTTTCCTCTCCCTTAGTTTGACAAATGACGTGCTGACCCTCTTTTGTCCAGTCCTGTACCACCAGCCAGAGAAGATGGCCAAGTCAAAAGAGGACCTCGAGGCACGCAAGGAGAATTTAGCGCAGCTCAAGAAACAGCATGGTATCGATTGACAATTCGACGGGCCTCAGGGCCGGCCCCTTCAGACGCAGAAGCGACGCTCTGAAGGCCCGTCGTCTCCTACCAAATCCTCCACCAAGAGTTCGACCTCGCGACCGATTCCTATTCCGACCAAGAAGGACAAGGCGAGGCCCGACACCATGAAGACTGGAGGATCCAGGAATTCATTCTCCGGCTTCATTCGCGGCCTCCTCCCGACTGTCCCCGAGTGTGCCTGATGTTTGGACGCTAAACGAACGAAATTTCGAGAGGCGTTCAGGATCAGGCAGAAGGTCTCGGGAGGAGGCAACGTGTGGTGACATCGATACTGGCTTTTCTGCTTTGACGGCCTTGCCATGTGTGCGCGGCATGGCGCTCCTATCTTTTTTTTAGGGGGAGCTTTATTACCTTTTTTTATGTTACGAATGACAGATTTCGTGTTCGGGCTGTGCATCATCAAATTGACATGACGAGAATTCTGGACGAAGTTCATTTTCTTCTTTGCGTGGGCAGTGGCGGAACATACAGCTTATCCTCACCGTGTCGAGATGATCTCCTCTTGACCTGTAAGGGGGTGATGAGATAATGAATATTGGGACTGATGCCGTTGCGGGTTCTGAGGCATCCTAACAGCACTGCCTCTACCTACTTGAATTGTGCCTCAAACGGCCTTCCGCGAACCTCATGATAAGTGTCAATCGCCATGTGAGCAGCATAGCATTGTCTATTACTGTTAGATTTCTTGTAGGCTATTGCCTCCCCTGGTCTGTTATCAAGGGGCTTTTGTGTGGGTCGTCCTTGTTGCCTGTGACCTGAGAGTCGGCCGACGTAAAGACCCAGGCGTTTCGTTTCCTGACCTGGATTATGTACAACTGCAAACCGAGATGAGACAGACGGTGAGCGTGTACGAGCCCCGTAAATGTTTGTGCGTTTGTGCCCGGCTTGTCGATGGATACCGTACAGCAACATTTTTATGTATGCATGTACTTCCAAAGACTGTTAAAGCTATCCGAGCTTCTATATAATATCGGTTCGCCCGGTTAGGCGCTGAGGCTTTTGATTGTTGTACTAGTAAACGCACTGGACAGAGGCATCGATCGGGTCATCTCAGCGGAGTTTAGGCCCCAGGTCATGCTTAATCCTTTAGCGGCTACAGGCAGTGTGGAGTGGCTGTCTCAGGTTTCATAAAAAAAAATACTGCGTTCGTAGCGGGGCCACATGGGTTATTTAGCGGTGCTGTTGCCTCCGTGCTTGATCCCCTAACCTGGGCCTAGCAGGTAGCAGCAGCTCACGCGCCCAGCAGCGCAGGGCCGCAACCTTGTTCCGCCCGCCTCCACAGACTCGTGACGGATGTGAGTCGCGCTCCCCATCCCACCCCCTCTCCCACCCTCTTTTCCTCTGCCACTCTGCCTTAACCGGTCGTATTGTTAATCTCAGTTGGGTATTGTTCTACTGCCATCGACATATATCTCTCTACATCGTGCCAGTCGATCAAGAAGGCTAGCCCTTCTTGTTCAAGCGGTGCAGCCACTCTGGGCTGTGCAGATCCATCCGGCTTATTTATCGATCCTCCTGCTTCTCTGACGTCGACGGAATCACCGCCCCGGTATTGGTAGCGTACACCTAGGGTAGACAACGCCCGTCCACAGCTTTAACTTTCCAGCCTTCTAGACGAACGTCTCGTGGCTGTTCAATTTGTCCTTCCCTCATTTTGTCTCTCTTTCACCCACGTACACACACACACACACTCTCTCTCTCTCTCTCTCTCGGCTTGAGACAACATAGGACATCATCTCGCATCGAAGGGGTGACAGTATCAACAACCTATGTACATGTCTGCGCTAGTATACGCCGCATTAGTCAACATTCTTCTCCTCTCCAGCGCCCACGCACAGTGGGTGGACCGCGCCTTCATATCTGCTACCTCTACGATATCCGCCGACTTTTCAATCGCCACCGCGCCGAATGACCCTGCCGTCAATATGGAAGGCGCCGTCTACGATGCCTTTCCCGCCAAGACGACCTCTGCAATAGCAGCAGCGCTCGCCACGGGGACGGCGAAAGCAGCATCCGCCACAGCAGCAGCAGTCATAGCCGCCGGCTCGCCCAAGGAGGAAGGAGACGACCAGGCCGAGTGCAAGCTCCTCGGGTCCTTCGCCATCTTCGTCCAACTCGCCCTCGGCGGGCTGGCGCTGCTCAGCCTGGTGTACAAGAGGTGGCGGGAGCGACCACAGAGGCCCGTCAAGATATGGTTTTTCGATGTGTCGAAGCAGGTCTTTGGATCCGTGCTGGTACACATGGCCAATGTCTTCATGTCGATGCTGACGAGCGGGCGGATCTCGGTCCAGGTTGAGCCCGCGGCCGTGTCGGCTGCTGTTGCGGCGTCGGCAGTGTTGAGGCGGTTTGCAGATGCAGGAGGTCCTGGTGGTGGTGACGATGGACCATATGTGCCGAACCCGTGCTCTTTCTATTTGCTGAACCTTGCTATTGACGTAAGTCTTTTACCGGCGCAGAGGCTCGTGTGTAAACCACGCTGCGGGTGTGGTGTTGAAACAGAAATGCTGACATTCCCTTAACCAGACGACGCTCGGCATACCAATACTCATCTTTCTCCTGCGCATCTTCACAGCGCTGGTCTCGTATACACCCCTCGGCCAGCCCCCAGAGTCGATCCAGTCCGGTCACTACGGCAATCCGCCCAAAGCCTGGTGGTGGCTGAAGCAGTCACTCATCTACTTCCTGGGCCTCTTCGGGATGAAGTTTTGCGTGCTCGTCATCTTCCTCATGTTCCCGTGGATCTCGCGCGTCGGCGACTGGGCGCTGCGGTGGACCGAGGGCAACGAGAAGATCCAGATCATCTTCGTGATGATGCTGTTCCCGCTCATTATGAATGCGCTGCAGTATTACATCATCGACAGCTTTATCAAGAAGGCAGCCACCAAGGAGGACACCGACGGCCACAGCGCGGCCGGCTCAGAGGGCGAAGGTTACCAGAGAGTGCGCACGGATGAGGACCATGTCGAGGGCCATGGCCCCCAGAGAGGACCGTCGGCGGCGGCGGAGGAGGAGGCTGATGAGGATAAAAAGGGTGGCATACGGTCACAGGCTAAGATAACTACGAGTCCCGCCCATGAGGAGTACGACCCAGAGGTGGACGGCGACAGGACGGCGGCCACAGGTGGTAGTTCGTCTACCACGGCAGAAGGCACGGTGTCATCGGAGTTGTATCCCAAGGAATAAGACTATGGGAGGTGGGAATGGGCTTTTACTGCCTTTGCTTGTTTTGATGTTCAATAGAGGGAGAAACAATGGGACAATATACACTTTTTGGGAACATACTTTCGAAGAAAACATACATCAACGGGACCCTTTTCCTAACATGTGTTCGTAGAGGGATCAACGCAGTGAAGTCATGCTCAGGCCAGGAACCACTGCATTCTCCTTGACAAAGTCTTGTCACTCATTCTACCGTCGTTCTTGGTGCACAGCAGGTGAGGCGAGCCCCCAGCCTCCTTTGTCCCACTTGCATTTTGGCCCATCACCATTCTCCTTGGAGGTCTAGTATGCGACAGCTAAAAGGAGGAACCACTCCCAACTGACTGGAAACGGCTGTGACCTATATAGCTGCATAGGGTCGGACCCACACATCTAGTCTTTTGAGACGAAATGCTTTGTATTCGAATGCATTGTCACGAGCAAGTCTTCTGTATAAGCTAATGTACACAAGACCTTCGCAAGTATTGGTTATTCATTTCTATCGCACTCACTCCGTTCAAGTGAGAAAAGCAGATGATGATTTATAAAATATTCTTGCAGCTGCTGAGCATATGATGATTTCATCTTTCACTTCGATTCCCCCCGCGCCTTACTCAGCGCGCCCTCGCAAGGGACTCATTATTCATTAATCATACATCCCTCGGATGCAGACCAAAATCTCTCTGTGATGGAACCCCCTGTTGAACCCCTCTCCCTAGGTTTCAATCTGCACAGCGGCATTGTTCGCAACACCCACCAGCTCACGCACATCCCACTTCAACCCATGCTTCGCAAGCCACGCCGGATCATGAACATCAATTAACTTGTCCCCACCGCTCCCGCCGCTGCTCTCCTCCGCTTTCACTCTCTTCGCGGCGGGGAAATAGTTGGCCCCGCCCCTCGGTCTCGGCCGTGGCCGGTTCATCACGGACATGGCTGCCGCTACCGGGTTGGTGGTTTTGACCTCCCAGTTCCGTGCGGAGACGTCGCTGAACCTCGGTGAGGAGGGGTTGGTAGCGTTCCGCAGCGGAGACCGTTGCGGCACGGGTGGGCTAGGTAGTTCGAGCGGTGATCCTGACGAGGGTTCGGAGGGCTCTGCGGGGGAGTTGGACGCGGCTGGCGTAGCAGAGGCGGAGGTGCTGAGCGTCGTGGTGGCGGTGGCATCACTAGGCGTGCGCTCGAGCTTGCTGGTTGGGGCGGGGGGGTCTATGATCAGCCGGGACGGGGCCTTGGAGCTCCACAAGCCTTGACGTAAGGTGGTGATGAGAGGAGGTGTGCTGAAGGGGTGATGCTGATGGTGGTCCGGCGGATGAGGTGCCGTGGACGGAAGGGAAGGGAGGGGTGCCGTGGGCGGGGGCTTTGATGAACTCTCCTCAAGAGAGGAGGAGATGGAGGTGGGCGTCCTGGGTGTCGTGGGGTTCCCACTTGTCCTGGTGGACGCCTTGGTCATGGGCGAGAGGTCTTTGAGGTCTGTGTTCTCGGACAGGGCGGCGTCGGTGTCGAGCCACGGGGGGGTTGGCTGTTCATCTGGCACTTCTGGGATGCGCAGGGAGAGTTGAGGCTACACGGTCTTGATGTCAGCAGAGTGCTTTTGCGAGTACCAAAGAGAGGGACGCTCCATAAGTCCGTATACCTTTTGAGGAATTGGCGATAACATCTCGGGTTGTCTCTGAGCCTGTCCCTGCCACTCTTGTGCCTCCTGCTGTTGTCGAAGCCCGTCCATAATCGCCCCGATGCAGACTGCCTTAGAAGATTCATTGCTGATCGACCTCCTCATATTTCCTGGCAAAGCAGGCGAATTTCCCCTGTTCTTCTGCTGTAAAGACACAGGCGTATTCCACAAAGATGTCACAGAAGGCGCAGGGGATCCAGCCGCCAGGTGTACATTGTCGACCACCGAATGTATAGACCCCGCCGGCGTCCTTGTTCTGGTAGATTCAGAAGAGCCGCGAAGGCTCGACGCCCTCTTGCTGCTTCGCCTCCGCGCAATCCCCAGATTATCAACGTGGAGCCGGCATGCGTGGCAGTATGCTGTGAGCTGCGTCTCGACGCTGTCTATGGCGCCATGCTGGGCGCAGCGTCTGGGGCACTCTGTTCGTGATCGGATTGTGTGGTTACAGAGTATGTGCCAGCGTACTTCTTGGTAGCACATGGTTTTGGAGAAGAAAAAAGGAAGTTCCCGTAGGTATTGGAGAATTGGGTATGAAGTTTGTATGTACGTTCTCGTCGTCGGAGTCAAATCAGCAGACGAGGCGAACACATGGTGACTTATACGCAAATCATTTCTTCCCGGCACACCGGATATGCACCAGATATAGAATGAGCAGCGCATGACCGCCACTTGGCAGATCTCATCCCCGTTACATCAGACATAGTTCTCTCTATCAATTCATGCCCCGCTTGAGGTGTTCTGAAACCGCTTCGGTATAAGCTTCGATGTCAAAGTCGGCGCCCATCTTTTGAAAAAGATACGGACATGCAGCCATGAAAATGGGTCGCTGGCTTCGCGCATGACAGCTCGTCCAGCCCGTTGTGGGTGACATTCGGTACAAGGGCTAAGTCGTCTCGCGAACCCTATAGGCCAGGTGCAGGCTTGCATTGTGCCAGCTGCCGAATTCGGCAACTGTGAGCGCAGGCAAAGGAGGCTAGGGGCCGCGTATGTACAGTGATTTGAGAAAGTGATGATCACCATCATTATCATGATAGGTGCTGCATGGAGTCCGTACTTGGCCAAGCACGTGTCCCCGAGAAGAGGCGAAGAGCGCTGTCTCGAACCCACTCTGTCTCATTCATGTTCTCAAGTCCCAGTCGTAGTGATAGAAGCCAAAGGCTGGAAAAGGAAAAGGCTTTGATTACCTCCGTCCGCAAGCAATGATGGCGCGGCTAAACCTTGTGTGCTGCAGAGGGCACATACGGTGTCACGCCATGTCTGTCTGTGGTACAGTGAGGGTGCGGCGTGTGGTAGAAGTCCATAGGCGAATCTCATGCGTTCCATCTTGGGTCATGGCTGCTGCTCTTCTCCATGGTGACGTCCACTTGGAGTAACTGCTACGGCACATGTTGATAGTACGACCCTGACGTCTCTCGCCTCAGCTCCGTCCTCAGGGCCGTCCCGTCGTACCAATGTGGGTTTTCGTTTGGGGAGCCAGCTGCAAAGTCGGCGATTCTGTAGTATGGTGCCGAGGGTTAGTAATCTTCTGCTGTGTGTGTCCTCGAAGAGGCTTTAAGACTGATTATTTGACCGACTAGTCAGATATGGGATCGCGTGGTGGGCTTTCTTGCGTTTGGTGTCTTAGCAGGTCCAGACATGAAACGAAAAGTAAGAGAGAGAGGCTTGTCCGACGATCGACGCTCCGTCTGAAAGTCTTCAGCGGCGGGAGAGGTTCCAGCTTCTTTAGTGTGTAGCTGTTGTTGAGCCTCACAGCGTACCAGAATGTCGTTCGAACATCCTGTAGATGGATGGCATCTGCTGAAAATGGACCTCGGGCTCGAGAGGACGATTTGGCGTGTGCAGTATGCGATACATCGCTATAGGCTCGAGACGTGAACAACCTCGAGGCCATCAATCGCGGGGCATCCTCCCCTCGCGAGTCTTGTTCAGTCCATCGATGAAGCCTGAGCCCTTTTCTATGGTAGATACCATGTGGTATGTATGACAAAGGCAGTAAGCAAAATACAGCGTAACGTTCTCCTTTCGTTATGACTCACATGGCGAGCTGAACGAGGTGGGCAGAAGGTGGGCAGGAGACATGCCGGCACTGGCTGGACTGTGCAGCAAGAGGAGCAAGCATAAGCATCCTTGTGGTGGGGTTGGAGAAGGCCCCGGGGGGGGGGTCCTGGAAAAAGGAAGATGTGTTTAAGGGCAGACCCAGGAGCATCCAAGACCATCTGCCGCTTGTACCGTCCCAAATTCTCATGACGTACGTCGTCAGCTCTGGTGCCTGCTGCGCCGGATCTGTCCAATCCTCTCTTTCTTTGGCCTGGCCTGGCGTACTTGCGATCTTCAACAAAATAGTGACGTTGGGCTTTTCGTACGTGGTAGATCTCTTCACTGCTCGATGTCGCTTAGCATGTGTCATGCGTCTTGTGTGTGTGTGTGTGTGGGAGGACCACAATCAGACCAGTGAGCTCGTAATGGAGGAACGACCTGCGATCATTCTTGTGGAGGTACCAGAATGGTAGAAAGAGAGGATGGGTTAGATTCCGTTAATCTGCTCAGGGTCCAAAGACCATACCTATTCACCCATATCTGTTGTATGCTTATACTACGACACGCAAGGTTAGGCCTGCGGGCTGAAGGGGCTGCATCAATCTAAGTCCGCTATTACCGATGCGTTGCTTCCCTCACAAGCTGCCGCTCCTTCGACGTGACTTCTTTCAAGAGCATGCGTCGATGATTAGATGCAGTCTATCAATGCTATCTCATCCCTGAGAATATCAACCAAACAGAGCCCCCTCACTCTCTCTTGTGGGCGCCCGCACGGTATATAAGCCTGGCGCCGACTAGCCCATTTTCCTTCCGGGTTCTCTGCTTATTCTGTTTGCGACCTCGAGTCTGCTCGTGCGTGGTCTTGAGGTGCATGTCGAGAGCTGCCCCGCGTTGACACGTTTTCGTTTCAATTAAACAGCTTCACACGCGACTCCCTGAGCGTTCCGCTTGCCTCCTCAATATAGTCTGTGAGTTACTGCGCTCGTTTCGACCATCGCGCTCATCTTCTCAGGCTCGCGCCTCATTGCTAGGGCGCCTCACCAAGCCAGGGCCTTTGCTGCGCGGGGCAAGCTGCTATTCATAAGCAAGGAGGGAAGAGGAGAACAGGGCAAACACAGCTGACAGATGAGGTGGCTGGGCAGTGTCCAACATCCCTTCTCTTGGGTCCCCACTCGAACGACCAGCTCGTGTGACGACGGCGACATCAACAGCTTTGGCCCTTCTCACAGTTGACTGGGACAGAACGTCTGCGACACGGCCAAGCAGCTTCCAGGACAATCGCGAGCCAACAGCAATACATAGTTGCCCTCCGAATCCTACAAGCAGCCTTTTGAGACAAGATCCGCCCCACAAATCTCCATCTTGGGCACGATCATCTTGGTCGAGCAGTTTCCCCGAACCCTCACCAATATTCTGATCAGCCTGTAACCGCCTCGTCAACAGCTTCCGCCATGACACCGTCGCCCGCATCGAATACCCCGTCTTCAGGGGCGGGGCGCTCTCCTGACCAGCATCGGGTGGTCAGGAAGCGGAACAGAGTTCCTCTGAGCTGTTACCCATGCCGATCAAGAAAGTGAGGGGCATCGCTCCATTGCCCTCTTCCGTTTCTCATTGCTGACAATGCGAGCAGATTGTATGAGGGGCCCCTCCCGGAAGCGAGCATGTATGCAGGCGCCGGCAGCCTGGACTGAGGCTGACAACCTCACAGGAAATGCGACAGAAGCCATCCATGCAGCAACTGCGTGAAGCGAGAGGGTGCTGACACTCTATCCTGCTCCTACGCGACGCCTGCTAATCGCAAAAGGAACCAGACCCAGGGATCGAATGCCCCCGATGACATGCAAAACCGAATCGACCGCTTAGAAGGTCTAGTGCTGTCTCTGATGCACGGCGGCGCCAACATCTCCCCGTCAGATGCTGCGGCAGCCGCCGCCGCCGTTGCCGCCAGCTCCAGCTCTGGGCCCGGCGCCGCCAACTCAGATACCCCGGCCTCTTCCTCTGCCAGGATGGACGAAGATGGAAATCTTGTTGACGACGGTGAAGAGGACAGCGACATCGACGACGGTCTCGCCAACTCGCTAGGCGTGCTCAAGGTGGACACTGACCGGGGCAAGTCCATGTATATTGGGCAAGAGCATTGGCATACCATTCTCGCCGACATTTCAGAAGTCAAAAACTACTTCATCAGCCACAAGAAGGAGCTGGAGAAGAGCTACGAAAAGGTCCTCCTGAGCAAGCCAGAGACGGCTCGGGACGGCCCGACTTTTCTCATGGGAGCGACCGCTGCATCGGACGTTGAGCTCAGGGCGGAGTTGCCTCCAAAGTCACACGTGTTGACGCTGTGTGGCCGGTATTTCAACTCAATGGACAATGCCGTCAATATCGTCCACGCGCCCACCTTTCACCAACAGTTGCGCGCGCACTGGCAAGACCCATCAAGAACGCCCATCATGTGGCTGGGCTTGCTCTACTCTGTGCTGTGCCTGGCCATGCTAAGTTATCACAAAGTTGGAGACGAGCCCCCGGAGTGGAAGGGTCGAACTCTCGAGCTGGCTGCTGAGTACAGGCTGCGGACGGTGCAGTGCCTCATTGCTGCTGATTACACGAAACCCGGAGAGTATACCGTTGAGACTATGTTGCTCTACATCTTTGGGGAGTTCTCATCGAGATGGGATGCGGATCTGTCACTGTACCTGATCAACTCAGTTGTGACGCGGGTAGCTTTCCGGATGGGCTATCACAGAGACGCCAAATGGTTTCCATCGCTCACTCCGTTTCAAGCTGTAAGCCGAGATCACATTCAAGTTGCCATCAGATTGTGCTGCGCTGACATGATTCAACCCCTATTGCAGGAGATGAGACGACGGACATGGGCTCTGTTGCGGATGTCTGATGTCGTGTTCTCACATCAAGTCTCATTGCCAAGCATGATCTACGACCATGACTGTGACACGCAGCTTCCGAACAACATTTTCGATGAGGAATTCGGCCCGGACACCAAGGTTCTGCCTCCCTCACGACCAGATTCCGAGCCTACACCCATCAGCTACATGATCGCGAAGGTCAAGCTGTGTCTGGAGTTAGGAAATATCCTGCAAGCTACCAGTCGTGTGGGGAAGCAGGTGCCGTATGACGATATCCTACGGTTCGACGCAAAACTGCGTGAACTCCGGGAAGAACTCCCTCCCCACTTGAAGATGCAACCCCTCGAAGGCTCGCACGAACCCTTGACGCTAATCGTAGCACGCTTCAACGTGGATATTCTCTACCTTAAAATCATGTGTCTACTCCACCGGAAATATCTCGCGCGGTCTCGGCACAACCCACGGTATGCCCATTCCCGGCGGTCCGCCATCGAGGCAGCGCTGGAGATGCTGTCACATCTGAAGGTGCTGCATCGCGAGTCACAACCCAACGGTCGACTGCGCTCGATCAAGTGGTACGTGGCGTCGATCGCTACGAAGGAGTTCCTGTTGCCCTCGATGCTGATCACCCTCGACCTGCACTTCGACAAGCAGGTGGAACGCACCAATCAGCGGCAGGACTCGCAATCGCTGTTCTTCTGGACGCCAGAACAGCGACTGGAGATGATTCGTAGTCTCGAGGCGGCACGGGACATCTGGGAGGGTTTGGCTGACGGCTCCATGGAGGCTGTCAAGGCTCATAACATTGTCAAAATCATGCTTGACAAAATCAACAGCCCTGCGGCAGCAGAAAGTGCAAGCGGTGGGCCCACGCCTGCGATGGCACCGCCTACAGTACCGATGAAGGACGATATGTTTGCCAGCTTGGACGATGTCAATATGCAGCCCGAGCACAATGCCGCCATGACGCTGGGCATGATGTCCTCTGGCGGTCTAACGCCCAACACAGCAGCTGCATTTGGCACCAGTGTGCAGAGTCCTGGTGGCACGACATATCCTGCCATGGATCTCTCGGTGCCACCGGCTGAGAGGACAGGTATGACGCCCGATTTCTCGGGAGACCTGGGAATGAACCCCGGGTCACCGTTCTCATCAATGTTCAATGCCATGGGCAACGGGATGGAAATGGGCCAGAACTTCGATTGGGTGAGTTTGGTCTTGGCATTCCTAAAATGGGGGATCTGTAGATTCTCAAAGAGAATACCATCATACTGACATTTTTTTTTTTTTTAGGATGCTCTCCAAAATTATACCGAGAACACTACCTGGGGAACAGACGGTCAGTTCCAGACCTTCTTGACTGGGGATCAACCGGCGCCCCAAGCCGGCGACCCATCACCGAGCTCTGGCGAGAGCTACTCGTTCAGCACACCGGGGAGCAGCTCAAAATGATTGGGGCTTTGCGGATGCCGTCTTATGGCCATGATCATGTTACCTACGCTTACTCATTATTCTGTGCGGCTCGTGGCCGCGCGTTGGCTGGTGGTCAAAATGGACAAAAGGACTGGCTGGCTGGAATTTTTGGAATGAGTTGATACAAAAAAAAATCCACAAACCCATCTCCCTATCCGTCTCTATGATGACCACGGACTGCAAATTCAGCTCACGGAGGACTGATCGATGTCCTAATGCGCCGGTGCAGTCCAACAACTCCAGCCTGCCTGTGTTCGTGATAGTTAGCTGGCCTGAATAGTAGTCAATCATGTCGGACCTGTTCTCTCACCTCGCAATGGCCTTGGCTCGTGCTGCGGGAATTCACACAACAATGTAGACTACCTATAGAGATACCCTCAGCGAAAGGTTCTTCTACTTTAGTGGTGGCGTTTCGTCGCATTATGGGGGCAACAGAGGTTGGTCGCTGATATTTGTCCGCTGAGGTCTAAGCAGCTGGACTTCTCAAGTCGAACATGCCCATTTCCTTAAACAAAGATTTGCCCTATCTTACTTTTTTGTCGCAAGATATTCTCTGCGCCACTTGTCGCGTCAGACGAGATGCTTCGCTGCCGATTGAGAAACGGTCCAGTTCATTGAAGTGATTTTGGTGCAGACGTTGCCCTCGAATTGGAACATTATACGCGTTCACAGGTTAAGAATGTTGACATCATCTGCTACAGTTATGAAAAGTGTTTTCTTCTTCTCTTACTTCTTTTCCTTCTTATTGTTCTCCTTCCACAAGAACATCTGGGTTTCTTCATCCTGCTCGTGACACAAAGCCACCGGCCTTACCACTTCACTCATTACTGATATTTGAGCTGATTTTTTTCTCATGTTTACAAAGTGAGCTCCTCTTGAGGGGCTAGTCTTGAGACAATCACCGAGACTCGGCCATCCCCATTTAGAAAGCACCGCATATATATATATGATGGGCAAAATATATACTTGTTTCATATCCAAATGAAAGGATTTAGTGAACCGCAGGATCGGGCATCGTGGATCGTGCTTCATTCCCGCTGCAATTTCAACAACCTCCTTTAGGAAGTATCTTCATGTGCTACTGAGTATCCTCCACCTTCAAATTGTATGTATGGACAAATTTTATGCATAGACAAGGGGTGATAAAAATAGGTACATCCAGAAATCCATGCCAGCCAGGCAACACCTACTATCATGACCCAGTTCTAGAAAATTGGACCAAGGTGGCGGCCAGCTCTCGCCACCCTCCTCCGCCTGTTGGTTCTTCTGAATCCTACGTCTGCCAGCTCGCCGACACCGTCGTTGCCGAACACGGTACGGTCAGCGTGTGGTTCGGGTCGGCCTCCCACGTCACGTCGCCGGAGCTGTCGACGCTGATGAACTTGTACTCGACGACGGCACCAGGGGTCAGGTCCACGGTGAGATCCCACAGCGGATCGCTGGAGGTGTACTGGGAGGCGCTGAGGGCCAGGGCGTCACTGGTGTCCCAGTCGCCGAGGGTGGATATGTCTCCGGAGCTATTGAAGGAGGCGAAGGAGGGGTCCAGGTTAGTTTCCAGGAGGAAACAGGGGAATATGGGGAAGGGTGTGGGAGTAACAGCAGCAGCAGGAGGAGGAGGAAGAAGAAGAAGATAGAGAGTGCTTACATCTTGATGGTAGTTCCATAAGTAGTAGAAACGATCTCGTCAAAAGTGATAGCGACAGAGCTGGAAGTGCAGTTCCCAGTCGTTGTAGTTGAGGATCCACCCCCTAAGCCTGTCTTAGAGAAATTGTTTCGATGCATGGATCTCGAGCAGCAGTTACCTCTGAGGAGAGAGGAGAGAAGAGGAGGGAAAGAAAAAGCAGCAAAAAAAGAATGAAATATTTGCTTGAACATCTTTGTCCATGAAAGCCACTTCTGCCATGGTACAGATTCCACGCCAAGATCACCTTCCTTTCTTCCCCTTTCTATCTGGTACAGACCATGCTCATTTAACAATGCAATACACACTTTGGTGTGACAGAAGACAAAGAAAGAAAAGAAAGAGAAAAAAAGTCCATTCGCCAGACATAGGACTAAATAACCTCTCACTCACCACATAACGAACATCCGCTGAGCGCCGCAGTCGGGTAGAAGATGCGCGGCACACCCTCACTGATGGAGACGCTGAGATCACCACTGGAGTCGGCGGTGAAGGCGGTGCAGCTCATGACATCGATCAGGGCCTGGCCAGCGGTGAAGCCCGTGTTGGCAGCCTCGAGGGTGATCGTGGTCGACCCGCTGGAGCCAACGTTGCTGTACACCCCGACGATCTGCTTGCCAGCGTTGCCCTTGCGCATGCCGATGGTGTGGGTGTCGGAGTAGATGGGCCAGGTCTGGTACGTGACCCATGTCGAGTCCTGGTAGATGGCCCAGTTGCGGATGGCGTTGAGGCTGGCGATCCAGGTGTAGAGCTCGGCGGTGGTGTCGTAGCCGGACAGCCAGATGGCCTCGCGGTTGTCAGGGACACTGCTGCCGTTGCAGTGCTGCTCCTGGCCCTGGTAGATGATGGGGATGCCATCTGCCAGCATGGTAAAGGCGATGGCCGTCTTGGCGAGGCTGTAGTCGCTGGTCAGGGAGGGGAAGCGCGGCTGGTCTTGGTTCTCGAGGAACGAGCCGTAGAGCGTGGTGTCCGTGTCGGCCTTCATCTCGTTGATGCCCGCCACCAGGTTGGAGATGCTGCCCGACGAGGACTCAAAGGCCTGCGTGATCCAGTAGAAGGCCGGGTAGTTGAGCACGCCGCTCATGTACTGCTGGTACGGCGTGACCACAGTCGGATCCCCATCGGCCACCTCGCCGACGAGGTACACGCCTGCGGCGTCCTCGAACCCGGGAGTGAAGTTGTAGTTGAGCTCGTACGCGCTGTCGAGGCGGATGCCGTCAATGCCGTACGTGCTTACGACGTCGGCGATCCAATCGTACCAGACCGAGTACACGTCCTCGTTCTCGGTGGCCAGGTCCGGCAGCGGCACGATCGTGTCGCCCTCCCAGCAGTCCTGGATCGATGTGATGACGTCGTAGTCGATCTCGCAGTACGAGTGGAAGTGCGAGCTCGAGTTGAAGGGGCTGAACATGCTGTAGTCAACGTCCTCGGGAGACCCGTCATAAGCAAAGTGGTTGGTGACGACGTCCATCATGAGATACATGCCCCGATCATGGAGAGCGGTGGACAGGGCCTTCAGGTCCGAGGCTGAGCCGAAGTTTGAGTTGACAGAATAAATGTCTTGAGCCCAATAGCCCTATGTTTTACCTTTGAGTTAGTATCAAGACTAGTGTAGGTTTGTTTCTCTTTTCCTTTCGGGAGATGATAAACAAGAAGAGGCCTTGAGCTCACATGGTACGACTCGCCGTCGGTTGTATCGCCCTCCATTTGTGCCACAAAAGGGGACACCCACACGGCCGTGAATCCCATGTCTTGAATGTAGTCCAACTTGCTGATCAAGCCTTCCCAAGTGCCACCACAGTAGATGCCGTCAGACGCATCACAAGTTGCGGTGGTGGAAAGGTCCGTCCGGGCAAAGCGGTCTGTCATGACCTGATAGATGCTCTGAGAACGCCATTCTGCAGGACTCAGGCATACCACTGGGGCAGCAAGCACTGCTGCCACGAGCAAAGACAGGAGATGACGCTCAGAAGACATAATCCTCCAGTATACCGCAGTTTAAGGACAGAGAAGAGGAAGAGGAAGAAGTAGATACAGACAAATCGCCAACATCGCCTTCGAGCAACACAACGAAACAGTGACAGACCTCAAGTGCATCGTCAAGGACCTTTTATACATAAAGATATATCCACACCACATGTTTCGGCTCTGCAGTGTTCCCAGTCTGATTTTGATATGGTAAGGACTGCAGGATCTCTGGCCGCCTCAACCGTAGGAAACTTGGGCAGGGAGCACCATCCCCAAGGATGTGTGCTTCTTTGTGCGCCCCCCCCCCCCTTCTTCCTCCTCCTACCCTCTCATCCCCCCTCTCTCCGACACAATTCCCCTCCGCCCCACCACACAACCCATATACTCCTTGCATTGTTTGTGTATCCTACTTGCCGACGGCACAGAAAAGACACGTAAGTAAGCCGTCATTGAATGAAACCCGAGCATGTGATGGCCTCGTGAGGAAAACTGTCGGTCAAAGTCCAGATCGCGTGTGTGTGTGTGTGTGCCGGTAATCCCCGGCCAAACTGCGGCGGGAAGCAGGCTGACCACGATACCATCTGACCCCGTCAGGGGACCCATGACGGATGTGGCAGGTGAGAGAAAGAGGAAAGAGGCGCTGTCTTAAAACAGAAGACCACAAAAAGCGACAACAATTCGAAATGGAAGAAGAAGAGTGGCGGAAAAGAAATTGTAAGAGGACGTCGTAGGGCCGTGAACGGGCCGAGCCCCAGGACGTGCACCCATGGTAAGGACCTATCAAGAGGCCGAGAACAGCTGCAAGTTGGTCAGCTGCGGTGTTACACTAGGGGGTGTGCCTGGGCATTTTTGGGGGAGAGAGCCAAGTTTCGGTTAACCATAAGCATGCTTTGCCGCCATACACTCCCCCCACGCACAATGTGAAGTTTTCGACCTATAAAATTAAAGCTGGGTGAGATGACTGCCGAGCGAATCCCTAGCACAAGCTATCATGAGGCATAGCGCGCATTACCCCAGATTTTCTGACGCTTTGTCATGTTTTCGAGTCAAGGCTAACGCGTGGTCAGGTCATCAACTTGATGACCTTCAGACCGTGATTGGTTAGAAGCCTCAGCCGACTTGGATCATTCTTGGGTGGGCAGTCCCCTGATCTGATTGACATGTATTTCTCTCGTAGTCGACAAAAAAAGAAAGAAAACATATCGAAAGAGACGTTTTGTGACGGACGCGCAACCCGAAGACCCGAAAAACATGAGGAATAATAGCCGACTGGAAGGCCGCTGGGCCCAGCGTCTTGTCGACGTCTGCCCGGACCATGGACATACCGATCCAAAAGATCTCTTGCCCACTGGTGAGACTATCACCGTCCAGTATCTCGCCGACGTCTCTCCGTGCTGGGGACACACTGCTCGAAGAGGTCTCGCCGACGTCTGCCCGGGGTTCTGGGCATCTCGACCAGGGGACATGACCGGCATCGACTCCCGGATGTAGTTGGTCGCCCCGCGGGGATGCTGCGACTCAGGAAGGAGGGCCCATGTTGGTCACGACTGGCAAGGTGTCCACTGAGCGATGATGCCATGACGAAGCAGCTCTCTCTCTCTGTCTTCCGAAGAAGGTCCATCGGAAACCTCTCCCGTGCGCTCTTGCTACCGTTTGTATGAGTCTGAGCATCTCTGCTTTTGACTTCAGCTTACTCCATGAAGCAACAGGCCAGATATTGTGCACGCGCCTCATGCTGAGAAAATTGTGTCCAGGGTGACAGTGAGTGGCCTTGCAACAAATACTTGCCTGGTCTTTGTACTGCTTCAGATGGTGGATCATACAGGGCCGACTGAGCTCGTGCACAACACAACTAGACCAACAATAGTATGAAGGTGAGGAAAGCCAGGAGGAGATGGGAAGAGAGATTGTGATTCGAGATATTGCCACCTAATCAAGCTGTGGAAGTTCCCAAGTGCAATAATCTCCTGCAGAGTTCATCTTATCAAAGCCATCAACTCAATCACAGGTGACACACAACGCTGTTGCTGCCTGAGGGTCTGGACCGGAAATGCTGTAGCTTGGTCCAGGTGCTTGTGAGTATTTGTCAAAGCTGAAGTGTTGGCCTTGTTCAGAGTTGCAAGCAATACTGCGATAGAAGTGCCAAGGTTAGCGTCTGCTACATTGATTGGCTGTGCAGGTTTCAAAGTGGAGTGAGGCTTATCTTATCAGTGCAGCCTAACTTTTTCAAAATTTCGAGGCAGGATCGCCTTGGCTTTGTGACGGGTGTGGTCTCCCTCTATTCTGCCTTTTTTTCTCCTTCGACTGTTTCTAGAGGTGGACGAATTTTCATCTTCTCTCCCAGCTGGTTTTTTTTGTACAAGAAAACCCTTCCTCCAATCGATCACTACCCTCTCGATTGGACCAGTCTGTTCTTTACTCAGATTCTCAACGCAATCTGTCACAATGGCACCGATGCAACCTGTTGCCCTCTATGGGCTCGAGGTTCCTCCTGGCGACATCTTGGTCCCAGTTACCCAGTCTGGTCAAGTTACTGTGAGTATTTCAACACTTGAACTCTCTTGTCAGAACAATTGCTTCCCCCTTCCCTTGTTGTTACCACAGCACACTGCTGCCTGCTGTCTAACCTGCAAGTGTAACTTTCGCGATGGCTGACAATACCAGATTCGTCTGACCATGGCTGCCATTGACCCCACCGAGGAGGTCGAGGACGATGACCAGCCCCCTCGTCGCCCCCGCTCCACTCTCAAGCTCATTAAGCAGTCCTTTGACGACACTCAACTTGATGACGACTCTGAGGATGAGGATGAGTATTTGCGCCAGCTCCTTGCTGGCGGTGACCTTTCTGATGAGGACTCCGAGGACGACGAAGACGATGAGGCAAACGGAGGCCCCAGCGACCCCGCCAAGTCCAAGAAGGCTCTCCAGGCCGCCGCCCTGAAGGAGCTTCTCGAGGCCACCAAGGACGACGAGTCGGACGAGGAGATGCTTGATGACGAATCCGACAAGAAGAACAAGAAGGCCAAGAAGGCGAACGGCTCCAAGGCTGCCGCAAACGGCAAGGGCAAGGCCAAGGCCACAGAAGACGACGAGGATCTTGATGAGGACGAGGAGGACGAGGAGGACAGTGACGAGGAGGATGAACTGCAAGATCTCGACCTGCAGCAGTTCACCATCTGCACCCTCGACACCGAGGCTGTGAGTACACAACCCCAGGTGCCCAATAAGTGGCCGAGCTAACTCAAGAATGTCAAAAGCACTGCCAGCAACCCCTCGACCTGACCGTCGGCGAGGGTGAGAAGGCTTTCTTTGTCAACACTGGAACCCACACTATCTACGTCACCGGCAACTACGTCTTCGATGAGGACAGCGCCTCCGTGAGCGACGAGGACTCGGATGATGATGAGTACGACCTCCCTCCGGGTATGGACGAGTTGATTGGCGACGAGTCCGAGGACGAGCTCGACGACATCGATGGCGTCGACCGTGTCGAGGAGGTTGATACCGACGAGGAAGAGGCACCGAAGCTGGTCGAGACCAAGAAGGGCAAGAACAAGCGCACTGCTGACGACGGCGCCGACGGCCTTGATGACCTTATTGCCAAGGAGGAGCCCAAGCTCAGCAAGAAGCAGGCCAAGAAGCTCAAGAACAACGAGGGCAAGGCTGTCGCCGCCGAGAAGGACACTCTCAAGTCCGAGAAGAAGGTCCAATTCGCCAAGAATCTTGAGCAGGGCCCTACTGGCTCTCCTGCGGAGAAGGCCAAGCAGGGTGACAAGGCCAAGAAGCCTGCCACCAGTGTCCGTGTCGAGAAGGGCGTGACCATTGACGACCGCAAGGTCGGCACTGGCCGAACCGCCAAGGCTGGCGACAAGGTTGGCATGCGCTACATTGGCAAGCTCGAGAACGGCAAGATCTTTGACGGTAAGGTTCCCTCCGTGATGACCACTATGTTGTACCAAGGCGCTAATGTCTCTCTCCCATAACAGCCAACAAGAAGGGCCCTCCCTTTTCATTCAAGCTCGGAAAGGGCGAGGTCATCGAGGGCTGGGATATTGGCGTCAAGGGCATGGCCATTGGTGGCGAACGACGCCTGACGATCCCAGCCAGCAAGGCTTATGGCAGCAAGAGCCTGCCGGGCATCCCGGGCAACAGCACCCTGATCTTCGACATCAAGCTGTTGGAAATCAAGTAGAGGGGAGGTCAGCCAATCTGCCGTGGCTCTTACGAGGACAGTAATAACGAGGAAGTTGGATCATAGTCTAGTCACTTTGGTTAAGTACACAGACTGATGATCCCTCCAAGTGTCAGAGGGTTGTTGAGCATGATTTTCATTGTACCGTTTCTGCCGTGTACCCAACCCTTAGGTTGGCTATGGGCTTGTGAGTTTCAGCAACGGAGTCCTCTGACCTGTATGCAGCCTGCGAGGATCCAGTCACCACAGACACGGGAAGCAGACTCTGTCAGAGGGGATGACGAGGTCTACATTGCATCTGGATGGCGTACAAAAATCGGGGGTTCCGCTTGGGTTCTTGTTAAGTCTGTCGAATTTCTGTTTGCTGTCCGATCACACCTGATCTGCTGAAGATAATCCGGACAAGTCAGCGCTCTTAAATCAAAATTAATTTCATCAACAACCTCAGGTCTACTGGTGTGCGTCATGATCAATGTGTGACATGAATGGAATGAGCTATACGGGTATGCCAAGGTTCGTGAGGAAGGTACCATGGTTCCTGGGCAACGTTAGCTAATTGTTTCCAAGGTTCCTCTCTTCCAAGTAGCCTGGTCTGGTGTGTCGTGGGTAGGAGCAGTTCATCCAAACGTCAAGTGCGATATACAAAGGAGTTGTTGATTTTGGATCTTTTCAACTCCGTGCCTCCGTTCCAACACTTCCTCTCGTTCAAGTCTTCTTGGTGCAGTGTCTCCAGTCTCTTATTTTGGGGAAGAAGCCCTTGTCTTGGGCATCTGTTCTTTAGTTTTCTTCTTCTCTTACCCCTCTCACTATTTCACTCTCTCTGTCTCTCTGTCTCTCTTTTCTTGGCTTGTTTGAGACTACTGATGACTGTCTTATGTCATAACTCCAAATGGCCTCCTATTGAACAAGATGAAGAGGAAGCATTCTCAAGACCAGGGCCAACCGGCATCATCGATCATTGCTGTGAAGCCAAATTCCTCTACACCAGAAGCTAGGCTACCACCCTCTGCAAAGCCTTCCAGACTTCGTCGTCAGAGCTCCAGATTAGTCTCGGCTCTGAGGTCACTAGCAAGTCGTAGTCACAGTCAGTACCACTGTGCATTTCCCCAGCCAGACCTCGCGGGGCGATCAAGGCGAAGCCTTCTGGACTGACTGACTCCAGCCTCTGCAATTTCTGGGACTGTTGAGGCCCACACAACTTTCAGTACATCACACGAAAGCTCACAATCCAGGGGCCAGCCACAACACCAGGAGTATTCTGGGCTCTTATCCAGACCAGACCTTAACCTCAAGAGGATGGCAACTACTCTCTTTCGAACCCCCATTGAGCCCACTGTCATTTGGCGACCTGCCGCTAAGGAACGGCCTTCAGTTCAGTCCTAGGAGGCTGCATCTGCAAAACACCCTTCACCACCTTCACCGCTAACTCAGGCGGGGATGGAGTCGTCTACTTCCGCATCCAAGTCGAGCCCGACCTCCAGTGTGTATACCGTCAAACAGTCCGACTCCACCAGCAAAACGTCTGTCGAGTCCAAAACGTTTTCCAGCAAGGATCGATCTTCTGAGAAGAGAAGCCCTCTGGGGAAGTGGAAGAATCAGCAGCATCCTCAGCTGATCATCCCCGAAACCACAAATGGCAACCTCGACACCATTCAGGAGAGAGAGGGCGAACGAGAGATCACGCCGACCGTCGTTACCGTGGAGAAGGCTGCTGCGGCCAAGATTTTCCTCGAAACATACTACAATGATTTGCTGAACAGGCCAAGCCAGCGTGAGGCGCGTCTCCACGCTTTGGAAGGTGAGCTGTGGCACATGGGCGAGGCGGTGTCTGATGCAGGCAAGGAACAGCTGCGGGCCCAATTCTTTTGCAACGAGACGCGTCACCTACGGCAGACGCGGGTCATGCGAGCCCGGACGATGAGATCGTTGACCGAGGGCAGAGGCGCAGTTTCTTCCTGCTGTAGTGACTACCAGCCTGTCAAGGCACTCGGAAAAGGGAGCTTTGGTATGGTGAGGCTTGTCCGAGAGAAACTACAGCCGGGCGACGACCATTCTCAGAAGAGGGTATTTGCAATGAAAGTCATTCGAAAATCTGCCATGCTTCGCACCAGCCAGGAGGGCCATCTCAGAGCCGAGCGCGACTTTCTTGTTGCTTCTGAGGGGTCCAATTGGTACGTTGCATCATCGTGGCCTCGCTGAAACCATTCACTTCGATACTGACGACTACACCCGACAGGATTGTTCCTCTGATATCCAGTTTCCAAGACTATTCCAATCTTTACTTGGTCATGGACTACATGCCAGGTGGAGACTTTCTTGGTCTGCTCATCCGAGAGAACATCCTCAGCGAGCCTGTTGCGCGCTTCTACATCGCAGAGATGATCGTGTGTGTCGAGGAGGCTCATGCACTCCGCTGCATTCATCGCGATATCAAGCCCGATAACTTTCTCGTGTCGGCATCAGGGCATCTGAAAATCTCGGACTTTGGCCTAGCTTTTGATGGTCACTGGTCGCATGACACCTCCTACTACCATGCCAGCCGCTACTCGATCGTCCAGAAGTTAAACCTCAAAGTCGAGGGCGATAAGCAGGACAGACAAGATGCGCAAACCCCCTCACACAGTGGCAAATGGGGTTCCAATGTCATGGTGGGCCTTCACAAACACGAGAAGCAGAACCTGTGGGACGGAGAGCCCCTCTTGCAGTGGCGGAACCGCTGTGGGATGAGAGGGTCGGCCAGGTCGGTCGTGGGAACAAGCCAATACATGGCCCCAGAGGTGATTAAGGGCACCGCATATGACGGTCGCTGCGACTGGTGGAGCATCGGCGTCATCCTCTACGAATGCCTCTACGGACACACGCCCTTTCTGTCAGACGAAGGCAGGCAGAAAACAAAGCAAAATATCTTGGTGAGCTCTGCTGTATGGACCTGTTGGGCGCCCGAAGATACAGCGAAACTGACTTCGAGCCTACGCAGAATCACCAGTCAGCCTTTTCGTTTCCGAGTCGACCCTTCGTCTCCAACCGGTGCCAGCACCTCATTGCCAGCCTTATCCAAGCCAAGGAGACACGACTATGCAGTCGACGATACCAGTTCAAGGATATGCAACAGCGCTCCCAGCAATACTCAAGCGGCAGCGGAAGCAAAGGCAGCCAGACGGACTTCACTGGACGTTTCGTGTTTCCTTATGATGCTAAGGATATCAAAGCACACAAATGGTTCAAAAATGTGCCTTGGGACAGGCTTCACGAGCTCGCGCCACCATTCGTGCCAATGATTCGGTCCCCGGATGACACTCAGTACTTTAACGAGGATGAGCCCATCACGGACCTATCTGACACTGACGACGACGATGATGACGACGAGGACGAGGATGACAATAAAACCCAGCCGTTGACGCAGCTCGAAGCGTCGAAACAGGTCGCCAGTTTGGAAAATGCAGCTGGTCGGGATGGAGCTGTTGACAATGTCACGACAGCACCTAGCCAAGATCTGTCGTCGGCGTCAACTGTCAACCATACACAACAACAACCAACCCCACCACCCTCGAAACCCTCCTCACCCATCCGACATGGGGCCCAAGCATCCACTACACCGCACGATACACCTGCAGCTACAGCTATATCCAAGCGTGCTCAACGCGAAGCCAACCTTGCTGCGGCTCTTTCCGCTTTTGACAGAAGCATACAGCATGCAGTACGATCGTGGCTGGCCGTTCCGTACGACACCCTACGTCTGCGTAACTTCGAGCTACAGGTGGATACAGAGCCGCGTCTGCGAAAGCCGGAACAGGAAGCTCTGAAGGCTCTCGTACGGATGTACGGCCGGAAAGAGAGGAAGAGACCACGAGATCAGCTGCTGCGTGACCCTCTCACTCGAAAGACCGTGATGGAGGAACGAAAGAAGACGGCGTTCATGGGCTATGATTGGCAGCGGAACCAGGCACCATCTGTGTCTGCAATTATGATGGCGATGATGATGGAGGAGTCATTGAGTCCGACGCAAGGTACGCATGATAGTCTGCGAGCGCCTCCCGAGCTGCAGACGATGGTGACCCCAAACGACCTCAAGATGATGAGTAGAGCGCCAGCGCCTGGTTCCCGTGCAGGCGGGGCTGGCTGGCCGTGGGCCCAAGCTGGTCACGAGCATCTGGGGGCCATGAAGGCACTGCACAGTGGCCGGTTGAGCATGAACTGAAGTGCGTGGTCTTGTTTCTGTCTCGATTTTTGGGGTTGTTTTCGACGTTATATTATTCATCATTGGGAGAATTAACAGGGCAGAAAAGAAGGGGTTGAGTCGCAGGGCGGGCGGACATCCCAAGAAGATGATACAGGCAACGGGAAAGGAAACAAAACAAATCATTGAGGTGGCATTAGTGGAAAGTATCAGTAGCTGGCATTTGTTTTAGAGCCTAGAATTAAACATTATGTGTTTTTCCAGCTTGGTATTGCTTTATCAGATTATGAGCATGACGGCTGCTGCGGTGGGTGATTTTACACCTAGTATTTCGCCACAGTGATGTCCCCAATTCCATCGCCAATCTCGCCCAGAGCCAGAGCTTTTGCATTTTTGACCTCCCACCTGAACTCGTCCAGAGCCCGCTTCTCACTTCCCCTGAAGAACAAGAGCGCCATCAAGCCGTCAAGCACGCCAGCGACCAGCCCAAGACTACTCAGGAGCAGTAGGGCGAAGTTGACGGCGTGATTCTGGACACTGCTCAGTGTGTCGCTATGCGCTGGAATGAACCACACGGCAACATAGCACGCCACCGTGACACAGACCCAAAAGAAAAAGTGATAGGTCCGCCACCGCGTCTGGAGGGTCTCGCGCGACATATACGCCTGGATCTCGGAGAGGAGAGCGTTGTAGTCCTGCGGACTGCTGAAGGAGGAGGAGACGACGTCGCCGGCGAGGCCAGCAGCGGACAAGGGGGCGACGGACGAGAGGAGCTGGGTGTCGAAGTCGGCGGCGGCAGCGGCAGCAGCAGCATCCAACTGGTGTTGGTGGGTCTGGTTGGCGGAGAGTGAGTGCCGGCTGGTCGAGGGGGTTGGGGACTGTAGCGAGAGAAAGGCGCCTGCGGCGGGGGAGCGGAAATCTTCTGGGTCGACGCCAGCCTCCTCCCCCTCGCCTGTTCCAGTGGCAGTGGCGGCGGCGGCGGTGGTGGTAGTAGCCTGGTCCGGCTGAAGCAGCTTAGTTGTGGACCGGCGAAAGGCGCTGAGGCTCGAGAGGCGGCCTGGGGGGAGGGGCCAGTTGCTGCTGATGCTTGGGGTTGCAGTCCCACCACCGCCGCCGCCGCGGCCTCCGTCGCCCTCGGGTGCGGTTGTGTGGAATACGAGGGTGGCCTCGACCGAGAAGTGGTCGGAGAGGCTGCACCCCAGCTCTGGGTGCCGCTGGGTCATGCCCACGCGGGCCTCACGAACCACCCAGCCGCCTATCTCGCGCCTGTTGTCATTGTCGTCGTCGTTGTCGTCGTCGTCCTCCTTGTCGGCAGTAGGGGACGAAATCTCACGCGCAGCGACGGAAGCGAAAATGTAGTCCAGGCGCTTGGCATGGGGGTCGAGAGTGTCGAGGGCGGGCTCACGCAGGGGCTGGCCAGGGCCAAGCTTCCTCTGGGCGGAGCGGGGCCAGCGCCAGGTGTTGAGGACGCTGTTGGAGGTGGCGCCGTTGGCGAAGATGGTGGCCTCAGCGGTGGGAACAGGACGGCGCCTGGCACGCTCGACAGGATCATGCGCGGCGCCGAGACTGCTGTCTGGGTGCAGGACGCGCCAGACATCGCGCACGGGACTGTGGGAGGTGAGGATGGCGTGCTCGGCGGACAATGGGGTCATGTTGAAATCGCCAGCAGCGAGGACGAGGTGGCCCTGATCGGCGGCGGCACGGAGCAGCTTGGCGAGCTGCCAGGCCTGGGCCTCGCGGTGGACACGGTAGCTGTCGCCCTGGTCCGAGGCATAGGGCGCGTGAGTGTGGGTGTTGAAGACGTCGGCGACGTCGGTAGTTGGGTCAGGCCCGAAGCGCAGGCGGGCGTGGGCGATACCTTTTCCTACGTACCAGTCACCACGCCAGAAGGCCGTGGGTCGGCCATTGAGGGTGTAAGGGGTGAAGGTGGCCTCCTCGATGGGCCAGCGGGAGAGGATGGCAAGTCCTGCGCCAAAGGCTCCTGCATAGTAGAATTTACCGTGGGGAAGGAGGGCACGGAGGTGGCGGCGGACTTTGGGTTTTTGTTTTGTTCAATGGTCAGCCGGCTGTTATGGGATCAGGGAAACAGGGCAGACAATATTAAGATGGAAGAAGGGGGGGGGGGGAGGAGGAGGAGGAGGAGGAGGAGGAGGAGGAGGAGGAGGAGGAGAGAGGCTGGCTCACTGGCGAGGTAGTCATCGTGAGCCCAGACTTCCTGCAGGCAGACGATGCTGGGCTGTGGGTGCGTCTGGGCGAGCTGGCGTCCTATCTCGTCCAGTCGGGGTTGGCGGAGTTTAGAGATATTGAACTTGAGGCCCCAGCAGTTGAGAGTGATGATGTTGATCTCTGGAGGAAGCGAGGCCGAAGACGAGGCCATCTTCAGATGTTGTTGTGTGGGTGGAGAGGCTTTGGGGAAAGAAACAGATTCCAGGACAAAATTACATGAGTGATGTCAGAGGAGAGATTTGCCTTGTTCACTGTTCCTTTTTAGAATGAAATTTGCTTATAATGTAGATTGGCATTGTTGAGTAAATATAAGAGTCCTCCTCTCATTACTTCTCATAGCTTCTGGGCATTGACTGAGCCCAAAATAGACACAAAGAGAAGAGATGAGATGAATCAGAGTGTTGGGGGAGAGGAGAGGAAAAATAGATGAAGAAAGGTAAGGACGAAAGAAAAAAGGAAAGCGCGAAGGAAGGGAAAAGGGAGTAAAAAGTCACATAGGCACTGCTGCTGGCTCATTCATGTACCGTGGTATTTACTGCTGATCGCATAAAGGTAATAAAAATATCATCATCATCAGTGGATGTCACCGCGTCAACTCTATTCAGCCTCTTGACGAAAGCAAGGCCAAGAAGGGAAGAAATAAAGAAAGAAAAAAGAAGAAGGCAGCAACACTGGGGCTGTTTAAGGAATCGGCCCAGCGTAGGAGAGAGGATTCATTGGGTGTTTCTCGAGGCAGATGGCAGTGCAGTAGTATTCCGTCATGGGGGGCCGTTCCTCATCTCGCTACTGCATTGGGGGCGCACCTACCGGGATCTTGAAGTCCCAGAAGAACATGCCATCACTAGGAATAATTTAGGTACCGTGGTGGTGGATGCTACAGTAATCATGGGCGCCCCCCAACCCCACGACACACCCTAGACCAGGCTGACCCAGGGCACCTACAGTGAGGGGTTAGGCCTGCCGGGAGGGCCCGGAACTTTTTGCTTTGGCGTCCCTTGCTTGCCTGCCGCTCATGGTAAGCATATCCCTGGAAGGCCATTGAATTTCTGAGAGCTCTCCATTTCCTTGCTTCATTCACATGCTCACATGTGCAGATGCCCACCTTCTCTTCTTCCTCACTTCTTCTCTTTTCTTTTCTATTTTTCTTCTCCCTTCTTTGCAGCCTTTGAATGGGTTCTCTTTCAAGCTTCATTAGCAAATAGCCCTTCAATTACAACTAATTTGATCCAGGACAATCTGCATCTGCAAACGAAGAACGTGACAAAAAGGAGCACGTTTTCACAGGGCAGCCTGAACCTGAGCCTGCCCTTGTCATTGTCGTCCCCGTCCTCCCTCACAGCTGTGCAGTTGCTTCGCTCTTTGAAGTGTAGACGACGATGGCTGATCCAGAATCCGACATTGGAGAATCATCATCTTCAAAACGGCGGAAACGGAATGACGGCACCGCAGAACACACCTCCTCCGAGGAACGCGACCCATCCCCCGCGCCCAACAACGAGGATGAGGTCCACGAACTCTCTATACGAGCCGGCCGCCCAGCTTCACGGTCACGGAGCAGGAGCGCAGGCAGCGGTGGTGCAGAAACGCGAGACAAGGGCTATGACACCTCGCGTTCACAGTCGCAGTTGCGATCCCCCTCCAGATTGAGGTCCAAATCCAGATCCAGGTCCAGGTCCAGAGATGGATCACGCTCGAGCTCCGGATCACGCACACCACGTTCCCGCTCGAGATCCCGCTCGAGATCCCGATCGCGCTCACGGTCCGACTCCCGCTCCAGGTCGCGCTCTCGCTCGTCCACCTCCTCCTCCCGCCGCACCCCCCACCGCTCAACCTCCACCTCCCGCGACCGTGCCCATGCCGCCCAGGAGCGCAGGCCCTTCCGTCCCGAGTTCAAGGCCCACCTCGAGCTGCGCGGTCATGCGAAACCTATATCCCAGGTGCGCGTCTCCCCCGACGGCCGCTGGATCGCCTCTGCCTCCGCCGACGGGACCGCCATGATCTGGGACGCCACGACTGGTGCACACATAGACACGCTCGTTGGCCACATGGCCGGCGTCTCTTGCCTGGCGTGGAGCCCAGACTCCGAGACTATCGCCACGGGCAGCGACGACAAGGCCATCCGGCTCTGGAACCGCACCACGGGAGACCCCGCGCACGCCGTGGGCGCCGACGAGAACCTGCCCCCGGGCGAGAGAATAGCCACCTCGGCCAGGGGCATCGGCGGCAGGACAGACCGCGGGGTACGAGGCAGTGGGGGGAGAAAGCCGCTGCTTGGCCACCACAGCTATGTGTACTGCTTGAAGTTCTCGCCAAAGGGGAATATGCTCGCCAGCGGGAGCTACGACGAGGCCGTGTTCCTGTGGGATGTCCGTGCAGGGCGCCTTATGAGGAGCCTGCCGGCCCATAGCGATCCCGTCAGCGGCATTGACTTCTGTATGGACGGCACACTGGTGGCTAGCTGTTCTACGGATGGGTTGATGTGAGTAGCTGTACTGTTCTGTACTGGTACAGCCCACAGAGAGTCCTTTCAGGCATGAAGAGCTGACCTATTGTCTTCTTTGTTATCACATAGTCGCATCTGGGATACCGCCACCGGCCAGTGCCTCCGCACCCTCGTCTACGTAGACAACCCCGCCGCATCCTCCGTCTGTTTCTCTCCTAACGGCCGCTTCGTCCTCGCCAGCTACACTGACTCCTGCATGCGGCTCTGGGACTTCATCAACATGCCCTGCACCGTGAAAAAGACCTACCAGGGCCACGTGAACAAGAACTTTTCCGTCGGCGGCTGCTTCGGCCTCCTGCGGTCCATGCGCAAGGTCTTGGTCCCGGCTGCGAACAACGATGAAGACGACGGCGTCGAGAACGACTTTGCCGAAGAGCAGTGGGAGGAGGCAGACAGCGTCGCCTTTGTCGCGAGCGCCAGCGAGGATGGAGACATTGTACTGTGGGACGTCAAGAGCAAGGAAATCCTGCAGCGCGTCGAGCGTGCCCACCAAGGCGTGTGCTTCTGGGTCGACGTCCACGGCGAAACGGGCACCATGGTCAGCTGTGGCCAGGATGGGCGCATCGTGGTGTTCAGGCACCGGCCTCCTGAGACGAACAACGGCGGCAGCGGCGATGGTAGTCGCGACGAAAAGAAGAACAGCTTGGTAGTCAACGGCCACACCAAGCGCGGAGACGATGGAGATCAGTATCCGGAGGAGAGCGAGAATCGCACAGGGAAAGAGGAGGAGGAGAAGGAGGAGGAGGATGAGACAATGCGCGACGCTGCGCCTGGGCCAGAGACCAATGCTGAGCCTGACGTCGAGCCTGCGTCGGGGTTGGAGCCTGTGCAGGCTAACGGCCATGCATATGACGAGGGAGAGACCCAGGCAGGAGAAGAAAAAGGCCCGGAACCTGGCCCTGTGGAGGGCGGCATTGCAATGGACGAGCCGATTTCCTCTGCTGATTGAACCCTCATTCTAGCATAACGAAAGGCTTCATTCAGCCAGTCAGGTCTGGAAGCACCCGCGGGCGATTCCTTGAAGGATGAAGAGGAAATATAAATCTAAGTCAAGGAGAGTGGTATCACAAACATCCTGCGCTCTCCCTCTGTCTCCCTCTGTAAGTGTACGTGGTGTGCGTGTGTGTTTGTGTGTGTAGTCGGGGGCCTAATTTATCAATTTGTCTCCTCCAAAACTTTAATCACCTGTGAAACCCCTTGTCCAATTCTGCCCATGCCTCATCAATCATGAAGAACAATGACCGTATGCAACTAACAAAAGAACGCCTCTACCGAGACCCCGTCGCGTCTTCCCAGTCTCTCAGACTGCACACAGTTACTACCCACGCCATGCCCCAAGCAGCAATCACTGTTGAGAAGAATCTTCTGCCAACTCTGCACACAGTCGACCGGGTGGCGTCCACCCCCCCTCCCCCCCCCACATTCACTGATATCGAGCCTCTCAATCATCCGGCTCATCCTCCTATTCTTCTACGCCCTCGCCTTCATCAAACACCTCCTCATGCTCCCCGGCCTCCTCGTCCTCATCGTCAATCTCGTCTTCTCCATCTCCATCTTGCTCTTCCTGGTCTTCCTCGTCATCCTCATCACCAATCTCCTCTTCAGCCTCCCAGTAGTCGGTTATGTTCGCAGCCAACTGCTCGAGCAGATCCATCTCCTCATCCTCGTCCACATCATTCTCTTCTTCATCGTCTTCTTCTTCGTCCTCTGCCTCGTCATCAAGCCGGCGAGCAGCCTCATGGAACCACGTTGCCATGATCCCCATGGGATCCCGAAAGAAGTCGTCTAGCTCCTCGAGATCGGGGTCCAACTCCTCGAGATCAAGGTCCATATCGTCTTCTTCCTCCTCCTCCTCCTCCTCCTCCTCCTCCGTATCGTCGGGTGTGGTGTCTATGTCTTCATTGCGGCCGACGTTCCAACCATTTAGTCATATGGTCTCCCAGCCGCCAGTATTAATGTCCGACTCGAGTCTGCGCGAGATGAAGGAGGGAATGCCGCCAGTGAGCCATACAGTGCGGAGCAGTGAGTCGTAACGTTTCTGGGACAGGAAGAGCTGTCGATAGTGCCGAAGGCCCATGTCCGTCTCGCCGTACGCGTCGATGTAGGGGGCGTGGCTGAAGGATCCGGAGTTACGGTGCAGATAGAAGGCCGCGCATTTGCGGATGCTGATAAAGATGCCGACGCTGCCTTGGCATCTGTTTTTTGTTAGGCACATGACTGTCAGCTTTCCATTTCTTTTTCTCGTCACACAAGTAGTTTCTTCCTTCCCTTCTCCTTTTCTTCTTCTGGGGATATCTGGGTTATATCTGCTTCACTTACTTCCGCATGTGCTGCTGCGCACCACCAATTCTGTTGGCAGACCCACGACGCCTCACCGCCACCGGGTCCAGAGCAGAGCAACAAACACTCTGCCCGCAGAACACTTCACCACAGAGCAGGCAGATCATCGGGTCTGAGACGTCTTTGCCGCTTCTGGGACACCGCCGCTTCGTACATTCCTCTATCAGCGTATCGTAGTTCATTGGTAGACCGATGAGCTCGAAGATGCCCGGGTGGCTGAGGAGCTGCTCTGCGGCCTGGTATTCCTGGGCCATGGGGCTTGGCTTGGTCGAGTACGGGCTGCTCCACCAGGCATTGTCATGTTGGATCCAACCGCGCACGAGCTGGTCGCAGAGCGCACTAGGCCAGCCGACGTGGATGCCGAGAGGGGTGAGGGCTGCACACATGCTGTCGAAATCGGGCAGGCGGAGAGCCTCGGTGAGGCGAACAAGCTCGTCTTGCTCTGGTTGGGGGGAGATATGGCTGTTGAAGTCGACGCCGTACTTGACGTAGAGGAGAATGACGCACTTGCGAAGGAAGCACTGGGCATACTTCTTGGTGAAGGCGTAGTAGTCTGCGATGGACGTGAAGCAATCTTGGTCGAAGCCACTCGACGCAGGCGCCTCGGGCGTCACGGCGTCGCTGCCAGCATCATCGCTGCATGTGAAGTCAAGGTTCATCTTGTAGATGGTCTTGCAGAATTCGGCAAAGTTGACGAGATTCCTGTCTTCAATGTTCTCGCAAGCCATCCACTCCGGGCCTCGCTTGACCTTGCAGATGCGCTGGACTACCTTGACGATCTCAGCGAGGTAGTAGACACGGAGGAGATACGAAACCTCAAACCCATGAGCTGCGGCAACGCCGAAGATACTCTCACAGAGCAAGATAAAAGGGTCCGACGCAAGCACCGGCGTCAGCTGCAGGTACTTGTCGTCCAGAGGGGTACCTCCAGTGTCATGTACGAACAGCTGCATGTGCTGTTTGGTGGTCATGGCTTGGAACTCGGTGACGACCCTGTTCATACCACCGAATTTCTGCCCACCAATGGCAATGTACGACGTGACTGTCTCCGTGAAGGTACGAAGGTGGGTGAGAGTCGACTCGGAGATTCTCTCTAGTAACAAGGAGCCGTACTCAGCATCCAGGCCTCTGTGCTGGATCTCGACAGATGAGATGGAATAGCCGACGGCGGCAGCCAAGACGTCAATGTTGCTCAGATCCGCGGGGTTCCTAGCTTTGTCATAGTTGATAAGTGGGTTTGGCGGCAAGGCGAGAGCGTTGATCTTGATTGTATCTCGAAGACGACGGTATACCCGCACAAGTTCGGTCATGGGAGTGTTGGTTTCGGCCATGCCGCTGGGGTCAGGGGCGTCGCTGCGAAAGGGTTCTCCGAATGGCACGCCTACAGGCGTCTGCTGCGTACCCGACTCCCATGCATCAAGCACGAGGTGCGAAGATACGTCGGCCAGTCTGGGCAGCAGAGAGCCTTTCGTGTAGTGGGAAAACATATTGACGGACTGTGTCGGAGACTGCGTAGACGGGAATGCGGGTCCCGACGACAGATTCTCCTTGAGGAACATGGCGAAAGATTCCGAGGAGACCTGGACGTCGGTAGATGTTTGGAGCGCACCGGGATAGGACTCCTCCTGGCCCTTCCAGATGATAGGCAAGAACACGTTGCCGAGGGCCTTGCAGAGTGGACAGACAAACTCTAGGCGCGTGGGGTTCTCAGGATGATGCCGTGCAATCTGCTGCCTATGTCTCTGCTGGGTCGCGTCGAAATACACCTCAAAACAGCTGTAGTGCATCATGTGACCACATCCGGTGGAAAGTGGTCCTCTTCGCACAGCTGCGGAAGGAAAGCCCTTGCCGATGACCTGGCGCTCGGTCGTGAAGATCTCGCCCTTCTGGTTGACCTTCTCCACCTGAATGCGGTTTTCATGGCTCACGCCAAACGGTCGGATATCCTCGGCGGATCTGTCAAGGTTTTTGGGGACCTTGGTTACTTCTCGCACAAAATCGGGGTTGGAAAGATCTGTCTGCCGCATAATTGCGCTCTCTCTGAGAAAAGCGAATGTCCCGTACAGCCGACGATCATCCGTGTCCTCCTGGCACAGAATGCACGTTCCCGATGGATATTTCCAGAAGTTTTTCTCTTCCACAGGCTCTGGGAGTTCATCCTCTAGGTCATCCACATCGCCCCAGTCGATATCCTGCTGCTGGGCCATGAAGTTCTTCTGCTGCTGCTGGAACTGAGCCATCACTTTGGCCTGACGGTCCAGGGCAGCCTTTTTCTTGCGTTCGCGCTCCTCTTCCGCATTCACATTGACGGCTGGCGAGGCAGTGCTGATTCTGTCGACAGGCACGCCAAGACGCACATAGGCTGCCTCAAAATCCTGTGGTCGCTTCTGACGCATCCGTCGCAGGATGACCCCAATCCTGGTATGGCAGGCCTTGAGCTCCTGCTTGGTCGACATGAGGTCCAGGAGAGAAACAATTGTTCTCGCTGCAGGGGCATCCGGCATCAGGCTACCCAGAGAGGTTTTGGTGAGGGCATTGTGTATGAAGGAAGGCCGTGAATGGTCCCCCTCGGCACCCTGGTCTTCGGTGACGGCGATGAAAACGAGGTGCAACACAAGGTGCAGGTAGATCTCGAGCCTTGAGGATGGCACAGTTGGTGTCAACTTTGGGCTGAGAAGAGCGTACAGCAGGCTGTAGTATATGACCTGGGCGAACATGCCCGTGCTGGTAACCTCGGACAGTCCTGCAAAGACACCGTCTTCTATCGGCCGCAGCTTCGGCTCGTACACCAGGTCCTCGACCGGCTTGCCTGTCTTCTTGGCCATGAATTTACGCCACGCATTCTCTGATTCTTCGCGCTGGTTCTTGGTGTAAATTGCGGTGAATGGATCGATCTCCTCGACACACTCTTCCTTCAGCTGAAAGGTTCCGACGTCCGAGATACCTTCTGGTGCTTTGTAGTTTGTGACCTCCGCGAGAACTTGAGTGAATTCCTCCTGCTCTTGATACCTCTCAGGTAGTCTGCCACCAATCTCGGTGAATGTAAGGGGCTTGAAGCACAGCATATGAATGAGGTCTCGGCGCATGAACCTGACGCGGCTATCCCGCCCATCATCGAATCGACACAGAGAGGTGCGGTCTGACAATAATATTACGACCAGATGCAGCATGTCTTCGGCGACCTCGATATGCTGAACATCATCTTGGCCCAGTGACTTCTGCTCATAAAGGCCTTTTACCCACTTGTCCATGCCGAAGCGATCGACGATAGAGGCAAGCACGCGGCTGGGGTTGCAGATCACGAGGGCAGTCTGCAGCAGGAAGATGTCCCGGTGGTGGCCCATCTCCCTCTGGGCGATCCCGCGATATGTACCAGACTGGTGGCGCAAGCTCATGCCATTGCGAACCCACATGCTTGATCTCATTTGTGACAGCCATGCACACACCCGCAGAGAGTAATCGACAGCGGCCATCAGGAAATCTTCCGGTTCGTACTCGCGTCTCGGCATCATCCGCTTGCCCATCAGACGAGGCTGCGCTCTCAGGTCTTGAGTCTTAAAGCTTAGAAGTGCTCGCATCTGCTCAACCGGCATCGACCTGGCACATTCGATGAGCCATGTAAGCGTGTAGTGGAGCGCGTGGTGAAAACTGATGGGTTGTTCTTCGACAACAAATTTGACCACTTCATACTTGGTCGGCTCGGAGTCAAACTCGAAGTCAGAAAGGACCTTGAAGCGAACTTCATCTTTGATTTCGGCCTGACTGAACCGGCCACGCTCCGCACCGATCGAATTGATGATGACTGCCTTGGCTGCCAGGCGGATGGCCCAAGATAATTGGGCAGGCTCGGCCTTTTCGAAAGCCCTGCTGAAGAGACGACACAGTCGGTTGATCTCTCTGGTGATCAGAGACGCACTGATCCACGTATCGGTTTCGTATTCAACGTGCTCTCCCACGGCCCTAGTGTTTGGGCAGATCCCCTGATGTAGCTTGACCAGATCGAGGAATTGCATCATGTACCTCTCATCGGTCCGCAGACGATTTTGCACATGTGGGGACAAAAACAGATATTTGAGGTCCGCGAAAAAGTGGTACATGCGTCTGTTAGTAACAGACCCGGAATCAAACGCCAACACCGCGGTGTCAGACACATTCCAGGGGTGTGCAACTTGTCGCGTAGTCAAAAAGGTATACAGGATGGCTATCAAGCTGGTGAGAAAGTTGCCGCGCTCCACGACCTCGGCAGTAATGGAGGGGGTCGTCAGCATCTGTAGGGAAAGGTTGATGATGGAGTGGTCTGGCTCCCGATCTGCAATGAGATAGAGCTGGGCCAAGGTGGTGTACAGTCCAGCAAAGCGCAGTCCGAGGACTCGCTTGAACTCGGGTATCGTCACAACTGTGGAGATGTAGAGCGAGCGCAAGTCGTTACGGACCTTCTTCCACATTCTCAAGTCAAAGAGAATCATCCAATCTAGGCGGACTCGCTGGAAGACATTTTCAGCGGGCGGGACGTTGCTGGTGTCCATGTACGCAGCAGGCGCGAGCAGCCAGTACCAACCAGATTTTGGTGGTGCTGGGTTTCGCCGAGTGTTTCCTGGCGTCTTCGGAATCTCGAGGCTGTTTTTGGCGTAAATAGTCGACGGTATGAGAGGCTCCGCAACATCAGAATCAGAAGGTGTCATGTCTCCTTCCCTGGTGGTTCGGCGGGACACACCCGGCGCTGGAGGCGGTGGCGGTGGCGGGTAGCCTGCCATTGTCGCCTCGTCGGCCTCGAGCGCCTCATCGGCGCGCCAATCCGACATGTTGACGTCTTCAGAGGCTCCAGGAGCTGTGTCCAACATCACCAAGTCCTCCTCATCATCCTCGTCCTCATCCATAGCGTCGCGGGAAGACGTCGGTGTGTTGTCGCCCTCAGCGTCGCCGTCGCCGTCGCCATCGCTGTCGTCATCGTCGCTCGCAGGTGGTAGGGTAGCAAGATGTCGTGTGACCACCACACGTGCCTCTTCCATATCGGTCGCACCCAAGAACCTAAACTGTTCATAAGGGAACACAACCATAGACCGCTCAGCGGCTTCGGTTTCCTCATCATCAATACCACTCTTTCCCACCGATCTGTGAGTGGCGAGGCTGCCCATCCTCCATGGTTTGAGAAACTCTTCGCAGACGATGGTCCGCAGCACAGAATGGTCGTCGCCCACGGAACAGCCAGAAATATCCTTCAGCCACTCAATGATGGTGCCGCACATCTGTTCGCGGAAGGTGTCGCGCGAGGAGCGAATCGTGACCGTAACACGAATATGCTCCAGCGTTGTGGCGATGCCCAAGAGCTTGTCGATGTCGTCACCATATGTGAGGATGCTCCGGCCGATGAGGTCGGTCTCGTAGGCCTTTTCCACACCAGTCCTGAGCGTTGTTCCGCATGCCCTTGCCACCTGGTCTCTGACATCGTCAACGGTGTGCTTCTCGTCGTTCCATAATATGACGGCGTATTCGCTCGCCGGTTCCACATCTCCGCCATAGTACGTCGACTGCAATCTAGATGTCCTCTCGTCGTGCCTGATCGAGTCTTTGGTCTTTGTCTGACGCAGCTGCTCGGGCGAACAAGATATCACATCACACAAATAGTCAATCACCCGACCGATGACCATCCTAATGCTGAAGAGCAAGTCGTCTGGCAGCGGCGCTGCTTCCCTCTCTTTGCCCTTAGGCTGTGCATGCTCCCACATGGAATGTATCGTACAGAACATGGGCGTACGCCATGCCTCATGGTCGCCACAGTCACAACATCCGCTATTGCCGGGCGAAACACTGATCCGCACCATGTGTCCAGTGTGGTCGGTCGCATCGAAGCACTTGGCGCAGAGGCAGCAAGTGTCGTCGACGCCGCACGTCTTGCAGCCATATGATGCCTCGCCCGCCTTGAATATGTGTCCGCATGCCTTTCCGCGAGCGGCCTCCGTGTACTCAGACCCCTCGACAGCGCCTTGGGCGTCCCTGAGCTTCTGAAGCCTGCCGTCGACGAGTATGTTGCCGTTTGGGAAGAAGAGTCGCAAGTAGTCGTCGTTGCCACAGGTCATGAGCCGAAAAAGGTTCTCTAGGAGTAAATCCGCAGCTTCCCCGTTGTATCGATATTGTTTGAGAGCTGGCAGCTCCATCAGAAACTGACAGAGCTGCTGCTCCTGCGTCGACATCGAGATTGGTCTCTCCATCGTTGCGTATTCAGGTCATTCTTGATTGGGAGAGGGAGGTTCGATGCAACACAATAGCGTGCGGGGAACGGATAATCGGGAGGTTGTATAGTTTTGTAACCGCAAACTCTATGGATGGATGTTTTTCTGGTGTCGTTGGGAAAGTGGAGGGTATGGCTTCGATAAATGGGTTGTTGAGCTGGTTGGGAAGGTCAGTTTGTTTATGTTCTCGATAGGGACCCCTCTAAATCGCAGGGTACGTAGTGCATCACAGTGGGGTGGACCCGGGGGGGGGGTTCTAAAGTGGCAACTGGAGAATAAGACGACCGCTGAAGCTGCACCTACATGGAGAGTTACGGGCGTAATAAGCCTCAACAATAGCGGAGGAAGGGAAAAAGGGAGAAGGATAGAAGTAAGACACAAGCTTGAGCTTGGGTCGCAGGGAATTAAGCTGTGACGTGTTTTCTTTGTTGTTGATGTCTGTCTCAGGGAAAGTTGATGGTTGGGCTCTGCGGTAGGATGGGACATGGGCGTCTATACGGTCCACCCAGCAGCATCGACTAGCAGCCGTGCGCTCCGCAGCTTGTTGAGCGGCTCCTCTTCTCTTGCTTTGAACCCTTCACTGTCTCGATCCGCACCCAACTGTTTTCTTGAGACATTCATCTTCACATATCCATCCTGAGAAAACTCCTAGTGTGCAGTAATTGGCCCAGAGCAGCGTTGAATGTGGGCCTCTAGCTTGTTGTCATATTCATCAATTTTGCGATTCCATCTATGCAGACCTCTAAAGCCGTAGAAGTACACCATTGCCAAGTCTGTCCCGGTTTGCTCCTTTAATTCCAAAGAACTGCAGCATCTATTCCGGTTCCCTCCTCTTCTCCTGGCTTTACTCCTCGTCCTCGTCGCCGCCCTCGATGTACTTGGACTTGATGTCCTTCCATTGACGCTGTAACCTAGTCAGCTTCGCCACTCGTACGTGATGTCCAAGGAATTCATGTGTCCCTTACCCCCCGGTTCATCTTGTCCCACAGGCTCTGCGAGCCAACATCGAAAGACCTGCCGTCCTCATATCAGAAAAAGGGGCCCAGAAGCCGTGATGAGTAGCATCGGATGGAGACGTACATCTGGAGGCCGAAGGCGGTGGCGAACACTGCGCCCAGCATGACGAAGTTGTTTCGGAAGAGGACGCTGTGGCTAACGGTTAGAATTTCGAGTCTATCATCATCGGTCGTGCGTGGGTGACTTGCTTGTAGATGGTGGTCTGGCCGGCCTGATGATTGATGCGCGATTAGCTCATGATGGTCCAGTGGGAGCGCCTGGGTGCCGAGTAACATACCATTTTGTCTAAACAGCAGTGCTTCTGGTTGGGGAGGGGGTTGGTCTGGCAGCAAGTGCTCTTTGGGTTGGCAATTCGTCGTTGAGGATGCGTCGATTTGGGGACTGGGAGGCTTCAAAAGATGGATTCAAAATTGGCGATGACTTTCCGGCCATTCCCTAGCCACGAAACGGCCCACTTCTGATTGGCCAAAGCTTCCCCAGACCACCCCACCCGCCTGTGAGGTACCTTGTACATACTGAACTAAGTAGGGACCTGCAGCAGTATTCAACCATACACGCACCCCCACCACAACCTTTGGTCAACGTCCTCACAGACGGCTTCGTCGCAATTCTCAGTGCTGGTGCTGTTGTCTTGCTGTCCATATCATCCCTTCAAAGATTCAATCTTGTTGCCGCTACCTCGAATTTCCCATCAGCAATTCCTCCATCTCTGGTATACTGCTGAAAGCCTAACGGCCTACCCTGCGGAATCTGAGTCCGATCATCGCTCATCCGCCTCGAATCTTCCCCTACCCGCGCGTCTTCTTGCCTCGTGCGAAGTCAAGATGTCCGCCCAACCAAGCAACTCTGGCATCGTGACCAACTCCACCGGCGAGCGCCACATACCTGAGTCGACCCGCGCGGACGGCTCCGTACGGAAGGCCATCAAAATCCGTCCTGGCTACAAGCCTCCCGAGGACGCCGAGATCTACAAGAACCGAACCGCCGAGACCTTTCGCAACCGCTACAAGGGCGGCGTGATCGGCGCTGAAGCCGCCACGTCAGGTTCCACCGCCAACGGTACACTTGCAACTTCGTCAGCGGCTGCGAACAAGAATGCCAAGCGGCGCGAGGCGCGCAAAAAGGCCAAGGCTGCCGGTGAGGCCGGCGGCGAAGAGGAGGAGGACGGTGAAGGCAAGAGCAAGGACAAGAATGCTCAGCCACCCAAGACTGGTGAAGGGGACGAAGCTGCTGTTGATCCTGATGTCGAGCGCAAGAAGAAGGCTAGGAACCTCACCAAGAAGCTGAAGCAAGCCAAGGAGCTGAAGAGCAAGAAGGACGATGGGCAGTCTCTGCTCCCTGAGCAGTTCGCCAAGGTGATCAAGATCAATGAGCTCGTCCGTGAGCTAGCTGCCCTTGGCTTTGACAGTGAGGGTGAATCTGTCGAGGAGGATGCCAAGGGTCAGGACAAAAAGGAAGAGGCCCCTGCCTGAACAGGATATGGAAATGGAAGACCTTTTGGTTCACAAATCATGTCTGGGTGTTCCAGTCGGAATCCCTCCCTCCCCTCCTCTGCCACAGCTATCATCACTCTGATTGATGACAAGCTATACCCGAGCATCGAGCTGTCCACAGACTTCACCGAAATCAGCAATGATCACTTCCCTCAGAACAACAGCCTGCGACTTGGGCTGGTAGTTAAGGACTTGAGAGGCTATGGACAGCAGTCAATACTGCGGATCATGCAAACAGCCTGCAACATGTTTGGCTGCTCTGAGCAGCCCGCTCAGTTGAGATCAAGAGCACTCGACACTTGAAAGACTATCCTGCCTTGGACATGATGTCTCCAATATTCCACTGGAAGACATGACGAGGAAGAGGCTGAAGGGGACTAATGGTTGAGAGAGCACAATGATGGTACCAGGTGGAATTATGAAAGGGTGGAACATCACAGACCAAGCTGGCGGCTCAGGGGAAAGACCAGGGACAATAAATATTATTAAGGGAGGGAATTCTAAAAAGAGTCTTGTCCTCTTCAATCTCATATGACTTGCATGATGGGATGCCTTTTGCTTTCGCCTGCGTAACAGCGATAATGCTACTAACAAGCCAAAGCCATGATTTCCAGCAATTGCTCTCATATAAGTAAAGCCAAACATACGTCAAACAGAGCACATACAGTAACGCAGTAGTGGTGATGCGTAGTACATCAAATGCAGAGACACCACCGATTTGACAAAAATCATGCGTCTGAAAGGAAGAAAACACATCAGAGGAGCAGGCCCGTCCAAGGGGGCTTTCGAGACTGGCAATTCAATATGCTCAAGCTCTTTGATCATCATCAATATACATTGGAGGGATGAGTGGTCATCATGCCCTTTTGGAGTGGTGTTTCAGATGCCAACGCCGTCCTAAATCACTTTTCCTTGCCCGAAGAAACTCTTTCAAATCTTCCCGAGTTTGCAACCCCCGAAAACCCAATCAGCCCAAGATATTTGTACAGAGGTTCTATATGTTCAGACGGCTAGACACGCCGGCAAAAAGTGGCGTGCGGGGTTACAATAGCCCAGACATGAACGCGCGACCGGCGTTAAAAGAGAGAGCAAAGAAGCGGATAATTAGTGCCCCGGGTTGAACAGATGTTGCAGGAAACAGGGAGGACAGCTTGTCGCTGCAGCCATCTTGAGAGAGAGAGAGAGAGAGCAGGGTGTCGGTGACGAAGTACTCAAATATACTCCCGTGCGCTCTTCTGCATCTCAATCAACCGCCAACCTCTTGTCTCAGGGTTGTTGACATCATCCGGCGTCCTTGTAATACCAATGGCGTACGTGACCAACTGAACCTTGTCCTCCATTCCAGCAGCAAGCTGATTCGTCTTCGCGTTGCGGTAAACATGCACCTCCTGTGTCCTGGCGGTGATGATGAAGACAGGGATCTCGCCGGGTTCCAGCATCCTAGCCTTGAGTATATCGACGTGTCTGATGTCGAGGATGCGGCCATCCGATTTAAGTCCGGCTTGCAGGTATTGCTTCGTGAGGGCCTCGTAGACAGAGTATTGCGCCTCGGAGAGCCAGAGCTTCAGGGTCTCCACATCGCCCTTCACGTAGGCGTCGAGAACTTCGGGTAGTATGTACTCGCGTAGCTCGCGCAGGAATGGCTCGACCTGGAAAGCAGGGTCCATGGACCGGAACTTCTTGATAACCATCGCAGTCTCGTTCTCGGCGAAGAACCCAGCCACACGGTCGGTGATGCTGCGGGCGGTGAGGATGAGGGGGTTTTCAGACTCGTTGTACACGTCCTTCATGCCGAAGACGCCCTGTACGAACTTGTTGGAGTCCTTGAAGTTTTTCCACGCCTCCTTCCATTGGGCGTCCTTGTGGACGGTGATGTTGGTGCCAGCGCTGTGCACAGCAAAGATTAGACATTAGGACTGAGCTCAACTGAGGAACAGTGGTAATGAATGTCCAACATACTTGGGGTCCTCCTCGATCACCTCGGGCTTGCGGCCCCCGTCCAGCTGCTCACGAAGCTCCCTCTGCTTCCTCCGCTCCTCTTTGTCCACCCAACCGCCATACCGCGAGCTGCTCCCGTCGTCTATGACGCTTTTCACACTCTTGAAGGCCTCGGTGTCCCGAATCGGCTTGGTGGTCTTGTCGATGACCTCGCCTGTAGCATTCGCCGCCTTGCGAACCCCCTTGACGACTGAGGTGTCCCACGTCCACGCCGCACCCTTGCCCACCGCACCGGCTGTGTTCTTCAGCACTTTTCCGGCAGTCGAGGACATGGCGCCGGTGGTCTTCTCGTATGCCTCGCGTGCTCGTCGGACAGACTCGCTCTCCACAAAATCGGTTGCGCCCTGTGCCAATTGCTTTGTCGAGTCGTTCCATTCTTTAGACGCCTTGAACTCGGTCTGCATGGTCTCCATGAACACCTGCCATGGAGTCTTGTCACCGTGGGGAGGTGGCGGTGGTAAATCTTCCTTCTTTTCCTCTTTTTTGTCGCTTTCACCCTCTTCGCCCTCGGCCTTCTTCTCGCTGCTGGACTCTTCTTGAGGCTCGTCCTGTTTTTGGGTTTGATCCTGCTCTGCAGCGGCTTCTGCCTTGGCCGACTCCGTTTGCGCTTTGTTTTCGTGCTTGGTTTCGGGCTTCACATCTTGCCGGCTTGGGGGGGTCATGTGAAAAGCACGAGACTGAGGCGCGATGGTTGTCCGTATCGCAGAAGGGAGGAATTGAGAGCGTAGAAGGGGTATCTGCGCAGGTGTAGTGTAAAAATAAAGCGATGCTATAGATGATTCATTGCTCTGCGACACCAAACGACCCGATAATAACCTCCGGAAAGCTGGCGATCTGCCATACGGGTGTGCGGATGCATTCAGCGCAGAAACCCTGGAGGCTGAGGAAGAGGAGGAGGAGAGAGGAAGTGTCCTCGAGACGGATCTTAAGGAACTCATGATGGAATAGGATAAAGAGGCGCACCACCCGGAGAAGGGTAAAACTCCTAGAGTAGGTGGCGGAAGGGTAGGTGGTGATGATGAAGATGATGATGATGGGAGAAGCAGGAACAAGAGGCACTTCGAAAATTTGGGAGGCGTGACGGAAGTTTTGCTGGGGTCTGCCGCGGGCCAGAATCGGAGCTTTTGGGGGCAGGCAAAAGCGGGAGCCCTGGGCAGCGGCAGGCGACAGGTGCCCTGCATGCGCTACCACTTGCAGTGGACTTGAGCTCTCAATCGGTCGGCCTTGAAAGTCTCCCGAAATTTTCCAGGCTCGTCGCCGGACGAACGACACGACGACGACGACACAGCCCACCAACTCTCAAGATGAGTCGGTCAACAACAAGCCGCCAATTGGCGAAAACATTATTCTCAGCAACATCACAGTCCTCGTCAACACAGATACGATGCGCAGCCGCAGCCCCGCTCACGCGGCCCTTCTCGAGCTCCAGCACCCGACGAGACGACGGCGGAAAACTGAAGCGCGAGAGCATTCTTTCAGGTGTCATGGGGAACATACGCAACAGTCCGACCGCGAATAATGACAGACAATCCCCATTCTCTTCTCCTCCCTTCGGATCAGGGCGCTCTGCACCCGTCAAGTCCGAGAACATGTGGAAGCTCTCGCAAAGATTACCCTCAGCCAACCTAGCGTTAGGGCGTGCCACCAACGACACGCGGTTCGTGGACTCGTCACTCCTGGATCGTGACCCGTCGGGTGGTCTTGATGATCTGTCAAGCGGCGCTATGATGGCTGATCAGCCCACGGAACCATACCACTTCCACATCTACAGCCACAAGCACAACTGCCACGTGACAGTTACCAAGCCCAACCGCGACGCCATTGTATCGCTGTCTTGCGGCAATCTAGGGTTCAGAAAGAGTCAGAGGAAGACCTACGACTCGGCATATCAGCTGGGCGCCTATGTCATCGATAAACTTCAGCAGGCTGGCTGGCACAACAAAATTGACAAGATGGAGGTGTCATTGAGAGGATTCGGACCGGGGAGGGAGGCGGTAACAAAGGTCTTGCTGGGTACTGAGGGAAAACTGCTGAGAGACAAGATCGTGAAGGTATCCGACTCAACCAGGCTGAAATTTGGCGGTACGAGGAGTAAGCGGCCAAGGCGTCTGGGTTAAGGTCTATAAGGAGATAGCGGAGAGAAACTTTGCAACCATTGAAAAAGTGTGCCCCGCTGAAGCGACGACCGCAATGGCAAAGGCGCCAGAAACCCAGTGGTTGTACATGGAGAGTCTAACAGGCGGGGTTGGGAACTGTATGATGGATATCTCTAGTCTTTCACAGAGCACCGGCTGTATGACCATGATCCTGATCTAATCACTTGAGGAGGCATGCCAACCCAGTGTGTGTATGTGTGTGTCGCCTACTGTATATGAGCACTACTAAAAAGGAGAGAACCATTTGAGATGAGCTCGAGAACACGGTCTTGAAGTATATCATGAAGTGTACTATGTATAATGAAACTTTGATGTGTCCGGGGGGGGGGGGGAGCAAGCATCTCTTACAAAAGAGTGGGCAGTCGTTTACTCTAGCAATTCAGACCCCCACCAAGAATTCTGCAGGGGTCTTGTTTTCTTTAGCTTGCAGTCATCTGAAAGCCAACTTTTTGTCTCGGACTTCTTTTCCTTTATTCTTCTTCTTCTTCTTTTTTTCTTTCTTATCAACCTCCCATGCGACGACGTAGGTGCCTATGGATCCCGCCGCGCAACCCAAGTCCTCTCTTATGGACCTAAACTTCAACGCGGTCCTCGAATCTCCCGTTTTCGCCGGCGGCGTAGGCCTCGCCGCTCTCGGCAGCGTCGCAGCCCTCGCGCGCCGCGGTGCGATCCGTTATGCACAGCTCCTCCGCCGCCAGCTCCTCATCAACGTCGAGATCTCCAAGACCGACCCGTCCTATCCCTGGGTACTGGGATACCTCTCGCGCCCCCGTGAGAGCCCTGGCCTGCTCGCCTCCCGCCTGACGCGCATCCGTCAGCTCTCAGTGAAGACTACGACCCGCTCTGCAGCGCCGGGCAGGAGTGCGAGCAATGTCGGGCCTACGCACGCGCACTTTGCGCTCGTCCCGGGATATGGCACACATCTAATACGTCATGCGCCGGGTGTCTACGTGATGGTACAGAGGGAGAAATCGTCGACCGCCGAGATGTCTACCGGCGAGCCGCACGAGACCATGACGCTGACGGCGCTCTGGGCGCATCGTCATGTGTTTGAGGAGATCTTTGGGGATGCGCACGCCATGATGGCCAAGGCCACAGAGGGAAAGACGGTGGTGTATACGGTCCGTGGGTTCGACTGGGTCCAGCTGGGCGAGCCGAGGCGCAAGAGGCCACTGGGGAGTGTGGTGCTAGATGAAGGCGTTAAGGAGGGCATCGTGGCGGACGTGAAGGATTTTATTGCCAGGCAGGAATGGTATGCTGAGCGGGGCATACCGTACCGGAGAGGCTATCTGCTCTTTGGACCACCAGGTGGGGGGAAGTCAAGCTTTATACATGCCCTGGCCGGGGAGCTGAATTTTGCTATTGCAACTATCAACCTGAGCGAGCGGGGTATGGCGGATGACAAGCTGGCCATGATGATGCAGAAGCTGCCAGCACGAACCATCGTCCTGCTGGAGGATGCAGACGCCGCTTTCGTCAACAGAAAACAAAAGGACTCAGATGGCTACAGCGGATCCACAGTCACATTTTCCGGTCTCCTCAACGCGCTGGACGGCCTGTCGGCTGGAGAAGAGAGGATAGCATTCCTCACCACAAACCACATCGACAGGCTAGATCCAGCGCTCATCCGGCCAGGACGGGTGGACATGATTGTCCGGGTGGGCGAGGCGACGAGGTACCAGGCAGGTGAGCTGTTCGACCGCTTCTATGGCGACGTCGACAGGGACGGAAGCGGAAAGCAACGCTTCCTGCAGAAGCTGGATGATATGGGCCTGTTCGATGAGAAGACTCCGAGGCGCACGAGTGCAGCAGCCATCCAGGGAATCTTCCTCTTCAACAAGAACGATATGGAGGGTGCCATCGCCATGGCCGAAGTACTCGGTCAGGCAACACCGACGGACAGCTGATCCACCGCCTTCAGACTGGTTTCATAAACCACACTGACGTATGATCAATTCAAAATGGTCAAAGTGATAGACTACTACTGTAAAATAATCTGTGTTGTAGTTTTTGCAAACGAAATGATACCCCTTTCTCCATAATGTATGAGGCCAGGAAATCTTTACAGCTCCTAAGATTGTACAAAGAAATTACCACCCAATTCAACAAGTAAAAGAAAAGGAAGGGGAAATTTTGATACATGCAGCTATTACAACAGCATTGAGCAGCTCCAAAGCTTGTTTGGTCGAAACAGTCAGTGCGTAAAGGAGCGGGTCTGCGCTAAGTAAGTAGATATTACCAGGCAGCGACCGCGCCACCATTCGCAGACCTAGTCGCGCCTTCTTCGAACATAATTTTATATTACGCGACTTACGGTGATCGTCGAGATGTTACGGTAACAACAAGAACTTTCGGTAGAACGGTCTCGGCCTGGATCAAGCTTTCTGGGTCTCATCTGAAGTGCATCCCGCGTACATCTTGCAATATAACTCTTTCGTCGTCACTTCTACAACAACCAGCCAGATTGATTAGACAAATTTCAGACGGAGGAACTCGACACACAACAGACAAGACAACTACCACACAGGTATGTCTGAGGGTACTCAAAGGCATTCACCCTGGGCAAGGAGAGGGCGTTCTACCTGGCGTGGTGGACGAGGCAGGGGACGAGGCGGATTCTTTGGCCGCGGCCAGCCCTCAGCCGCTCGACAAGCCCTGGTGCACGTCGCCAACGAGACCAGATCTGTGCTGCCCTTCATCCTGAAGGACCTTCCAGGCTTCAAAGCCGAAAAGTCTGAGATTATATCGCTAGACACGAACCCGCCTTTGAAGCAACAAGACTGTCCGCAACACGACAAGGCCACCGTCAAAGTGATCAATGAGGACTCCTTCAACGCAGCTATCATGATGATGGACACAACATCTGCTGTATCCGCGCCCCCTGGCGCCAGTACCGTCACCAAATCTCCTATGACATACTCCAGACCCGCTGTCCTCAATCTCGCATCCGATAAGTCCCCCGGCGGCGGCTGGTTAAATGGCGCCATGGCCCAAGAAGAAGCGCTCTGCTACCGCTCGTCTCTTTCTCTTAGCCTACACAAGCACTATTATCCCTGGGATGCTGACCAGGGTGTCTATACACATGATGTGGTTATCATCCGGAGCTCCGCGTCTGAGGATCACAAGCTTCTGGCGCCCGACATCCCAGCTGCCGACCTCCCCGTGGTGAGCGTGGTCAGCATCGCGGCCGTTCGTTGCCCGAAGGTCTCCGAAGTACAGTCTCTGGCGGGCGACAAGAGGAAGGTCTTCGCCGACAGTGAGGACAGGGATTTGACCAAGAGGAAGATGAGGCTAGGGCTACGGGTGGCGGCGGCGAAAGGCCACGATTGTCTCGTACTTGGTGCGCTAGGATGCGGGGCTTTCAGGAATCCTGTAGAGGAAGTAGCAGATGCCTGGAAGGAAGTACTGGAGGAGACGGAGTTTGCGGGCGGTTGGTGGAGGGAGATTTGGTTTGCTGTGTTCGATCAGAAAAACGAAGGCAATTATGAGGTCTTCGAAAAAGTGCTCGGTGGGCTGCAGGTATAGTTGAGGCATAAGGTTACGAGGACGAACACAGCACAAAAAGCATATCACTCCCAGTTTGTCAAGGCAACTGCAATCATTCAGCCAGATACCCAACGCCATTCAGACGCGAATTACTACTGATTCCAAGTCGTTCTTTCGACAACGTGGTTCCCGGGTAGCGTAAGCATATTCGATGTCGAAGGAGTGACACCTCATGCAGCCCTATATCACGACATAAACATGGCTGTTGATGCCACGCCCCTTGCCTGATGCTGCTATTCGGCAGCCTCAGGATGGAACCCTGCTCAGTCAAGACGCCCAAACGCAAATTTTAACGGTCATACCGTGTGAGACGTAGAATAAGGGTACAGAGATGACTGTTTTGTTGTTGTGTGTGTCTCTCGAGTTCAAGGCCAGAGGAATCGGGTGGGTTAAAGCCGACTTTTAGTAAAGAAAAGCGTATGGAGCAACAAGCTGGAAATGGGGATCAAGCTTTGGTGATTCAGATGTGCTTTTGCTCTGATCATTCTGAGAGATTTTGAAAGTCGACATCTTCTGGCTTTGTTGCTTTCTATTATTTTCTTTTCTCAATGCCTGGGGTGAAGAAATTCACCTGCATGGCATCTGATTGCATAGCATAAAAACAGGGTCCCTAAAAACCAAGACCTGCATTCGTGACCGACCACCTAGAACCTTCTTTCACATTCTCTGAACAGGAAAAATCTCTATCATATCCAGAATAGACTTTTTTGGATGCAGAAGTGTCCCACCGTATGGATTTTTGGACTTCCCTCGAACGTACAGCCAGTAGGCGTCCGTTGAACCACTGTGCTCGCCCAGCAAACTTGTATTGAAGCAACCCCAGGGCTGCCCAAGAACTGCTGCTGTATAGCACGAAGAAATTACACAGCTGCCGTGGGGAGCAGGCCGTCCATCGCTCGCATTCTTCCTTCCTCTGTTCACCCTCACCGTCTCCAAGAATTCCCTTGCCCTCGTCGAGGCTCGTCTTCTGACCCTTAGAAACTGAGTCGTCACTTTCTCGTCCTCTCTTTTTTTTGCCAGCCGCCCGTATCACTTCAGGCCTCCAGCCCATCACCGATATCCCCCAGCCGCGATTACCGTTAGGAGCCTCAGCAAGCTCCCCGGGTGGCCCAGCATGCCCAGATCACCCAATAACTCCCCCAAAAAGGCATAAAGCCAATGACGCCATTCTGGCTAACGAACAAGGTGCAAATGTCGTCCCTCGCGGCAAGGTCCGCTGGACCAGGGCTGATGACCCGACGATTGGGTAGAGATTAGGTGTCTTATGTCTCACACAACCCGCGGGCGTGATCCAATATCGTGCATCGGAGGGACCTTTTTGGTCGAGAGAGTTGAGAAAGAGGGTGCCAAGGGCTCGTCAGGACTGAACCGCCCGTGACGCTGTCAAATAGCTGGACTCAAGGTTTGTCGTTTCTCTTTATCTGCCACGAACTCGAATGAAGAAGACTCTCGTCTTTCGAGGACAGAAAGGTAAGCCAGGCACACGGGAGTATCCTCAGACGCGGGATTCTCCATCAAGGCGAAAAAGACATTAATCCAAACCGGTCAGGCCTGGTATATCGCCATCCTGGCCCCGGAGCCATTGCCCCTGGCGTCAGCATCCAGAACGCAGTCTTGTGGCGTGGATAAACAAGACGGCTCGGGTTGGCATCGCAAACTCCCCAGCCAATGTCGTCCCTTGCAGGCCTAGATATCATCGTGAAGAGCGGCAGTCGGGCGGCCATGAAGCAGCTCGATCCCTCGTGCCTGGCCGAATGCCACTGGCGCCCTCCACGCCCCGTCCTCCCCCCCCACAGAACTCGGCGGGTCTCGGCGGGAACAGACTCGACGGGGCTCGATGGGCTCGGTGGGCTAGACCTATTCCAACGAGACTTGACATGGTTTCATTTACTAATCGGATGGCGGAGCCGATATCGTCGCTGGGATTGTGCTTGGTTGATGTGACGTAGAGATAGGAAATGTTGAGGAACACGAGCATGTGAAATCGTATATATTCAATGGGTGGCCATACCTGTGTCTCTGTTGGCTTGAGCCTTCTGATTTTCACCTGAATTCTATTTTGGAAGGAGATTTGATCCTGATTCAACTCATCCAACTTTTTCAAGAGAGCACGTGTCCCTTTCTTTGGAGCATTTTGCATATCTGATCGTGGTTTCCCTCTCTGGAACTCTAAATCCTCACCCACCTCGATTCAATTTCGGCAGCCGGCAGGGGTGAAGAAACGTGTTCTTGGCCCTCGCTCGGTTACTCGGTTCTTTTTTAGAGCCCTAGAGCTCACGATCAAGCTCACTCTTCATTCATATCTTTTACCTTTTCGTCCTAGTATTTTAGCAGAGACCAGTGCTCTGGCGAGTCAATGATCCTCAACGTCCCGTAAACTTTTCTCAATTGCCCGTCTACTGTCTCATCCTCCATTGTCTTCGAGCGTCTAAGATACCACTGTCATTCCATTTGCATATCTGCACAACCTGCTCATCAGTTCTATCTACCTATATTATATTCAAGTTTCTCTGAAGAAGAAAAAATAAGCATCACACAAGATGACCATCCTCGACATCGACAGGGATCTGGCAGCGAGCTTCCGGCAACAGGCCATTGCAACACCTGATGCAATTGCCCTGGAAGACAAGTCGCACACCTACACTTATGCCGAGCTGGACGAGGTCACGTCAAAGCTCGCCAGCTCGTTACGGAATCATGGAGTTGGCCGAGATGACCCAGTCGGCGTCCTGATGGGGAGGAGTGCCGACTATGTCATCGCATGCCTGGCAGCTCTCCGAGCGGGCGGGGCGTTTCTCGTCCTAGAGCTCGCCTACCCTCCGGCGATGCTCTCGGGTGTCATAGACGACGCCCGGCCCAGAGTCATTGTGACAAAACGAGAACATGTCGGCAGAATTGAAGCTGATGTCCCATTGATCGTCATGGACGAGCAGGGAGTCGGCAGCAATGAGTCGAACTCCAGCAGCAACAACTCCATAGACGAGAACGATCTCGAGAAATTAGCCTTCATATCCTACTCGTCAGGCACTACGGGAAAACCCAAGGGCATCGCAAATCCACACAGAGGTGCTGTCCGGTCGTATGATTTGAGATTCAAACTCAGCGACCTGAAGCAGGGCGATCGAGTTGCTTGCAACGTCTTCTTCGTCTGGGAGATACTACGCCCTCTGCTTCGGGGAGCCACCACTTTCTGCATACCGGACGAGGCGAGTTATGATCCTGTCGCCTTGGTGGACTTGCTCTCTTCGAAAAACATCACCGAGACCTTGATGACTCCAACCTTGCTTGCAACTGTTCTGTCTCGACATGCGAGGCTGGGAGAACGGTTGCCTGACCTGAAGACTCTCTGGTTAAGTACGTTACCTTATCACGCCCGCCACATTACCATCATTCCTCCGTTGGTGTCCATGGCAGAGACTAACCTCGACTCCAGATGGCGAGGTCGTTACCACTGACCTGATACTCCGGGCCATGAAAGCTCTTCCTAATACGCGCCTGCTGAATTGCTACAGCGCAAGTGAGACGCATGAGATCGCCTGTGGCGACATCAAGGAGATGTTGAACGCTGAGCAGCCGTATTGCCCCGTCGGACCGCCTCTAGACCCAAAGCACACCTACGTCTTGGACGAGAACAAGAACCCGGTCAACGTTGGGGTTTCTGGAGAATTGTTCATTGGAGGCGGTCTGCTGGCCCGTGGATATCTGAATTTACCCGAGACAACGGCGAAGGCCTTCCTGCCAGACCCGTTCGATGATACCCCCGGAGCTCGCATGTACGCAACCGGCGATATGGCCAAGATTCTTCCTTCTGGCCTTATGGAGATCACCGGTCGTGTCGGTGCCATGATCAAGCTCCGTGGCTACAGCGTGGTTCCTGGCACCGTCGAGAACGCCATTGTGAAGAACCTGGCCGTGAAGCAGTGTGCCGTTGTGCCTCGAGGCGACGGAGTGGAACGTCAACTGGTCGCCTATATTGTGCACGATAAGGAGGCAAATGACGACCGAGATCATGTGTCGATCGACGAGGCCGGCTACTGCCCCAAGGGCCGCCGAGCGCTTGCTGAGCACCTGGCACATTATATGATACCGGCTCTTTGGGTGGAGCTTGATGTGCTTCCGACACACGAAGTATCTGGCAAGGTGGACCTTAAGAGCCTGCCGCCGCCCCCAGAGCCAGGCGCCCCTTCGCCACAAGTCAAGGCCAAAGCCGAAACCAACACGAAGATCAGGGCCGAACAGATCGCGGAGCTGTGGGCTGCCTGCTTGAACATACCGCCGAGCGCTATCACCAAGGAGCACAGCTTCTTCGATCTTGGTGGCCACTCCCTCACCCTCGCAGATCTCTCCAACCGCCTGACTAAAACGTTCGGTTTTCGTGTGCCCCTTGGATCCCTGGCCGGCGACCCAACCATTAAGGGTCATGTTGAGGCCGTTACCGCAGCTCGCGACGGCCACACAGCAGCTGTTCAGGCTGATCTGCCCGCGGTCTTGCGCGCTGATTCTGTTCTGGCTGCTGACATCCAGCCCAAGAATGCAAGAACACTCCCTCTCAGCCAGGCAAAGACTGTTCTGTTGACAGGCGTGACTGGCTTCCTGGGTGCTTTCCTGTTGAGCTCACTCATCGAAAGCACCGAGGCAGACATTGTCTGTATCGTGCGTTTCAATGACCCTATCGACGACCAGACCTCTGCCGGGATGGCACGGCTGCGGAAGAACCTCACAGAGTTAGGCCTGTGGGACGACTCTATTATCGACCGCGTTGAGATCCTCCCGGCCAACCTGTCCAGGAAACGCTTGGGACTGGCACCTGACCAGTTTGAGGAACTGGCTTCCCGTATTGATGTTGTGATCCACGCAGCGGCAACTGTAAACCTCGTGTACCCGTATGCCGCATTGCGTGCGCCGAATGTGGGCGGCACCCGCGAGATATTACGTCTGGCCTGTCTCGCTGGAGCACCTGTTCATCACGTCTCGACCAATGGTGTCTTGCCGCCTTCCCGAGAGGGCTGGTCGGAAGATACTATCATCGACGTTGACGAGGTCCCAGTGCGCTTGCACGATGGCTACAGCCAAACCAAGTGGGTTGCAGAGCAGCTGGTCATCGAAGCCAACCGCAGAGGTCTGCCCACTCGAATCTACCGTCCAGGGACCATCAGCGGCCACAGCAAGTCCGGCGCTACCAATGCGTGGGATCTCTTGACAGCCATGATTGTTGAGTCTATGCAGATTGGGTATGCTCCAGACATTGAGGACTGGCTCGTGGAGATGACTCCTGTAGACTTCGTAAGCAAGGCCATCACGACGCTGGCGGATCACCAAGACATGACGCAGCGCATCTTCCACCTGGGAGATCCCGCGCCTATCTGTGCCAATGACGTATTTAGCTATCTCGACCAATTAGGCTTCGGCACGGAGAAGCTTGCCTTTGAAAAGTGGGCTGCGCTGTGGAAGCAGAAGAGGGGCTCCGGGCGCTGGGGCGAGGGATCTTTCACGGTCGACATCCTGCGCTCTGGCATGCCCACCGCCGATTACGTCCGGGAGGTCACAGTTCTGAACGATTCCAAGACCAGGCCTATCCTGGAAGACGTGTTTGGCGTCCAGCGGCCCAAGATCGACGACAAACTACTTCGGACGTACACGAGACACTTCTACGCCCGCGGCTGGCTTCCCCGTCCCCCTCGCAAGGCAGACAAGATGGCCACACAAGTCAAACCCCGCGGACCCCTAGCCGGCAAGGTCGCCGTCATCACGGGTGCGTCTTCTGGTATCGGCGCCGCAGTGGCTACTGCATTGGCCGCAGAGGGTGCAGACGTTGCCATCGCAGCAAGGCGGGTGCAGGCTCTGGACTCTCTCAAGTCCAAGATCACCTCAACATCAGGCGTGAAGGTCCTGGCCCAGGCAACGGACGTCACAGACCGAAGTCAAGTCGAGGCTCTCATCAGGACCACCGAGGAGGCGCTTGGTCCCGTCGACATACTGGTAGCATGTGCGGGTGTCATGTACTTCACCCTCATGAAGAACGTTCATGTCGACGAGTGGGAGCGCACAGTCGACGTGAACTGCAAGGGCCTCCTCCACAGCCTCTCGTCCACGGTCCCGTCGATGCTGGCCCGCGGCAAGGGTCACATTGTCGCCATCAGCTCGGACGCAGGACGCAAGGTCTTCCCCGGCCTGGGGATATACTCTGCGTCCAAGTTCTTCGTCGAGGGCACGCTGCAGGCACTGCGTGTCGAGACCGCCGGCACAGGGCTGAGGGTCACCAGCGTCCAGCCGGGCAATGTCGCCACGGAGCTGCTGAGCATGTCGACGGACCAGGAAGCCGTCAAGAAGTATGGCGAGCCGTCTGGGGCCAAGGTGCTGGATGCCGAGGACGTCGCCGGGGCCATCGTGTATGCTGTCACGAGGCCGGAGCATGTGGCTGTCAATGAGGTGTTGATCGAGCCGAGGGATGAGCCGATCTAATGACGGGATGAGAGACGAGGTATATGCAGACAAGACCAAAACAAAACAAGGGCAGGATTAGAGACATTAGATTGCAGATATGCAGCAGTGCATGGCACACGTGAATACATTGGTATTATTCTCTCTCTCTCCTACTAGAGCGGCTGCCTTGAAGTTCTTTCTGAGGTGGAAGTCATCCTAGACATAGCGAATGGCCATATAAGATATACACATTTTCACATTTTTCCCCTGGATCTCTAAAGTGGAGGATGACAAGTCACCAACATGTGTACATGGTATTCCGTCTCCATGAGAACAATGTCAACAGATTTCGGTATCCAAGACACATTCACACAAGTGTCATAGTGAAAAATGTCTAATCATGGAGAGAAGAATTGGTCAGCGTGGCAGGACTCCAGAGGCTAAGAAGAAAGCCCTTTTCTCTCTCTCTCTCTCTCTCTCTCTCCCAGAGCCTCGGTATCCGAACCATTATTTGAGCCCCCCCCCCCCCCGCGCACTTGGGAAGAACAACAAAACCTGTTCAGAGGCTCGCGAAGAATCGAGAGTGACAATACTCGGATATCCCCACTCCCTTCCGTCTCCCTCTCTGCAACTCGACCACCCTACTCACTTCGCCTTCCAGCATGGCATACAAAGTCCTCCTCCTGGGTGCGACGGGCTACCTTGGCGGCACGGTCCTCACAGACCTCGAACGTGCTGGCGACTTTGATGTCACCTGCGTTGTGCGGCCCGAGAGGGAGGCGTGTATGAGCGGGCGACGGACAAGGTTGCTTGTGGTAAGTTTAACAGTTTATTGGTCTCCCGAAGTATGAAGATTTATGCTTCTTTATTTTTGCTTTCCCCGTTTTCACAAATAGAGTTTCTAGGCAGGAAGAAATGGCAACACGTGAGGTCTTGTTTTTTTTTTTTTTTTGGTTCGAGATTCATTACAATTTTGATACATCTTGGCTAAACCCAAGACACAAACTCTCTTTCAGGTCTCTCACGATGAGCTGGGCAAGATAGAAGATGCCTGCGCAGAGGTGGACGTCGCCATCAACGCTGCCACTTCAGACGATCTCCATCTCACCAGGGCCATCAACCGAGGCCTGGCGAGGAGGACGGGCAGGAAGGGCGTTCTGGTTCATATCTCGGGCACGCAGCTGATCGAGTCGGCACCGACGGGCAGGCTGGAGGACGTGCCCAAGTATGACGACCTGGACGTCGAGCAGATCAAGTCTATACCTGACACTGCGCTGCACCGGCTGATTGACCTCGAGTATGCTTGCTCAGAGTCCCTTCCCCCCCCCCCCCTCTCCTCCTCCTCCTCCTCCTTTCTTATTGTATAAAACTGTGTAGACAACGAGTCTTTGTCTTCTCCTTCTTCCTACTGACTACCTTTGACCCAGGGTCAGCAGGGCCGACCTGGCAGATGAGATCACCGCATCCATCATCTGCCCAGGCGTCATCTTCGGGCGCGGGTCAGGCCCGCTCAAGACCATCTCGTCCCCGTTCCCCAACCTCGTCCGCCTGGCGCTGCGGAACAGGCGCGTCACCTACGCCGGCGAGGGCACCAACATCTGGGCACACGTCCAGGCCCAGGACGTCTCGGACTTGATCATACGGTCTATCAGGCACAACCTTGGTGCTGCTGGTGCAAAACCCGCTGGGTTCGAGAGGTTCTACTTGTATGTACTCATGCCCTCGCTTTCTTTATCTTGTCATCATCGTAAAGATTGACATATATCCACCCTCTCCCTTTTTTTTTTCCCCCTCCAGCGCTGAGAATGGCGAGCACCAGAAGCTCGACCTCTGCACCAAGATGGCCTCGGTCCTCCATGCCAACGGCGCCGCCGTCGAGGCTGCCACGCCCGTGTCGGTGTCGCCGGACAGCCCTCGGGCGCCGAGCTGGGCTAACAGAACCACGGCGCGGTGCTGGGCCAACCGGGCGAGGCGGGAGCTTGGCTGGCGGCCCGCTGTGCTTCTTGAGGATGTGCTTGAGGCCGAGGTGCTGGATATTCTATCGGCGGTGAGGGACGAGGTGTGATAACTTGTGCTTCGTATTCTTGATGGGACCCCCAATGCTGTATAAGCAAGGGAAGGGCTCGTGTACGACAATATGAAAATGTACAATGTACTATGTAAGAACAACTTCACTGTCAACAAACCGACGAGACCCTGCCTTGCACACAGACTGCACAGACTGCACAGACAAACGCGTCGTCAACCTCGCCGACCTTTTGACCCACCTCAGTACCATGATATCTCGTAAGGTTCGCTCGCCTTGGAATTCTTGCCCTTCTCCCCCCCATTTTTACGCGGCAATTCGGAGGGGCCTCACCGGAGCCCCCACCCGGCCGGGTCTTCCATGATCCATTTTTCTCTCACTCACTTACTCTCTTCCCTCCCCCCCCCCCCCTCTCTCTCTCTCTCTCTCTTGGCGAATATTTGTAATTTATCATAGTGCATGACGATATACTAGTAGAGCAGATTATAATCACTATACAAGTCTAGGGATCCACGACCATGGAGTTCTCCGTTGGGATGGAATGGAAACAGGCCCAGCCCCCCCCGGTTCACTAGACTTGTGCTATGGTAAACCTTTTTCCCGGACCCGACCTGGAGTTTCACAGACTCTCTCTCTCTGCTTGTCGACCAGGATGAACCCTTCTACTGAATCATACATACTAGGGCGGAAAGTCCAGTTTTATCCTTTGAGCTAATGCGTACTCAAGTAGAGAGTGAGTCGAAACGCAACGGTGGTGCTTCTTGTCAAAGTTGTCAAGTGAGTGGTTGAGCATGTCTGCATGGCCTGTGAAATGGGCCCCCTTCCCCCCGGGCCGAGGGAGACAGACCGGCTTTAATTCTATAAGACAGCATTATATTACCATCGAGGAGTACTAAAGGCAACCCGTGAATGTTCGAGAAGTGTGGAAGGAAGGAGAAGGAAGAAAGAAAGGAAGAAAGGAAAAATGAAAAGGTCGACCCTAGGACTCGGACATATTACCACCTACAAGAGAGCGTTGCCTTGTTTTCTTCCTTCATTCAGGAGCACGAACCTGTCGATCATCTCGAATACCAGTACAATGTACTCTTCCTCTTTCCTTTCCCCAACAAACAACTACCCAGCCTTGTCGACGAGTGCCGAGACATCCAGGCCCTTGATCGATGAACGGATAGCCTTCTCCCCGTTCGCTGGGGTCCCCCTTCCTTGTGCGTAGTTCTTGACGTTCGGAAAACCAACAGCAATCACACCGTGACCAGAACCTCTCCGCTCCCCATCCCTGTTCTCTCAATCTCCACCACTCTCGAAAGGGCCGATGTTTGAGGATCTCTCTTCCTTCCTCTTCCCCTTTCTCTCATCCCCAATCTCTTTCGGAGATGGTCACTAGGCCATAAAATGACAGCTTGGTGGAGAACTCGGGGTTACATACCAGGTACAGTACTACCATGGTTCTCAAGGTCCCTGGGGCAAGCAAGGGGCAAAAGACAAGGCTGTCTTGTCGTCGTTGCAGGTGGGGCAGCACAGTGAGAGAGAGAGATGAAGATGATGAAGAAGAAGAATGAGGGACAACGTTTCAGGAATGGCTTCATGGCCATCCCAAAGCCGAATTGTGCCTTCTTTCTCGTTCTTGTTCTCCCCTGACAGTTCAGGGAAGGGGCTCCCATTGAAGACCAACGCTAGCCCTACAAGGAAAGAGTATCGTCGTGAACCCTAATTTACGTTCTTCTCCCCTCTTCTTTCTCTTCCTCGTCTCTCTCTCTCTCTCTCTCTCTCTCTCTCTCTTTGTGTGTGTGTATTTTGACTTTCGCCTGCGCTGCCCTGGAAATGAACTCTACCATTCTGCCGGGAACGTGGAAGAACATGGCGACCACATGGCGACAGATCGGCTGGCCGGGCCTCTTGCACAGGGGTAAGGCCAGGCCCAGCCGCGGCCATGGGCGTGGCGTTTCTTTAGTGTCCTGCATATCATAATTTCTCTCTCTGCTGCTTTCAACGTGGCTTGCAGCTTATTTCCTACTACTACTACCTACACGATCCTACTCTTATGACGCGCCTTTTTTTTTCTTTTCTTCTTCTTCTTCTTTCTTTCCGTCGCAGGACATGCTGGGCGTTGCGTCGTAGCTCCGACTTGGCACACTCCTGAGAAGCGGAAACCGGTGTGACGAATTACTTGCCTCACGAGATGATAGTGCGAAAATGGAGGACGGAAAGGTCCAAAAAAGATGAAGGGGTGGCTAGACTCATGCCGTCGAAATATGCACGGGAGATCAAATAAAAGGGTTTACTTTAAGGGGAGGGGAGGGGAGGGGGGGGGCGCGGGATGCCACCATCGCACAGCAAGGCCAGACGCAAGCAAGACGATGCAGGAGGTAGTTCATTCAGACATGCTGTGTAAATGGGAGACGTGTAACAGTATGCACGTACTCACACAGTAGAGGACTTGCCTCACTAGCAAGGCTCACCCCATTTCTTACTCTCAAAAAAAAGAGAAAACGTATGTGATCGTGACGGTCCGGCTCGCCGGGTAGCCCCTGGCCCTCCCTTCTATACGTGCTATTCTATAGTACATACACAGCGCTCCCCCACCCCCCACTTCCTTGTTCTGCGGGTTCTGATTACTACTATTCTCTTCCTTTGACAGCCAGCAAAGGGTACAAACTGTGGTTCAGGATCCGGCATGGATGAGCCGCTCGCCGCCCCTCCTCCCCCATCCAGGGAACGTTCTTCCGATATTGACTGCGCGTTGTCTCACAAACACAGGCGAGACCTGCCATGCATCCATGCAACCAAACACATCACATCCATCAGCCCTACTCGAGAATAGTTCTGGGATACCTCTACTGTAACCAATCCACGGTCCTCTTTGAGCATGGGGTCGGGGGTTTCTGTTCCGTTCCGATCGATCGTTCGTTCTTTAATGATCGTGTACATTTTTCATTTCCGTTCGCTTGCTTGGCTGCGATTGTTGGCTCGGCGCCGAGACTCCCCTCTTTCTTCCCTCTGGGTAGTATCGAGATGAGGGAATGGATGTGACGATGGTCTTGTTCTTTGTCTGAGGTTCTGCAGCACGGGTGGAGTACAACCCAGCAGAGATGCAAGGCACGTATTACTCTAGCAGTCATTTCCCTGGCGACGGTCTCGACACCACCACTTGAAGCTTGAAAGTTCCGGCATCCGACATCGTATTATGCAGCAGGGGGCTTGCTGCTGCTGCTGCTGGCGCTACTGACCACTACCTAACTATTACTTTTCTACTGCAGCAGAAGCCCGGTCGAGCCTCATCCCGCTCAGGAGGTGGTGGTGGTGGTGGCCCAGTTGTCCTGCCGCACCACAGATCCAGTGTGTTGCAACCACCACCATGGTACCTACTATTGAACTAAACCACGTTCTCTAGGCTTGGTGTGTGTGTGTGTGCGCGTGTGAAATCTGACCGCAGCAGCAGCTAGTGCGAGGTAATGATCGTCGAAACATTAGTCTCGTGAATGTAACCCCCGGGGGAGGTGTTGTCCAGGGCTGGTCTCGAACTGTTGCCGTTTTCTGGATGGTGGAGTTCTCGCTTCAACGGAATCGCTCGTGAGGGTTTCAGATCGGGCAGCTTTGTGGAGGAACCCAACACATCCCCCCCCCCCCTTCTTCCCACTCTCTCTCTCTCTCTCCACTCCAAGGCTGAAGGGAATCCTGGAAGCATATCATTGGAAATTTGCAGTGTGCGTGTCTGATTGCAGTCGGAACCGTGCGGATGTTGTTCTTGCGCCGGTGTGCCGGGAAAGGGGGGGGGCCAAAGAGAGAGAGAGGGTGAAGATCTGCGCGCATAGTTTGGGTAATGGTTACCGTCTATCTAGGTTTGGACGGTTAGACAGCATGATGGATGGTGGTTCGCACTTACGTCTCGGCGGACCCGACATTCATCGGTTTTCTCGTCTCTCTTCAGCTCCTTCATGACCGTGTCTTTTTTTTTTTTTTTCCCCTGCGCGGAAGAATTATAGGGACCACGGGGCATGACGCACGAAGGATTATCAACCCTGTGTGGTGGTGTGAAATGTTGTTGATGCCCCCCTCCCCCTCGTGGGTCGTGCAAGGGGGGAACCCATGGCTGTCCGGCAAAAAGGAAAAAGGAAAAGAACAAGAGAATAGAAAAGAAAAAAAAAACGAGGCTGTCGCTCAAGGCACTCCCCAATCTAGCCAACCAACCACACCTGAACTGTGGGGAGGCTCAGCAGTGAGCACACCCACAGTTCGTGTTTGCAAAACAGTCGAGGGCATTCTCGGGTCGCCGCGGGACAGAAAGAGTGATCACGTAACTACTATGTAATTACGTACAGTAGTAGTACCCCTCGTTACACAATCCAATCCATTGATTGATTGATTATTTTGATGTCGCCCTCGCCCTCCACGAGTCTCGAGGCAAATCACACAATCTTTGAAACCCGACTATATGTACATGCATACACTATACATATACATGTATGTATAGTGCTATGCAAGTTAAGTAGGACATGACGATACCATCGGCGATATCGCAAATGGGCATTCCGTCCTGATGAATAAGGCTTGTAGCAAAAAGGGACCACCACCTGGCACCAAGACCACCCTAAGATCAGCCCCTTGCCCCATTCCCGGTCCCTGCATTGTTCTCGGAACACCTATCCCGACCCAGCTAGATCACCCGGCACGGCTTGTGGGGTGGACTTGCCCTGACGATCCAATTATTGCGGTGGTCAGAGAGAGAGAAAGTGTGAGAGAGACAGAGAGAGTTCACCTGGAGTCCGAGGACTACTCCACATCACACACAGGCACCCACAGAGGGTGTGGATCTTTCTTGTCCAGAGGGAAGGAAAAAAAAAAAGGACGAGTTGCTGAACTTGGGTCAACCACCCCCACTACCCACACCCACACCAAACGTTGCGACAGGAGATCGAGACTCACTTCTGATGGTTCGACGGAGGAAGAAAGGGAATAGAGAAACGTGGGTTGGATGAATGGCATTGCGGTTCTGGAACGGCCGGCAAGGTCTCCTCCTCCTCTGGAGCAAGACTGCAACGGTGCGTTTCGACCTTGTCAGTGTCTCAGATCTCTTGTCCCCATTCCCCCCCCCCCTCCAGCGGGGTGATACTTGAGATGGCAGGTCGGGGTCGGTCCACTCA